GCAACACACAAATCGGTTGTTAAACGTAGTTAAAAAAAGAGAAGGGAATGAAGGGAAATTCATAATACATTTCCCTTTGTAAAGTGAGCAAACCAACTTTGTGCAATAGCAGAAACTACTGGAGGGAGGGAGGAGGCTTCTTTCATGTCATAGACTAAGGATGAATTTATTTCTAACATAGAGGTTGAGTCTGATTCCCATAGAGCCATTGTATGAATGTATGATAGGACCTGAAAGGAATGTATGGCTTCCCAAGAGCAAGGCTATATGCCAAACTTTGCCTGGGCCATGGTTCTTACAATGACTGAATGTAAGAGCCCTACTGGATTGGGCCTCTACTCAGTCCAGCATCCAGTTTCATGGAGGCCACCCTGATGCCTGTGATAAGCTCACAAGCAGGAACTGAGGGCAAGGCAGTCTCCTGCTGTGGTTCCTGAGGGCTTCTCCACACTTCATTCTGGTCCAAGATTTCCCCCTGCTTGTCCTAGGACTTCTAGGCACAGATCCGAGTGGGGTTTGTTTCTCCCACCACTTTCCTCAGGAAAACCCATGGTTTAGCACTGAATCGGTAGAATGTCAATCAATTTATCAAACTCAATTTATGTTTGTTCTCTTTTTTCCCCCTTATAAAAAGTTTATTTAATCCCAGAAAAGGGCTTTGTAGATAATGGAGCCCACAACGGGTAAGGCACTGTGTAATGTGGTTGCACAAATGTGCATGGGGGGCAGTAACAAAATTAACACACACACACACACACATCCACAGATATGGCACATAAATAATTCTTCAGCAACCTTGCCAGAGGTAGCAGGCTCAGAAACTGATGCTGGCATTTTCCTAGTCTGGGTTTTCTGGTGGGGGGGACCCCACTTGAACTAGTGCCTGGAAGTCACAGAAAAAGCAGAGGAAATCGTGGACAAAAAGAAAGTGTGGCTGAGCCCCCAGTGACTGGCATTGAGAGACTGTCTACCTCTGATCCTGGAGATAGTATACAACCAGGCAAGGCAATGTCCTCTCACTGATAAGAGTGTTGGACCTGGAAGATCAGGGTTCAAATCCCCACTCTACTATGAAAGTCACTGGGTGATCTTGGGCCAGTCACTCAGTCTCAGCCTAAACCGCCTCACATGGGTTGTTGTGAGGGAGAAAAATTCTCCACCAACAGTAAGCACCTAGATAGCAGACTGAGAAGGCACCATAATGCAAATTTGTCCTCTTTTTTGCCATGTGTAACCGTCCTCCCTACTCACCGCATGCAGTAGCTTATAGAAATATGGTAAGCTGGAGCACCAGTTGCTGCTGGGAGCAGGGGGTGTCATGAACAAATAATGACATTGGGATAGAAAGTTAAGGGGGTCTAGCTAATATGACAGAAAAGTTAACTGAGTACTTCTTCCAAGACTCTCCTCTACCTTTAAGAGCAATACAAGACATGAGGTAACTAGTCCGTAACTATTATTACTCAGGAAGTCTCTTAAATACTTGCCAAGATCATAGAACTGATCTTCACACTGATGAAAGCAATTATTATTTCAGGAGCCCACTAACACAAACCAGTTAGGTCCAGGGATTTTAGGTTAGCTGGGCTTTGGAAATGGTGTTCTTTAAAATAATAATAATAATAATAATAATGACTGCAGTGACAGCTGTTGCCTATATTTGAATTGCTTAATGCAAACTAAACTGACCTCTGAAGTAAGCCCATTATCATGAAGGTGCACAAATAGCACTACCTTGTTTGAGAAAGTGAGCCCCAAATAGCTTTGAGCCTTTCGTGGCACAAGCCATGGTACTTAGGCCAAGTATTAGCTTTTACTGGCCCTCTTCGGAAGGTTCCAGTTTCTCTCTCGCGCGCATACACACACACACATTCCTCCAAGTATAGGCCACATCCACAGCTACATCTTTCCACAGGAAATTATCCGGCACGCTTAGCAAACAGTGGTTCATTGGGAAATCCATAATTGAATTCCCTGGCCATTCAGTTCTTAAACCTCTTTGATCAGAATTAGTTAATTACATTGGGACCAGTTTGTTCCTTGATACACATTTTGCCATGTCCCCCAGATATGTGACTACACACTCCATCCGTATTGTATTCTTTGAAATGCATTTATGAGCCTTTGAAGCTCTTCCCCTTTAACAATGTATTGTTCATTAATACGTTGCCTGTAACATTTCCCCATTAGGAAATAGCTGTCCGTGACTCACTTTGGGTGGAATAAGTAATAATCCAAAGGTAATTGATAATGCCATAGAGTAATGGGAGTGTGCTACAATGTATTGCCCCGTTCTTCATTTCAGCCCATTACTCCGGTTACCTTTAGAACACCCTAAATGAATCTTTTTCCCTGCCTGTGTTTGTGGACTGACAAAGTCATTGAGAATTCAACAATCAAAAGAGTTTGTACTTTCCATAGGCCTTCCTCTACACATTTGTGCTGGTGAGAATAACACCTCATCAGATCATAGCCATCATTCTGATATCAGCAGGTAGCAACCGAGAAGAGAAGCAAATCTAGACAGAAGTTTAACTGCTATTAGCCACACCAGAGGTGGCAAACTTGTACCCCCACAAAAAAAAATGTTGTTGGGACTACAACTCCCAATCATTCCTGACCTGTCTGAGGCTATTGGGAGCTGAAGTCCAACTTGTGGAGGGTCATAGGTTCCCCACCCATAATTCAAACCAACATTATATTTCAGGCAATGCCATAAATCAGGGTGCTGGCACAGGGAAAGAATGACTGACTATAAACACAACCAGAACTGATATATAGGCAACAACCGATTTAGGTGTGTCACCGAACCTGGACGTAGCCCCAAAACATCATCAAGACATTACAAAAAGGGGTGAAACAGGGTGGGGTGGGCTTAAGCACGCAGGTGTCTGGAACGTAACCCCCATGCAAAACAAGGATTGCCTGTAATTGTATGAGAATATATTTATGATCTTTATATTGACTTAACTTTATTAGAGGCAAAGGCACTGCTGGCTCAAGCTTTCCTTCTTGTGTTTTTCCTCACTTTCTTGCTACTGGAACAAACTGGAGAGAGAGGAAGAGAGCAGGGGAGCAAAAAAGTTATAATATTGCCATAAAGTTGTGTACTCCCTCTTACTGCAGTTGCATACACACAGAGAGACAGAAAGAGGAATCCTATTTAGGTCCACTTAGAAGACCCACAAAGTTCAATAGGACTACTTCCTGGTAAGCATTCATATTATTCTTCCAGTGATATGACCCACAATAACTGTATATCCTGCCTCATATTCACTATTCCTCTCAAACAGTATAATTCATAAATAGTTTCACAGCTACAAAACCTACATCAAAACCTAAACTGACAGAACCTACTGAAGAATACTTACTAGTCATTTGTTACAAATAAACATCAGTTCGGCTAATTTGTGTCTGTGATAATGCAAACCTTCATGTAGAGCTGAAGTCATAGGAGCCAACTCCTAGGGGCCAAGGGATCTTCGCCCCCCCAATAAAATATTTGAGAGGGCCAGTCATCCCGTCCCCCCAGTTGATGGACATTGCCATTCAAATAGTGTGCGTGCACCGTGTCATATGATCAATTATGCGGGGTGGGGCTTACCTGACCCCCCCCCTATATTTTATTCAAGTTGGCACCCCTGGCCAAACTTACAAACATTGTGAAATTATACTTGTTGCAAAGCCCAATATGGAAAATCTTAGGCCAATTTATGTGACATATTTTGCCTTGCAAATACACATGCAACTGCGTTCTGACAAAACAGAGACCATCTTTTCAACAGACCTGAAAGAACTTATTCTCACCCATTGCCCTTCAACATGACCTACATTGGCCCTGTGGTCCATTCATATAAGGTCCCACAAAAATCAATCCTAGAGCAAACCCACACAGAAAATAGTCTTAGGCCCAATTTGGCATGATCAGTGGGTTTGTCAGTTCATTAATTCCATCTTTGGAAGAAAATCAGTTAGTGAAGTACCGTATTTTTTGCTTTATAAGACTCACTTTTTTCCTCCTAAAAAATATGGGGAAATGTGTGTACGTCTTATGGAGCAAATGCAGGCTGCACAGCTATCACAGAAGCCAAAACAGCAAGAGGGATTGCTGCTTTCACTGTGCAGCGATCCCTCTTGCTGTTCTGGCTTCTGAGATTCAGAATATTTTTTTTCTTGTTTTCCTCCTCCAAAAACTAGGTGCGTCTTGTGGTCTGGTGCATCTTATAGAGCGAAAAATACAGTAAATCTGTGTTTGCTGGAGCTAGGGGAGGTGAGAAGTGGAATTCTGGATAACACAAAGTCACAATATTGTGGTATTAACCACAAAAACAGGTGGTGAATATCAGGATCTACCCTTGCACAGTGAAACTTTTTTAAAAAAATGCTTAAGAATATAGGAACATTTCACTAGATTTGAAAATAGATTGAACCAAGAAAAAATATATTAGACTCTACAATGTTTGTACAGGAAGGCACTGTCTAATACAGATAGATGTTTGAAGTTTAATGCTGTGAAGGCCATGTTGAGGCCTATGATGTGGGCATGTCCAGCATTATAGTCTTTTTGGTCTAAAGCTGTTTTTGTATAACTGCTGTACTGGCAAAATGTTTGATATTTGCAGATGTTCATGTAATTTTAAACTATATTCCTATAGTGTGGAGATTAACAATGGGATATAAAAGTGGATGTTATGAGCCCTTATGGTTGCCAAGAGACTTACTTCAAGCGTGGAAGGATAAATATTTGAATATATTTTTAATGAATGCCAATTTCACGTGGATACCTATTTGGATAGCTGGAGAGCTTAAATCAACTTAGATGTTTAATTTCAGCTGAAAGTATTAATGGCTGTTGTGTTCCCAATGTGAGCTGGCAGTGTATATTATTGTTGTCTGTGTGTGTTCTCTCTTCTTTTAAAATCACGGAATCACAGAATTGTAGAATTGGAAGGGACAATGGGGATCATCTAGTCCAACCCCCTGTAATGCAGGAATCTTTTTGCCCAACATGAGACTCAAACCCACAACCCTTGGATTAAGAGTCTCATGCTCTACCAACTGAGCTATTCCAAGTGCCTGACTGAGCTTTCACCCCCTTCTTTGTTAATTTTGTCACTTAAAAAATAAATATTAAAAAAGGATTTACCCTTCTGCAAGGGAAATATTCTGGGGGTTCCCCCAAGCTTTTTGAAAATTAGAGTTTTCTACAGACACCTCTATATCCAGGCAACCAAGATGCATTATCATAGTATGAAGGTATATTCCAGCCAGGCAAAAGTTCTTGAGGAGGGCATGGAGAAGGGCTGGTGAGGGGTGTAGTCTGGGAAGGGGAGCCTGTGGAAGGGTCTCAAAGACCACAGAGACACGGAAGGACACATTTTGCCCCAAGGTCTGAGGCTTTATGATTGATAGCCAGCTTAGAAGCAGTTGCTTGCATTCCCAGCAGCCCCAGCCCCACCCCACATTAACAGACCTGGATTGCATAGCAACATAACCCCCTCATTACTTAGTTTTAAGTCTATTAATATAAAAACAAATAGCAGAAACACAAATATTAGATTCCCGACAACCTCTTATTTGTGAACTCTCTTCTGTTTATTCAGCATCTTTTTAGTCGTCTCCAAGTTTGGCAAAGAGAGCAGCACCCTCGTGTGGAAATTTGTAGCATGAACTTCCAACACATATTGCAGACATTGTCCGTGAATGGAGAATGGGTTGTTTCAGTTGCATCGCATCATATTGATTTGTTGCAATGTCATTTCTCAGATTGCTTGCCATATATGACTGAACTGCCAGACAGAAAATGGCTTCCTATAATATGGCAAGTTGAAGCTGCAGAGCACCATTCATCTGTTGTTGTTTTTTAAATGATATTTATTGAGAATTTTAAAGTTACAAAGAAAAAAGAAAGAAAAGACAAGAGAAGGAAAAAAAGAGCGAAAGAAGTAGATAAACATAACAATTAAACAATACAGTTCAATAACCAAAGTCAAAAAAATAACAAAACACACAATGCATCTAGATCAAAAAACAAAAAAACAAAAAACAAAAACAAAAATAAACAAAAAATTAAAAAAACAAGTCTAATATTCCCAAATCCTTAACTTTCATTAACTTATTTCAACGACCTCCTCGCACCTCCCTTTTTTGTATTCTAGTTGTTAATTATCTCAGCAAATCCTTTCCATCTTTCACAATATTCTGTCATTTAGATTACCTTAATCTATTTTAACCTTATCTTACCCTAGAAAACCTTAAAACTTAAACCTTAAATCTTATATATACCAAATTCTTTTAACCATAACATACTCTTACATAATTCTTTTTGACATTTCTACTAAGGCCCAATAATTTCATTCCAACATTTTTCTAATACTCATAATTTTACGATACTTTTCTAAATAAATTTTTAGACACTTCTGTCTTCACTGCCTCCTGCAGTTTGGTCAGACTGATGTTTGTAGCTTCAGACACTATCCAACCATCCATCGTCCTCTGTCTTCCTGGTCTCAGGCTTGTGTCCTCTCATCCATCCCAATCCATCAACCTGGTGCTCTAATGTCCGAGGCTCTTAAGTCTTTTCCATGTCCCTTCTGCAGGTCTTCTTCTTGTTTATGCCTGCCCTTTACTTTGTCTTTTGTTGATCTTTTTCTTATTTTCTTTCCTTGCTCATTGGGGGGTAGGTCTCGGGAGGACTCCAATCCAAAAGTCTCTCAAGAGTCTCCTCCATAGGGGTCTCCTAAAAACTATCAGCAGCCTCAACAAACTGCAGTTCTCAGGATTCTTCGTGGGAAGCCAGTGAGAGAGTGTGGCCAGATGAGGGCAGGGCTCAAGAAGAGCCCCAAGGAACTCAGGTTCTCCAGTCCTGCCACACTAACCTTCATATTTGATCTTTCCTTCCTGATTAAGAGCTCTGTGAACCCTTGACACTTTGCACGTTTAAATACAATGCATGTTAATACAAAAAGGGCGTAACCTTTTATCGATTTCTCCTCTGTCCCCTGGAGCCTATATAGCAATAGCAATCCATTACACAAATGTTGCCAGTCAAGCGACTATTCATTTAGCCATCAATTCAAAGCAAATCAAGTTAATAGGAATTTTGAGTAGGATTTGTAGACTACTTTTCACAACCGAGGGATGAAGGCAGATGTCAGTGAAACTTGCTCGCTTCAAGGCAGGGTGGCTTAAGTATGCCTTTGGTTCCCTCTGCTGGATATTGAAAATAGAGCATGACTATTCTAAGACATTATAGGGATAATTGGGGACTTGTGTTTTTAATGATATGCAAGCTAGGCCCATTCTGAAGTAAGAGAAGTACTCAGTGCTGGCATCAGATATCAGAAGACAAGCTATGTGTATTTATATATTGCCATAAATGTGGCTCACACACCAGTCTGCTTAACTTGTACCAGTTCATCCAGTAGGGTCAGGTATCCCATGTGGTTTGTCTCTGAGTAACTATGAAACTGCTGTCAGTGCTGCAGAGATAAATCCTACCATGGGAGGTGACTCAGATGAATGGCTTGTTGGATGGAGCAGTTGCCACAGAGGCCATTTTGAGTAACTCCTGCAGGGCAGCCATTTTGTTTGAAGTAGCTCACAGGGTCATTTTTCCAGAGCAGCTTGTTATCCTCTACGCTCGCATTAAATCATTCACCCTCTCCATTCCCATTGTTACTACTTCCAGAATACTCATGACTTATCTCTCCATTATGCCAAGGTGCAGAGACTAGCCACACTCATTTTGTAAGTAAACAAAAGTAACAAATTGCTCGTTAATTATTATTAACGACAAAGGTAAAATCAGGTAAAAGTTGGTCCACCCACTTCTGCCTCTGGCTCTGCCCACTGCTGGCATGTGGCCCTAGGTACGAAAGTTGCCCATGAGGGAATTCAGTCTTTGGTTGAAAAAGGTCCCCCATCCACATAAATTCAGCCTGGGGTTAAATGAAAGGTCAAGGATTTGTAAGACGGCGTGTGTGAGGTGTGGCTGTATATAGAAAGCTTTGACTTGTACTACACAAAGGTAAATACTATACTTAAATTGATGGCTATTTCTTTAAGACTTAGGGTGTATGCAACACTTTTTCTGTCCTGCTGCAGTTCATCTTCCATCAAAAACAATGTTATCCATCTCATTGTCTGCTGTGGCAAAATTACACAACGGACTTAATTAATTACAGAAATTGCATAGCTTACAAAAATAATTACAGAAAAATGTGACCACATTTTTTCAATACAAAGGAAACTCAATGTAAATTTGGGGTGGGGGAAGACAGAATGTGATCAGTCATGTATCATTTGCAGGCTGAAAGCAACAACAGCATCAAATATGAATCATATTACTTGCCTTGATTTCTGTTCTGGACATGGACAAATAAGTGAACACCTGCAATTTCTGCTCTTATTTATGCAAGAATTCTCCAACATCCCTATTCTATATTATAGCCTTACATCTGCTTTATTAAATGTAACTGTCATGGCTTCCTCCGAAGAATATTGGGAGTGGAAATGCAATGAGGGTGGTAATACTTTGAGATCCCTCACAGAATTATAATTCCCAGAGATCCCTGAGGGGAGAGAAAGTCTATTAAGCCAATTTTAGTCAGTGAGGTAAGATAAACCTTCAGAGTTTGGATTGTGGGAGGATTGTTTTCTACATTCTTGAGTGCAAGATAAAGATATTTCTTTGTACTCACATATTCACTTACCTTACACTTACAAACTCATTCCTGAATTCAGTTGCTCTGAACACTGTAGCTAATACCCGCATTTTTTAAAGACATGCATTCTGCCCATGATCATTAAAGCCAGCTACTAAATGGTGTCATACTGTATTAGCCCAAGTGATACATACAGGCAACCAGAATCTGCTGGATGTTTAAACTTTTCTTTTTAGTAAAAAAAAGAAAATTCTGCATGTCCCGCTGGGACTATGCAACACTATCTAAGAGACCAGGCAGAACATCTGCACACTGATCCCCACTTTCAAAGATAACCGTGCCCCTTGCTAAGCAGCCACCAGGCATCTCTGAAAAGTTACAAATTGACAACATTCAGAGGAATATTCTTCATTCCTAAGCATATCACTTACGCCCCCTGGCACAAAGCGCATCCTGTCTTATTAACGTCTTTGACATTTTCTAGTGAAGAAGCCTAGGTGAAAAACAGAATGGTGAGTGGGGGGAAGGGAGGCAATCGGTTTCCGTTAGATTACAGGAAGAATAGAGCTACAGAGATTCATTGTAGTCCCAGCAACCATAGTGTCCTTATTTATTTAAAATTTTTGTCACCAACTCCTTCATTGCCAAAGCAAGCCTGGAGCGGGTTTCATTAATATCAAGCACACAGCACATAAACAAAAGAGGCGCGGAATATACACAGGTAACAAAATAAACAATGATGAACCATTAGTCCTCACCTAAAAGCCTGGGCAAATAAGCAGATCTTCAGCTGATGCTGAAAACTGGCAGGAATCAGTGCCAGCAATATCTGAGAAGGAAGGGGATGCCATGAATGAGGTGCCACTACTGAGAAGTCCCCCTCTAACGTGTGGGGAATTAGACTCTAGTTCCCATTTGCAGAGTATGTGGAAGACAGCCCTGGGTTGTTTGACCCTTTAGTTCTCTTTCCTATAATAACTACACAAAACACGCTGTTATAAGGAACATGTAACTTGTAGCTAGTTTACTTGCAGTTGAAGATTAAATATATATACCATGCAGGTGGATGTTTCTTTTAGTTGCTAAAACATCTTACATACACTAAACTGTTGCAGACTAACAAACATTTACAGACTGGCTGACATTCTTGACTCTGAGGCAGACAGCAGCACAACACAACATACCTGCTGCTCTGTTAAGACTCCCCAGATTGTTAATAACTGAACCAAATGACAACAACTGCCTCATGCACATGGCATCATTAACACTTTACATATGCATAAACCTTAACACTTTACATATGCATTTTGGATGCTAACATTCCACATAATGTTGCCTCATTCTGGCTTTCAGTTAATTGTAGTACAGTTAAGAGAGGCTGCCCCGTAGATGATGACTCGACTAGGAGCTGAATACAGGCAGTGAGATGGCATCTGCCAGTACACTCAAGGGCAGCAGGCTAGTTTAGGAGGTATATGTCAAACCTGTGGCACACATAGCTCCCTTTTTAACAGAGGGGACTGGCTAGGAAACCCACAAAGAACAGCTAGGACAGGAGGTGCCACAGCTTCCCCCCAACCCCACAAAAATGTGTCTGCCGCCTCAGGCAGTTGCCTCACTTTGCCTAACAGTAAGGTTGGCCCTGCACAAGAGATCTATAAGATCCAAGCCAATGCGTCCAACAATATGTCAAACATTTTAATACAATATCACCTATCCTTCCATCTTCAAAGCTACTCTCCATGGTGCTTGTCATGGTACCATCTTCTGAACCATGACAGGGCCTTTTTGGTAGTAGCACCAAGATTAAAGAAGCCTGGCTGGCACCCTCTCTAGCAGTGAAGATATTGCACTTTCACCAAGGTGCTTTAACCATTCTCTTGTGGTTTGTGATGTTGCTGCTCCTGTTTCTTTTAGGTCCCTGTTTTACTAACTGCCTTTTATTGCTGTGATTTTATTGTGTGCTGTTTTTAATTTCTTGTAAGCAGATTTGGGGACCTTGTTGTTGAAAGGTGGGGTAGAACATTTAATAATAAATAATACATTTTCTCAGATATCTTTTCTTTCCCCTGCCCCCTCGAAAAAGTAGGAAAGGGAAATCATAGTCTGTCTTCATAAACAACTGACAATATCATTCATTACAAAAATTACATGTATTCATGGCCTGTACTGAGGACCTAAAATGACTGGACGTTTTATTTGTGTGCCCAACTTTATCTATTCCAGAGACAGAGACATCCTATCTTTAGGAAGGGAGAATTGGCTCAACAGTTTTGGGGTCTCACTAAGGAGCAGTAAATTGCCAATTATTGTATTTTTGGTTCTTACATTTTTACCGCCTTGGGGAGGGAGGCACAATTTAACTTTTCTGCCTCAGGCTTGCTCAGAGGACAAGGTGCATTCCTAATGCCCAGCTTGCTGCAGTACATTTTCCCCGTCTTAGAGCCGTAAATTATTCCAGAAACCAATGGTCATCCAATGAATCTGAATAGTGGGGAACTCAGGACAGACAGAAGGGAATACTTATTTGGAAGGCACCAACTTAAATGATAAAATCCGCTACCACAAAAGGAAGTGATGACCACCAATTTGGGTGGCTTTAAAAGGAGATTAGACAAATTCATGGAGTATAGGGCCATCAATGGCTACCAGTCTTGATGGCTATGGCTACCTCCAAGTTCAAAGGCAGCATGCTTCAGACGACCAGTGACTGGGGAACAGCAGGCAGAGAGGACAGTCGCACCTCCTTTTCTGCTCCCAGGCTGTCCATAGGCATCTGATTGGCTGCTGTGGAAAGCAGAATCGTGGACTAAACAGGCTTTGTTCTGATCCATCAGAGCTCTTCTTATGTTCTGGAGTCTTTTGTTGCATACGCTGCATTTCTCAAATCATTCTGAGCTTTCCTCACAGCCCATCTTCAAATATCTTAAGGGCTGTCACATGGAAGATGGCGCAAGCTTTTTTTCTCATGCTCTGGAGGTCAGGACTCGAACCAATGGCTTGAAGCTACAAGAACGAAGAATTTTCTGGCCATAAGAGCTGTTCAACAGTGGAATGGACTCCTTTGGAATGTGGTAGACTCTCCTTCCTTGAAGGTTTTTAAGCAGAGGCTGGATGGCTATCTGTCATGGATGCTTCAGCTAAGATTCCTGCATTGTCAGGGATTGAACTAGAAGACCCTCAGGGTCCTTTCCAACTCTACAATTCTATGATTCTATTATTCTCCCTAGGCTTGTATTTCCAAAACCAGTTTCCCACACTCTGGAGGACTCCCCAACTCCCACAATGTCCTCCTCTCAGCCACCATAGGTTTAGAATGTATCTTGTAACTGCAACAGTACTGAAGTCACCGAGGCTACCCTAACAGTCCCTAACAGGGTACTCTGAAGTTTTCCCCAATTCCAATCGGATTCCTCTTTCACTGAGTGTGATAGCGCTTTTTAAAGCCCCATGCTAGCTAGTCTCTCTCTCTCTCTCTCTCTCTCTGAATACCTCAGAGGAGCTACTTTGCTTAGAGGACCTGATCTTTTGCACTCCTCTCCCACTGAGTCTTGCTCAATTCTGTGGAGGCTCACCAATCCATTACAAGCTGCTGCTAACACATCTCTCTCCTTGTGTACACATTGCAGCCAGAATTGTATAATTAGATATTCAAGGGCAAATGCTAACAGCCATTCTCTATGCTGGCAATTGTGAAAGAATAGAAAATATATTTTCATCCTGTAGTTCACGGCCACATTGTGCATACTATAGTTAAGCTAGCAGGACACCCTACTAAGAGCTAGTACTTAACAACATATTAAAAGAGAGCAAGAGATTGCCATTGGAATAAGTGGAGATAGGCTGAATGTTGTTCTCGACCTTCCCTCTTTGTTTCCCTTCACAGGTTGCCACATGGACATTTCTAAACAGGAATCAAAAACAAAGGCAAGGACATTTTTGCAAAAGAGCTGGACTACAGCAATAGGTGAGCAATGGATTGCAAAGGCATTTTCAGAAGTCTCAGAAATATGAACTTGGACAACTTGATATTAACCTTGGACCAACAGAGATGTCCTCAGTTCAGAAGCAGAAGAGCAACAGAAATTGCCAGACTTCCAGAGATCAAAGCTATTGACATCCTTGGTATAACCGGTAGCGATGTTGAATCTATAAAAAAAGCTGTGGAAATATGGATTTATTGCCAGGATACCTCATTCTGAATGGCACGCCATATGTAGAAAAAAATGGCAGTATCCACGCATGAGAGAGAGAGAGAGATCAGCAGGTTTAGAGGAACACCAAAGTTTGCAAAAAGAAAAAAAGCTTTCGCTTTAACCTATGAGAATTAAGCATACACAGTGAGCATAGAGTTCTGACTTTCTGTTGCAGGGGTCAAAACATGGTTGTATGTGGAATGGCATATACGGACACAAGCCCTGGCTGAAACCCTGAACAGGAACACTCCATGCAGCAACATTTTGTTGCAGGTTCCATTTATCAGCACAAGTTCCATCACAGGTAAGTAGTTAACCTAAAAATACATCTCTGCAGGCACCTACAATGCTACTGGCTTTAGGCACCTGATCTGCTGAATATTCAGAATATCATTTAAAATTCCAAGTCAGAAAACTTTTGAGGGAAATGGCTTCCAGAGGAATAGCCACATCAAGCCTCCTGCAGCAAAAAAAAGAGAGAGTCTGGTGGCACCTTAAAGACCAACAGATTTATTATGGCATGAAGTTTTGTGGACCATAGCCCACTTCATCAGATGCAGAAGACTTTAGCAAACAATTGTCTTTGCTATAGTCATTATAACTATCCTACTCACTATGCTGTTCTAGCCATGTAACAAGTGGAAAGGGACTCTCGGCAGTGGAAGGCACAAAAGTTTATAGAACAATGAGACTGATATCCCACATTTTCCCATGGTATGTTGGGTGGATTTGGAGTCCAGCCAACAAAGGTTATGGGCCCAGCACACTTCCACTGTCCAGCTCTGCTAATTACTTACTGTATGTAAGTAAACATGGTGGCACTATCATTGAGATCCTCTTTCTGTAGCTTGATAAGTTAAGGGCACAAATGTAATGAAAGAGAGGGGGAGTCTTGCTGCAGGGGGAATAGTAGATAGTGAGAAGAGAGAAACTCTGTTTCCTCCTTTAAAGAAACTGGAGGTGCTTGTGCAACCTTTCATTGTTGTTTACTTTTACAGTGGTACCTTGTTTCTCAAATGCCTTGGTACTCAAACAACTTGGAACCCAAACACTGCAAACCTGGAAGTAAGTGTTCCGGTTTGCGAAACTTTTTCAGAAGCCAAACATGCTCCGTTTCGAGTGTTACGCTTTCGATTTGAGTGCCACACTTCCGTTTTGAGTATTACACCAAGGTATGTCAGTTTTTGCTATTTATTTTGCATTTCTGCTTTTGCAGCTCTTTTTTGTTGTTTTTGTGACTGTGTGGAACCCAGTTCAGCTACTGATTGCTTGCTTGTGTGACTGTCGTTATTGTTTATTGCTTTCGTTTTATGGATCAATGGTCTTGTTAGATAGTCAAATTCATATTAAATTGCTGTTTTAGGGGTTGTTTTTAAAAGTCTGGAACAAATTAATCCATTTAGCATTACTTTCTTTTTTTTCTTTTTTTAATGATATTTATTAAAATTTCAAAGAATACAAGAATTACACAAAAACAAAAAATAAAAATACAAGAAAGTACAAAATACAGAAAAAAGAATAAAAAAACCCTTATTAACCCACTGCATTTAGCATTACTTTCTATGGGAAAGCACGCTTTGTTTTTGGAATGGACTTCCAGAATGAATTAAGTTTGAGAACCAAGGTACCACTGTACTTTTCAAAAAGCCACATGACCACACCCGCTCTCTTTTTTTAAAAAAAAAGTCATAATTGTTTAAATGAAAACAATTCAAAATTGCTGTAGGTATTACAGGGGGAGGTGAGTATGCAGCTTCCCACTGGCACCACCCAACAGACACCAGCAGTGCTGGTTTCTCTCTTGGGGGGCTTCTCCAGTGTATTGGTCAAAGTTACTATGAAACCTGTCAAGCTGTTTTGACCAGAGGTGGGCCACACACACAAATGTGCATCAGTAGCAACTCATCGACAAAACTGTCTCCAAGCCTCTGCAAAGCTTGAGTCGGCACACTCAAGGCCACGTTGCTCCAGCCCAGCGCATTTCAGCACTGGAAAAGATCCCAAGTTTGAAAGCCAATATAAACAATCATTTAGACAAAGTAGAGGGAGCAAATACAAATGCCCAGATTTTCTGCCAGGCTCAAAGAGCTCCCTGCTTGCCCAGTGGATTAAGGATGATGGAGGAAAGGAATTAATTCCTTTAGTGTAATTAACAACTGGGCCAGTTCTGGAGGATCTTGGGCTGGTAATGAACCATGGCACCACTTTAATTTCTTCCTTGCCCCACCGTCTTGTTATTAAAACCAAGAATAGGTTCCATCAAATATCCCTTAAAGGGAAAAAGGGAAAGAGAGAGGGGAATGGAGCCGGATTTGTCTCAATGGAACATGATAAATTAGACTTTGCAGGATAAAGGGAGAAGGGGCGAAGGGGAGGGCACGGACTGTGAATTTCTATATACATGCTATGTAGAGTGTGTGGTATATATACCTACATATATTCTCTTTTGGAATGACCTCCTTATGCCCCATCCATCAGCCTGGGGTTGGTTTATTCTAACTAGCAGATTCTTTTCTTCTGTCTAACAGGCCCATCAGACACAATCTGCATGCCAATTACTGGAACAGACCCCCTGATACTGAAAAATGGAAATTAGCTGTCAAGGCAAGGCATCAGCTGAGCAGCTCCGATTGCTTGCTCTCTGTCTGTGGCTCATATCCATATCCACTCTGTTCTGTCTGCTGCTCCAACAAGGGAGCCCCCACTGGAAAAAGTAATCTAAAAAAAAAATTTTTTTTCTAAAACACCTACCACACTTTATTGTTATTCGTATTAGTTGCCAACATTGGGGCACAATGTGAAATTCACCAGAGGGCAAGAGCCGTTTGGAGGGGAGAGAAAGGAACTCTGATAATTGCATTTTGGTGCTAGGCAGATCAAGCAATCCAATAAAAGGACACTCAAAGGAAATGCTAATGTAGGACAAGTGGAACAGGCAAGCAAAATGGCTTCCGCGCACTCAAATCTTACTCAGCTTCCCCCTTTACATAGTCATGCCTGACCCAGCTGTCCTGGCATAAGTGATGGGCAATGCTCTGTATGCGTACATGCGGATACATGGAGCCTCAGTTGTCACAGCAGCAGTGCTAAAATGAGGTCTCATGAGTAGGGGTCATCATGACTTATGTGTATTCGCCCTTATCACAGGATGTTCTGATTTTGATATTACACTTTTCAGATCTTTAAAAGCAACCTGCTTGTCCATCGTCTAGTTCTGAATCGACAATGGCCTGGAGTGTTGTTGGTGTTGTAATTATTGAAAGTTGCTATATTGTACAGTGGTACCTCGGGTGGGACGCGGGTGGCGCTGTGGGTAAAACCTCAGCGCCTAGGACTTGCCGATCGCATGATCGGTGGTTCGAATCCCCGCAGTGGGGTGCGCTCCCGTCGTTCGGTCCCAGCGCCTGCCAACCTAGCAGTTCAAAAGCACCCCCGGATGCAAGTAGATAAATAGGGACCGCTTACCAGCGGGAAGGTAAACGGCGTTCCGTGTGCTGCGCTGGCTCGCCAGATGCAGCTTGTCACGCTGGCCACGTGACCCGGAAGTGTCTGCGGACAGCGCTGGCTCCCGGCCTATAGAGTGAGATGAGCGCACAACCCTAGAGTCTGGCAAGACTGGCCCGTACGGGCAGGGGTACCTTTACCTTTTTACCTCAGGTTAAGTACTTAATTTGTTCCGAAGGTCCGTTCTTAACCTGAAACTGTTCTTAACCTGAAGCACCACTTTAGTTAATGGGGCCTCCCGCTGCCGCCGCACCGCCGGAGCACAATTTCTGTTCTTATCCTGAAGCAAAGTTCTTAACCTGAAGCACTATTTCTGGGTTAGCGGAGTCTGTAACCTGAAGCGTATATAACCTGAAGCGTATGTAACCCGAGGTACCACTGTACTAGCTAAGAGTGGGAGCTGGGATTCTCATTTCAGCTAGGAACTTGCCAGGTGGACTTAGCTTTGGCCTACATACACACATACACAAACACAATCCCCTGAGGCACAGACATGATCAGTGCTTTTTTTCTGGGGGAACACAGGGGTATCCATATGCCTAAACATTTTGTGAATCTAAGTTTGGCCTCATTGAGGGGCAGTATTTCAATATGAGTAGGAAAATGAGAGTACCCCTAAACATTTTTTAAGAAAAAAAAGCATTGGACATAATAATACTAACAATTATACGTCAGAGCATAAATGGAGAACCTGTGGTTCCATCTATTGCTGGACTACCAACTCCCTCCACCCCTGGCCACTGAGCATGGTGACTAGAGCTCTTGGTGCTTCAAGTCCATCCTCATCTAGAGGGCCACAGCTTCCTCATCAGAACTGTTCCAAAAAATATACATGAGAAAATTTGTGTGAAGTGCTTTGAATGCACAAAAGTGCTATGCAAATACTATTATTCATTATGTAAATATTATTATAATGCCCTCCATGACTTTGCTGCTACCCCACTCTATCTCTCTGCTTTCCTATCTCTATCTATTCCTGACTGCAACCTTCTCTTCTCCAGCCCCGCCCCACCGTCAGCTATCTGAAGGTCTCCTGTGTCCTTAAACTATCATAGAGATCACTGATTGGAGGAAGTGCTTGGGTCCTGAGCCATTTAGGGCTTTGTACACTAGTACTAACCCCTTGAATTGGATCCAGTAGCTCACATACAACCAGTGCATTGCTTTCAGGACTGGCGACACATGGTCCCATCAGGCTGCCCCACTCACCAACCTGTCCGCCACACGAGCAGCAGCTTCCGGTCCCCCTTCAAGGACAGCCTGGAAGGTGTAACAGCCCCACCTAGAGTGCAGTAATCCAGGCTGGATGTCACCAGGGCATAGAAAACTGAGGATAGTCCAGTCTAAGTTGGGCATAAGCACTCTTTGCCACAGAAGTCACCTGAGACTCAAATGGCAGGTTGACAGACTGGTTCAGTGTCTCTGTAACACTGACAGTAAAAAGAGAAGAATCCCAAGAATCAACTATAAAACTACAGGAGCCCCCTAAAGGCCAGAAGTTTGTAACTGTAGCTCACTTACGGGCATCTTCACTCCACCTGTGGTTGACATCTAATTTTAATTTTAATTCAGGCCTGTTGAATTGTAGTTCTAGAAAGTATCTATTGAAGGATTTATCATTTGTCTCCTAAAACTGCTGTCCCAAAGATCCTTCAGGGAAACTGTGGTCTAAGACAGATGTAACACTGACTGTAATGGGCTCACATTCAGGGCCCACAATCAGTAGACCATTGACTTGGCCCCACACAAAGTGAGACCAGTTCTGCCCCAATCTCCCTTTTTCAACATACACAAACCAGGCTTTGACCTTGACCTATCCTCACTACTGGAAATGACTTGCATGCTGCTTATTTGCTGCTTCCTACTGTTTCCCACTAAAACCACTTCTCCATGCATTTGAATCCCCTGTGGGGAATGATACAGCGTCTGTAGATTGATTTGGAATCAAACATTCCCTAATAAGAAGCGAGCTCACAGTGTGCCCCTCAGTCATAAGGGGAGCCAAGTACACCTGTCTCCCATCTTCACAACTGAAATGACAAGACTTGGTGTTACACCCCAATTTGGGGTTATTTTAAGAGTGAAAAGCAGTTAACAAATCTTATAATAAATACCACATGCATATGAGCCAACTGAACGCTGGATCAGCTGCTAGTCTGACACCCTTTGCCATGTTTCAGGTTGCTTGTTTGCCTGATCTTTTGTTTGCATGTTTCTGAGCATGGCCTGCACTTATTGCTTTATTTATTATATTAATATTTATTGTTATATAGAACATTTTTAAGTGCTGAGCTCCTCTGGAGAGGCCGGGGGGGGTGGAATGTGTCTTGGTACCAACATCGTAGGTCCCAACCTGTCAAGGCTGTGCACAGACAGCTTTTGCGAACTTGTAGAACCGGTTTCTTCATAGTTTGATCCTGGAGAGGAAGAGGCATGTTTAAACTAGAGCTGAGTCCAAGTTTCCCAGAAGAAATTTTCCAGAAGTTTTTCTTTTCTACCCACTTCTCCCACAAAAGGGGACATTTTTCAGGATAGTCTTCAAATATTCTTTGCCTTTGAAGCAGGGAATGATGCTAGGTCTGGGCCATTTCAGTGGTTGCAAAATGGTGGCTGGTCTTTGGGCTTCGTGGATGTCCCATTACCCCTCCTGAGAAAATGTTTGAGAAGTTATCGTCTCCATGGAGTATATGCTGCAGAATGGTTGCCTTTCTCCTCCTAGAGCGCAGAGTTTGTGGTGCCATTTTAGCTCTAGCTTAAACTGAACTTGACACTTCCTGCCCAGTGCCACTTTATACATGCCCCTAGTGCAGCTGAGCCAATTTCATATCATCTGTGTGTCAAGATCCAAACATGTTGCCCATCACCTATCAGATCAGTTGTTCTCTTCCCGATGTCAGTGGCCTACAGCCCCCTTCACTCCATTCATTCAAATCACTATGTTGCCACTTGAAACCATCATTGGGCTCACACAGCTACAATTCCCGGTATTACCTGGGGAAAGGGATTGACTGCTAAACCCATCTGGAAATTGTAGCTCTGTGGTACACCTTGATCATCACACAACATCCTAGAGCATGAGACTATTAATCTCAGGGCTGTGGGTTTGAGCTCCATGTTGGGCAAAACTAGATGACCCTTGTAGTCCCTTCCAGCTCTACAATTCTATTACAGTGGTACCTCGGGTTACATACGCTTCAGGTTACAGACTCCGCTAACCCAGAAATAGTACCTCGGGTTAAGAACATTGCTTCAGGGTGAGAACAGAAATCGTGCTCCGGCAGCGCGGCAGCAGCAGGAGGCCCCGTTAGCTAAAGGTTAAGAACAGCTTCAGGTTAAGAACGGACCTCCAGAACAAATTAAGTACCTGAAGTACCACTGTATTCTGTGACCACCTGCTTTCCACAACCAGACTGAAGCAGAGTTCCTCGCTCTTGGCCCTATTAGAGTGTGCATCCTACTTGGCCAATCCCTAATTAATACAGTATTCACAAGGGTTGTATTATTGTAGCTGCTGACAAGCATCACATACCCCTGCCTCATTGCTACATAATAACCTCATATATCAAACTGGAAGAGACTGCAGGGCCCTTGCTATAGAAGTGCGCACTTTATACACTGAATATCATTATCCAAAGTCCCCCGTTCCCTTGCTTGATATGCAAAAATTCTTAGGTTCCCCAGAGTACCCGGCAAAGAAAATGCCCACCCAAAATGAACATTTGTTATTTTCTAAGACTTGAGGCATAACATAACCGGGGAAGGGGTGGAAGGGGGGCATTGAAGTCAGCTTATCCAAAGATTTCATCAAACTGTCTCTGTGGGTGAGGAAAGAAGAGAAAGAGTGGCACCTGGTGGCAAAGAGGTGAAGCACATCTATTCAAATTAGAAAAGAATTGGGAATTCTGCATTGAGAGTGCAGGAAAGAACTTGGGGCGTAACCTGGGGTGCTTGGTAAGGAACCAAACGTCTAATTGCTGCTTATCTCACTGGACTGTAAGCCTGGCTAACTTTCTCTAGACTGCAGTTCTTAACTGCAGGCAAAGGAAATAAAGCCAGTTTAGAATATGTTCTTTAAAGCAGAGGTGGGAAAACTTTTTCATCCTAAGGGCAGCATTCCTTTATTGGCAATGTTCTGGGATCCACATCCCAGCAGTGGATGTGGCCAGAATATAGATTTTAACCTCTGTCCAATAGGCTATTTTCTATACACACTCACATACACAGATTTTCACTTTGTTGAAATATGGCAACCCTAAAGGTAAAGGTAAAGGGACCCCTGACCATTAGGTCCAGTCGTGGCCAACTCTGGGGTTGCGGCGCTCATCTCACTTTATTGGCCGAGGGAGCCGGCGTACAGCTTCCAGGTCATGTGGCCAGCATGACTAAGCCACTTCTGGTGAACCAGAGCAGTGCACGGAAACACCGTTTACCTTCCCGCCGGAGCGGTGCCTATTTATCTACTTGCACTTTGACGTGCTTTCGAACTGCTAGGCTGGCAAGAGCTGGGACTGAGCAACGGGAGCTCACCCCGTTGCAGGGATTCGAACCGCCGACCTTCCGATCGGCAAGCCCTAGGCTCAGTGGTTTAACCCACAGCGCCACCCGCATCCCTACATGGCAACCCTAATTAAGTGTAATTGGGGAATTTTATGCAGAGCACCTGCACAGTACACTAACCAGCTGATTAGAAGAGGAAGCCACTTTGGCAGATGAACAGGTAGGGTTTGAGCAGGATAGAACCACTGTAGATTATTGTTTGGTTCTAAACCATTTGGTTGATAAATATGGGGGGGAAATGTCCAGGGGTGGTTTGTAAGCAGTATCCATTGACTTAAGGGCAGCATTTGATTCAATTTCGCACATGAGGTTCAGGGGGGCGGGACTAACTGCATCAACTGTAAAAAGACTCCTTTTTCTAATTAAAAAATTACACCAAAACCAAGGCTTGTAAGAGTTTTAATGTATTGGGGCTTGGCCTCTGGAATGTGGTCAGCTCAACAAAAATATGTGGTCGAAAAAGCTATGAGTAGTATTAACATTTTAATGCATTTCTTCCAAATGAGGTCATGATTTTATACCTGCTCTGCTTGAAGTTCTTAAGGCCAAACCTTTACCTCAACTGTTTCATTAGATTCAAATTTGGGTGAGCCTTATAAAACCCACAAGAACTTCTGTGGTCTTAATACCAGTGCTTTTTTTCTGAGGCGCAGAATGCATAGCCCTAAACATTTTGTGAATCTAAGTTTGGCCTCATTGAGGGGCAGTATTTCAATATGAGTAGGAAAATGAGAGTACCCCTAAACCATAACTGTCAACTTTTCCCTTTTCTTGCGAGGAATCCTATTCGGAATAAGGGAATTTCCCTTAAAAAAAAAGGGAAACGTTGACAGCTATGCCATAAACATTTTTTAGGGGGGAAAGCACTGCTTAATACCTTAAGATAAATGTCCCCTGTACCAGGATGTGTTTTGAATGCTGCTCTGTGATTCAAAGCTGGTTTTCCCTCCATTTCCACACAGGTTTGGATGAGGGCATTTAACTTTTGACTCGAGTTGAATTTAGCCACTACTGCCTTGCTTCCTTTAGTTCTGCCTGATTCCCACAAAAGCAGCTGGATGAAAGCCGTCAATTTAAGGTTATGCCTTCTTGGCTTTTCGCCACAATAGTTACTAAGTTTTACGTCTCGGTAAAGCAAAACACATATTGAAGCAATGCCTGTTTGACACTGAACAACAGAGCAATCTCTCTGCAGTGAGAAAACTTCATCCCTGCTATGACTATTTTCTAACTAGTCCCCTTGATACAATGGCACCTTATCTATGGAATCTAACAAATCTAAAATATAGAAGAGCTTTCTCAAGTGCACGACTGAATGTGCTTCCTTCAGCAATACTTGAGAGTGCTTTTATGAGAAGCCCACTCTATAATTGTACACGTCCATGTTGAGATGGAAATTCTGAACGCATGGGTCCATATATTGTTATTTCATTTATTTATTTATTTATTTTGCTTTTTGTACAGAGACTCCAGTAAAGAGTTAATCACCCCACTATTATTATCTAAACTGGGGTGTTCATCTGATCATTGCATGAAGCTTTAAAGGTACTCCTGGACTTCTTTGTCTGCTTACAGTAGACTAAGTTAGCTGGAAAGACTACAAACTTAAATCAGTTTTATTTCAATTTAACAGACGTGCTGGCCAGGGCTAATGGGAGCTGCAGTCCTCTTTACCCTGACTTCAGACACCTGCAGTATAGCTTTTTTAAAAACTCACCTTCTTTCTGTGACTCTCAATTGTTTTTAACTGTTTTTAACCTTGAGTTTTAATTGTTGTAAGCTGCCCTGCGGCTTTGGGGATGAAGGGCAGGGAGTGCATTTCAAATCATAATAATCCAGAAATCTGGAGAGCGAAGGCTGGAGAAGGTTGAACCAATTGTTGGATTATCATGATGGAAATTACAGCAATTCTCAGAGTTGTTAGGAGACCTCTATTTCCCTGACAGAGCTACGGTTCCTAGAGTGGTTTAATAGTCAATCCCTGTTCTCTTAACAGACTAAAATTCCCAGGATTCTTTGGGGGAAAACCATGACTGTTTAAAGTGGTGTGATACTGCTTTAAATGTATAGTGCAGGTGGGGTCAAAAAGGGAAATGGGAGGGAATCCTGAAACCTTTGCCCTCTGACTCCCCTCAGTTTTAGCCAAACCATTAGGAATATCCCTTTTAAAACAAACAAACAAAAACAGTATTCTATGGGCTGTCATAGAAAGTAAAGGGACAAACTTCATTTCTTCTCCACCCCCAATAATTTGAGCAAAACTCAAGTTTCCTTGTGAATGGATGTTGCAGACATTAGTCATCTTCCTTAAAGAAAACACACAGACACACATTTTTACTATGAATGATGACAAGCGGAACTGAACTTACAAGTGCTTTATTTATGGCATCAAGTCAGCTTTCATGTTGGCTTTAGACTTAATGCTGCCCATTACTCTGCAATACGGCGGAAGGACTGGACCACTGGGGATGCAGACCCCCACTCGACAGGTTTACTATACTCTCCTCTCTCCAGAAGATACTGCCTGCCACGGAAATTGGGGTGTTCGTAGAAAACCCAGGCCCCATCCAGGACTTTGCAGGAGTGGATTTCGCGCAGGTGAAACTGATCCATGACAGAAGGGCAGTCTTCTGTGGATTCATGCATCTGGCCACTAAAGTCACCCTTCTCAAAGAGCTGAATTTGGTATTTGCCTCCACCGGGCTAGAAGGAGGAGGATGGAGAACACAACATGTTATTGAGGAGCTGAGCAGAGGCTGTGTACAGTTCAGACTGCAATATTGAATGGAAAATAGACATTACCCAATGAAGCAAAGAATGTATTGTGGCTGCAGAACCAACCACCACTTTATGTGTATTTAGTTATCTTTATTATACTTTTTATACTTTCTGTGAGACCCCTGTCAGCCAGTGCCCCCTAGCAAGAAGCAGGAAGGATCTAATTCATTACCAATTGTGAGTATAGAACAGGGATTGAGAACTTGTGCCCCCCCCCAGTTGTTGCAGGACTCCAACTCCCATCATCCCTGACCAATGGTCATCCTGGCTTAGCCTGATGGGAGTTGGAGTTCAACTTCTGGGAGACCACAGGTTCCCCGTCCCTGTTGTAAAACCAAATGGTGGGAATTGCACACGGCACAGGAGCGGCTTGCAGTGGAGATGCAGCAATAACCTCCCAGAAGCAATGTTGTTGCTGCTGCTTACCAGAGGAATGAGGCAATGGTAAAGTTGGGGCTGCACAGGTGCACCGGCAAAGCCAATCCAGCACTCCTGCCAGTGCACTGACAGAGTTCTTACCTCATCATCGTTCTGCCTCCTTCCTTCCAGTAACAGTAGTTTTGCTGCCAGGAGGCTGTTGCTGTAGCTTCAGCCCTCTGGGCAAGCTGTTCCCAATATGGCATATATCATCTTTAATATCCTATGGCATATCAGACTCCAAGGTCCCATGCAACATGCATTCTGTTAACCATGCTTTATAGCCTACCAGAACTTTTGCAGACCCAGGCAAAAGGCTCTATCAAAAGAGGTGAGTCCTCCAGCACCATCCCAGCCTCAAAAGCATGAGGTCAGGGATGATGGGAGCTGCAGTTCAACAATATCTGGAGGGCACCACCCTGACCACTCTTGCTTTAGGTGGATGAAGTCATAGACATCTGGTTGGCCGCTATGAGAACAGTTGCTGGATTAGATGATGGGTCTTTGCTTTGATTCAGCAGGGCTCTTGGAAGCAAGAAAGCTTTCACATTCTTCAATGCAGGCATAGAGAACCCATGGCTTTCCTTTTGTTGTTGAACTACAACTCCCATCAATACTTACCATGGGCCATGCTGCTTGGGGCTGATGGGAATTGGAGTCCAACAACATCAGGAGGGCCACAGTTTCCTCACCCCTGTTTTAGTGTTTATCCACGTTAATAACATTAGATACAGATACAGTGTGAGGATCTGTGTGTACTTAAAAAAAGGGGAGACTTATAAATGAACCTGTCTCAAGTGTCAATATCCCATTTGCCCAGATTTCAGAGTTAAACAGAGAGGAAGGAAATGTCCGACTTACTAGCTGAATAGATTTGCATGAGCTGACGCGGTCATTTAGGCCCATCCACCGTTGATATTCAGGATATTCCCCATGAGTCAGCACGTACATGTTCCCTGCAAAGTTTGGCCGCTCATAAACAACCCAGGCACCCCCCTCCACACGGATAGAATTGCAGCGGCTCAAGTCAGTGTGGAAATCCAAACAGTCCCTGTCAGACTCATAGCGGCGCCCCTGGAAATTCTTGCCTTCGTAGAAGGTGATCTGAAACACAAGCAAAGTACAAAAGGAATCATGCTTCCACTGGACATGGTGCAGCTTGGCTAAAATTACACAGACACGAGGGATGGGAGTGTATAACAATTTCAGTTTCTCTCCATTTCCTATTTTTTTTCCAAGCTTAACTCCAATTTGGCCCATATCTGCATCAGTTTCCACTTTCTTTCACATCTGCATGAAAATTTGTGAAAAATGCATCCTCTACGATGCGCATTTTACATGCAATTTTACCTCATTTTTTGCAATTTTCCTGACAACTATTTTGAAACTATTTCTGTGCACTGTTTTGCTTGGAGAACTGCATCACAAAATTTGGAGAAGTGTAAATTTCAGTTCACATATTGATATGTGTTTAGGTCAGTTTGCATTAAATTTATTTCCTATCCCTAATAACAAGCTCCACTAGGAATTCCTCTTCCATTTTTAGGTACAAGAGAGTTGCGCAAGAATACCTGCGACTTAGCCAAGGCTCATAAACAACCCAGGCACCGTTCTGTCAAGCTGACAGAGCATTTAGGCAAAAAGTACCCTGAGTGTCAACAGGAAGTCTATGGTAAGGTTGCAATTAGGTTAGCCAATATTACAGCAATAGGTACAGATGACATTTTGCATTTCTTATGGATGACATGACTCTCTTGAGCTCACAGCATTTCCTTACTTAAAAAATGTATAAACCACCCTTCATCCAAATGTAGATTTCAGGATAGTATGCAAAGAAATGTAAAATTACAAATACAGCATACAACAAACCAACAGCACAATAAAGTTAGGAGGAATAAGGCTATTAAACCAGCTCAAAATGCCAAAATTCAAAATGCCTTGCGTGAATAAAAAGGTTGTGACCTGATGCAAAAATAATATATTGTCAGTAGCAGATGTATGTCTCTCAGGAGGGCATTCCACAGTCAGGGAGCCACCACAGATAAGGCCCTCTCTTTTGTATATGATATGTTTCGCCTAAAGATGGAATATGGAAAAGCACCTCCTCTGACATTCTTAGAAAATGGGCAGCTTGGTAATGAATCCTATCCTGCTACTTCACTCAAGGGCATCACACTGAGCACCAGAGGGGGCGGGGAATCATCATTTCAGTTCAAGACAGGGGAACTCCAGGCTACTTTAAACACCTGTTCCTTTCAGAATGTGCATCAAAGCCAATTCACACAAACCCTATTTGGACAACATATCCAGGGACAGGAACATGAGGAGGGAGAGGGAGATCACAGCTGTCCCCTCCTCCAATATGTTCTATCTGAAGCAGTAAACTTATCCTTCGCACATTCAAACCGTACAAACATTCAGTGGGTACACAGATTGCTGTTTGGGGGAAGTGGTTGTGTGGGGAATACATTTGCACCCGATTCTCTGCACGAATCCTGCAGCAGAATCCCACCACTGGCCCACCATCTGCTAGCACCACCCAGCAGAGCAAACAGAAAGCAATTTTCTATTAGCTCTGCTCCCACCAGAGTCTACCTACTGGACCCCTGACCAAGTACCAAAGGTTATAGCTGCTTGACACTTCAGAGGCAGGAAGTGTTCTCCATTCTTGGTCAAGCCTCTTCTTCTTAAATTAGAAGAACAAGAATCTAAAGGTCACGCAAAACAATACATTTGTATTTCTGTACTTCATTGTTTGTACAAAGACCCGATTAGGTGATCCCTCAGTGAAGCAGTGTCATAACTTGAAGCACAAGCAAAGCTTCCTTCTGAGAGCTTATTATGAGTGGTTTTGCAGTTTGGCTTGTTAGTATGATGCGAAAGAAGATACAATTGTTCCTATGTGACCTTCCAAATTCAACAGCTCTGGTCATGCATCCCCAATATAAGAAACTCACTGCCTTCCAGATTTTGTTAGGCTCTAATTCCCATCAACCCCAGCAAGCATAGCCAATGGTTGGGGATTATTAAATTGTGGTCCAGCAATACAGTGGTACATCGGGTTACAAACACCTTGGGTTACAAACATTTTGGGTTACAGACTCCACTAACCCAGAAGTAGTACCTCAGGTTAAGAACTTTACCTCAGGATGAGAACAGAAATCACGGGGCAGCGGCGCAGCGGCAGCGGGAGGCCCCATTAGCTAAAGTGGTACCTCAGGTTAAGAACAGTTTCAGGTAAAGAACGGGCCTCCGGAACGAATTAAGTTCATAACCAGAGGTACCACTGTATGTGGAAGATTGCAGGTTCTCCACCCATTTTATGCCTTCTAAATAAATACAAATGTAGAGCACATACGAAGATACTTATTTCACATGCAATATGCTGCAAGTTTATCAAGCTGAGTTGCATGTCCTCTGCAAGACTATTGATTCTATATGTGAAATAAAGCCGCATTTAAAAGAAAAGCATGCCACTAAATCCATGTTCCTCTTTATTCCTCTTCCACAGAACAAACAACAACAAAGGAAATAAGCATCTCACACTGTCTAATGTTGTCATTTTCAAATACTGATCTCAATTTGACAGAATTATATCTGCTGGAGCTGCTACAAGGAAAACTAGGAAAGTCCGCTAATTATTCCAGGTGTTTGTTTATTATCTAACCTGGCACGTCTTGTAGGTCTTCCACTAGTAATGAACCACCTGCCTCCTTAAACAGGGAGCCACTCAAGGATCTGCTCTTTTCTTGGTTCTGCCAAGCTGGCAAACAATGCATTCCTGTTAGAAGAGGTTCATTTTCTTGCAGACAATGAGTGGAAGAGAGGCATCCTGAGACCAAACATACTTACCTTGCTTCCAGTTTTGGACATGATCAATGTGGGGTGCAAATATTCCTGGAGGAGGAGGTGAACTAGAAGCAGCTGCCAGAGCCAGAATCAGGAAGCCTCATTTTATAGCGAGCTCATTTTTAGACTAGACATTCGCTTTGTCATGAAAATGGGATCCAAAAATTGAGTCAGTGATTCTGAGGCTATTCATCTGTTCTAGAAAAACAAACAGGATTACAAAATAAAGGCAGGCTTCATTGCTCCTTTTATTTTTCGGCATTGCCTGTTGCATTATCAGGTTTTGAATGCTTTGCTGAGTCAGAACACTGAACTCCTGTCAGAAATATTCAAAATAAAAAGTGCTTGCCCTCTAATAATAATAATAATAATAATAATTTTATTATTTATATGTCACCCATCTGACTGGGTTGCCCCAGCCTCTCCGGGCAGCTTCCAACCAAGTATTAAAACACACAAAACCTCAAATATTCAAAACCTTCCTGTACAGGGCTGCCTTCAGGTGTCTTCTAAAAGTCAGTTGTTTATTTCCTTGACATCTGATGGGAGGGCATTCTACAAGGCGGGCACCACTACCTAGAAGGCCCTCTACTGGTTCCCAGGAACCTCACTTCTCGCAGTGAGGGAACAGCCAGAAGGCCCTCAGAGCTGAATCTCTGTGTCAGGGCTGAATGCTGGGGTTGAAGACGCTCCTTCAGGTATACATGCCCAAAGCTGTTTAGAGCTTTAAAAGCCAGCATGAACACTTTTGAATTGTGCTTGGAAACATACTGGGAGCCAATGTAGATCTTTTAGGGCTGGTATTGTATGTTCCCAGCGTTCGCTTCCAGTCAGCAGTCTAGCTGCCGCATTCTGGATTAGTTATAGTTTCCCAGTCACCTTCAAAGGTAGCCTCCACATAAAGTACATTGAAACAGCCAAACGGGAGATAACCAGAGTACCACTCTGGTATGTACCATCTTAGTGGAGTGGGCCAACACTCCCAACCCAACTTTGACATGTATAGCTATGAGTTCAACTACAGAAACCCTACAGGGGGACTCAAAATCTAGAAAACCACACAACTCCTCAACCTTGTATGAGTCAGAAGGTAAACTGGGGAACATTAGCAGAGGAAGAAAAGTGCCTTTGCTTACGGAGAATCCTCTGAAAGACAGCTCAAGGGGTATTTTATTGCTTAAGGGTATCTATAAACTGCAAACTAATAAGGTATATTGCAGCAGTGTGTTCCAAAATACAATAAAAACCATTAAGACATCATAGAATAATAAAGTCAAGGAACAACAATGGATGTAATAAATTCTCTAAAAATGTTTGATGAAACAAAAAGGCTTTCAGCAAACAAGAAAATATAAAAAATGTGCCTGTCTGATTTCATTAGGAAGAGTGTTTTAAAATACTGGTGCCACTACAGCAGGAGGCCTCCACATCTATGTGGCCCTTGGGATCCTGCCCAGGGGTTTGTGGGGCAGTAACACTATCTGCCATTGACTAAAGTATGTGCCGTGCTTTTGCATATTGATACATTTCAGCTTCACAGACCCACATGGAAAAGGAGTTTAAACTGGAGCACAGCAGCTCTGCAACTGCAATGCTCCAGAGAAGGTCCATAAAAATAACTCCTGAGCGGTGCCAACATGTATTACCGTATTTGTAGACCATAGTATAGGCATGCTTTTGCACATCACACAACAGCAAACCTAGGTTTGCTATCACATATTGTACCCACTTGGCTTTGGGCATTGAGTTTTTAGGTATACACCTAAAACTATTATATGAAGTGGGTGCAAATGATAGGGCTTTTATTATTCTGAGGATCTGAGACAAAAGGAGCCAGGCCTGTGCAGAGTGGGAGGGGTAGCCACTTGTCCTGGGCCTCAGAAGGCTAAGCCAGTTGAGGTGAGCAGCAAGGACCAGCTGCTTTTTTGTTTGAGTTTATAATTTTATTCAGCAAGATTCCTGCCCTGGGCCTCTAAGCTCTACACAGACTGAAGGGGGCAATATCACAGATCAATTCCTCTGCAGTATTGGTGAGGTAAGGGTTTTGTTAAGCAAACCTTGTCTCCAGAGTTCATTAGGAGCATCTATGTTTCCACTGCAAATACCTTGAGGCTAGAGTTGGGGATGCGGGTGGTGCTGTTGTCTAAACCACTGAGCCTAGGGCTTGCCGATCGGAAGGTCAGCGGTTCGAATCCCCGCAACTTTGCTCAGTCCCAGCTCCTGCCAACCTAGCAGTTCGAAAGCACGTCAAAGTGCAAGTAGATAAATAGGTACCGCTTCGGTGGGAAGGTAAACGGCGTTTCCGTGCACTGCTCTGGTTTCGCCAGAAGCGGCTTAGTCATGCTGGCCACGTGACCTGGAAAAACTGTCTGCGGACAAACGCCGGCTCCCTCAGCCAGTAAAGCGAGATGAGCGCTGCAACCCCAGAGTCGTTCATGACTGGACTTAACTGTCAGGGGTCCTTTACCTTTTAGAGTTGACATCCGTCTGTCTCAGGAGAAAATAAAGGAGTGAGCCTTTGAGGGTGAAGTCAACTTGTTGGAAGGTTGCAGCACCTGCTGTGGCTGTAGAGACCGATACAGGAGAGACATGTTTTGTTGCAGCTGGGGCAGATGAAGGTCCAATTGTGCTACTGCAGATGCACCATGGAGTTTCTTCTCTCTGTGCTCCTCCCAGTGGTCATTCCTCCTCTGGTTACTGCTATGGATTACCCAACCTGCCTGTCTCCAGGCACTGCAGTCGTCTGCAAGGGATTCCCACATGGAGGGGTTGATGTTGCCAGCCTTCATTTCGCATTTGCAGACATCTTTGTAACACAGTTAGTCTGCCAAGGAGCCTGGTACATGAAGCCAGCTCCCTGTACAGCACGTCCTTAGGGATCCTGCCATCTTTCATTCTGTGGACATGATCAACTCAGTGCAGACGTTACCAAGATAGGAGTGCAAACATGCTGGAAATGTTGGCTTGGGAGAGCACATCTTTGTTTGAGACTCTGTCCCATTTGAGATCAATTTAGTGTGTTTAGCAAAGCGAACACTCCTTTGTTTTGATTAGCCCTTACTAATTTATTCCCAGAATCCTGGTGATTCACAAATTGTAGCCCTAAACTTTACCTACCGTTATGTCCTCTGGATTGCTACTCTACTCAGAATTAAGGCTAAATCGACCACACAATTAATCTTCTACTGCGTTATTTTCAAGCATTTGACCTTATAACTAAACGAACCACATTTACAGAATACCAAAGGAGTTCCTAAATCTGTTTTCACCAAGCTACCCAATGTGGCAAAGACCCCTGATAAACCCAAAAACATTGCCTAAGTGATAAGAAGGATCCAAATCTATAAAAGGAAGATTGAATTGTGCGCAATCAACCCAGTTTTTATCATGACTTGAGATCAGCTGCATTCAGATGTTACATTGAGTTGGATGTGGGAGAAGAGAAATGAGCAGGATTTAAACCATGCAGCACAGAGACACACAAACAAAATAAAACTAATTCGATGAGCCAAATCCTGCACATTTTTCTAGTTATTAAAATACTTGCCAACTGGCATGTTTAAAAGCAGGAAACTACTATATGCACAATAATGCACACAATTAATTGCTCAGAAGGTTGAATTTCAGTGTGGCGCTCTTAGAACCAATTTACTTTCTACAGAACAATTTGAGCTTTAATTATCCTTTGTGTGGGAAGATTAAAAAAGTTTGAAATGGTACAGCTCAAAAAATTAACTAGACGCTCATTACACTCGTCATTGCAACCAGCTAGCAAAATATCCCCATACACTTGGGACGTTATTTAACAGCAAAATCCCAAAATGGATTTAATGGTGGAAGAAACGGGGGACGGGACAGAAGAGAGATTAAGAGAATAAGAGAATAAGAGAAAATAATTTCAGAAGACATGGGCTAGCCAAGAAATGTCAGAGACATTAAAAAAAACCTGAACGTAAGTTGGTTACAGCTGTCTTTCTCCCCCATCTATTTGGCATTCTTTGGTTATTTGAGACAGGAGAAAGGGTACCCCAAAACTTTACAAGAGAGATGGGGAATATGTGACCCACCAGCTGTTGGGCTCCAACTCCCAGCAAGGCCAGCCAGTATGGCCAATGGTCAAGGAAGCTGTGGTTGAGCAACATCTAGAGGACCAGTACTTCTCCATCCCAGCTTTACAAGGATTCAGCATCCATTGGAAGAAATGGGAAAAGGCCTAGGCAGGGCCATATCCAATGGTGTCCCTCCACTGATGGCTCTTTGATGCAGAGGGGGTTTCTCCACAGTACCAGGGAGGGAGGCCACTTTTCCAATTTCTCCTCCCACAGCCTCCCTCCATTTTGCTCCAGAAGGTTGGAGGACCCTTTAGGTGAGAGGTTGCATTGGAAGACGTGGCCAAAGACGCCTCTCATCTCCCTCCTGCTGACAGAAGCCTCCTCTGACTCAAAAAGCCTCCCATCAATGGATGGACACCATCAGATACAACCTCTAGCATTAAACTCCTTGAGATTTCTTACATTAAGTAAACTGTATTTAAGAGGACTGCTAGGGTCTGGAATTCTTTCAATCTATTACTACTTAGAATGCTAGTTATGCAAAGAAACACGTTTTAAAAACGTGTTGCAGTTTACTAGCTTTGCAAATAATAATAATAATAATAATAATAATAATAATAATAATAATGCAATGTAGTATAAAAACCTCGGTTAACTACTGCCCCCCAACCTTCTGGAGCACACAGCAGGGGCCTGCAGTGGGAGGGAACTGGCAAAAATGGCCTCCCTCGATGTGACTGCTGACCAAAACCTCTGCTGGATCAGATTTTACAAGTTGTTCCAAAGACTAGAAGGCACTTTTACTGTTTGTAAAGAGTGTTTTTTCATTAGTTCAATTTATCTTCCCAGCCTTCTCTTCTTCAACCTAAAGAAAAAATCCACTAGATGAACCCTGCAGCGATTTTCTGTTTTGAATTCTTCCCATTCCCGTGTACCCAAAAAGCCACCACGCTCTTTGCACATGATTGCACAGGTTTCAAAAGGGTGAGGGGGGAGCAACACTAACAGCTCTTTCAAAACTATTGGGATTTCTTCCAGCAAACAGTGTTATGTTTGGGTTGCACGCTTCTTCATTCCTGCTTATTGGAACATCCTCACTTAACATGCCTTCTTCCATTAGTTCCCCCCCCCCAACATAAAAGATTCATCCCCATACCATTAAAAAGCAACATGGGAAGCAGCATTTTTGCAGTGTATAGAACAGGATTGGGGCATTTTTTTATTTTGTTCATTTTACGTTACAGCAGCCTACTCCCAAGTTTTCAGGATAAAGAAATCTGAACAAACATATTATTGGAAATGCTTTGTTCACCAGAGCGATAAATAGAACTGTTTTGAAAGTAGCGAACTGCAATCTGTGGCAGGCTTCTTTCCAAAATCTATAATATATGCAACATGTAATTTTTGAGGTATACATTTGAATATTAATTCTTAAAAACATGAAATGGGTTTAGGAATAATGTGACATTTGATCTGTGTGTGCTCCTCTTCAGTATGTTTGAGCTTTTAGTGTACTATTATCATGGTTTCTGACATTAATTCTGCAACAATTGAACCTAGAAACTTACATTTCAGTCTTCTTCCATAAAAATGAAGAGTTATTCAACTGGGAGTTTCTGCTGCTTGAAAGAAAATGTGACTTTGTAAATGGAAAATTTTAAGATGGCTCTCGTTGCACTATGAATCCAGAGTATTAATGAGAGCTGACATTTGTAGTATTAGACCAATTAGGCGTGCATGCTTTGAAGTCATTATAGATGAGAAGCATAACAAAGCACTTCTGGGGTTTGATGATGTGAAAGACATCCATGTTAAAACCCTGATTCCCTTGAATATTTTTTCCCACTGCATACAAGAGCTATATAGTTTCAGTTAATTAGAAAAACCACCATGATTTCAGAAAGGATGGATTTTAACTTTGTCATCCATGTTAGCATTCAAATTTAGCCAACACCAAGTACACAAACAATCCCTCTGCCTCCACTTTTATACACAGAATGACAGAAAAGTTGCAAAATGTGAGTAGAAGGGGAGAAATATGCAGCTCTACTCAGAAATAAGCCTTAAAATAAGTTTAATAGAATTTACTCCTAAGTAAATATATATATATAGGATTGCAGGCAAAATGACTTTTTTTCCTTTTAACAAGGTGCAACAGGAGATATCTTGAACCACTAACTTTTTATAATTGAACAACTTTTGTTCAAAATTGTTATGCCTACAGTTGTCATAGATGACTTAGACACAAGTTATTTTACTTCCTTACCTTCCCATTTCGAAAAACCTTTGCCTGGGCTAATTCACTGTCCTACCTAAGTGTGTCTTCAGAAAAAGCAAGGTAAGTCAGTACATCTTATGGATTCACATTGTGTATATCCATCTTTGGAGTGAGATGAATGTTTCAGATGAGAATGCTCTATCTGTAAAGTATTTTAAGGGAGCAGGGGACTGAGCAGGATACCAGTGGGTTTTTTTAAAGAGGAAAAACGGTGCCTTTCACCTGACCCTTATTATGTTGTATAATGACAATACTGAAAAAGGTCATTTTTAATTAAAATACGGAAAAGTAGAAAAAGAAACAAAAGAAATCACGTGAATTTAATCAAATTTCATAGTTGAAGTGTTAAACAATTGGTATAAAAATACATCTGTGTGTTTTATACAATACAAATTTAGTTAATAGAAGTGAAAAGGTTCATTCAGCAGCCAGAACCTTATTCCTATCTTCACACCAGGAAAGTAAAAGTCCTTTTCACGGTACCTTTATACATAAATTTCATTTCAGCCATAGATAGACATGTTAACAGCAAAGTCTTGGCTTGTTTTCTATAGATACTGGCTGTCTGAGAAAGGTGTAGAACGAAGGGAGATACTATGACAGCTGTAACAGGGAGAGAAAGTTGATCCTCGCCTTGACAATAAACAAAGCAAATTCAAGTTTCCAAATTCATTAGCAATGCCATAAGAGTTTTAATCAGCTTGGCTCCAGTTTATTGCAGTAAAAACACTTTCAGTTTTGCAAAGTTCATCTCTAGAGCTGTAACAAAGCAGATAAACAGATTGTATTTGTTGAATGCAGCAATCAACAATCCCATTGCTTCTTTACAAAACAACAACAATCCCATTGCTTTCTGACTACACAGCAATTATTAGCTGGCATCACACTCTCTCACTCTCTTGCATGTACACACACACACTCCACTACAAAAACGTCATCATGTGGGTAAAATTCAAGTTTAGTTCACCACCACTATACAACTGCCACAAGAATGAAATAAAAGTATCAGAAGCTTAGTCAAATACCAATACTACACATATAAAGCATTTGCTTTATATCGGTGCTGTGGAGAATACTAAAGAGATGGAATGACCTTATACAGGCATGGCCAAACTTGGCCCTCCAGCTGTTTTGGGACTACAGTTCCCATCATCCCTGACCACTGGTCCTGTTAGCTGGGAGTTGTAGTCCCAAAACAGCTAGAGGGCCAAGTTTGGCCATGTCTGACCTTACAGCTTTAGTGACACTGAGATAGAGAACAGTTAACTAGGAACTAAATAAGTCACTAAGACTCTGTTGAAGCAGTATGTTTTAAAAGGCAAAAGGTAGCAGCATGACAGAGAACAAGAGCTAGGTTGTTTTGAGCACAGAGTGGATATTCTGAAGATGGGATTAAAAGAACAAACAGGAGAGCTTGCGCAGAATATGACAGAAAAGAAATGGAGAGAACCAGTATAACGAATGACACAGTGCTTTAAATGGAAATACAAGGAACATGGAGTAAAATGAGTTAGAAGCTGAGGAGGGAGATGATGCAAAGACTTAGGCTTCAGGAAAGAACAACCAGTGGAAAGCATATTTTGGATACCTGTTCAAGTTCACAGTGAGACATGAGCAGTGGTTCATCTTGGACCTCTCACTGGTCTTTAGAGGCATTCAGAAGCTTCACATAATGGCAGAGCTTTCAGCGTGTACACATTAGCAGCCTGGAACGCAGTTAAGGTCATTCCTCGACCCCTCCACACACAGTGTTTCAAGCTGCATTTTTATGTTGCTATACACACCTTTACCTAATTTGTTTGCACACACAAAACCAATTCTATTCAATGAAGCCATCATCTGCACATGTGTAAAATGCGCACACTTCAGCTTAGCTGTACCTTATATGTTCAAACCAGATAAAAACTGGTTTGAGGGAAAACACATAAAGCAACATGATTTCTCAAGAAACCAGAGAATACGTATCAATTGCGGGTGACATCATGTGTACTCTGCTTCAAAAAGCAGCAGTGGGCACTTCCTGTTTCCAGCGGTGGAAAATGGCGGATCCCACACGATCGGACCTCAGCCGTTCCGATAATTCAGGGCTGATATGGGGGTAATTAGCCCTGGCAGCCTCCCCAGGGCAGGGGAGGACTGTCTCGACGACCCGCGGTTTGCCCCAGATTGCCGATGTGGCAGACAGCAGGGGCACTGGGTCACGGAGAAAGGGACGGACTGACACTCCTGCGACGCCACCCCATAGCCGGACACATCTGTTTGGGAAAATATAAAGATTTGGAAAACAAACAGACACGCTCTGAACTGACGAAGCTGGGGAAAAACCTGCAGTATGTACAGTCTCTGGTGCAAAAGATCGAACTTCAAAGAGATCCTCATCATGATGTTTGGAATCTGGAGGGGCTTGGTATGTTTTTTTCTTCTCCCTCTAACATTAACAATTCGTACTGCATGCCAAGCCTCATTAAGAACCTAAATTGCTCTTCAAAAAGTGAGTACAGATGGACTTTCATATATAATTGGGACCTATTCGCAGCCGCTTTTCTTCTAAGATTTGAAATGCCTGTTAAAGACGAAAACAAAGAACAAAGGACAAAATCTACCCACCATGCACTTATGGAATATCTGAAATACTTCCCTGATTAAGAGAAACAGGAGCTAACTGATGGTTGGTTATAAAGACTGGAAACAATATTATAAATACAACTGTTTGCAAAAAGGTGTTTTTTATTATGAGCGAGAGAGAGAGGGCTAAATGGATGTCTGGCAGCCCCCCTCTAGGGCCCGGAGGGGGGATTGGGTGGATTCCAAAGGCCAATTGTTAACTGTCTGATATATGGCTACATTGCAAACAGTCTGCTTATGAATAAAGAAGGCAGTTTCTCTCTGTTTCTTTGATAACACCTGGACGGGAAAGATCAACGATTTGGGAGCTGCCAAAATAACAATTCTCAAAGAGCTGGACAGAACTTTGAAATTGGATGCAATTAAATGAAGCGGTGCGATGAAAAAACCAAAACAGCTGAAAGAGTACAATATACGGACAAATCTGCACTCCATAGGAAAAAAAAATATCTGTTTTCTGACATGAATGAGGATCGCAGAACCAGAGTCAAAACGTGGAGGAAAAAATCGGATATGGAATTATGAAAAACATTGAGGATGATGAGAGGCAGGACTATGATGTTGAAAGCGCTTCGGAATTCAGACCGTGGGAAGCCAAAACAAAAATTATTACAATTTGGAAGACAATTGGACTTTTTTTATTTCAGTTTTTTATTTTTATTGGATTTGATTTGATATGTTAATTGGATGTTTTTATTGGAAAATTAATAAACGCTTTAAAAACAAACAAAAACAAAACACCAGCAGTGGGAGTGCACTGGAGCTGAAGTAAACAGTAATATTTGCACAACCATAATCTGATGCTCAGTACTTGCAAAGAAGAGCCTCTGACCTTCTCCCTCATGGAAATGGACAATGCATTCTTGCTGAGTTTTCGAACTGCACCAAACCAGCAAAGCCTCTGACTGCCTCTTCAGTTCAAACTAAACCGCTTTAATGTTTTTTCTACGATCAAGAGGTATCTAAATTTTAGTAAACTAATTAAATTAATTAATTAATTAATTAAGACAACATCCCTCCCCAAACTGAGGAAGAAACAGAGTCTGCCAGGGGAGTGGGGAGAGAAAGAGAAGGAAACAAAGGAGACAAACTGTTTAGTTTTAAGGAACATCCTCCACAGGTAAAGGGGTGCCAGACTATCTGGACCTGTGAAGTGATCCATCTGAGCAATTCTAGTTTGTAATGTGTGAAAGACAATATACAAGCTTTTCGCAATTGCAGAAGAGAACATGGCCTCCGGACTCACCAAATAACTTTGTACTTCAAAAGCTCTCCTATCCTGCTGCCTGCTTAGAACCTGCAGCAGGAAGCACCAGGCTGTCAAGTTGTTGGCGACTGCCTGTCTGGACTAGCCATTCGTTGAACTTGTTCTCCACATACACCTGGAACGTCTTTCTCTGGTCCCTGAAATCCAGTAAAAGATTAGCACTACAATGCATACAATGAATGTAAGACCCATCAATGAAAATGTTTGCTGAAGTGCATGCACATGATTCAGAAGTTCTGGTTGGGGGGGTGCGATTTTCATGGTCCTACCTAATTTCATTACTATTTAAGTACTGCTACATGTTGGAGAGCTATATTTATCAGTTTTCAGAGATATGCAAACCTTTCCTCGACAAAATATCTTTGAAACTGTTTTTGTTTACCTTCTTGGAGAAGAGAGCAGGACACTTTTGAAAACAGAACAGGTGAGTGATAGTTAAATTACACTCCTGTGTCTTTTAAAATCTGTTGAACTTATTTCTGCCCATCAGAGGAGTAGGAACCCTGCAATAAAAGGTGTGAATTCTGCAAGGAAAAACAGTCAATTTCTTCATGGGGTTTTGCTTTGGGTGGGCAGTTTTTTGTATACTTTGAAGGTAGAGATTATTTAAATGCTCTTGAGTGAAAGGGAACCTCTAACCAAGACGGCTTTGAGTTTGTATATTAATTCCTATTAATTTTTACCATTCGTGCCCCACACATTGCGGATTCTACTAACTCTAAGAGGAAACTGGATGACTTGGCCAATCATGTGAATTCAAACCTTATTCAAACTGCCTCTGAAATGATGAGGTTTAAAATAACTACAGTGGTGCCTCGCAAGACGAAATTAATCCGTTCCGCGAGTATCTTCGTCTAGCGGTTTTTTCGTCTTGCGAAGCAACCCTATTAGCGGCTTAGCGGATTAGCGCTATTAGCGGCTATTAAAGGCTTAGCGGCTTAGCGGATTAGCTGCTAAAAGGCTATTAAAGGCTTAGCGGCTTAGAAAAGGGGGGGGGAGCAAAAAAAAAACCTCAAGACTCGCAAGACATTTTCGTCTTGCGAAGCAAGCCCATAGGGAAATTCGTCCTGCGAAGCGCATTGAAAACGGAAAACCCTTTCGTCTAGCGGGTTTTCCGTCTTGTGAGGCATTCGTCTTGCAGGGCACCACTGTATAGGTTTGGGGTGCTTCTGGAAGACAATACCATTCTTAAAGCTTGGACAAAGGACATGCCTGACCAAGTAGGTCTACCATGGCTCCATTGGTTAGGATGTAGGCCAAAAGATGTTGAGACATGCAGCCTGATCCTATCCATTTCTATTTGGAATTAAGCCCCATTGTGTTCAGTTATCTTATTCCCAAGTAAACGTGCACAGGATTGCAGCTATACGAGAGCAAATCAGACAGTAAACATCATATCCAAGCAATCCCATCTAGGTGTCAATTCAATGAAAATTTACTTGCACATCTGTGCAGTACTTTTAGAGAAATGGTAGCAGGATACACAGCATGTTTAGCATCAATGTAGTGTTTTTCTCAGTTTCGTCAGTTTAAAAAGCATTAGCTAACAAGTTTATAACTTATAAAAGATTAGCAAATGGTTTGTAGCTGTCTTGCAGAAATTGTGAATATATACTTGAGCAACATACATATAGCAATCTTTTTATCTGTTAACACTGCTACATTCTTATCTGCTGCTGCAGCTGGTTCTTCCTACCTGGAAGAAGGTTGTTTACTTACTTGGTCAGCCCCGCCTCCTTCACGGTCTTCTGCCAGATATGAATTCTCTGTTCTCGTTGACTCAGTGCTTTTTGGTAAGCAGGTGGCAGCCCACCAGGTATTTCTGTGGTGTCTCCTTCCATTTCAAATGGGACAACAAAGGGGTAAAACTCTGACGGTGGGAGGAGTCTGAAGACATTTCGATCACAGTTCTCTTTACATACTAACATTGGATTATCCCAATAGTTAGGCACGGTAGCCAGGCCAGTCCTGCCCATGTGGTCCTCAAGCTTTGGATAATGCGTATGGAAGGGGGCAAAAGTTATTGCTAGGTTCCCCAGTAAGATGAGAGGTCTAGTTGGGGTGAGAACATGCAAGGTACAACTGGTGGTTGATGACAGAGACAGACGGCGGCAAACAGCAATAAGTGTGACATTGTCGCAGCTGTGGAGGTGAACTACTGTTTGCACTGGGCCAAGTACAAAGGTACTATTCCTGCACTTCTCTATGGTCACAGATCTGAAAGAGGAAGAAGGGAAAGCAGCCAATTAATGCTGGAGCAAAATAACACAACAAAAATGGTCACATAGCTTCTAAATGTGGTTGCAAAAAATGACTGGTGAAAGCTCTTTCACCTCAGGGGAGAAAGCAAATAGATGAAGGATTCACAGCAGCGATGAATCTTCACGTGCGTATCTTCTAGGGTACCTGAACTTTTTGCCAGTGTTTGCTTGTAAACTTGGCTCATCACAACGATGCGGTGTGCTGAAGGGACCATATGAGTATTGCAGGCTATCTTAGCTCGCTTGGTTGTTCCTTCAACTGCAAGAATAAAATTAAACACTGCTTTTAAAAAAAGTGAAAGAAGCCATTTTATAACAGCAAGAGAAAAGGGAGATGTCATGCTTGTGCCAAAGGTTTGATGGCCTGAAATAACGGTACCTTGCTGTGCCCATGCAAGTTTCTTCCCAGACTTGAGACAAGCTGATGTTCCAAATGGGTTCCCAGTCAGACAAGCCCTCAGCCAGGACTCAAGCTTGGGGAAGGAGAAGGCTTTGGAGATCTTTGAGTAGCCACTCTTTGCATGTAATGGCTGCCAGAGTGCAAGCGCATGCAGAGGGTGGACAGTACTGTTTCTGTTCACACATCCTTCAATAAGGAAGCCAAGAGCGCGAACAGCCTCAGGTGACATCAGGCTATTGTGGGTAGAATGTGAGGAGGCAGTGAGCTGATCTGGGTCCAGCAACAGTTCGAGAAGATCCTGGAGATGGTTCTGGATAAAGTCTTGCTGATAGTTGTCATTCCAGTTCTTATGAATAAAAACAGAAAAATATCAGATACAGAATGGACATTCACACAAACAAAATCCTAGGTGGTGGTGGTTCTAATAGAATACTGCCCTTCATCCGAAGATGACAGGGCAGTTCACAACATAAAAATACAAAATGAGAACACAAAATACATAATAAAACAAAAACAATTCAATAACCCCCTCCCACAAACACATTTTAAAGGCCATAGAATGTTAGTCAACCAAATGCCTGGTTATAGAGAAACATTTTCACCTGACACCTAAGCCTATGTAATAAAGGTACCAAGCAAGCCTCCCTGAAGAGAGCATTCCACAAACCAGGAGCTGCCACCACAGATAAGGGCCATTCTTGTGTTGCTACCCTCCAGATATCTCATGGAGGCACACAAAGAAGGGCCTTGGATGATGATCACAGGGTCCAGGTCCATTCATATGGGGAGAGGCGATCCTTGAGGTATTGCAGTCCTGAGCTGTTTAAGGCTTTACAGTCATATCTCGGGATGAATACGCTTCAGGTTAAGCATTTTCGGGTTGCACTCCGCGGCGACCCGGAAGTAACGGAACACGTTACTTCTGGGTTTCGCCACTCACACAGATGCTAAAAATGACGTCACACGCATGCGCAGAAACGTCGAAATGCAACCCACGCACTCGTGTTTTACGTTCGCTTCAGGATGCAAACAGGGCTCCAGAACAGATCCCGTTCGCATCCAGCGGTACCACTGTATAGGTCAAAAACAGCACTTTGAATCGGGCCCAGAAATGAATTGGCAGCCAGTTCAGTCAGCAGGAACAGTGTGATATGCTAAAACCATCTTGCCCAATGAACAACCAGGCTGCCATATTCTGCACTAGCTGAAGTTTCCAAACCATCTTCAGAGGCAGCCCTGCATATAACACATTGCAGCAATTTAACCTAATGGTTACCAAAGCATGGATGAAAGAAGAACTCAAAGAACCTCAAAGCAATACCTTAATCTGATTGGTGGATTCTCCAGTCAGACTGTAATTCTTGGATCTAGGATTCGGCCACTCATCTCCAAGTAGATATGTTCTCAGGGAAACCTTGTTTAGTTGTTGAATATAAAGGAACAGCAGGAACTGTAGAGTGTCCACAGACAACTGAGCAGAGATTAAAAAAAGGTTTATTTTAAAGAACATTCAAGTACATAATGTAGCAGGAGTTCTTATTTTATATTTAGCAGCATGTAGTGAAGTGGAAAAGAAAAAGGCAGACCACTGCTAATTTTCTTAACAACTAGAATTACAGTGGCCCAACAGCTAACCTCATATTGGATTGTGGCTCACATGCAGCATGTAATGTACTTGGGCAGGGGCATTTCTTCCACACTGAGTGCATGAGAAGCCTGGGTCGGTAAGGCTGCTATGAAGAGTATACACCCATAGTATTAAAAGTGACAATATGACATTCCATGCCTTATTCTTCTGCTTCTCTGCCTCCTCCTCAGTTGCACAGCTGGATATCACCTCTGCCCATTCCAGTCGCTCCTCTGAAGTCCGTTCAACAAGACTGTCAAATAATTCAAAGTATAGCCAAGCCAAGTCCTTTTCTATCTGCAGCTTCCCACAGGCAATGTGTCGCCACATAGGCCAAGAAAGGTGTGGATAATAGCCTTCACTGGAGCGCATCCGGACATAAGTTGACATCTTCCGAAGATAATGCATGCTAAACTTGGAGGGAGGTGGGATTTGTAAGGCTCCCACTATAAAAGGTTCCATTTTCACCCAGAGATTGACACTGATTTGATCCATGTTTGCCATCCACAAAACTCACATCTATATTTTCAAGAAAATGAAAATAAGAAGTTAGTTCAACCATTAAAAAATAATAATACACATTTCCATATTTTCAGATCAAACTTTTTTGCAAGGAAGTCAATAGTCTATTTCCCCCTTCTATTATGCCTTCTTTTTTGCTCAATATCCTATATTTAAACATTTGCAGTCCCAAACCGTATGCACACACTCATTCTACATAACACAGAAATGACTATTTAGAAATTAAACTTTCAAATATATTGAGTGGGTCCTGCCAGTCACTGGGTGCCATATAGCCCCAACCGGCAAATATTTTTAGCTAAAGCTGTATTTTGAATTAAGTCAAAGTTCAAAGGCACACAACATTGGCTCTTTAATCCCTCCTCCTCAGCAGGAACAGCAGGAAGCTTGGGCAAACCATTCTCTTATTCACATTAGACACTCCTATTTGTATATGTCTTTGCTCATGCAAATGAGGGAGCAGATGGAATACAGTACATAAGAGGAAAACGCTCAGGAGTTTCTACTGTAGCAGCTCACTCAATATAGGGAACTCTTCAATAACGGCATCTCTATTCAAGGCAGCAAAAGGCACAGTAGAGTCATGTACTACTACATAGCCTCAAAGCCAGATAATATTACGATAGACTTACTTCCTGTTGCCCAGACTCCATAAAGCAGGCCAATTAAATCTTACCAGCTTTCATTATTTCTAAAGCCCCAAACTTTATTTTCAACAGTCTTCCTGCTGCTTTGCATACAAATTTCTTCCTCTATGTGCTAGTTACCATAGGCAGCAGGACAGAATGCTATCATACTTGTGTTTGCAAAGTTTTTTTATGGGTCTTTTCCAAGTTCCCCTAGGTCATGTGTGTCCCCCACCCCCCATTGATTTTTATTATTATTATTCATTTAAATAAAAAAATACTACCTCAAATTTCACCCTGCAACTCTTTGTTCCAAGAAAACATGTTACTGTTAAGGCAGGTGGGGAAAAGGAGATTGAGGCTTTCCAGTTATAGCACCCCACCTTTCAAACTTCCTTCTCATTTCTTATTTCCGGGGGGGGGGTTAAATTTTTTTCCCCAACATTCATGTTTTAATTGTGTTTTTATCCATTTGCTTAGTATGCCACTCTGAGAAGAGCCACAGCTGAAGCGTAACTGGCAACGGTTTTAATGAAACCAATGAGACCCAGCTCGTCCCAGACCGCAATTCCCACCCACCAGTTGAAAATCTCTGTCCTCTAGCTGATTCCCTAGTACAGTCATACCTTGAGTTGAATGTGCTTCGGGTTGAGCGTGTTCAAGTTGCGCTCCGCGGCAACCCGGAGGTAATGGAGAGTGTTACTTCTGTGTTTCGCCGCTCGCGCATGCGCAGATGCTCAAAATGACGTCACGTGCATGCACAGAAGTGGCGAAACGCAGACGCGTCGGGATGCAAACGGGGCTCCAGAGCGGATCCCGTTCGCATCCCGAGGTATCACTGTATAAGGAGAGAGGTTTCCTCACTGCATCCCGCTGCTCCCTCAGTCAACACCGGCACATTTTCCCTCTCTGACAAGTAACGGGGGGGCACTCCAGTGAAGCCCCAGCCCACTATGCCTGCTTCCTGTCAAGTGCAGCAGGAGCAAGGCGGCAAGTTTCTCCCTTCCACGTGCATTTGAAAGTCCCGCTTTTTGAGGGGAAGAGCGAATCAAAGGGCGACCCCTATTTTCTCATGAAAGGCTCCAAGGCAAGCATCCCCAACCTGCGGCCCTCCAGATGATTTGGCCTACAACTCCCATGATCCCTCGCTAACAGGACCAGCGGTCTGGGATGATGGGAATTGTAGTCCAAAACATCTGGAGGGCCAAAGGTTGGGGATGCCTGCTCCAAAGCAAGAGGGAGGAAGAGGAGGCGGAGGACGGCTCCAACCTCTGAAACAGGGGAGAAGGGAAAAGTGCGCCCTCAGCCTGTGGCGTTTCCCCGCCTGGGAGGTGGGGCCCGACAGCCCGCCTCAGGCTGAGGAACGAAACTCCCGCCCGCCTCCCGTTACCTGCGCGCCTCCGTCGGCGCCTTTCCCGACTAGGCTGCGCCGACCGAGCTACTTTCGAAAGCCCGCGGCCTCCGCCCACCACTGCGCCTGCGCACAGACGAATCGGGATGCCAGCCGCAGATAGAACACTCACCCAAGGCACCTTCGAGAGAGAGAAATGCTCGCCTAGAGCGGCAGGGCCGTCATTGCGAATCTCTGGCAAGTGGCAAGAGCAACAGCCGCCGCCTCCGCTTACTAGCTTCCAGCACTTCCGCTAAAAATGTGTAGTATTCCAGTTCGAATGCTCCGGAGAGGCCAAGCGGAAGGAACTGCGCCCCCTGCGGAGGGGAGGAATCGTCAGATTCTTACATTTCTCTGCTATTTGACCCCCCTGCTTTGATCCCCTCACCTCGCACACATATGCCGATGTTAATTTATCTGCCCCAACCGACGATAACACTTCAGGTATCTGGCAGTGAACTGTCTAGTATACAATTTATGGCATGAACGTATTTGTTAATTCTTTAGGCACCGCAAAGCTGTTGTTGGGGCAACTCCCGAAGAAACAGGAAAGAACACAGATCTGGGGATAATGCGCTCCCCAATTCCCCAAGGCATTTAAAGGAAAACTGAAAATGGCATTCGCTTGACGTTTTGATTGTCATTCATTTCGATCATCCTCACGATTGATTTTTTTAATAATAACTTTTAAAGTCCTTCCGTTTGCTGCAAACCATCCATAAGGAGCCGCAGGCAAAACAATGAGTAATAATAATAATAACAATAACAATAATTATAAAAGAATTTAAGCGCAGGGAAAGGAAGTAGGAAGTCCCTTCTTGAAGGCGCCGTCAAGCTGCTTGCGATTCTGACCCGTCCCAGAAGGCGCCCGCTCGTGACATCGCAACGCCCCAACGCTACACTTTAAGGCAGCGACGCGCGGCTTCGCCCCGTCCCTATTTGTTGACGTCTCGAAGTCTGGTTGGGCAGCTGTAGCCGGGCCGCGGGTGAAGTGTGCGGTTGTGATTGGCCAGCGGCGCGCGCCGAGTCGGAGCCTGATTGGGCGGTTAGCTTCACCGGGTTCTCTTTGGTGCGTGCCTATGGTTACCGGCGTGTGAGAGGAGCCGAGGAGGGGGCGCGCTTGGAACCTGCTCGAAGAGACCCCCCCATCCCGCCATGTCACCCCGCTCCCTCGGCGGGCTTCTGCTGCTGCTGCTGTGCCTGCTCGGAGACGCCGTCGCCGGGTGAGCGGAGGGGAGCGGGAAGGGACCGGGAGGAAACGGCGCCGTCCCACCGGTATTGGCAGGTGGCCTCGCGGTTGGGTGGAGCCCCCCTGCTCCCCTCGTCCCTCACTGCCGCCCAGGGGGCTTCGTCTCGCCCGCCCCTCGCCGCCACCTCTCCGCTTCCTCACAGGGGCAGCTCTCGCCTTCCTCTTCCCACGCGAGGCGGGTGGTCCTGTCCTCCCCTTCCCCGGTTACAGCCGTTATGGCTCCTCCCCCCCCCAACCCAGGGTGACCGGGAAGCAGGCCGGTTTTGCTGCCGCTTTCGCAGCTTGTGCAGACGAGGGAGTTTCGGTTGGTTGGTACAGTGGTACCTCAGGTTAAGAACTGAATTCGTTCTAGAGGTCTGTTCTTAACCTGAAATTGTTCTTAACCTGAGGTACCACTTTAGCTAATGGGGCCTCCTGCTGCCACTGCGCCACCGCCACACAATTTCTGTTCTCATCCTGAAGCAAAGTTCTTAACCCGAGGTAATATTTTTGGGTTAGCGGAGTATGTAACCTGAAGCGTATGTAACCTGAGGTACCACTGTATAGTCGTGTATTTCTGCCTGTGGTTCGGGGTATCAGAGTTATCTGGCCAGGACTGTGTTGAAAGCCCTGTTCAGCCACGGGCCACGCTCACCCTAGCCCACTCCGCAGGGTTGTTGTTGTGAGAGATTGGAGGAAGGCCTGCGCCCACTGCCTTGGGCTCATTTGAGGAAAGGCAGGTTATAGATGTGGTACGTGGCACAGAAGTAGGTGCTGCCCTTCACATTGCGTTGTTGTACAGGTTGAGATGCTAGTGCACTGGGAACAGGCAGGAACTGAATGGAGGCCAGTACACTGTGGCCCGATCCAAAAAAAAGGGGGGGGAGGTACTGTTGGGGACGTGTTTGTCTCCTCTGAAGGAACAGGTTCACAGCCTGGGGGTAGTTGATCCATCATTATCAAGGTGCAGGTTGTTGCTGTCATTGAGCACCTTTTACTGACTTATCCATGCTCTGATAACCCTCAGATTAGACAACTGTGATGCATTATTACAGGATCCAGTAACCTCCTGAGAGGGACCTCCCCCTACATTGTGCTGTCTCAGCTTTGAAGTCTGCCAGGGAGGCGCTTTTGGTAATATTGTTGAGTAAGGTTTGGGAGTCTGGTTCACCAGAAGGCTTTTCCGGCAATTGCTACCTGCTTGTGAAACACACTGTCCCAGACGTTTGACTGATGCCAACACTGAACATTTTTCAGCACAGGCTGAAGACCTAGCCCTTCTTCCAGGTCTTTTGAGTATGTTAGGTGTAAGAACCTGTATGGTTTGATAATGATAGGTAGATTGATCAATTGTTTTAGGGTTGCACTGTATATTTTCTTTTATCCTCTTGTTGGTTTCATCTAATTTTAGAGGTTGTTACTTGTCTTGAGGTAATTTAAAATGGATGGAAGGATACAAATTTAATTTAAAAAATTTAAAAATACATGTTGAGACAGTTTAGAAACTACAACTGCTAGATTGCTAGCTGGGACTAGGCATTATGATAATGTATGCTTGTGCTTCATCAGTTGCATTGGTTCCAAATCTATTTCAAGGTCCAATTCAAAGTGCTGGTTCAAGCCCTTTATGATACGGGGCCCAGGGTACATGAAGGACCGTTTATCCTTGTCTGCCTATCTGTACATTAATATTTTCATAGCTGGTCCTTAGGTCCTTATTTAGGTTCCCTGCCATCTGAGGTACAGTTGGGTGAATATTGGGGAAAGGGCCTTCTCAGTGGTAGCCTCCCCGTTGTGGAATGTTCTCTCAGGGAGACTCACTCTGATGTCATTTTAGGTTCAGGGAAAGGCCTTGTTGTTTCTCAAGACTTTTTAATTCAGATTGATCCATTTTATCTTGGTTGGGCTTGTTTTTATGCCTTTTCTATTTGTATTATTTTTATATATTTTGATTTGTTTTATTGTGAATTGAAATTTTGCCAGTCACCTGGTTACACCACTTCGGGATCGGTGTGATTAAGCTGTGTACAATTTTTTGAAATAATTAAAATATATAAAAATATAAATCTATAATAAATAAAGTACAGGAGCATGCTATTGAACACAGGGTGTCTTACTTCTGAGTAAATAAATATGTGTAGGCTTGCCCCAAATGACATTGAATAAAGATAAGGTCTGGGAACTCCAAGATAAAACACAGCCAGTGTTAGTTTGAGTGTAACTTATGTTTGCTTGTCCCTTCTCGTGACGTTGGTTGAGAATGTACAGTATCATAAATCCCACAAGTAAATTCACTTATTTGTTAGCTTATACATTCCTTTCTATTGAAATTGCAATAAACAGGGAAGCTTACACAATTAAAATAAATGCCTGTGGCCTGATACAGCCACTTTATTGGAGCTAAGTATGTCTGGGTTTGGCTTGTTTCCAGATGAGCGTGTGTCTTGCAACCCCATGTACACGACTTGGAGTTCCGTAGTGGAAGAAAGGCAATATATAAATTTACCTAAATAAATAATAAATGCCTAACATATATAAGTCTACTAAGACTATACTGTATTAAAATAATTCAGTCCATCTGGCCTAAAGCCTACTGGACCACAAATGTTTTCAATAAATGGCAGAAGCTTAAGAGTGGGGACCAAGCAAGCCTTCTGTTTTTCTTTTCACTGTAATTGTGTATTTTTGGTAACACCTTTTATTTCATATACTTCACATTCCATTTTATTTGCATCCGTTTTCTGCCAATGTATTCAAAGGGGTATCCAGTTTAAATACTAATGTATGCATGCCTACACACAAACACACTATTGTAGCCTCCTTATCACATCAGCTCCTTAATTTTTGCCTTTGTTTCTCTTCTTTTTTCTTTTCCCTCAGGGGACACAGGCATTGAGTAGACACTTGGGAATATGCATATTATTAATGTGTAGATTAAGACCGCATAGTACATTTATAGGACAATCTTAAGCTTTTTTACTCTGGAGTAAATCTCACTGTGTTCAGTAGGGCTTACTCCTTAGTACGTGTGTTTAGGGTTGCACTATTAGAGAGAGACTGGCTGTGTATATGGCATGTGGTTTTCAGTGAGCTCACGTTTTAAAAACAGGACCTTCCCTTCAAGTATTCTCTGGCTGAAAGTTCTAATACATCCTTGGAGGCACCATTTCTGTCATTCTCTGGATGCCATGCTTGTAGAGCTTTATTACAAGTTATAATTGTTGTGGTAAGCAACAATATTGGAGGGGAAGAAGGAAACGGAGCCCTCCTGCTGTTCTCTAACTTGTAGCCTGAGTATGTGGTCGCATTAAAGGAAGAAGATGCACAACAATAACTGGCTTCATTTTTCTTTTAGGAGAGATTTCTACAAGATCTTGGGGGTGCCCCGTAGTGCATCTGTTAAAGACATTAAGAAGGCCTACCGAAAACTCGCCCTGCAGCTTCACCCTGACCGGAATCCTGATGATCCACGTGCGCAGGAAAAATTCCAGGATCTTGGGGCTGCCTATGAGGTTGGTGTATTTGGGGAAAGTCTGTGCCCAACTAGTGCACCCATTGCTTTCTCTGTTTCAATATTTGCTGTTTAGTAAAACCTTAGCAGAGTGAGCAGTAAGTAGACAATGTCTTAAGTCAACTACAGCATGGTTATGATAGAGTGTCATTAACAGGCATTCCTAGAAAGTCATCTCCATCCCCTTTCCTATCATTCATTTCTTTGGGATAATTTATAGACACACCTATACAGTCATACCTTGGATCCCGAACGCCTTGGTACTCGGACATTTTGGCTCCCGAATGCCGCAAACCTGGAAGTGAGTGTTCCGGTTTGCGAACGTTTTTTGGAACCCGATGTCCAATGGGGCTTCTGCAGCTTCCAGTTGGCCAATCAGAAGCCATGCTTTGGTTTCTGAATGTTTTGGAAGTCGAACAGACTTCTGGGATGGATTCCATTCGACTTCCAAGGTACGGCTGTATTTGAAAATGGTCTGTAAATGGTTTTAAGTTTGGCAAACAGACAGAACACAGAGATTTTTTACTGTTGTTTTTACATTAGCAACAAAATGTATCATATCTGTATTTTATCTGTGCCAAATTAACATGCTCTACCAATTGTCTTTAAATTGACATAGTGAAAGGACTTCTTGAAGTTAATGGCTGGTTAACAAAAAATCATTAGCTTGTTGGTTGGCCTGTTATTGTGCTTTTTGGGAGCATAGGTGAAGGATTTATTTAACAAAATTTATATAATGCCTGCTCTTTTTTTAAGCCTGTAAAGAATTTACAACAAAAGATTTTACAGTGGTGCCTCGCAAGACGAAATTAATCCGTTCTGCGAGTCTCTTCGTCTTGCGGTTTTTTCGTCTTGCGAAGCACGGCTATTAGCGGCTTAGCGGCTATTAACAGCTTAGCGGCTATTAACGGCTTAGCGGCTTTAAGAAAAAGGAAACAAACTCGCAAGAACTCACAAGACGTTTCGTCTTGCGAAGCAAGCCCATAGGGAAATTCGTCTTGCGGAATGACTCAAAAAACGGAAAACTCTTTCGTCTAGCGAGTTTTCGTCTTGCGAGGCATTTGTCTTGCGGGGCACCACTGTATATTTAGTCCAAATGACATCTCCAGGGAGCCCAAAGTGAGCACAGTTGTCAGGCGTGATTCTTGTATTTGCAAATACTAGTCCAAGCTAATGTACAAGTGGAGATTTTAGTGTTAGATAGGCCATGCCTGGCTTTCTGGTTCACCTTCCTGATACAGATAAAAAAGCACACTGGCCTAACCACTGAATGACACGTTACAGGAATTAAACTCAGGAATGTTATTGGCAGAGGGAGGTAAACAGATGAAATTCTAAACATTTTATGCATTGCTCATGCCTCATGTTCCTGCTAGCTTTTTCTGGATAGCCAGATCTCTCTTTTCTGAATTGAAGAACAGGAATCCCCTTTTGACAGTCACACAGTTTTTCCATTGCTCTGTAAATTCAATGAATCAAGATACTTGAACAGGCTGCAGCATGGAATGCACAGTAGTGTGGTTGGCAGGAAGAGAACTCTAGAGAAATAAGAACTATTGCACTAGGAGCTTGCAAGCTAGCTTTATCTAGTTGACCGCTTCTTATGCTGAAATTAAAGTCTGCAGTATGTTATTAAATATGCAATTAATCACCCTAACCCTAACTTGCCTGTTGCTAAATTTTGTATGACTTGCTTTTGTGTAAACATAGGATTGGGGTGCAAATAATAATAATAATAATAATAATAATTTTTATTTATACCCCGCCCTCCCCAGCCAAGGCCGGGCTCAGAGCGGCTTACAAGCAATAATAAAAACAAATTGAATGATTACAACTTAAAAACAAAATTAAAATACCACATTAAAATATGGAAATGTTAAAATGTAGCCTCATCGCAGGAGGAGAAGGAAAGGAAAAAAGAAAGAAAGGGAGGGAGGGAATCAAATTGGCTCCAAGCCAAAGGCCAGACGGAACAACTCTGTCTTACAGGCCCTGCGGAAAGAAATCAGATCCTGCAGGGCCCTGGTCTCATGAGACAGAGCGTTCCACCAGGCCGGAGCCAGAGTTGAAAAGGCCCTGGCTTCCTTAGGGCCCGGGACCACTAGGGTGTTGCTAGTGGCTTGAGGCTCTCCGTGGGGCATACCCCACGGTCCCGTAGGTACGAGGGTCCTAGGCCGTGAAGGGCTTTAAAGGTCAAAAGCAGCACCTTAAATCTGACCCTGTACTCTACCGGGAGCCAGTGCAGTTTGAAAAGCAGTGGGTGAATATGCTCCCGTAGCAGAGACCCCGTGAGGAGCCTCGCTGCAGCATTCTGCACCCTCTGGAGTTTCTGGGTCAGCTTCAAGGGCAGCCCCACGTAGAGCGAATTACAGTAGTCAAGCCTGGAGATGACCATCGCATGGATCACTGTGGCCAGGTCGGGGCGGGAAAGGTAAGGGACCAACTGCTTGATGCGGCGAAGGTGTAAAAATGTCGCCTTGGCTGTTGCTGTGGAAAGGGAGGAGTCAAGGATTACACCCAAACTCTTAACGGAAGGCAATGGCACTAATTGGGCCCCCGCAAGAGAAGGGCATACATCTTCTGATGATAAAGTATGGACAATGAAAAAATGTTTTGTAAGCCCTTCTACAGCTTTCACTGTATTACAGGTTGAGAATGGAAACCAGTGACTGTTGCTTATCTCATCTACTGTTGCTTATCTCGTCAAATTGTTGTTTAAATATTTGTATATTTGGTTATATCAAAAAGTGTTGCTCAACTGACAATAAAGCTTCCATTGTTAAAACAAGGAGAGAAGCAATTTTTTGTGATTTCCCCCCCTCCCCCTGCACCCACCCTAAATCTTCTCTGGAGGATCCTCCAACCTTCTAGAGCCCGAGGGAGAGGGGGTTGCCAGTGGGAAATTGCCAAAAAATGTTTCTTTGCTCATTCTGCTAATTGAAACCTTACTGGCAGCTGAGTGACAATATTGGACACAATCCATTGTTCATAGGTTTTATAATGCTGAGTCTCCATGCAGTTCTAAGAATAACTGCATTCAAAATCTTCCATCAGCCTTAAGACATCAATTGCAATCAAGCAAACAAACATTTTAGGCTGCCATAAGGCCACTGCTGAAGGCATTTCCCTGACAAAAATCAGTGGAACGTGTTTCCACTTGACGTGGAATCAATTAATACCAGATTTCACTGCTTTGTAACAGTTATGTTAAAGTTTTGCCTGATACGTAGATGCACACTGTTATCTCCTGCAGGTATTGTCAGATGAGGAAAAGCGAAAGCAGTATGATGCATATGGAGAAGAGGGATTGAAAGAGGGTCACCAGAGTTCTCATGGAGATATTTTTTCACAGTAAGTCTGTTTTATTTCTCCAACATATTTGCACAACATTACAAGCTTTACAGTGAAGGGATATCATTGGTAGTTCATTGCAGCCAACACTATTGCTGTAGTTTATTGTCTTCAGGTTATTCTCTGGCTTCTTTCATAATGAGTGACATGTGCAAGAATATATTACAGCAATAGAAGTCTGTCATGGTGAGTAGACACTGCACTGAATCCATATCACACAAGTGAATATTCCTTTTAAAAAAAATCAGCTATAGAAGAGGCAGGGAAGAGTTAAGTCCCTTGTGACTGGGAAGACAGAACCAATTAAATTTATTTCTGCTGGAGCAAACACTTCCAGGGGGATCTGAAAGTCAAACTAGAATGTCTGAATATCAGTTTCTTGATTGGTGTGAATGGGTCCTCCATGTGGACATTTTCATCCTCCTTATGAGGAGAGGCCCAACATTGGCTCAGTTCACATGCAAGGGGTATGCCAAGGCAGGACAGTTATTTTGCAAGTTCCAGATAGTGAAAGCAAAGTCAGAAAACACTCACAATTCTCTGGCCCCTGGGTCTGATTTTTCCCCAATGCTTTCACACCTTGCTTTGGGATAGTGTTAAAGTTTTCCTCCAAATATCAAGGCCACTTGAACAGAGATTACCTTGTTTGCTTCATTTTGGCAGAAACATATTTGGTTCTTGGAGCTGTTAACCCTCTAGACACAGAAGCCATGGCAGAGTTCACAGTGGCTCTCCATTTCCAACATGTATCATGCCTTCCTATTTCCAAGGCACAGCAGCCTTTTGTTATCATGTTAGCAGTTCCAAATAATTTTCTGGAGGTAGCATGTGAATATGCTTAATAAAACTCTGCAGCTCTCAGAAGCAATGTTAAAGCTGAGAATATCAGTGGTTTTATGTAAGATGCTCTGAAACAAGGTAAATATATTTAAAATAGTTAAATAAAAATCAGTAAGCCAGCTGTATAGTTTTCCCTGTCCACATGTGTACCAATTTTGTAATGATGCACAAATTTGCAGACCTCTTGTTTCAGGAGATATATTCTGTAATATTTTCATTCCCTGAGAGGGCACAACCACTTCAAAACCCACTCTGGGATCTGAAGCAGGTTTTATACATCCCTTTCCTTCCTGTTCTGACACTGTTCATTTAGTAGAAGAGTAGGAAGACCCACCCATGTATAGACCAGGCAAAGTTTACTGAGAAGGGGGCTCAGAGTCTATGCAAAACTGAGTAATAGAGCTGTTTCTTATTGCCCCGTAAGCTTTTTTCACGTTTCAATTTTTGCAATTTGATTGTCTCAGTGCAGTTTGCTTTTGTTTTTGCAAGCAGCTCCTCTTCCTGTTTTTATTAGTTATTTCTTCACAGAAGTTATCCCTCAAATTGGGAAGAGATTCCTTTCAGGAAGGTGATATAAATCTGATAATCTTCTGAGTTGATGAAATTAACCCTTTCATGCATGCTCTCCTACCAGTTGATTTGAAGGAGCCCCACAATAGGCCCATTACTCTTTTCTCTTAAATAATGATGGTTCATTTCTTTACAGTTTCTTTGGAGACTTTGGTTTCATGTTTGGAGGTAATCCTCGCCAGCAAGATAGGAACATTCCAAGAGGAAGTGATATCATTGTGGACCTAGAAGTTACACTGGAAGAAGTGTACTCAGGAAATTTTGTGGAAGTAAGCATGCCAGTCTGCTCCTTATTATTCTGTTAAGTTCTGGGGATATGGAAGTTATATATTCTTCTTTGAACATAAATGAGAGTCTACACTGAAATTTGGCATCAGGCTTCTTCTTCCCATGAATGGCATACAGAAAAGTAGAAAATCGCTATCACTTTTGTATTGCTACTGAGAGTTTGTGGTTTCTGCCTTTCCTGGCACTTTTGCCTTTAACAGACCATACAATGAAGAATGTTGTTGTCACCTGAGTGCTTGTTGAGCCAGTCTTGAGGGTATTGCTAATGTTCCAGTGGAACAGCTGGTAGTGCTAATGTTCCAGTGGAACAGCTGCAGCGATTTTAACTGGTCTAACTAAAGCTTTTGCTAATTGATCTTTCTGCCTTTCGTCATTACTGAGCAGGCTGCCAAGTTATTTCTGCTTCTAGTGTGTGTAGAAGGAGGTGGCAACAAACTCAAATTGTGTCTTGCCCTCTGGAGAGTTTTATGTGAAGTGAAACAAGACTGTGATGCCAAAAAAAGAAGACTGCTAGTAGTGGTTGGGTCATATTTACTGTTGCTTTTTCAGAAACAGTCTTTAACACAGCTTCTACCTTCTGCAAAGGGAGATAAATCCCTCCCTCAATCCTCGAGCATACTTTGGATTCAGAGGGGAACAACCAGAGCTGGACACAAATAAGGGCTGGCTTCTGGTAAGCCGTATCCAAATTTGTGGATTCCTGCTCTAACTGCTGCAGGTATTCACAAATCATTGAAATAAGTTGTGCTTTTGGTATTCATAAGTAGGTCGAGATTGCGATTAATATTTACTAAACTTACGAGTCGCCTATGCAGAAAAGGTGTAGGCAATTTTACAATTCAAAACATTAGCAACATACAATATAAGGAATACTGTACAGTGATACCTCAGGTTAAGTACTTAATTCATTCCGGAGGTCCATTCTTAACCTGAAACTGTTCTTAACCTGAAGCACCACTTTAGCTAATGGGGCCTCCCGCTGCCGCCGCACCGCCGGAGCACGATTTCTATTCTTATCCTGAAGCAAAGTTCTTAACCTGAAGCACTATTTCTGGGTTAGCAGAGTCTGTAACCTGAAGCATATGTAACCTGAAGCGTATGTAACCCGAGGTACCACTGTACACATTTTAAAATACATAATTTAATCTTCACCAATCAACAACTATCAAAAACACCTGTTCAGACACATACCTAAATTAGGATATGTTGGTATCTAACTGACTTGTTCCATCAGAGTAAGGATTTCTGCTGCACAATGGAATTCCCCCCTGTGTGCCCCCCAGATCTGTTCTCTGGGTCTCCTCAATCCTCCAAAATAGATTGGGAGAGGGTGCAGGAGGGATCAATTGCACAAACAGAGTGCATTGGATACTGCCCATTAATACAACAGAGACAACCAGTCCCACCCACCAAATATATAAGCATTTTTAGAGGAAGCAGCAGCACTCTCACTTCTGCTAGGCTGCCTTGTTTTGTCTGTATATATGTATGTGACATGCTAGCTGCAAAGCCTAAGGTGGCAAGCTGAGGTAAGTGGAATGTGTGCGTTTACTCAAGCCATCAAGACTAAAGTGCTTTATGTGTGTAATCTGAATATGAGACTCTGGTTCTTTATATTTCTGCAGGTTATTCGAAACAAGCCAGTAGCAAGGCAGGCACCAGGGAAGCGGAAATGCAATTGCCGGCAAGAGATGAGAACAACTCAACTAGGCCCAGGGCGTTTCCAGATGACCCAAGAAGTAGTTTGTGATGAATGTCCCAATGTCAAGTGAGTCTGAGGTCCTCTGGCTCTTTGGTGCATGCATAGTTTGCAATTATGCATCGCTGTTGAAAGTAGCAGAGAGAGAGAATGGTTACATTACCACTTTGAGCCACATGGTGGTGTATTGTGTAGCTCATCTATGGGAATGAAAGAAGGAGAAATTGTTGGAAAACCAGGGTTACTGACTGGAATTTGAATAATTGCCCCACCAATATAGATTCCCTGATATATATTTTTTCCTGTCAAATAGAGCATTTCATTTGTGTTGTGGAATGGAATGGAACTTGTGAATGCTCCCTGCAGCATTCTTATAGATGACTTCTTGAGTCATCTGGAAACACCTTCTTTCTGTGTACCTTCAAGGTTCCATAATGTAGTAAGCCCAACACTTCTGTAGTTCAGTTGCACAGCATGGTCTGAATAGCAAAGAAAAGCAAACATCTCTTCTATAGTGCAATCATTAAAGAAAGAAAGCATTTTAAAAAAAAAAAAAAAAAAAGAGTACTGCCTTTCTCCCCTGTTTCTTAGGCTTGTAAATGAAGAACGAACCCTAGAAGTGGAGATAGAACCTGGTGTGAGAGATGGTATGGAATATCCCTTTATTGGAGAAGGTACAATATTCCCTTTCTATCTGGAGTTAATATCTTGTTGGGTCTGAGGTAGTAAAGAACTTGGGTGGGGGGTAGAACTTGTCAGAAAAGCTGGTTGATTTTTCAAATTGGTTTCCTTTTTGAAAGAACCTGTTTTGGGGCTGGAACAGCAGTAAAGATTCACCTCTTCTAACTCAGCGCTATCTACATAGAACATTATCCCCACAGCTACCTTAGCAATGGCAGTTCCAGAGGATGCTCTGGTGGAGAGCCTCCAATTGGCCATGGGCAACAGCCATGCCCCCATCAATGGCACCAGTTGCATTAGGCTATAATAAGGAAGGGATGCAGGGTTTCCATTAGCTCAGCTAATAAGTCAGGGTTCTTCCCCTGACACCTGGCAGCAGCTATTCTGTCAGGCAGCAGAGAAGAGAACGAAGACAAGACCACACCATCAGTACAGCTGAGAAACCATCAACTTTTGGCACCTCTTTTCCTTTAACACTTTCACCCCAACTAGTCATTAGATTTCAAATAACTTGTACCTGAGTTTACTTATTTTCTGCCATCCAATCCATTTTACTTTTGTCATTACTTTGTAGATGGTAAGTATGAGGGCAGGGACTTGAGTGAGGATTTTTTGTCTCTATCATCTGTAAGCTACTATACAATCCTATTTGGTGTAAGAGCAGGATAGAATTATTTAAACATCTTTTTTACTTGGATCATGTGACTATCGGAAAGCTTATAGGGAAGAATTGGCTTTGGGTTTCATTTGTGGGAAGTGAAATGGTTTTGAAACCAGACCCAATCCATATTCAAACTTCCACAGGTGAACCACATGTTGATGGAGAGCCAGGTGACTTGCGCTTCCGAATAAAAGTTCTCAAGTAAGTCGCTTAGTTATTTTTGCCTTGTTTACCCATAAATTGTTTAACCCCCCCAAAAAAATCATATATTAACTAGTCACTGTACAAACTTACTTTGCATAAATATTTCCACCCGCTAAGCTGCAGAAGGTTTTGATGATCCCCATAGAAAATTGTCCCGTCCTGCAAAGACTGAGGTGGATTTATTGCCTTTGGCAACAAGAGTGACAGACAGACAGGATAATTCACAAATCTTCATTCATTTTTCTAAAGTTAAATGCTAGAGAGTTTGACAAGTATTACAGAAAATTGATGAAGTAACAAGTAGAATATGTTAATGTTTTCTAACATCTTTCCTACAGGCACCCAGTTTTTGAGCGAAGAGGAGATGATTTATATACAAATGTGACTATTTCACTGGTTGAGGCTCTTGTGGGTTTTGAAATGGATATTGCCCATTTAGATGGGCATAAGGTAAGGCAGTTTTTTCTATTTGAGATAATACATTTTCAGAGTAGTCTCCTATGTTATTTCCATGATAATTGCATCTGTTGACACTAAAGTATGGGGGGGGTTTGCTGATGTGTCAAAGTATTTAGTCACAAATGCCAATCCTGTAAACTCTTCACCACACTCCCATCTACTAGGTGCATGTTGCCCGGGATAAAACCACAAAGCCTGGAGCCAAGCTGTGGAAAAAAGGAGAAGGTCTTCCCAACTTTGACAACAATAACATTAAAGGCTCTCTAATAATTACATTTGATGTAGACTTTCCCAAAGAGCAGCTGACAAGTGAACAACGAGAAGGTTTGTATCTATGTATCCTAGAATAGTGTTGCTATGGTAAAATCCCACATGGTTTGATCAGTAGTTCCATTTACTGATATATTCTTCATGCTGAGATCTGGAAGTTACTTTGTCATCTAAGTGTCCATCTTGTGGGTATCATTCTGTCATTTTCCAGTTTTAAGATTCTGTGTTCAAAGGCATGCCATCTATTAGAATAGGTTGGCTGCAAGATAATGATTCAACCAGTTTGCTGCAGCCTGTCAGAAAGGGCTGCTCTGGCTATAACATGGTCCCAACCACTACAGACATTGTGACAAAAGTGACAAGATCTCTTCAGGGGTATGTTCTGGAAGACTAGGGATGGTAGGGAGGAGAGCAGCCATTGCTGCTTTGTACAATTTTTAAAATATTGCTAACTTTTCAAACAGTGAAATTTGAAAACAGGTCAGGAATCTTTTCCAGGCGTCTTGCTTGTTCCTAGTCTGCTTTAGTTATTAACCAAGGTAATATCATTGCTTTTGTAGCATATCTGTTTTTCTGTGGGAGTATTTGCATAGACATCATTCTGGAAGTTTTTCTCAAAACCGTTTTGAGTGAGCCAGACTCAAAGTATCAGAATTCATTTGATTTTCTTTCCTCCTTGTGACATATTTGGAACATTGTATGGTTATTACTTTTTTCAATCTTTTGCAGGTCTCAAACAACTGCTGAAACAGGCATCAGTGCAGAAGGTGTACAATGGACTGCAGGGATATTAAGTGGTGACAAATGAACTTTGTTGCAACTGAGAGAAATCAGTGCTGTGAACTGCAGTCTTCTGGTTGTTGTAGAACAAAGCTGAGGGGTGTTGGAGTGACTGCTGAGCCCTCCATTTTTACAAATAGTGAAGGTGATTTGGGGACAGATCAGAAGACGGTAAAAGAATTTTCCTTATTTGGGACACAACTGGTGCTCTATCTGGAGCAATCAGGCTCCAGCAGTTGAGAAATGTGAGGCGTTTTAACACACGTACCACGTTTGAAATTCTGGTTTTAAAATATATTTTGATGTTACTTTTTCTTGCCCCTCTGAGTGAATTTTCATAACTCGTTCCCTATCCCTCCGATTTACTTTATATTGTCTCTGTTTCAGACTTTTAAACTAATGGGTTCTTTGCTGCTATCATTTTTGGTTCTTGGGCCCAGCTTGGAAAATATGGGTTTAAAATCTTTTCAGTCTCCTAATTTCTGTACATACCTAGTCCTCTTATCACTCACTCTAATGGAATTGAGGCATGAGAAACCCTTATCTCTGCAGTTGAAATTTCATTTGCTTTCTGCATTGTCCTCTGGGGTTTGACAACTGTCCAGATACTTCCTATTGTTTGTACTGTGGAAGTGTACTGTAGCTGTTGCCACCACACAGTTTTGCATTTAGTTCTACACAAGCATTGCTGCAGTACATGACACTGTCCATGAAAAATTTTGACAGTTTGCTATGCATTTCTAAGAGTGGCAGCAGTACTTACCACTGGGTTTCCTTTATAGACTATAGCAAATGTGTATGGATTTGTAATCTGTGGTTCATAAACAGACAATCCAGCAAGCAAAGACTATGCAGTCCCTTAGACGGAGCACCATTTGAGTAGAGAAGGTTTACACTTGGTTATATGGGGTGAAAGTGATAAGACTCTCATTGCTGATAGAGAATTTGCTCCATGCAGCTCCAAAAGAGAAATGTACTCCCCGCTCCTCCACCTTTGTGCAGCTGTTGCTGCTTTCCCCCTATTTCTTAGAAACTGCATCAAAACACTTCCTCCCTAGCCTGTGGTTCAACAAATTCAGTCTTTGCATTTTATGCAATTGATGTAAGCCAACATACTCATGTAGCCTTCTGTGGGAACTGTAAAGCCAATTCATATTTTACAGAACAAGTATGTTTGCAGCAATAAGCGATGTGGTAACCCCAGCCACTCAGGAACCTAGGACACTTTGAGCTTCCCATATGCTTACAAACCATTGCCTCCATTTCACACTGCATATGGTATTGTACTCCTGCAAACACTGGGCATATATGCAACACACACTTTTGTATCTGAATTTGCCCTTGTTTCCAACTGTTTTGAAGACTTGTTGATAACACATACATTCATGCAAGACAGAAAGACTCAGAATGGTATCCAGCTCTTCCTTTATCATCCAAACTCTCCCTTGGCTAATGAGCACAGCAATCTTAAAAATCTTTCAGGCTCCTGAAGTATATCCCCTGCAATTAGTTGTGTATGTTTCAATATGGCTTATGTTCTCTTCTTGGTGAAATGTTAGCTGGATTTTTTTTCTTTATATATCAGCTCCTTGTGCTGGATAAGAGTGAATCAGTGCTTATTTTCTCTGCTGAAGATGAAAGTGTTGTATTGGCACTAATACTATCTGAAATAACAATGTATTGTCACCATAATCTATGTGAACAGAGAACTAGAGATAGATTAGCATTGAAAGTGTCCACATAACTGTTGATAAGTTGGAGTGATTTTATAAAAAATATCCAGCATTTGCTACATTCAGAAAGCCAGCCCCTTCCTATCCTTCCTCCTACTGTTGAAAGTATTTTTATGTATAAAGAGAAGAGGCCTTAAAGAGAGAGCTGGAAGGGTTTTGGGGTTGCTTTTAGTAAAGAACCTTTACCATTTCAAAGCAGAAAGAGACAAGTTTGCTATTTTGCAGAAATAGTAGAGTTTTACCTATTTGGGGTGTAACCCAGTGAGGCTTGATTGAGCAGATGTCTAATGTTCCTAAGAGCATTTTTAAATGAGTTTTGGCTTTCCACTCAGATCTGTTGCAAGGATAAGATGTGTAGAGTTGAGGAGCAACTCCTGGTTTGTCCCTTGCTGCTGTAATCTCAAGGAAGTCTGTGGAAAGAAAGTTAATGGGAGTCCTGGCTTCTGGAAGTGTTCTTGTATGCTCAGTACTAGCTTCAGTAAGAGAAGCACTCTTTCTAGCTTGGCTTCCTTTTCATCAAAGTAGACATCTCTGTGGCTCTTGATTCCTCCTCCACCCCCACTCACTCACCCAGTCAATAGATATTCCTGAGATGTTGGGTTGTTATTGTTGAAACTTATCATTCTGCATTGCACGCTATATATCCAAGGGAGGTATGAAGATATAACAAGAGTCACACATGGCTTTCTTCTCCAAAATCTGCTGAAGTATACCACAGTGCCTTGGATATACCTGCCACACGAAACACTACAGCAGAGCTTTCCAAACTGTGTCGTGACACTTTAGCGTGTCGGCTGCAGCGTTTAGGTGTCTTGCGCGATATGTGTCTGTATCTCTTATAAGGGGTTAGTTTGAGCTCTGGTTTGCTAGGAGAACTGAATGTGTCGCAGAGTGATGCATGTCAAAAAGGTGTGTCACCAACATGAAAAGTTTGGAAAGCTCTGCACTACAACATGATCTCACTGCTGCTTCTGAAGACTAGGGACAGTGGTGCAATGCCCAGTTCTGGATCCAGAATCATTCAAACATCCCTTCTCATCAAGCATTCTGTTTCAACAGCGGTCAGCCAGATGATTCCAGAAAGCCAACAATCTGGGCATAAAGGCAGTAGTTTGTACATGCATGCACACACAGACACACACTCTCACTACAGCAACATGATGCCTCAAAATGGAGGCTCCATTCAGCCAGTCTTTCTAATAGCCATGGATAGACCTATACTTCATTAATTAGTTTGGCCCAAGAGCCATTACCACATTTTGTGGCATGTGAAGACTTTATTTTAAAAACTATTCATCGATCCCATCTCAATATCTTACGCTGTTGGACTGAAATAATGTCAAATAGGAGCAGTAATAATTCCCAGATTTAGGATGCTTTAAAGGAGGCTGTGATTGAGCAAAACGAGGTTCAGGTATGTTTTTATGCTGTGCTTCTGTGGTGTCAGTCCATTGATGTGGGTGAAACACTAAAGTTCTATGGGGAGAGGCTGTTTGCCCTGGTAGTAATGACAGGAGATGGAAAGATTCCTGTGAGACCGGTAGTGATCTTGCTGTTGTTCTACAGCCCATCTTATTCTTACAGGTAGATGTGAGGCAAGGGATACAGATTTATATAGACATTGGCTTGTTTCTTCATATGAATTTTTTTAAAAAAAAAGAGGGATGGGAGGAATTTGAATCAGTTTACATTTAAATGCTAACCTACCTAATCCACACTTTCTTTAAAAAAATACACAAAAATACACCAAGCAAAATATAAGCCATCCTTTGAAATTCACCCTTCTCCGAATTTTGCAATGTAGCTCTCCAGCCACATAACGTGTACAAAAATGCATATATTGGTGAAATGACATAGAAATTCACACTAAAATAATGAATTTACATAAGGACTCTTAAAATAAAATTCTGATTGATGTGGAAATGTGGAGAAGTGGACTTAAAATTGGAAAGATGAGAAACGGAATTGGGCAGATTCACCCATCCCAACTTCATTGTTCTTCTGTGGTGTTTGGTTATCCCATCTGCAGAGCTGCTGGTCCATATAATACTTCAGATGCTATCTCTTCCCGCCTGTGCATAGGAAGATGCAAAGAGCTAGTGCCATTACAGCAAGGGCACCAAGGCTGATGCCTACCACCAGTGGAGTGTGTGAACGTCCTTCATGTTTCCCTGTAAGGCAAAAAAGAAAAGAAAAAGATTTGAGAGTTTTTTTTCTACACCTGAGGGGTTGCAGCTGCATTCTAAGACTTGATAAGTAAATGTTGCTTTAGCTGTTTAGGTGGGTGGGTTCAAGGATTGGAACTTTTGTTTTCAAGATTTAAGTTGCTTCTGTCTGAGCTAATGCATTCACTCTCAAACTTCTAACCATTTGAGTCAGCTCGTGAAAAAAGTTGGGTAGGATGGTGTTTGCGGGGGAAATATGACTGAACTGATGGACTCGTCCACTTTCAACCCACTGCTTCAGCAGGAGATTGTGGGTGTCCCTTGCAAGGAAGAGGAAACTCAAAGCAAATGTCAGTTGGTATATTCTCTGCACCAAGATAATTCTGGATTCTGCAGCTAATAAAGCATTTTACAGTGGTACCTCTGGTTACATACTTAATTCGTTCCGGAGGTCCATTCTTAACCTGAAACTGTTCTTAACCTGAAGCACCACTTTAACTAATGGGGCCTCCCACTGCTGCTGCCACGCCGCCGCCACACGATTTCTGTTCTCATCCTGAAGCAAAGTTCTTAACCCAAGGTATTATTTCTGGGTTAGCAGAGTCTGTAACCTGAAGCGTATTTAACCCGACGTACCACTGTATATCTGTGCAGAGCTCTGCAACTAGTCAGAAGCAGCAAAGCTAGCAAGAGTCCTGAAGTCTGGATCTCTGGAAAGCCTCTGTAATATGCTGCACTCATTCTGCCTCGCCACCCCACTGTCGCCCCGTGACATCTTACGGAATTGTCAGGTGTTTTGCATCCCTGCTTTCATCAAACACTCCCAAGACTATCTTCAGCATGTCAAAGACAAGGTGCTTATAGTTCTCTTTTTAAAGAAAGGCAGTGATTCAGAATTCTGTACCTCATTCCAACATCTATGCTTGTGGTGTGACAGCACCACAAAATATACCCATCCCTCTCCATTAGTGTGTGTTGGTAAGAAGACTGCCATAAAGGATACTTGGTTGTGTCCTCCCTTGGACAACCTGCACAGGGTAGGAGTGCTTCTCAGACATCATATAACCAGTGTTTCACATACCTGTAAAGGCTCCTTTCACTGCGGTGTGCTCTGTTACAATCTTGATGCAAGTTTCCTTCAGGAAGAAAGCTGGGTCCACACTGGTTTCATTGTATTGGTTCAGCTGCATACTGGTATAGCTGGCCACAGGAGTTTCCTGTAAAGGTACCCAGCTCTTATTGGCTGCATTGAATCTCAGGAAATCAGTCCCATTGACTAAAACCTCATAGAAGGTTCTGTTGGTGCCATTCCCAAAGATCTGGCACCCCAAAGTACAATGCATGTGTAGGGGGTCTGCAACAAAAGCAAATGTGTTAGAAATATTTTCCCCGTAACTGGCCTCTTATCTTTCTCACATGCACCCTTGTACTATGCTGAATTGCCTAAGGAAGCAGTCTGTCTGCACGTCTCAGGGAAATTAGCCCTGACATGTCCGCAAAGAGCTATTTCACGTATACAAATTGTGGCAAACAGGCTACAGCTAATGCTAGCTCTCCAGAAAGCGTAAATATGCATACAACACAATAAGCAAGATGTGCATGTTTTCAAATAATTGTTTGACCACGTCCCTATTTCATACTTTTTGATAGACAAGGAAAAAAATAAGTACACCTCAGAAAGTAATAGGGGCAGAAGAAATAATCTTCAGTATAGGAGGCTGGAAGGTTTACCAAATGCATCCCTACTCTGGGAATATTTTGAGAAGATCATTTTTCTTTTCAAGATCTCACTTTCTCAGTGCAAAATCTTAACTGACACCAGACAGGGCAATTTTACCTTTTATTGAGGTGTTTTAGCACTTGCTGCCCACTAAAATATCCAAGCATTGAACTTGCTGGATCAAAGCAATGCATCTTCACTATACAGCCCCTTTGCCATCTCTTGCTTTCCTTAGCAAGTCAGTTTTACTAAACCTGTGTCTTTATTTGACAAACTTATGCAAGCAAATTAGAACAAGGCCTGGAATGTTTTAGTTATAAAGCATAATACAAAATGAAGTACCTTAACAGTTCTTAGTATTCATTAAGGGATATAATATGAATGAATGCATATATTAATATATAATTTTATTTCTACCACAGACTGCAAATTGGTCTCATAGCTGACTGCAATAATAGGAGCTGGCTTCTTGGCTGCCTCTGTGGCTTAATTTTACTTAACAGTAAATGGCACCATACTTTCCGTCATACGCAAATCTCTAGATAAACTATTTACTCCGTGATCACACCATGTCCCAAAGTTTGGTGCTCAATGATACCATCATCTTAAGCAGCTGTGACAGTTGCTATGGCAACAACTGTGCCCGTTATCATCGCACCACAATACTCACATGGTATTTTCCTTTCGCGAGCAAACAGGTTGACCAACGTCTTGAAAAGCTCAAGGTATTTTTGCAGTGCACTCTTCCTCTGCTCCCAGAGATCTAAAGATTCCAGCTGGAGCAACTGGCTTGCATTCATTTGCTCATTTTGATACTCCATGCTGTGGGTAAGTTTTCCATCCAGAGTGGCATTACCTACCATTTCCACTGAACTCTTGTTTGGGAAGTAGGCCAGGTGAGTCATAACTAAGGCATGAGATTCTGAGAGGAAAACCAGAACAACCTAAGTTATTGCCTTCAGCCACCTGCAAATGAGAAATAGCAAAAGCACGTTCTTTCACACTAGCCTATCCTTGCTCCCTTTTGCTCAGAGGCAACCACAAGTGAATAAACTAAAGTTGACAGGAAACTTCATACAGGAAGGAAGGAAGGGGTTTCTTTCCTGGCTTATCCTTCAAGGGGATGCTTTTCTAGTCGCAGGGCTGAAAGTGGCATGAATTTGACTGCCATCCCCTTGTTGTTCCTAGACTGGAAGGCACCACCTTTTCCTGTGGTGACTTGCTCGAAAGCAGCTAAGAGGGAAATAAATTTCCCTCACAGAGGGAGCAGGTAGCTTCCTATATGCAGGTGCATGCTGTGCCCATGGTAAATGCCAGCTCCTTATCATATGGCTGGCCTTTCTCTGAAGCAAGATAAAAGCAGCTACTTCAGGAAACAGATTTCAGAGGGAGTGCTATTTCCCTGCTTCCATCCTCTCTCTGTGCAGTTCAAACGAACAATGAGTGGAAGTGAGGTATCAATTTGAATTTTGCTGCAGCTGCAAAGAATAAAATCCATTAAGGCCAGCCCTGTGCAGTCAAGGTGGTGAGATGTAGTTAGAGCTTGGTCACACTCTGCCATACGGAACTGTTCTGGGAATTTTTAAACCAATTGGCAGGCTTTATTAAAAGTTAAAATAATTCTGAATGTATTATATATGTATTCCATATTTTTGTTTATCTGGAATGCTAGCACATTTCCTATCTGATTCATTTCTGTCCCTCTCATGCTTAAAACGAAAAGGGAAATTTTCCTCAGTTTAAACAGGGAAACTAAAATTCAGAATTTTAGTTTTGCTTGAAATTTGTTTAAAATACTGAGCTTGAAAAAGGATGCTATAATATACCTGCTACAAAGGCTGCTGTTGAATGATGAGCTCTCTCTGAAAACAAATATAAATCATTTGATGCATGGTGATAAGAATATAAGAATAATTAATAATAGAGCATTATGCTAAATTGCAGGAACAAGCTTGCTTTTAAGAAAGATGCTAGTGGCCATGCCAAATAGTCACAAGATTCTGGTCAAAAGCTGACAGTTATTTAGAATCAGTAGTAGGTGATAATTACCCAGGGCTATAATGGTCCCTATTGTAGTGGAGCACTTTTTTGTGCTACATAGAAAAGTCAAGATCCCAGATTAGATTTTCTTCCTATGTAATGGTACCATGGTAAGCAGGAGAGCTTGAACTCTGGTGCAAGCATAGATGCCAGAGTCAACCGAAAACGTTTTGCTGCCTGCTGCTAAGTACAAAAGCTAACTAGATTGGGAGTAAATGTTACTTCAACTTTGGCAATCTGTGGTTAGCTTAGGGGGCCAGGACAGGGCTTGTGGAACACAGCTGTGTCAAGACACTCTTTAAATCAGGGAAGGGAACCTGTGGCCCTCCAGATGTTGCAGAACTCCCATCATCCCTAACCACTGGCCATGCTGGCTGGGGCTTGTGATAGTATATTCCCAACAATTTCAGGAGGGTCAGAGAGCCCTCACCTGCATTTAAGGGTTGTTTGTTATTTAAAAACACCATTGCTCTATAGAACGTAATGAATGTCTCACTGAACAATATGACAACTCTGAAGTAGTATGTGTGTGTGCCTGCATATAGTACTTTAATGGATCAGGCAAGTCTGTTTTGTTGAGACCAACAAGAGCTGTTCTTATAACCAGGTCCTGTACATGAGGCTGAACTCAGTTTCTACTTTGCAGTTCTGTGTTCCTGCCAGCCGTTTCCATCTTTTGCTCTAAGCCGAACTTACAAACGCTGGCTAGATTCCCAAATATCTCTTGTTCTGATTCTCCACCCCCCCACCCAGATTTCAGACAGTAGTCTTACTTATTTAAAACATTTTTCAAGGCAGCGTACACCATAAAAACAAAAGGATGAAAGCAAAAGAATAACAGAACCAATTCGTACATGTTTATGCAGAGTGAAGCCCCACTGTGTTGAATGAGGTTTAGTCTGGGTGCTTTAAGGATTGCTGGCTAAAACGATAACTATTTAAATGTCTGGATAAATACAAATGTTTTTGTCTAATGCCTAAGCAGCTGTGAGTGGCGCCAGGCAAACTTCTTGAGGAGGGTGTTCAAGTAAGCCCCTCTGCTGTGTAGATGTTCTTCAAAACGCTGACAAGACACATGGAGGATCTTGACAGATGATTTTACTGATTAGGCAGGTTGATACAGAAGTAAAGATATGCATATAGATCACACACAAAGGGAGCCCCTAGGTAATAGACATTTCTGTCTCCACCCCAAAAAGTTGTCTACAAACATTTTCAGTTTAATAAAACTGCACTATGCCATACACACTCCCTGTCTTAACAGATTGCATGCTATCTGCAGTTTTCTGGAAATAATCTAGCTTCTTTCTTCTGAATAGAATTGCACCATTAGAGAACAAGGCATTTTCACTTACCTACGCCATACACCCAGTGGCAGAGAGCCCAAGCGAAGATTATTTGCAGGAGTAACATTCCCAGAAGGTGATCGCTTGTTTGCAAAATCCAGGAGTGCTGGAGGTGCTGTGCAGTGTTGTAGTCTGTGGAAAGAAATCCAAGCTTTCTGTATCTCAAGCCACCACTTTTGGAAATGCAAACAAAATCTGGGATCCAGCTATCTACTCTGCCCAGTCAGGATTAGAGGAGGGAGCCCAGGGTTTCTTGGGAATTGAAGGGTGGAGCATGTCATTCCATCTATCTTCGTATTTCCTCATCTGCAGTAGAGGAACTGACACTTTTCCTTGCCAGACCTCGCCCCTCTTTTCTCCCAGAGCTATTACTATTGCAACATTCCCAGGCTATAACTGGGAAATGATTTTTTAAAAAATTATTTAAAGGATTCCCCAAGTTTATTGTGTGAAAAGCGGGTGGGGGGAGGAAATAAATGTGATGAGGAAATCAAAATAAGGCATTGTGGGGAAAGTACTATTTATACCCATTGGAAAAGAAAACCTGTTTCCTGCCTCTAGCAGAGCTTTTTGGGTTCACAGGGACTTTTGCAGTTAATACACAGTTTTGAGGCTCAAATGTGTAAAGCATATTGTTGCAAACTCTCTACTTCCCTAAGCAATTAGAATACTCCAGAGGCTGCATTTTTGGTCTAATATCCTATGCACAAGAGATTTATGCTGCCTGTGATATTTGCTGCATTTACTAATATATGTGGAGGCACAGAAGCACTTCTGCAGGGCAGCGTATCCACTAGACTGCAGGTCACCAGGGATCCTGTATCCCAACGTGCTTAATTTTCAGTCAACTCACTATTCTCTTTCTCACTCCCCCTAAATGACCCATTGCTTTTTAACTCACATCCACGTGTGTATGTGCTTTTGTATACACACACATTCTCTTACTTTATTCAAATTCTGATTCAAAAGCACAGAGAGATTTTCAGCTATCAGAAAACCATTTCATACCACTCTATCCTGGACTATTAACTAGCAATTCATCTAATAAAGCAATGATCAACCAACAAGTATATCAGGATGCAGACTGGTTAATTCATCTCTGGGCTGAGTAATTCCTAAACCCCATTCCTTTAAAACACAAATTAACTCAGTAAACATTAAACAATTAAACGACAACTATAAACAATGCAGAAAATATTACACAAAAAACCCTCGAATTACCAATCAACTTGAGAGTGTTGAATGTCCTTCACTAGCTAAATTTTAAACCTCTATGAAGAAAGGTTCCTTTTCAGACTGTTTGCTTTGCTCTTTTTCTTTTCTGCCTCACCCCTTTATTCTTCTTTCTAGCTCTCTACTCTCTTCATTGTTGACTAAACCATTTCTAACGCACAGTTCCAAAGTTAAAACAAAAACCCATTTCCTTGCAGCCTTGATTAACCCTATCAGTAGCAATGACTAAGTTAAGTAATTCCAAGATAGTGGATATTACCAGAACAACTAGAAAAATCTCCTTTCAGCAGATAGCAAAATCTCGTCTGTGTGATGCAGGGCTCCTAACTTTAATTAAACAATAGACTTTGTGTGTTTGACAGAAAATCCCAACATCCTGCTGTAACCCTTTTAGCAAGCAAGGCTGGAAACTTCTGGCTTTATTTCAGGCCAACAGAAAAATGAGAGTACAAGCTTTTATAGAAAATGTAATATGTCTGTATGGCAAAGGAATGTAAACCCAGGTCCATACTTCTACATCTCCCCATTTTGTTGTCTCCAGGGGTGGTGTTAGAAGTCTGTCTTGCTTGGGCGCCTGACAAAGCCCACACCCCTATAAGCAACCCACTGCCAACCCTTGAGTCCCAGATCCTCCTGCTGTTTTGTGCTCTCACTGCACATTCAGCTGCTCAAGACAGCAGCTTTTACCTCCAGGTTTTGATATGGATCGGGCCCAAATAAAGAGGCAAGCAAATTGGCAGTGATCACAGTAGGTATGTATGTACTATATTCATATCCCACCTTTCCTCTGAGCAGCTCAAGTTGGTGTACATGGGTCTCTATAAGGTAGGTTAGGCTGAGAGACAGTGACTAACCTTATGTCTCCCAGTGAGCTTCATGGCTGAGTAGAGCTTAGAACCCCAGTATCTCAAGTCTTAGTCCAACACTCTTACCACTAAAAGGAAGGGAACCCACTAAAACATATTGTTCTCTCTGCTTCTCCGTTTCTCACCTAACAGAGATCCAATGGTCATATATCAGACCCCCTCAGCCCATGCAATTCTTTCAGCAATGGAGTAATACGATGGTGATATTCTGCTCCACTGGGACTCTAGCGACAAAATGGGTCAAAGAGCACCCCAAACTATGAATCTGCTCCTTAAGAGGAGTATGGCCACATCCAAAGCAGGCAATTAACCAATCTGGACATGCCACTGCGCCTCCTTATTGTCAGGATTCAGTCAGTTTATTAAAACATCAAAATGCTTACATGCTAAGTGTTCCAGCTGGAATGGGTTCAGTAAAAAAAAAACCATATCATGAGGCCTTCTTTTATACAGCATGTTTCTGGAGTTCTTCGTTTTAATGGTTTTCCCGGTTACTGTGCCTTGCCATAGCAAGGATGCTTCCTTTTCCTCCCCCACTTCTCTGCAGAGAAAACGAAGTGTGGTTTCAGAAAGTCTGTTGTGGGAGGTGCACTGGTGGAGTTTTGAATGAGGTATAGCACAGCCAGACCCAAAACATAACAGCACAATTATAGTTGGAACAATTTTCCAGAAGAAAACCAGATGTTTTATTTCACAAAACTCAGACATGCCTTGAATTTTAAGTTTTATGTGAAACTGGTAGAGTACTTACCATGAAGATTGGAATTGGATAAACACAAAAGGTTATGCATCTTGTAACTGAGATTGTTGGGCAAGTATAGGTTAGCAGCTGAATGTAGTTATATATCTAACAAAGGAGTCCCAAAGGGCAACAGAGATGTTAACAAACTTAAGTGTTGTCAGGAAGTCTTCTATGCATTCTTGAAAGGTTTAAGATGCATGCTCCTTTTCCTGCTCAATCTATATATGAGACTCTGTGGTGCAGATGTGCGAAGATATAGGTGCAGCAATAATATCCAGTTCTCATCTTTTAATTTAAAAGAATAACACCAAAGTTTATCATATTTTCATCTAACCTGGTTTAGCAGTCTTGGATTTTTAATGCGTTTCTGGTTTCTGCTTGGACGTGGATACAGGTGAGCTCACTAAGACTGAACATCTGAGGTCAGTCAATTAATATGAATAATAATTAGAAGGCATGGTTAACATGGCTAGAGCTGAGAAACAAAAGGACCAACAGGAATCAGATGAGGACAGCTAATATAAGAAACAAATCAGTTAAATTTTTGAGAATTGTCTTTTGCACTTCGGGTGCATCCAGCAGTCACACACTATTCTTAGCCTTAACTTACAATTTCTACAATCTTCCATAACGGTACAGCTGTCTTCCATTCTTTCCACAACCCCCTTGTATGAAATCTTATTGTATATGAAAACATGTTTCCACTTTGCAAAATATTTAGTATAGTCTTCTACATGGTGCGGTCAGCCTGAGCATTTCAGTTTGGTGTTGGGAAAAGCCTTTTGTTATTATGTATTCTGGTATTTTGAGTATGAAAATTGACCAAAATTACCCATAAAAAGAAACATAAATGTAAAATGGGAATCCATCATGTGCTGGACTGATTTATGGGTTATAGTTAAAGGAATGAAATGGAATGGCATTAAAGGATTTGGCCATCCTAGCTCCACTGTAATGGTGTTTGTCAATCTGAACTTATGATTTATTTCTATAGATCAGTAAAGTTGGCATAATTTGATATAAAAAGAGATCTCCATTATGAACTGTTTTGACCCTGGTGCTAGTTCTTATCTTGAACATGTCCTGGAAGCCATTGGTAAATATTCTGCTCTCTTAGTACTTAATGTAAAGATCAGCATAGTAAACACCCCCTAGTATCAAAGGAAGCTGCCTCATATAAAGAGGCCATTGACCTCTCTAGCTTAGTGTGGTGCACACTGACTGACAGCAGCATCCCAGGCTTTCCAACAGGAGTATTTCCTAACCCTACGTGGAGATGCCAGAGATCTTCTGCATGCAAGGTGTGCATCCTTCCCCTTCCCCAACTAGTACCCTTCAACATGTTCAAGGTCAAATTGCAAAAAAGCATATTTTAAGAACACTTGTTGCAGTTACTTTTTTATATCTCTTTTTTTTAAAAAAGTAATGTTTATTAAAAGTTTAAAAATTACATAAATTACAAAAAGAAGAAAAAGAGTTAAACAAAGCAAAGCAATACAATACATAAAAAACAAAAAAGAAAGAGAGAGAAAAACAATACAATAAAACCACAAAGAAACAAAACAAAAACATTTAAAAACACATCCAACCTTTCCATGTCTTTACCTTTCATATACTTGTTTCATCGACCTCCTCACACCTCCCTTTTTTGTATTCTAGTTCAATTAACTATTTCAGCAAGTCCTTTCCATCTTTCTCACTTTTCGTTCTAAAATTTAACTTAAAACACCCTAACCTTAAATTTTCCACTTTGGTCCATTAACAATCTATTTTTACTTAATTCTTTATAACATTTCTGCTAAAGCCATATAACTTCGTTCCAGCATCCTTCTAACATTCATTAATTTTACAATATTTCTGTAAATATACTTTAAATTTTTTCCAATCTTCCACCGACTCTTCTCCCTGGTCTCAGATTCTACCAGTCATTTCCGCCAGTTCCATACTTTTTTATATCTCATAACTATAGAATCAGCCTCACTCTCCCTTTGTGCTTTTAGCATTCATCATTTTTAAAAATTATGATTTATATTAAATTTTCTGTTTTACAATTTCAAATAAACATTTTACAACTTGAACTATCAATGACTTCCCTTCTTCTCTTTTCACGGTTCATTTTGCATATCTTATATCCCTGCATATTTTGCAAAAACTATACCAATTGGTTTTCCATTATTGCATTGATCAAAACTTATTTACACTGTTAAATTTATCTTAATGCTGCCAGCATTTTCAGCTGTACACAATTATTTTCCGTATATTCAATAAACGCTTTTAGCATTCATCACGAGCTGGCCAGATATATAGATATGCCCCAGGAATAACCACGGATCTTTCTGGCCAGCTCACTGGTGTGACCAGTGCCTGATTTACGTATAAGCTAAACAAGCCATAATGGCTTAGGGCCTCACTCTTTTGCCCCTCTCCCAATATACTTGTTAATTGTATTTCACTATTAATATACTTCTTCTTAATTGTATTTCAGTCCAACAATTACTTTGATAAAATAAATATTTTGTTATGTGCAAATGGCTTTAGATACTAATTAGGTCCATAAATTACCATATAGCATATATTCAACACAAAAAACAGCAAGTATAGACAATTTGTTGTTGACAAAGGACAGCTGGACATATAAAGGGCCCCATTACCTTCAGTAGTTTAGGGCCTCATTAGACCTAAATCTGCCCTTGGGTGTTACTACGGTGATAAAATTAATTGGTTGTGTCCACAGGACAAATAAAGATTAAAAAAGGAAGTGCTCTTAAAATATGCTGGTTCTTTTTTTGCAATCTGGCCTTATATATAGTATCAAAGAGTTTTATGAAGCTGCATGGTATAGAGAGAAACGTGAACACCGACACGAAACTGGCAAAAGGCAACTTTATAAATTGATAGCAACACAGTAGCCACATAAAAGTTGCCTTTAGAAGGGATCCTCTTCGGATTCACAGGGGTTATGAATCTGCAATGCTTCCAGGGTCATTTACCTCCACCCTCAGATGCAACATTCCATTGACCACTATTTGCTGGAAAGCACTGCGGCTTTCATGCTCTGCTCTGACCAGCCACTGTGGGAACCGGATGCTGAGCTGGGGGCTCCTTTTTCATGCTCACACGACCTGCCATTCCCCGGCCCCCACCCCCCACATCACCCTTGCTAAGCAAGTCCTGCAGGCCTTTCAGGTAGAAGGTGGTGGTGTGGTCTGCCGGAAGAGCAGAGAGCCCCTTCCTCCTCAGACGGGGCTCAGAAAAACCGACCCCCGGGGAAGCCTTCGCGCGGTGACGTCTGCTGCCCGGCAGAGGCAGGTAGCCCCACCCCTTGTGGGCGGAGCCAGAGGCTGAGGGCGGTCGCGGGGGGCGTGGCTGAAGAGAGCTGGACTCGCGGGCTCCGGGTGCCGCCGCCGCCGCCGCTTGCTGTCATTCTCGCCGGGGCTCTGCACTTTGGACGCAGCCGGGGCAATGGCGGGATCCGGCCTGGGCTCGGCGGGGCTGGACCTGGAGAAGCTGCGCATGGCGGGCGCCGGCCTGGCTCTCGCGGTGCTCACCAGCGGCGGCGACGCACAAGGTCAGTCGGAGGAGGAGGAGGAGGAAGGATCCTCCTCAGCATCCCATCCGCCTCGGAGGAAGACGGGCGCGTTCTTCCTGCGCTCGAGAGAGGATGTTGCCTGAGGGGGGCGGGGGGGCGGACTCCCGTCTCGCGCCGCCAGGTGGAACGTGCAGGCGGACACGGCGGGGGAACGTCTCTTCCTCGCGAGGCCTGAGTAATGGAAGGCCGGCGCGGCGAGGAAGGGCTGAGCGGCGAGGGGAAGGGTCGCCTGCTCAATCGAAGCCAGAGAAACGGATTCCTCAAGGATTCCTCAAGCGACCGGCGTCGTCTCAGGCGAGCTCCGCCCACCGCTTCCCCTCAGCCACTCACTCCCCAGTTACTTCAGAGGGCTGGGCGCGCGCGCGCGCGCGTCTCCGCTGCTCCCCTCGGGTCACGCTCAGGGTCGTATCCTCGTGCTGCAAGGCGTGTGGGAGGGCTAGAGTAAGAGTAAGGAATGTGTGAAGCAGCAGCGAGAGCGCCCTGGAGCATGTGAAGAGTTCTCTCGCCTGATGAGTCAGTCAGAAGCAGGCCTTGTACATCTGGGGTTGGGGAGAAGGAGCAGGTTCCCACTGAGAGCCCACTGGACTCCCGCCAGTCTTCACCATGGATGGGCCTTTGCTAGTTTGGCGCTGTTGGAGTCCAGCAACTTTAGGAAGGAACCAGGTCTGACCTTGTGGCTAAAAGTAGTCACCTTGGAGAAGCTAAGCAGTTCTAGGAGGCGCCTAGGTGGGAAAACACCTGAGAATTTCACATATGCCACCTTGAGCTCTATGAGGGAGAAAAAGCAGAAGAGTAAGTGTGAGAGTCAGAAAGTAGGAAAGGCTCCATTCCTGGTTCACATTTCATCTCAGTCATGAACTCCTTAGCTTTATTTAGGCAAGTTGCACTCTCTGCCTCATCCCTCACTTCTGTCTGCAATATGGGGATAAATGCTGACCTACCATAAATAATTATTTTAAGGCAGCAACCAAACCATTATCTCCTCCTGCCCCCATGGGCCAAGTTTGACAAGTGGTTGCAGCCACTCACTGGTCAATCACCTCACATAACAAAGTCAGGAGGCCTATTTTTGTCCGCACAGTTTGAAGTCAAACTTTTCAGGCAAAGACACAGCCCACACATTGTAGACAATCAGCACATTGTACGCTGTGCCAATGATCAGCTGATGGTTCAGGTTTGTGAAGCCCAGGGCCAGCTCTTCCAAGACCCAACCATGACCTGATTCTGTGAACCGCCCTGAGACCTCCGGGCAAAATCATGTCTACCTACCCCCACTCCTGATTTCATGTAAGATGTAGGCATGGCTTAGCTGAAACAGCCTTGCCAGCCAAATAGGGCAGGCCTAATTGGGCCCTTGGCCAGGTGTCCCCCCCGCCCTGCTTTTGTAAGAACTGCCGTGAAAATTTATGCAATGTGCATTCTAGCAGTGCATGCCAAGATTAGGCACAGGAGGGCAAGGGTCACTGGTCAGCATCAAGGGTATACAGCACAAGTGCTGATCTACTGAAGCATTGGGTCCAAAACACATTTATTGATCATTCCATTGGGGGGGGGGAAAGCTAATTACAGCTATTTAGGCACTCTTTGAAACAGCACTAACCATGAAATACCCTAGATGATTTCAGTGTGACATCAAGGCCCTTCTAGTTCCCTTCCACTGCAATTAAACTATACACATGGCTCCAGGGGCCTGGATTAGGTTTGCCCATTTTACTCTGTGATTCCTGCCTGTATCTCTGTAGCAAGCTAGAATGGAACAACTGTTACATTTATAACTTCACTGACAAAAGATATTTTTCCTTCATAAGGAAAGGAAAACTGTATTTGCAGTTAATGAGTTTTCTGGTATAACTGGGCTAATTTATCTATTGACAGTTGCATATGTAGAAGTTCAGATTTCTCTGTGTTAATGGTACCTTAATGATTTTCTCTCTCTTTTGAACTTGCCCCTGTTGTGTGTTGTGGTGCAGCTGTGACCATCATAGGAACCTAATAAAAATAGACATACAGCTATTTTTGCCTGATCAATTTGCTTTGCCCTTGACGGGACAGAGCCATCTTTGAGTCTGTATACTATGATGGAGTAGGGATAAATATATCATGATGGTCTTCTATACAATAAACATATTGTTGAGGGCAGTAGTGGGTTTTCTCCAGCCTAGTTAAGCAGATGAGTGGAAAGTGTTTATCACTATTTTGTTTGTAATTGCTGAATGTTAAAACATTAGTTTAGAATACTTATTGGTATGACAAATTCCCAAGAAAAATCAAAATTAAGGGTTCGATACAAATAAGTTTTATTCATTGTAGATCCCTTTATATTAATGAACCTTAGTCATGTTTATTAACTGCAATGGGTCTATTCTGAATTGAACTTGGATACAGCCCTAAGACTGGATGTTAAGTTATAACACTGACTGTTTGTTGGATGTTATAATATTGTCTAATGATAGACAATATTCTAGCATCCAACTCTTTTTAATTTCAACTCCCTCTTCCCTGCCATTTTAGCAGTCAAATTTTTGAGCTTTGTTGGAATACAGGAGATCCAAATAAATTTATCATGTGCAACAGTGAAGGCTGATTGAATTTAATTTTCACTTTGTGGGGGGATTACATAAAGGCTAGGAATAAAATGAGAATGTTTCAGACAAACTGAATTTGCTGGATGTTTGTGTGTGGAGGGGGAAATTCTAGAACAGCTTTCTACCCTTACACAGCTTTCTCTTTGCCCTTGTTTTCTTGTTCTTTGTTCTGTAGTTTCTGTGGTCATTTGTAATGAAATAATCTTTTCGGTTTAGAGTGAAGAATGTTTTGAAGAATGTTATGACACATACCTTGCCTGCAAAGCACCATGCATTATAACAGCACTGTAAAAACAATCAATTTAATATTCCTTGTTATGTGCCCTTGAAACCATTCCCCTCTTCCACTGGCAAATTGCATTCATAACATACTTGGAACTATCCAGTTCCTGCATCAACCATCAGTTGGCAAATATTTTTTGCCCTTTAGTCCCACTAATTACTCCCTTGTCTTGGTTTCTGATCTTTACTGTGGATATGCTCCAGGGCTTGGCAAGTTACCTAACTGCTGAAGTGGAAGTATGTGAGTGTATCTTCAGTGGAAGCAGCCTAACGTAAACCAGTAAAGGATGTAATCCATTTAGTATGGAAGAGGTAATACATCTCTGTTGTGATTCTGAAGTATGCCTGTGGACCTGTGTGCTCACTTGGTGCTTGGAGCAAATTTTTGGAGGGAGGTGCCTAGCAAATCCCTTCTCAAAGCCTTCTGATGTGGAAAATCTTGCTGGTCTGTACTTTCCCTGAGAGAAGTGGCTATATTTCCACTCGCCCCAAGGTAGGAAGGTACGTAACATTATCACTTGGCTAGTGCTTTATATGACATAAACAGGGTTGTGGGGTGGGGGTTGCCTCTTGTTGGGGATGACATCAATGAAGGTTTCTGACATCACCATGGTATCTTGTAGCAAACCAGTGTCTCTTTCTAGATGCTTTGCCCACCAAGGGAGAAAGCTGTAGACATGGCAGAATATTGGCAAGGGTTACTCTTGTGCAGCTGATGGGGCCTGTAAACAAAGCACAGTATGATGACAACTAGACAGATGGCACCAGATGGCCAGTTGTGATTTCTGCCTCTAATCAGTTAAGTCAGTTCATGTCCTCTGGCACACCTAATCCCAATGTTTTAAAACCGATTTAAAAGTCATGAAGTTTTAAAATAAAATAATGTTGCAATGAGTTTTCTTCCATGCATGCAGCCTGATGCAGGTCTCCACTGAGCATGGAAAACCACAGCACCTTGCATCATTGGGAAAAGCATATCCGTGGAATTCAATAAAATTGCTTTGTGTGCATGTGGGTACTGTATGTATTGTTACTGTTATTCCGTCCCACCCTTCCTCCCCAAGGAGCTCAGGGCAGCAAATGTTTGTGTATTTTTGTGGTGTTTGTGCTGGAAATTGGTTACATCCAGTTGGCCATGCCCACTACAGGCCTGGGGCCCCTGAAGGGTTGACCAAGGGGAAATGCAACTTTCCAGTAAAAAAGTTTTTCCCGCCCCTGTTTTAGAACTTCACATTGTCTAGCTTCTCTCTACAGTGGTTTTAATACTTTATATTTGCACAAAAAATGGAAATTAACTCTTAAGTAGCTTCCTTGATTTCTCCTAGTAGATGAAAAGCAGAATAGAAAACTTTAAAATAAATACGTTGTTTAATCCTTGCAAGTTTTAGCACAGTATACTGGAGCAAATGGGGTAATCTTCTGATAGCAGAATAAATGGCAGTATACTCAGAATCAACTTTTGATCTCATTATTGTTTGGGCATCACTTTTAATGGTATTGAAAAGTATTTTATGCAATACATGCCCCAATATGGCAAATTAGTTGAATAACTGGGACTTGTTTTACACATTAACTCCAATGCAGAGATGACTCGCATGACAAGAAGAGCTGCTTGTACACGAAGGACCAAAGTACAGCAGGCATATACAGATCGGAGGCAGGTAGCAATTTGTATCTGAGTACAGATGGGAATATCTTGGATAGTAGGAGTTGTCCAAAACATATGGAATGCACCAAGCTGGGGAAGGTTGGACTAGATGGCGAAATAGTCTGACCTGGCACAAGGCAACTTCCTATGAGAAGCGAGTTAAATCTGGTCTGAGCTATTGTGACACACTAGGCATATTTGTATTTTGACTCTATCTGCTTTTCTCCAGGGGAAGTAAAGGTAAAGGGACCCCTGACCATTAGGTCCAGTCGTGACTGACTCTGGGGTTGCGGCACTCATCTCGCTTTATTGGCTTGCTTTATTCCGGGTCATGTGGCCAGCATGACTATGCCGCTTCTGCTGAACCAGAGCAGCGCACGGAAATGCCGCTTACCTTCCCGCCGGAGCGGTACCTATTTATCTACTTGCACTTTGACGTGCTTTCGAACTGCTAGGTTGGCAGAAGCAGGGACCAAACAATGGGAGCTCACCCTGTCCCAGGGATTCAAACCGCCAACCTTCTGATCGGCAAGTCCTAAGCTCTGTGGTTTAACCCACAGCACCACCCGTGTCCCTCCAGGGGAAGTAGGTCTCTGTAAATAGCAGTTTCACAGGCAAGCTGATCTACTTGCATACTTTGCAGGGATGAAGCCCCGATAGCACAACTGCCCACTGTGATTTGTTATCAGGTAGCTGACAGAGCTCCCTGCTGACAGAAGTTGTTTTTTTTTTGCCTTTCCTTGTGACCTGTTACAATGGGAGAGTGGGATGGATCTTCCCATCTTTAGAGCAGGGAATTAGCCTCCATGGATTCAGTGTGACTATGAGGGGTCAGTATCTACTGGACTGTTTGAAATTAGAATTCAGACCCCATGTTAAGGAAATCTATTGGCATAAAATACAAAGCCGCTGGATATGTGTTGCAGACAGATAATTTTTTTACGTGAGCATCTGTAAGATGCTATGGAAATCTAGGGATGCAAAATAAGGGACTCAAAGATGGAAGGGTATATACTGTACTATACAAAGGGGAAGGAGGTGAAAGTAAGGAAAAGAAAAGAAAAGAGAAGAACCAGATTTTGAAGAGTAAGCTACAAAAATCCAACAAATGAGCCAAGTGAGTGGGGAGAAAGCCATGAGAGAGAGAGACAGAAACAGAGAGACTAGCTGCTGACACTCAGTCAAGGACAAGAAAAGAGACAACAACTAAATGTATCAAGAAAAAAGAAACATCCTGCACAACTGGCTTATTAGTTATCTAAAGGAGAAAGAGGCCTTTTTTGGAAAACGCCCATTCAAATTTCCTGGCTTCCAATAAGCCTCCTTTTGTCAGATTAAAGAGAGAAAATGGTACTTAAGAGGGGGAAATTGTGCTTTAGGGTTCCCAATTCTCTGGACAGAAGAAAACATGATCAGTGGAGCCAAATTGCATTGTCTCATTTTTGGAACTTGTGCCGTGTGAAACAGTGCAGAATGTGGTTTCAATAAACTGGGAATTCACAGTTCAATTCCCAGCTCAGTGGGTAGACTTAGGCAAGCTGCTACATCTTATGCTTATAATCCCCACTCCCCATCACTGCGAGTTTGCAATATGAGGGTAATAATAAATAGCATTCTACATTGCAAGGCTGTTATGGTTGCACAGATAACGTTTGTGAAAATGATTTGAGTTAGGAAAGGCATATACGGTAAATATCAAGATTCAGCGTTGTTGTGATGAGTTAAGAGAGAGTATATGAAATTTGGCAAATGACACTGGTTCTAATATATTTCATGCCTCTTTAGTTTGGCCTCATGTTCAGGCCAAAAGTTAATGAAATCTGAGTCTTTAGTGGGTATCTTATTTCTCATTGCATCTCTGCCACAGATTGCAGACACTGTTGCTTTATTTCCAATCAAAAAATCTCTGGAACTAGAATAGCTTAAAAAGTCCTATCCTGTTTTGCCAAAGTCAGGTGGATCTCTTGGTTAATTTATAATGATTTATTAAAAGTTAATACATTTTTATTTAAGAACATACTTCCCTCCTCTCCAATTATTATGCCCAATGTGAGAAGGAGGCAACATCATCTTTGGCATTTTCTTTTGGCAGCTAAAGTGAAATAAAGTCAAATGTACGCACTGAATACGTCAAGACAAACATTTTGCAGTTACATTTTTTATTTCCCAGGTATGTTGTGCCATTTTTGTGGAATTTCAGACATATTTCTTTTCTCATCCAATTATACTTGTTTCTTGCCTTCGTTTTTTGAGTGTATTAGCTTTTCTGTGCAAGGAGTTTTAACATGTTACTGGCAACTTGCATGCCACTAATGCCACCCTGAGCACTGTAACAAAGCAAACCTAAACATTCAGAAGGACATCCCACTGTGTTCAAAGGAGCTTGCTCCTTAGTAAGTGTATTTAGGACAACTTCCTGAGTCTTGTTGAGCTAATGGGGATTGTAAGTCTCATGTGCCCTTCCTTGAAAATAAGTGAGAATTCAACATTTTTGCAGTGTGTTGCTTTATTCAAAACTAGCTATGCTTCTTACCAAAATAAAAGTGCAGAATTCTGCATCACTTTAGCTCAGGTTTGTATCATTTATTTACCTTGTCTTCTATCTCTCCAGGTATGAATGCTGCTGTCCGAGCCGTGACTCGCATGGGGATATATATTGGAGCAAAAGTGTTCCTGATCTATGAGGTTCAAAAGTTTTACCCATCAAAATGCTGTGTTGTTTTTTCCTTTGCATGTGGGTGGTTATTGGTGCAGCTTTGTTCTTTTTAAAATTGCTGGATAGTTGCCAGGAGACTCTGGAATCATGTAAATGACAGCGGAGCCTGGCTTGGACTAGACTGTTTCCTACCTTCTTCCTCTTAGCACTGGGAGAGTGAGATCACACCTTTCTGCCCTGCCCACCATGTGATGAGCCATCCTTTTGACACCACTTGCAATGCTAGAGTGTAATGTTTACATTGGGCACACATGCATAAATTCCGCTATGGGAAGGGCCAGTTCCCAGATTTGGCAGGGTGAGGGTGGAAATTGACTGTGTGATTTGGGCTAATGTGCATTGAATTTTATGGATCTATAACGCTGTTCAAACTTTGTGAACATATTGGGAGTGTCGAAGGCAGGTCATGTGTGCCTGGCAGGCAGAATAGGATGGTAAGAACTCCACCTCTACACAGTCAAAGGAAGAAGGTAGAGTATCTTCCGAAGTAGGCCTGGGTCTCATTGATGTGGTAACAGCATCAGTCTCTTTCTCTGAAGGTTGGTGCTCAGAAATTGTCTTAGCAGGGGCTGTGTGATTAAGAAACATAACTGACTGTTTCACTCTTTTCCCTCTAAAAAGCCACAGCCTGGAAAGGCGAATTTTGCAAATTTCCCACGGGCAGAATCAGTATCATTAAATAGTCCTTTGAAGTTAGGGAAATCCAGGGTGCAGTTTCTAGAATGAATATAAAGGTAAAGGGACCCCTGACCATTAGGTCCAGTCGTGACCAGCTCTGGGGTTGTGGCGCTCATCTCACTTTATTGGCTGAGGAAGCTAGCGTACAGCTTCCGGGTCATGTTGCCAGCATGACTAAGCCATTTCTGGCGAACCAGAGCAGCGCACGAAAACACCATTTACCTTCCTGCTGGAGTGGTACCTATTTATCTACTTGCACTTTGACGTGCTTTCAAACTGCTCGGTTGGCAGGAGCAGGGACCGAGCAACAGGAGCTCACCCCGTTGTGGGGATTCGAACTGCCGATCTTCTGATCAGCAAGCCCTAGGCTCTGTGGTTTAACACACAGCGTCTAAGAATGAATATACAGGAAGTAAAATTAGATATGCAAATTAAGCAAGTGTGTATGGCCACCTGGATCCTATCTTTTGCTGCTTCCTTTTAAAAACAACCTCCCCATCACCTATTGAGATTAAATAGCATGCCTGTGTGGTTTTTAAAAAGGGAAACCAGGAATCTAATACGTCATACAGGCACTGGATGTCACATCTGAAGCCAGATTTCACAATTCACAGCATGATTAGTCATGCAGTAAACTAGTGCTCCTGGGTGCAGTTGTTTCACAGTTTGACTAGTGATCACATGACTCTCAAGAAGAGCCCAGAGCATGGCACCTTGGCAGCCCCTGGCCAGGAATATGAGGCAGCTGTAAAACGGAGCTCAGGGGAGGCATGATGATCAAGTTAGAACTAGATGTCACCTAGGATACTCCTTCACAAAAATTGACAATCTGTGCATTCTCTGACATACAAAATTAATTGTAGTATAATAATTTAACAACATGCTTTACAAGAATAAATGCTGAATACATTATATTTCTGTAGCTGAGTATCATTGAGGGATCTTTCAAAAACATTAGTATATTCTTCATAGAAAAGTTAAAGCAATAGCAATGGTGAGATCAACAGGCAAAAACGCCTTTGTTCTTGTGATAACTTTCAAACTGTAAATCCACAAGAAACTTTGTACTGCCTATAAATTGTGGCAGACAGTTCCATAGTTTTCTCATGAGCTTCTCACTGTCCAGCAAGTTATGCAAGAACTCTTGCTGTGGTACTGTAAAATCAAATTCTGTAGAAATGTTGTGATAACATGCCATTTGTCTTTGTAATGTGTGTCCTTGAAGCTTTTACAACTTTATTTTTGTATATTCAAGGGCTTCACATTTAATTGCCAGTCTTTGTGTGATCTGAGGAGTATGGAGACAATATGGGTGGCTTATAGCTGTTTTAAGGGATTCTTTCAGCACTCCTTATGCTGGATTAATTTTAAAGGGTCATGGAGCAAGCTTTCCCTAGTGCAATGACGCATTCACACTGCTCTTTTTCCTCGTTGCAGGGTTACGAGGGACTGGTAGAAGGAGGAGAGAATATCAAGCAAGCAAACTGGCTCAGTGTATCCAACATAATTCAACTGGTAAGGCCCAAATGGTCATGCTGTCTGACTCCCTGCTGTGGAAGCAGACAGGCCTCATGACATTTCCAATCTCAGGTCCGTCTATAGCCATACATTGCCTTCTGGAGTACAGAACTCTGACTTACAGTAGCTCTCTGAGTGGTTTAGTTTAATTGTACATTTCTGAGTTGAAGTGCTAATTTATGGGTGCTAATGAAAACAAACCACCTCCTCTCATGGTCCCATTTTTCTCAAAATTCATGCAGATGCAATTTTCTCCTCACAGGAAGGGAGAAGGACTGTGCTGGGGTAGCAACATGGCCTACATAGGTCTGCAAATGCTCTGTTTGGTTCTTCTCGGCCTTTGTCTCCCAGATCACCAGTTATGACCTGTTCCACCTCCCCTGCTTACCTGAGCCCTTTATAAATAACAGTTCTGCTCCCAAAATCTTGATTGGATAAGCAGTGAGGTATTCCTTCTCCTAGAAGGCTCCATGTTAGAAGGAAGGAAGGAAACAGGCATCAGTTGGAGGAAGAGTCTATATTGTGTGAATTCACAGCAGTGGGTATAGCTGTGGCACAGCTGGTTAGGTAACAGACCAGAAATGTATGTTGACTAGCACTGGAAATGAGATCCCTTGGTCTGTTTAAGAAAGGTTCTGTAGCTGCCTAGCGTGACCTCATGAGAGATGGGAGTTGTACTTGGCTGCCACTGCAGGGAGAAAGGAGGAGTGTTTTGGTACATTATTGTACTCTTAAACTGACTTCTAAAGGAAGCCTGAATAATAAGATTGCGGGAGCTGCCCTGAATTGAATCCATTCATTCTAACCTGGTACTGTTTGTCCCAGCTAGCAGAAGCTTTAGGAAGATTGGGAAAGGGCCAGAGCACATGCTTCAGGAGGCCCCACATCCAATTCCTGGCATCTCCTGCCTGAAACCACAGAGAGACACTGTCAGCCAGTGTAGAGAATACTGAGCCAGGTGGACCAGTTTGGTCTGACTCTGTATTAGGCGGCTTCCTGTGTTCTTATGTAAGGTCTTCCAGGTCTCAGGCAGAGGTCCCTTGTAGCCTCTCTACCTGATATGGCCCCAGTTGTGAGATGAGGCAGGGTCCCTCCCTGAATTGGGATATTTAGCATAAGCTTTGCAGCAGATTACCAAGAAATGTTTTCCTGGAGGAATCACAAGAAAGTGTTGAGGTTTGGAGAAAGCAATCCAGTCAGTTAAATCTCCTAATGAATTGATTTCACATTATTTCATACCTGATGCATTCCCCAGTCCAAAGATTACATCACTTTTCCTTGTCAGTCATTGTTACTTCATATGGACATCCTCCAGAGAGACGACTCTAATTTCATCTGTTAGCCTGGGATGCTTAACTTGCCCTTTCACCTTTATGATTTCTTCACTGTGCTTGGTTTCATGGAAGGTCAAATAGTGGCTTTGGGTTTGTTCTACAAAAAGATCCATTTATTGTGGGTGGATTAGACATATTCATTCTTTGGCCCACCACAGTCACAAGTGATAGGAATTAATTTGTGGTGGCATAGTTTTAAAATATCTGTGTCACATGATTTATTATTACAGTGGTGCCTCGCAAGACGAAATTAATTCGTTCTGCGAATTTTTTCGTTTTGCGAATTTTTCGTCTTGCGAAGCACGGTTTCCCAAAGTCTTCAAAATCACCAAAGTCTTCAAAAACCTCAAAAAAGGCTACCACACCGCGTGCTATGAGTTGCTCCTCAAAGTCACCCTGGGTATTAACGGTTTTAAGAAAAGGAAACAAACTTGCAAGACGTTTTCGTTTTTCGTCTTGCAAAGCAAGCCCATAGGGAAATTCGTCTTGCGAAGCAACTCAAAAAACGAAAAACTCTTTTGTCTTGCGAGTTTTTCGTCTCGCGAGGCATTCGTCTTGCGAGGTACCACTGTATTATTATTAGGCAGATGCTAAATTTCCTTTTTCCTTCCTCAGGCTCAAAAAAGTGTGTGTTGACAGAGAAATCATCATCAGGGCCTTGTCAATTTTAAGTTCTTTACCTAAAATGCCTGATGAGAGTAAATGCTTATGTTTAAAATATGTGTGTGATGCATGTCTAGATTTCAAGGAACCCCGAAATGGCCACAGCTTCCTGCATTATATACGTATGTGTAGGGTTATCATATTTCTAAAAGTGAAAATCTGGACACAAAACTTTAAAAAGCTATTTTTAAGGAAATACTCAAAAACTCCACTTGCAACGATTTCCACTGTTTACGAGGGCCTAATCCCGGCTATGTCCAGACATATGGCAGCCCTACCTATGTGAGAATTGTGTTTTCCCAATAAATCTCTCTCTCTCTCTGAAGTGACCTTGCTTTGTTCAGGTGTATAGAATATAACTAAGTGTAATTTGCAATTTCTGGCTCTTGACTCTACTCCGGTTTTTATTTCTTTCCACCTGGTTCATCATAATCGCCTGAGTTATTGCCTGGTAATTCCAGATGTCTCAGAAACTCTGCTGTAGGCTGGGTCTAATCCAACTCAGCTCCGTTCACCTGGGTATAACATCTACCGCCCGCGGGTAGGGTGTGAGTGCTGCAGTTCTCGCACCACTGAGCTGGAATTGCTTCCTAGGTGATCCTGATTGTCAGGAGCTCTCTGAACTGGGACCTGCTCAGCCCCCTCCTAATAGTGTTTGTGTTGTTGTTTTTCCCCTTCTTAGAGCCTTTCCCAATTTGACTGGTGTGCCTCCTTTCCCTCAGGTAACATTCTGGTCTTGCATGCCTCTGCAGGATTTCCCCTTCTTGTCCCTCACCCTCCATGTCTTTCTGATACTGTCAATGCAGCCTGCTGTTTCTGATGGGCTTAAGCAAGGCCAGCATGCTGTCTGCAGTGCTTTGTTTTACCTGCCCATGTAGACTTACCTTCAGAAAGATGAGGACAAGGGTGGCAGCTGTGTCAGTGACTGTGGTGCTGGTGCACCCCTTTAGCAGGGTACGGCAAGCCTCCGGGCAGGAATCTTAACTGTGCTAACAGCATGTTCTCCCTCTACAGACCTTCACAGCACATTGCTCTTTGTATTTATTCCAGTAACACTTGCATCCCTCATTGTTGTGTTCCTCTACCCCCTCTTGTTTTCTTGCTCTAAAGTGACGCTTGTTGGTCATAGTCTGGAGTTTTAGCTCAGTGGAGTTTGTGGTGCTATTCCCGTAGCTCTTGTGCTGTTCAAGAGTGGGGATGGCATTCAGAAAGATCATTTCCCCTGTCACAGCAGCGTTCATCAACATTGTGAGGATCCCAGCAGGAGATCCTACTGAGCAGCAGTTTTGTGTGAAGAGCATCGAAGGCAGTGTTAGAGACTGAGATATGAAAGCCAGGAGCTAAATGGCACCTTAAACCTAGGTTATGGGCACAACAACAGAATGTCTAGGTGTGCTTTTTTATAACAAGAATACAAAGCTGAAAATGAATGAACTGCAGCTAAAACTATTATGTTCATTTTTCACATGGTCTAGTCCTTCCCCTGCTCAACCCCCTAATATTCTTAAGAGGGTGTCTTCTCCAGTCTTCAGAGAGTAGCTGGAAGTGGGGAGGCAGAAAAAGGTGCTCGTTTTCTTCCACTCTGCAGTTTTAATCTGAAATCTTAGGCGCATTTTTGCGCCCATAACTCAGAAACTGCTCGCGCTAATGAAATTCCCTGTCGCAAAATGCACCTAGAACAATGTAAGTTTTGAACACTGATCAAGGGGCAGGAGTGATTTTGAGTGAAATGAGAGATGCCCCTGTGTTATGGTAGGGGACAGAGCAGATTTGTCACACTTGGCTGGGTTGCAGCACACAGACTGGGCCAGGCCTGTGCTCCTCTAGCTGTGTTGTCCAAGACCCTTTCAAAAGGAGAGTTGCCTGATAGTGAAGTCAGCTGTTCAGTGGTACATATTACATAGTGTCTCCACCCCCATCGTTCTACCTGGACTAGTGCCATGGTTCTACCTGGTCTAGTGCCGAGGGCCTTCTGGGGGTTCCCTCACTGCGAGAAGCCAAGTTACAGGGAACCAAGCAGAGGGCCTTCTTGGTAGTGGCACCCACCCTGTGGAATGCCCTCCCACCAGATGTCAAAGAGAAGAACAGCTACCAGACTTTTAGAAGACATCTGAAAGCAGCCCTCTTTAGGGAAGCTTTTAATGTTTAACAGACTACTGTATTTTTATGCTTTGTTGGAAGCTGCCCAGAGGGGCTGGGGAAACCCAGCCAGATGGGTAGGGTATAAATAATAAATTATTATTATTATTATTATTATTATTATTATTAGCAATAGTCAGAGCTGCTGTTTATCAATAAAATGATTTATAAGGACTGCAACAGTACATGATTTATAAAAACTGCAACACCAAGTCCACTGAAGATCACCGTTCTGGCAGCAGCATGACTGGATAGAGAAAGAGACATTTCCATATCCCTTCTTCGCATTTCAGTATACATAACGGTTTATCAGGGTAATCCCATGCCTTGGGGTTGTTGCATTTATCTTCATACCCACTAGCACTGGAGCCCCCTGGTACATCAGGTTAGAAATAAGAATCCTGCACTTCTTGGGCCGATGTGGCATATGCCTTCTGTATTTAGAGGATATAGCAATCCAATTCTGCTTGAATCTGGAACTTCAAAGAAACCATCTTTTAAACAGTATCTCTCTTTAGAACAGGGTTGGGAAACTTGTAGCCCTCTGGGGTTTGGTGGGCCACAGCTCTCATTGGCCATTCCAGCTGGGAGTGGTTGGACTTGTAATCCAACATCTGGAGGGGAACCCCAACCCAGATGTAGAAAGTCCCCATGCTTTATTCCTGTTGGAACTCCCAGCCCTTCAAGATGTTGATGACCTTTGTGCTTATCCGTGGATCTGTCTGCTGACTTCCGATTTGTCTTCTGAACTTCCTTTCTCACCTGGTTTCTTCGTTTGTAGGGTGGCACCATCATTGGCAGTGCCCGCTGCAAAGCTTTCACAACCCGGGAGGGCCGCCTCCAGGCTGCCTACAACCTGGTGCAGCACGGCATCACCAACTTGTGCGTCATTGGTGGGGACGGAAGCCTGACTGGTGCAAATATATTCCGCTCGGAGTGGGGTGGTCTTTTGGAGGAACTGGTCAAAGAAGGTACGTGTGAACCTTAGTCCCCTTCAGAGCACTACTCCAGTGAGTCAACCTGATGCCTATATCAGAGAAATCCCAATAGCAGTCTTGGATGTTAGAAATCCCCCTAACAATGAACCCACATGGTAAAGGCCAATAGAATTGGAGCCAAAACTGAGCCTTTGAGAAACAAGAGAGATGTATCAGCATGCTAGGTTTGTAGAGGTACCCCCTGCCAAAAAAAAGGTTTGGTTTAACCCCACCCACTCACAGTCCACTGAGGACAGAGCATCCATTGCTCAATATCTTCAAAATGTTGAGTGTCAGTTCAAAAATAAAAACAAAAACGGGGGTGGGTGGGTGTCATGAGTAAAACGTCCTGCTTGATTCCCTTACAACTTACTGTATCCTGGGCATGGACCTCACAGGTGGCCTGGGATGCTGTCAGAGCCCTTGCACTGCCTTCCCAAAGCTGGATAAGCCTGCAATTTCAACTTTCACAGGGGTGGGGATAAATAAATAGAGACTGGATTTCCTCCGCTGTCCATTTATTTATTTCAGCTTCCATGCAAAGCTACGATCATGTAAATAAAAGAACCGTAAGATGCAGGTTACCAGTACAAAAACACTACACGGTATGAGGAAGGAAAATGGGGCATTAAAAACTCGTTCTGAAGCTGTTTCATATACATGCTTTTCCCCCATTTAATTTCCCCAACCTCCCTCCCTGGCAGGATTGTCTTTACAACTTCAACCTTCTGTGAAAGTTTATCACTATGAAGGGCCTTGAAACTTACTGTGACTATGTTTTACATTCAATTACACACCCACTTACCCTTTCATTCCTCAATACATGCATGCAGTGAGCAGAAGGGACCTTCAGTAGCACAGAAATAAACACACAGGAGCCTGACCACTGAGGACTGTTCAAGTTTGCAGACCTTCAATTTCATACAATGGAGAGGAAAAGAAACTCAAATATACAAGAGTGTCTATGAACACTACATTGTTCTTGATTTTTTTTAAAGAACAAAATAGAGCAAAGTTAAAGACGTTGTTGTTGTTGTTGTTTAGTCATTCAGTCGTGTCTGACTCTTCGTGACCCCATGGACCAGAGCACGCCAGGCAGTTAAGTTAAAGATGAGCACTCCTTAATTCTGCAAAAAGTTGCTTAGCAATCTTTATAGCTTAGAATACAAAATTTGCCAGTGATTCAGTTACATGATATTGTGTATCCATGTTTGAAAGGAAACAATCAAGTAACAAATGAGTCTGGCTTTTTCATCTCTCTAAAAATTACACAATAGTAACACATTTAGTATATGAGGCTAGTTATACTTGCATTTAGAAAGCTTTCCGTCTTAGTGGAGTCAATGCTAACTTAATTTGTGGGGCTTAATTTGCTGCCCTGCTCCTTCTTAAAATTCTTTTTTCCCCCTAGTTAAAAACATGATTCTGCAATCAAGCTAGTATCAGTGCCAAATTATGGTTTTCAGATTATCAAGATGCAATTGCAAATCAAGTTGAAAAGACATTAAGGTTATAATCTCATTTACAGTCTCAAGTTAATAGGAAAGAAATATAACTTCACTCAAATTAACAATTAACCATTTCCAGTTGGGCTAACACCATCCTATTTTCTACTTTAGGATATGTTCTCTTCATATGTAATTGTCATTTCCATAGTCCTTTCCCTAGACAGACCATCTCTCATTCATATCCATTTGTTAATATTTTCTCTCTCTCTTTCTTCCTCAGGGAAGATCACTGAGGAGGTGTCTCAGACATACTGTCATTTAAACATTGTGGGCCTGGTGGGCTCCATTGACAACGATTTCTGTGGTACAGATATGACCATTGGCACTGACTCTGCCCTGCACCGTATCATGGAGGTGATTGACGCAATCACCACTACTGCCCAGAGGTCAGCAAATGATTTCTCAGGTCTTTTGCTTCCTATCTTCCTTTACAAAAGGCTGCAGCATGCCTAGGACAAGCCTGAGAGCTATGTAACCAGCAGTTAGTTCCTGCCCTGCAGAAGCGTTTTTCCCAAGGGTGTGTAGGTGTGATGAACCTGCTTTTCTGGGACTAATTCCCTATTAGAGCCTTCCCAGATATTGCACCACCCAGAACAATTAAGTTAGAGCCATTGAAATCAATGGACCTAACAGTCATTTTCATTGAGTATATTCTGAGTAAACCTTAGTTGAATGCCACCCTTGGCATTTTTCCTTGCATTATAAAAGGAACTCATTAGCCAAGTACACAGATGTCTTCATCAAAGATGACACTTGTGTTGCTGAGATGTTATATTTCTCCTCACTCATTCAGCAACATGTTGCTAAGAAAATGTGAATCCCTACCTGCCTGCACGACATGTGCAGTCTTTGCCACATGAGCACTGTTTCACTTTGGAGTTCCTGTGCTGGAGGCACCATATAAGCAATATCTGCTTGCCCAAATGGTTCAGAAGCAAGACCTGGTTGCCTTCCTTGATCTTCAGAGGCAAGCAGCCACTGCCTCAGCAGCCTTCTGCTCCTTCCACAAGTAGCAGTGCACTGCATCTTTCCTGGGCTAAAATGCACAATCCTACACTGTTCCAGAGAGGTGGAGGAGAAGCAGCAGCAGCACAGTACCTCCCTGCTCACTCCTCCCTGGTGTGGCTCATTTTCTAACCTAGGCTCTACAGATTTTGGTCGCTCCTCCCTCTGCAAGAGAATGTGGAGTCTTAATTGTGACATCCTTCTGAGCACTTCCGATGTGCATGCGACTTCAGGTGCTCACCCTGTCACAATTAGGTTTGCTGAGTAAGCAGCAAGATGTTCTTTCCCAAGTCTGGAGACTTTTTGATTCTTTCCAAAGTCAGCCCAAGGCCTGGGAGAGTCCCCTTCAAAGGCCTAAGAGACTGGAGGGAAAAGACAAAATGAAATATGTGCTCACCAGCAGCAAGCTCTCAAGCACATCTGTGGGCTCGTGCTCCCAGCATTGATGCTGTCTCTTCCCCTGTCCAGCTAACGTGTGTGTAAATACTGCACTAATGAGAAGATGCAACTGAAGCATGCACTGAATGACCATCTGGACAAGTCTTTACTCTCTTATTTTGCTTTGCAGTCACCAGAGAACATTTGTGCTGGAGGTGATGGGCAGGCACTGTGGGTAAGGAGAGAGCTCTCTTGTTATTTTTTTCATTGAGGGAGACCTGGGTTTCCAGTTAGGGGATTAAATCTAAACATGGGTATATGCCTGCCACCCACCCACCCATCTCCCAAATCTTTCACCGTGATTGATACCCCCGGGTTCATCATTCACAAGCTGACTCTCTTCTTCCTCTGCAGGTACCTTGCATTAGTTTCAGCTTTGGCTTCTGGTGCAGACTGGCTTTTCATCCCTGAGTCACCTCCTGAGGATGACTGGGAGGATTTCATGTGTGAGAGGCTTGGTGAGGTGGGTGTCGGTGATATCTGTTGCACAACAAAAATGAAATTGTGTGCTCTTTTCTGATGAGTACAAATGGGGGGGGGCATTTCATTTATATTCTCTTCTTTAGTGGTCGCATCTAAGTTGATGGGGCCATATATTTCTTTCCAGAGAGCTTACAGGATCAGATCTATTAATGCACTGTGCACCAGCTCACAGCAGCATTCCAGAGCTCTCTGTGCTGCTGATGTGTTGCTCTTTGTGGAAGACCTTCCTTTGTGTGTATGCTGTACTGCAGATAAATGCAGGTGACACTGGGTAGGAAAAGCTGGCCGAGAGAGGCATGGAGCTGGGGGGAAAAGGACAGGATCTCAAGAGAGAGAGAGTTGAGGATTGGCGGCTTTTTAGTTTAGAGAAGGTGGATTGAGAGAAGCTTTTCTTCCTCTAATACTAGAATTTGAGGACATTCAATGAAGCTGAATGTTGGAAGATCTGGGACAGAAATACTCCTTCGCGAAGCACATGGAATTCACTCCTGCAAGAGGCAGTGATGGCCACCAACTTGGATGCTTTAAAAAAGGATTCGACAAGTTCATGGAGGGTGAAGCTATCAGAAGCTAGCCACCCTGGCTGCATTCTCCCTCCACTCCTGGAGGCAATATGCTCCTGAATACCAGTTGCTGGAAACTGCAAGAGGGGAGAGCGCTGTGGTGCTCAGGCCCTGCTTCCAGGTTTCCCATGGGCATCTGATTAGCCACTATGGGAGCAGGATGCTAGACTAGAAGAGCCACTGACCTGATCCAGCAGACCATTCTTAATATATTAGTATTAGATACCGAACCACCTAGCTGCCTTTAGTCATCCTTTCTCAGCAGGCAGGAACTACAACAGGGGCAGGGAACATTTGGCCCTCCAGATATTGTTGGACACCCCCAACTCCTGTTAGCCCCAGCCAGCATCACCATGGTCAAAAGTGATGGGAGCTGTAGAGCAGCAACACCTGGAGAACCATTACTTCCCCATCCCTGAACTGCAAAGTTGCTGATGGGGAAAGGCTTGACTGTCAAGCCTAAGGTGTTAATGTTAGGATTATGAGAGAGTCTCCGTTAACTTAGCCTCTTGCCTTTCCCTGATGGATCAATCATTGGCTTCCATATTTTTCTTTGGATAGACCCGGAGCAGAGGATCCCGGCTGAATATTATCATCATCGCTGAAGGTGCCATAGACAGGAATGGAAAACCAATCACTTCTAACTACGTGAAGGATGTAAGTAACTGATTAATGTTGTAGAGCCATAGCAGTGAAAGTATTTTTCAGCACACGGTTCTTAGAAAACAGGCTTTTCCATATTTTGGAACTATCTTGAGTATAAAAATATCCTGTGAACTTGACAGCTGTCCATTTTTCACTTGGGCTTCCCAGCTTTCTTCGGGCTTTGAATCACTCCGGAGAATTTTAAAGTGGGCATTTGCAGCTTCAATGCAGATGTAAACATTGCATTGGCAACCTCACGGATTACTGCAATGCACTCTATGTGTTGTTACATGTGTTGTCGGAGTGGCTCTGGAGGCCGTAGCTGATGCAGAAAACTGCGGCTAGGTTGCTTGTGGGGCAAACTTTTGCTTGCAGGATTTGCACTGGCTGCCAGTTGGCTACTGGGCCATGTTCAAGGTGTTGGTACTAACATACAAGTCCCTATACAGCTTAGGACCAAGTTACTTGAGAGACCGCCTTATCCCTTACACACCCAATAAATCACTGCTGTCCACAAGAGAGTCTCTCCTATAAGTACCAGAAGCCTTCCCTATGGTAACTTGGAGCAGGGCTTTTACTGTGGCCACCCCTCTTATGTGGGACAGCATTCCTGTCAATATACGACTGGCACCTACTATTTGCATTTTCCACAAGCAGCTGAATGCATTTTGTTCCAGGAGGCTTTCCCAGCTGGATAAATGGGTCTTTGCTATGAGTATTCACTTGACAGGGTTTTAGTCTTGTTTTAAATGTATTTATTATATTTGTGGCTTTAGCAATTTTTCATCATGTAAATTGCTTTGAGACAGTAGTTTAGAAGGTGATTAATAAATTGATAATAATAGTAATAATGATGGTAATAATAAATGTCTGACCTAGAGCCCCTCTCCCAGTTTACCAGGGAATCTGGTACAGGGAAGCTGTAAGCATACTTTAACTCCAGATTTTCTTTCTCCCTTCCCCCACTTTCTGATCAGCTGGTTGTCAAGCGCCTGGGTTTCGACACTCGTGTGACTGTGCTTGGCCACGTGCAGCGTGGTGGGACCCCCTCAGCATTTGATCGTGTCCTGGTAAGTGTTACTCTTTTTCTTTTGCTAGATGTCTGGGGTGTTCAGGGTATGTCTAAGGAATGGCTTCTCACTCTCTTGGTAAAGTGCCGCTGTGTTAGCAGCAGAAAGGCGAGTCAGAGCTGAAGACCCTGAAAAAAGGCAGGAACCTCACAGACTGAGTTCATGTGCCCTGCTGCCATTTAGAAATCAGTCGCCCACACTGTATATAGGTGGAGATAAGTAAGCCATAACTAAAAGGAAACACTGCTGGTATGTTGTACTGCAAGTCCTCTTTCAAAACTGGCATGCAGAACTCACAATAGGCAAATGCAGTAGACTGGATGGCAAGAAGGCATTTTCTGCACCCTTCATGGTGTTTGCTTTGTTTATTCTTGGCTTGGCCACTCGGAAGCAAACAGAAAAATTGTCCTGGTTTTGCAGGCTCTGGTGTTAAATCCAGAGGCTTCCTGGACCTTCTTTTAGGCTAGTGCTTCTAGATCTCTGGGTGTGACTTAGTCCTGTCTGAACAATAAACCCTGCTGTGCATCATAGAGACAGCCTTGTGTTCTTCATTCCATTGTGTAGAATGCCTGATCCATTTCTATTTAACACTATTAGAAACCTTTGTTAACCTTGAAATTTTCCAGGATCTCAGTATTCTTCATCAATGCAGGGATGGGGCAGTCTTCACTTTCAAGATAGTGTCACATCTTGTTGCAAGCCGTAGTTAACTTGTAAATAATCCAAGGGCTAGGAACTCTCCCTACCTGGTCTTGGCTGGTCAAAAGCAAGATTCTCAGCAGAGCTCCATTCAGAGCTCAGAATACTTAGCTACTTCTTTTTTCTATTCTCTCTTTTGCCTTCCTCTTTGTTTAGGACTGGTCTTGGAAGGAGAGGCTTTTCATTAGGTCATGGTTTTCTTTTTGTCTTAACCTTTCCCATTGCTCCAGAGGATTTCCTGCACTCTTAGTGGTATTGAAACAAGACAGTCTTTTCCCACCCCACAAAAAAACACACACTATTAAACAGGGTAGGAAAATCGCATCAGGAATTCCTGTGCCGCAAGAAAGGAGTGGGTGAATATTTTTCTGCATTTGTAGGCTAGACCGTTCTAAGACCTGGGGATGACCTTCTGTCCCATCTTCTTCATGTTTTCTCTTTCGGAAATGGTCCATTAGATGTGTTTTTACAGTAATATTTGTCCAGTTGGTCAACCTGGTGTTTCGAGAGCTGAATTTTGCAAACTGCTGGTTTATCCAGTACTACAGGATAGGAGGAGTTATTTTTCAGCTTCTGGTGCAGCCTGGCAGTGCCCTCCTTGGCATCTTTGCAAGCTGACCCTGTGACCCAGAGGAAGCACTGCCCTCAAAGTAAAGGCTGCTCCTATCTGCCACTACCAAGAATGGGAACTAACAGAAAAAGACAGATTTCCGTTTCTCAGTAAAGCAAACAACCCAATTAGTTGCACATATTCAGTTTCCTCTGAAGAGGTGGCTCTCGAGGGCTGTTAAACAAGATCGGTCGAATGATAGTTAGCAACGTGCACTAAGAAGAGAGAAAATACAGCAGATTGGAAAAACAGCTGTTATGAGAACGTGTCAGATAGCACTGCAGAACTTTGTTGGGTAAGAGGGAGCGGCTGTGGACCAAAGCCATTCTGTGCTGCTCCTAATGTGTGAACACCTGGGAAGAGTGTTTTCTGTTAGAGGAAACTTTGAATACTGGCTCTTTCTATCATCTCAGTTCATATTCCTGCTGCTGGGAGTCTTTTGTTTCTTTATATGTCTCCAAGGCAAGCCTTTTCCCATTAGCACTTCTTTGCAGTCTTGCTGCTTTGTAACTTTAGGAGATGCATATTATACAGGTTGTGTGCTGCTGCTGATGTGAAAACCGTGGGCATTTGTTAGCGTCACAATTACCCCATCTTTCTGTCTCAGTGGTTTTTACATTGAAACACATACACATTTTTGAAGTGGTGAAGTATGATTTCCAGTGCTTGGTGAGACAAGGCTCCAACTTTCCAAAGCATGTTGTCCTGCAGAATCCCAAAGAGACATGGTATGTGCCTAAATATGCGAGGTATACATAGCTGACTGTCTCTGGAAATGCATTGTGTGTCCCCCAGAGCAGCAAAATGGGGATGGAAGCTGTGATGGCACTGCTGGAAGCAACACCAGACACTCCTGCCTGTGTGGTCAGTCTCTCCGGGAACCAGTCAGTGCGCCTACCCTTAATGGAATGTGTGCAAGTGGTGAGTATTTCACATGATCATAGAAGCCAAATATATGCAGTGTGGAGAAGCACAGCATTGGGGCGGGGGGGAGGCCTCCATTTTTATACATGTGTGTGGGGTGACAGGGAACTTCACAGTTGACACACGATGATGATAATCAGCAAACAAGCAGATATTTGGAAGGTTCTCTGAGGGGGTCAGGAACTGTGCATATGTAGAGGGAATATGACATCTGAGACGGAATACCAAAACTATTTGCTTTCATTGAAACAAACAAGAAAAATAGCCTATGTAGAAAGAAATCTGAAAACATGGTATGAGGTTTTGCTAGATTTCCAGTGGGTAGGAGGTACAGTGGTGCCTCGCAAAACGAAATTAATCTGTTCTGCGAGTCTCTTCATCTTGCAGTTTTTTCGTCTTGCGAAGCACGGCTATTAACGGCTTAGCGGCTATTAACGGCTTAGCGGCTTTAAGAAAAAGGAAACAAACTCGCAAGAACTCGCAAGACGTTTCGTCTTGCGAAGCAAGCCCATAGGGAAATTTGTCTCAAAAAACGGAAAACTCTTTCGTCTAGCGAGTTTTTCGTCTTGCGAGGCATTCGTCTTGCGGGGCACCACTGTATAACTAAGCTTGCATTCTGTAGTTGGGGTTGCTTTTTCTTTTTTTCTTTTTGTTACATTTCCTTACCTGCTCATTCCCCTGTTTTATGTGATCTTTTATACAACATAAAAACCACCTCTGGAAATCTAGTGGAAGTTTAGCACTGATTTCCATTTTAACTGTTTCTACCAAAAGAGTCCATTTGCAACCCTGTTCACATGGAAAATTGCAGGAGTTTTGTGTCGTAACTGCACACGACGAAATCTAAGGTGGCATCCCAGTGTACGTGACCTTTCCCACCATTAAAATTTAGCATGGCATGGTAGTATGCTGATTGAAAAGCCACAGTTCCATAATGCGCTACAACGTAAAAGAAACATAAGAAATCTAACGTTATAATCAAATTAACAGAAAAAACAACATGTCTGAATGTAGCCTTGATTAGCATAGGTACCAGCCTCTCCCCATGCTTCTGCACCCTTATATATAGCTGTCCAGTTGTCTTTTGTCCCCATATTTTTCCATGAGGCCTGAGTCAAGCTCTGCAAGGAAGGCTTATTATGGTCCCATTGATGGCTGAGCCCTGGTCTGTGGTGATGCTGGGCCTTTTCTGTCATACTACACTCTAGTTGTGGAGTTCCCTCTCAGTGGAGATATAGCTGTTCTCATATTGTCAGCTTTTCAACACACTGGGGAAATGATTTTTTTCCCTTTCCAGGTTTTCAGGGATATGTGAGCTTAAGGGTTGGTCTGTCTGCAGCAAAATTGTATATATTACTCCCCGCCACCCCGATACTTACTGCTTTATAGTTTTAATATTACTACGTGTTGTATATTATTGGAGCATTTGTTTACCACCTTGGGATCCTTTGGGATGAAGCACTGTTTAAAAACATAATTAACCAGAATAACCATTTTCTTCCGGTTTTTGACAAAATAAAATAGATTTTTTAAATTAAAAAAAACCACTTCCCAAATCAACTATGCATGCATAACTTGTTGCGACCCATCAACATGGAGTTTGTGGGTGTATGGTTTTGGATTTTTGAGCGCAGAACCTCCAGAGCCCCTGAACCATGCCTTTTCAGTGCCATACACATTTGGAGTCGGGCATACATGATGGAACAGGCTGTGCCAGCGAACTCTCCCTGGGAGAGTTCTTTTTCTTGATTTGCCCTGGCCCAGCCTTTCTGGGGAAGAGGGTAGAAAGGCAATGCATCTCCCTTAGGGGTTCTTGCAATCCTTTGGTCCTTCCAGCCTCCCTTTTTTATGTCACTTTTTTCTCTGTGCCTGAAATGGCCCTCCGATGAGCGTGTCCGTGAATGTCCTGAAAAGGAATTGGCAGAAGATGAATTAATCTCACTGTTTTATTAGATTTCTACTAGAGCCTGGCTATGATTCTCTAACCCCCTACCTCCACAATATCTTTATAGACCAAAGATGTCCAGAAAGCAATGGATGACAAAAGATTTGATGAAGCAATTCAGCTCAGAGGGAGGTAAGAGATGTTTCTGGGATCTGGGTGGAAATTGAATTTCCTCTCATCTGTTTGTTTATATTAACATTTAAAATAACAACACTTATGAAGGCAAGTCTTGCTGTAGACCTTTGGTATTTAGTAGCAAAGACAAGAACTTGCTACTCATTTGTTCAGTTCTCTTTTCTTAACATTTCCAAGGTGTTTTTTCATAGGAAATGTGAAGTCAGGTACAAAAAAAGCATTAAAAACTCCTCTAATATTACAGAAGTTCTTTACCTCTTTTTTCCTGCCCATAGAGAAACCCTGACTCCCCAACCCATAGCCATGATTCACAGTCTGAGGAAATCTCTAGATGTTTAGTGGATCTGTGCTCTTTTTTCAACTTCTGATGGCCAGTCCTATTTATTGTGAGCCAAATGATCAGAGCTGATGGTTACTTTTCCTTCATTCTCCTTTCTACTGCAACCCACTTGGCCCATCTTTTTGACATTAATAGCAACATGGGCGTCTTAAGTGTCTAACCTTGTTTCTTCATGGATCATTGGTTCACGAGAATCAAATAAATCTCACACATGTTTTGGATTGCGAGCAGTTGGTTTTCTTCCTATTTTAACCCCGTTCCACTACTACTTGGGTGGACATACAACATACATACATACATACATACTGTATGTTCTGGTCACTCATTCAATGGCAGAATCTCTCCATAACTGGAACTAAAATGGGGGGGGTGCAGAATTATGCAAAATGTTGCGGTGAGAATTGGTTCTGTTTAGGGTTCTAGCCACTCCATTCCATCATTTCCCTTTTCTGCTGCTCTTTTTCCTCATGCATGGATGGCGCCATTTTGGTTACGTAAGCAATGCCACTGAAAGTCTAGACATCAGAGATAGAGGGAATTTTTTGACCAGTATTCTGGTCGTGCCACTCTTTTAAGTAAGTCCTTAATGCTTAAGAAAGGAACTGCAGCCTAACACTTTTTCCTGTCACCTATAAGACAGTGTCACAGTGACTGCTATAGCAGACTCAGGGCTTAGATAAACTATCAGCCTATTTTGAAAACAGAAACATAACTTATTGAGGAAATGACTGATAACCAGTTACAGCAAAACAAGGCAATAATTTATTCTGTACACAGTGGGAAGGCAGCCTTCCCCACTTTGTGCTGTCCAAAACATCTGGAGGACACCAGATTGAGCAAAGATGAGGAACTTGTGACCTTCCAGATGTTGCTGGACTTTTGCTTCGATCATCCCTGACCTCTGGCCATGCTGGCTGGGGCTAATGCTACTTGGAATACAACAATAGCTGAAGGAGTCCAGCAATAGCTAAATTTCCCTGAGAATTAGGAAGCCTGCTTTAAGTGATCTTCCTGGCAAGGAGACACAGGAGTAGCAATTTAGGACTGTTTTTGGGAGTGCAAATATTCTTGTGTGTATTTTTTGTTTAAACAAATATAAGTTAAAAGGTCTGAGCATGCTTTAAGATGCATGAGTAGAAAATTCACTTACCTTAATTGAAATAGGTGGAAGATTCCATAGGTCAGCACTTTCAGGCAAAAGCTAAATTAAATTTGAGAAGTTACATCCACAATGCACTTCAGTGATGGTACATTTTCTGGAAGGAATTAAAAAGAGGTTCACGTTTGAAGTTGTTGTGCATCTTAGGAGCATTCTAGAGTCCAAGTAAGAAAGAGAAGAGAATTTCTCTCTGTCTCTTAGACTTGGCTTTGGTGGTTTCTTACGATAAAAGATTACCAATATAATTGTGGGCTTGTTTTACCAGGAGTTTTGAAAACAACTGGAACATTTACAAGCTTCTTGCACACCAGAAGCCTGCAATGGAAAAGGTGAGGAAGCAAAGAGAAACAGATTTTGTTCTGCAGGTTTCTTGCAGTGTGAAAGGAATAGCTGTTATTTCTTTTACTGCTTTAATGTTTCCATATTTATCATGGTCTGTTGTTTGTTGTTGCATGTTGTAAGCATGTTGCTTTTGTTATTAATTTGTTTTTGTGAGCTCCTTGTAAGGAAAGTGTTTGAAAAAGCCACCAATAAATAAATAAATAAATAAATAAATAAATAAATTTGTGTGCACAAGCACAAATCAAAAGTCCCAAGGCAGCAGGAAGCAGGCCTCAAGAGGGTGCATCTGGACATTTAATGATGGACGGACCTATACAATGCTGCAGCTCCTAAAAGGACTTCTGTGTGCAATGGAACTTCCTCTCCTGTCCCCACCAGCCCCCTGCACACACTCAAAATTATATTGGGGGACCCTCCAGAGCTGCTTTTGGGAACCCATCAGGGTAGGAAAGGGAACGGAAGTCCTGTTGCACTAGTGGAACCCTGCTGGCACAGCATTGGATACAATGCAAGGTTTTAAAAAATGTCCACAAATTGCACTTGCATTCTATGTTCACAGACAGTAAAAGCAATGTCTTCCTGTGTATGCTAGAATCCACACTGTATATCCAATAAAGGTTTCCAATACAGTCACAAAAGAAGTGCTGTCTCTTGGACATCTCCCCCTCCCATTTGCAGATGCTCGCAGCCTCAAAGCAGTTGCTTGCATGCCCAGCCTTTTTCAATAGAGGTCGGATGTGTCCTTACAGGCCAGGAAAGAGCTGCCATCTGTTTTGCTCAAGGGTCAAACAAAGGAATGCAGAAGCAACCTCTGGCTTCTGCAGGAAACACCAGCAGCCCTCATATGTGCTTCATCCCAGGGACATAGGCAGCAGTGCTATGCCTGACTCCCTGAGCCGCCTGAACAGAGGTGCAAAGAGATGGAGAGGGCAGGTGAAAGTAGGACCCAATGCTGCTGCTGCTATATGGAGCTCTGAACTCCTTGCACAGGGTGGAAAAACTTGACCCTCTTCTACAGCCAAAAGTTAGGCAAAGACTTTGTGAACTGTAATTGTTATGTTGATATATGGTCTTCCTGTCATTTCTTTTAGATCAGGGTAGTCCAGCGTGTGGCCTTTTTTGGCAGCCCTCAGCAACATTTGATTCCCGCCTCCCCCCCCGCCCCCCGCCGCTGCCCTCATGCTATCTTCCGAAAGCTGGTTAAGTGAGGTTCTGGACTTTGGGAAGGAAACGCAATGCTCTGGCAGGGTCCTAGAGTCCTCCTTCCTCCTTCCCAAAGCCTAGGTAGTGCTTTCCCAGCTTTAGGAAGAAGGTGGGAGGACTCTAGGACCCTGCCAGAGCCTCACAGTTCCTTCCCAAAGACCTGTGCCTCACTTAGCCAGTTTTGGGAAGGCAGTGCAAGGACTGAGAGGGGGTGTCAAATTTTGGCCTTGCTTCCTTCCCCCTGTGCGACAAGGCAGTTTGCAGCCCTTGGGTTCTGTGCCGAAGTACTCTTGGTATGAAAAGTTGGACCACCTTGTTTGAGATGATTATGCAAGGAAGTGAGGCACATCTCAGCCAAGGCTACTCAGTATCTTGTCTGAAGTTCTCAAAATACTTACCTGAAGTATTGCAGGACAAGGAAGTTGCACAATGTCCTCTTACATAGCTTGCTTTGTAGCAGAGGTACCTCCTAAGGGCTCGCTGCACTCCCAGCACCCTCTGAGTGCTGACAATGACTTCTTCCAGCTGATTATTATCCGTTTCTGTTCCGGGCAGAGCAATTTCAATATTGCCATTCTGAATGTGGGAGCCCCTGCAGCCGGCATGAATGCAGCAGTCCGGTCAGCTGTGCGTGTTGGGATCTGCCAAGGCCACACAATGTATGTGGTGAATGATGGCTTTGAAGGCTTGAGCAAAGGACAGGTGAGTCTCTCTAATTGGAAGGGAGGAGGTCCTCCCTCCTGTCGGACTACTAGTCCTTCTCATTTCTTTGTAAAGTAGAGCATCTACAGGGCAACATTCATTTGGAACTCCAACTGTCATTTGTGCTGCAAAACTGGCACCATGATTTATGAATTTCTGATTGGAAGGGACAGAGGTGAGGCGGAGTTGGTTGTAACAGGAAGCAAAATATCAATTTGATCTTTCTTCTTTTAAACCACACTGCTTTCACTTTCAAATCCAAGGTTTGGAAGACAACCTGGTGCAGTTGGGAATGGCTGGGCGAATCATGAGAGGTCTAATGAAATGTTTCTTCTCGTAGATCCGAGAGGTGGGCTGGCACGATGTTGCAGGCTGGCTAGGGCGTGGAGGATCCATGCTGGGGACCAAAAGGTAAGTTGACATGACAGCCCACAGAGTGGTTCTCTGCAGATGGGGAGAAATTGCAGGACTGAGTTCAAAGAGGGGACGATACAGGTAAAACCTTCCAAAAGGTTGGTACCTGTTACGAAGTGTGTAGTGAGCATGCAAGCCTGCAATTCTCACATGCAATCTGGCTCTCATTTCAAGGGATCTTTTGTTCTAAAATGGAATTAGTTTATTATCTCAGGGGGTGCATAGCATAGCATAGCAGTTTTACACAATTGTCCTTCACCTAAAACAGAGCAAACCTTTCTCAACCTTTCATGAAGGTGATCAGGGATGTATCACTGCTTAATTTATTACAGAACTATTGTAATTTAAGAATTCTCCCCCTGCAGCTTATCTTACCTCTGCCTTCCAGTTGTGGAAATTAATTGTTTGTGTGGCTGTTTTTCCTGTATGATTTATTCTTAAAAATTGCTGGCCACTGTCAGCATATCAACATATTTCTCTGAAAGGTCTCTTGATAACATACCAAGCTTATGACAATCAGTTTTTCTATGTACTCATTCTTTGCTATTCTATATTCTTTTCTTACCATAGTCATCTCATAACCAGCTTTCTCCATAGACACTTTCCCCCTTTAACATTCCAGTGTCATTTGTCTTCTTCATTTCTTAGACGCAAACCTAAAATTGCCAAGCTTCTATCTTATTTTTTCAGCTGTCGGAAATGGAAAGTGCATGCCTGAACTTCTTGGACAGTCATCATGCTCCTGTATTATCTCTACAGGATCCTTCATTATTGTTAGTTCATGGCCCTTTGTTTATTTTATTTCTCTTTCATAGAATGCTTTATCTGCTTCTCCTGAATGTTTTGGTGCTCTATGATAAGCAAACATAATATTTTCTGTTTCCTACTTCCTTGCCAATTCTTCATTGTCTCATTTGGAGGGCTTCCAAAATAGTTATTCAATGTGGAATTGCCATGCTTCATTCTCTCATTTCTTTATAGGCCACCCACATGCTGCAAGTCTTAAAGTGGGAGGCTCACAATGGCTTTTGCAAGGTTCCTCCCCCGCTTCCCTTTTAATCCCCCAGTCTCACTCTAACTGTAAAGGTTAGGGAGGCCTGCAAAGGCTTTTGGAAGCCTCTTCCTGCTCCCCGCCTTTAATATTGGGGTGAAAGGGATTTTTGACAATAGGGTAGTCCTGCCCACCTGTCAGTCATGTGATGTCATAATGATGCCACCTGTCAAATTTGACCCACAAGGCAGATCCTAATAAGGATCTCATTGGTGAAGCCAAAAAAGATTCCCACCCCTGCTTTAGGTTGATAATCAAGTTGTGCAATGTTAAAAAGGGTGAGTCTTAAATGTTGCAAACTCTTGGGTTTGCATAATAATGTCATGAGACTTGAGTCCCATCAGACAGGAAGCATTATCTCATCCAAATTGCTCTCCTTTCTGGTAAACAGGGCAGGGGGACCTACTGAGCTTGCCATTTATTCCTGTGGGCTCTGAAATTTTGTGAGGGTTTGAAATGTGATGGCAATGGTGATGATTGCGTCTGAAACCTGATGGGGTCTGCGTGCATGCAAATACTCATCTATAAATTAAATATGGGGCAGAGGATCTTAAAATGCGTACTGCAAGTATGAATTTGGATAATGTTCACCAGTTGCACATTCTTGCCATAAAGTGCATGCGGCCTCTATAATAACTGGTTTATTTAAACTGGTAATGAATGCAAAACCAGATCTGCTACAGACACAAGTTTCATTGGACTGTTTCGCCAGTCAAGAATCCCTGTGGAATTCAGTCCTCCAGAGATTTGTCTCCTTACAGTCCTCGGTCTCAGCTGTGCTGTGTCAGCTTAACAGATAATTTCACTGTACATCCTGTTGCTGTATCCCAGGGGTCGGCAAACTACAGCCCACGGGCCAGATCCGGCGCAATTGCCCTCAGCATCCGGTCCACAGACAATCTGTGAATCGTGTGGATTCCTTCTTTTAAAAAATTTTGTTAATTTTTTTTCTGCGCCACCATTTTTTTTGTGGGGCACCATTTCCACACACACACATAGCGGCATCTCCTCCCTCCTGGTTTTCCTTGTCCTTTTGCCCGCCCTACATAGAGGAGGAAGGGGGCTGGGCTGAGCTGGCTGAGTGCCATTTTGGGCAGTGCCTCTCCGGAGCCAGCGAGCACCTTTTGGGCCGCTCTTGCCGCCGCCACCAGCCTCTGCCGCTCGCAAGGGCAGGCACAGGAGCCGTGGTTGGCAGAGGGCAGCGCCTCTCCCAACCGCGGCTCCTGTGCCTGCCCTTGCAAGTGGCAGAGGCTGGCAGCAGTGGAGGGATGAGCGGCCCGAAGCAGCCCTTTCGGGCCGCTTGTCCCTCCGCCGACAGCCTCTGCCGCTTGCAAGGGCAGGCACAGGAGCCGCAGTTGGGAGAGCACAGCGCTTCTCCGGAGCCAGCCAGCCCTTGCGCCAGCAGCACCATAGGTAGGCGGGGGGGGAGGGGCTGGGGGAGAGAGAGAAGACCCCAATGCTGGGTGCGTGCCTGCCACAAGGTCTGGGGGACGGTGAACCTGCCCCCTCCAAAAAAAGTTTGCTGACCCCTGCTGTATCCCATTGCAGAGACTGTATAGCTGGAATAGTCACAGGTTGCAAGCATGAACTCATTTCCAAATCATTTACAAGGCCATTGCAAATGTAACAGTTTTGCATGTTACATCTTTACCCTTTCCTGTACTGACCCCGCTTCACTTGTGTAGTACAGTATTTCTTAAGGGAGTGTGATAAGTAGCGACTGAAGTAACCACCTGCTATGTGAACTGCCAGGATTATGTTCCCTCACATAGACAGCCTCGTTTGTGCTTAGTTCTGCAGGTGAAGAGTGACCACAGATCTTTATGAGCTATCTGGCTAAGTACCTATTCTACTGGGCTTATCTGAACATAAGAGTCTTTTCCAGAGTATCTGGACTGTACTCTTCAATTGTTAGCATGGCCAAAGTGGGAGAAAGTTGGTTTAATAAGCATGTTTCCTCTTGCTGGTCAGTAGGCCATTCATTCTGCAGGAAGCAATACAAAAGGTGCATTGTTCCTAAATGACTTGCACTTGCCAGTCTGTGGGAGTGAGCCTGTCTGTCTCTGCTCCCTTGGCAAAGAACATATCCTATCAAAGGCTGGCCGTTGGTGCATGCTCTAGCTTGCCTTTATGCTGTTATTTGGAAAGTAAGGCAGCAAATTAAACGTGGAAGATTTCAAAGCATCTCTTTGCCTGCTTCATGAAATTGGCGTCTCTTCTCTTTTCCTTCACTGTGCTAAGACAATCCTATTCTTAAGCAGGTGCGGTAAAGCAGGAAGAGGCAGGCATCGTGATGCAGCTTTTCTAACAGCTTGTTTTGTTCTTGTTTTGCCAGAACGCTTCCCAAGACATGCATGGAAAAGATTGTCGAAAATGTCCGGAAATTTAACATCCATGCACTGCTGGTTGTTGGAGGATTTGAGGTGTGGAGAAGTTCATCGGACACTTTCAGATTTGAATGAGAAATGCCTCTCTCCTTTTCCTAAAAAGCTGGGCCAGGCATGATTGCACTGATGTTGGTACTTCAGTGTGTAGACAGACTGCAAGGCTGGAATTACCCACATTGAGCTGCAGCTCAGTCATAGAACACATGCCCTTTAAACCCCATCCACTTCCACCTTCCCCATCCCAATTCCTCCTCCCTTCCAGCTTTCTTCCACTCATCACCTAAATAACCCTCCCATATTCCCCCTCATATCTCTAAATGCCATCTTAACCACTCCCCTGCCAGTTCCACTTGCTGCTTCCCCAATTCCTCCCTTCGCTCCCCCCCCCCCCCCCGCCAGCCACCAAAGAACTAAAACTGCCATACACAGAAACCCTTTTTCCCCACACCAAGGCCTTCCTGTAATCCCCACCATCATGTACTACAGACATGAGTTTTCCTTTCTCCCTGCCCCCCCACCCATCCTCCTTCCCCCACTCCTGCCTTTAGACCCTTGGGAAGCAGCCAATAAAAACCATGTGATGACTGACTAGGTTAAATATAGTATATAGTGAGATCTATAGAGTTGGTCTCTTTTTGGTCTCTTTTCATAGTACCTTTTGTTTCAACAATTGCAATCCTCTTTAGTAAACATATGCTTTAAATGACTATGTATCAAAAATACCTCTGGACTGATAGATACCCAGTTTCCAAGGGTTCATTTCAAGGTCATGACTCCTACCCAGCTCAAGAGAGTCGATCAAAATTTTGATTTAAGATGCTCAGAGGTGTAAAATTTCTTTTTATCTCTTACTTCTTGCAGCCCAGTGCTTAGGCTTGGGTATGTGGCTTACATTTCTGCCACTCTTGTCTTTTGCAGGCGTATGAGGGAGTACTACAATTGGTGGAAGCTCGTGGTCAGTATGATGAGCTTTGCATCATTATGTGTGTGATTCCAGCCACCATCAGCAACAACGTCCCAGGCACTGACTTCAGCCTGGGTTCTGATACAGCTGTCAATGCTGCCATGGAGGTAAGATGGGTCTATCCAGCAGCCACAGAATGCCGGGAACTAGGCATGCGGGGAGATGAATTATATAACCTTTGTTTCATCAATGTATTTCTATTGCATATATCAGAAATGTTGGCAAGAAAGATAGAGGAGGCAGGAGGTGGAGCAGGGGAGTAATACAGACCACGTAAAACTACACCTGCCCCAGCATGGTAGACAGAAACTCAGCTTAACACCTGGGCAACTAAGCATCCTTTTCCTTCCTCCCCAATCTGTAGAGCTGTGACCGCATCAAGCAGTCCGCCTCGGGCACAAAAAGACGAGTGTTCATTGTGGAGACGATGGGCGGTTACTGCGGCTATTTGTCTACAGTGACTGGCATTGCAACAGGAGCTGATGCTGCCTACGTCTACGAAGATCCTTTCACCATTCATGACTTAAAGGTGTGCTGGTGGCAGAATTGAGCACGTGAAGTGCTGTTTGAATGTCGTGAGGTGGCCCAGAAAGATGGTTTCCTGGCATTTGTCAGATGTGCAAGGGGCAGGAAAATGGGTGATAACTGGGGGTGGATGAGGAGGGAATATGGAAAAGAAGATGACTCCTGGTTGGGGGAAAAATTCCAAACTTCAAATCAATGCTTATCAGGAACCTATAAGTTGTTATTGATTTGTGTACTTCATGTTGCAGCCCTCCCCTTTCATAAGAACTTGCATGAAAGTGGCCTCTCAATTTTTCTCACAGGCTCATATAAGTTCAGCACAAACAGTTGGGCCTGGTGAGCATTTAAGGTCCCCAACCCTAATCTGCTGGTTGCCATCTGATTGGATTTTATTCTGATCCTGATCTGATTTCCGGATGTATTTTAATTGATTGGCTGATTTTACGTTAATGTGTTATACATTTGATGTTAGCCGCTCTGAGCCCGGTTTTGGCCAGGGAGGGCGGTGTATAAATAAAAAATATTATTATTATTAAACAATATTTGAAAAAAGCAAGACCTAAATTACATATGTAGTTCTATAAAATGCAGACATCCTATCTTACATAAGTCATGTTCCATCTGTGAGAAGACTGAAGTGTTCCCAATGAATCCTGTAACTTATCTGGATATTGGAAGTGCAGGTGAGATGAACTGGCTGAAAGAGAGAGGAGATATTTGGACCACGTGTGGTGGCAATGCTCATCATGACAACTCGTCTGTCTCATTTTACAGAGTAAATTAAAAATGAGGCAGAATTAATTATCCCTCTGCCACCCTTTTCCACTACAGCAAATTTTGGCTCCAAAGCCCAAGGCAGTTAGGATGGAATTCAAAGTAGCTCTGTTACATCAGACAAGCATTTTGCTTGCTTGAGGCAACAATCTCTCCTCTCCTTAGACATGCCTTATACAAGCATTTATGCTAGCAAACTCCTGATCATAGAACAAAAGCAATATATCATCTGATGGTGACCACTTCTCCATCTCTGATTTTTTCCATTCTTGTTCTGGGGGAGCCTGTTGCCTTTGCCAGCTTTGCTGGCAATGAATACACCCAAGCTATAAAATGGTTTACTTGAAGACAGCCTTCTGCAACATAGTGTCTTCCAGATGTTTCTGACTACAACTCCCATCATCCCTGGTCATTGGCCAGGCTGGCTAGGGCTGATGGGAGTTGGTGTCCACCAACAACTGCAGGGCACCAGATTGGGGAAGGCTGACTTACATTGATCTCAATGGAACAAATGCAGCAACTGTTGTTCATATAAATGTGTTGCTATCAAGAACAACAGTGACCAAGATTATTCAAGCTGCTAAAACATTCTGTTTCCCTCCTGGTTAACCTTTTCTTTTCACTTGTTTGTTGCACTTAATGACAGTTGATTCTAACACAGTCAGGCTTGAGCAAAGCATTTATAGTCTTGTCTTATCTAATCTCATTCTCTCTGTAGCTCAGAAGTGACATTTCCTTCTTCCTTTTTCTGAAGAGCTGTTTTCTCTTGAATCAGCAAAATTTGTTCCAATGAAAACGATTGGTCTTTGTGTCTTTCCAGGCAAATGTTGAACATTTAACTGACAAAATGAAAACAGACATTCAGAGAGGCCTAGTACTGCGGTGAGTTGTGGAAAAGGCACTGAAACGGCCGTGCTTCAGTTCTTGAAGAAGATGGAAATCTTCAGTGTCATCTGGGATTGAAATAACTTTTATCTCTGTAGCTTTTTGAATACACAATTTTATATTGAGTGTGCCAATGCTATGGCAGCAGCTCTTTTAAAAAGGCTGAGACGGTAGCTGAAAAAGGCATAAAGAGATTTGGGGCTCAGACTGTCTTTTTCAGACTGTCTCCCTCAAGAAAGGAGGGAGCAAGTGATGTGTTCAGCAGAGGGAGTGTACTATATCTGTGATAGGAGCATCTGTGGCCCTCCAAATGATTCTGGACTCCCATCTCCCAGCAGTCCCAGCCAACATGGTCAATGCTCAGGGATGATGGGAGCTTGGTTCACTGCCTCTGAACTATGGGAAGCATCAGCTAATAGTGCAGGATGCCATCACCTGCTCCTGGATCACAGGGTTGGCACTGTTCTCTGTGACTCTGCTGACCCAATCCCTGGAGTATTGCCAAGACTTGCATCTCTGTAGCATGCGTGAATAGTGACTCAGCACAAATGAAGGAATTGCAGCCTAGAAACCTCTGAAACACTGAAAAGAGATGGATGGTTTTAGAAATGTGATGAGATTAGGCTTGGCTCCCTGCCGGGATGGAGATCTGATGGATTCTACCGCAGTCCTGAGGAAAAAGGGTAGAGGAGATTCCTCAAGTGCAAGGCTAGTACAGGGGAGAGAATGGTTTTGCCAGTGCTCAGTAGCTGGCTACACTGTCACTGGTTTAGTTCTGCTTCCTTTGTCTAAATTTTGTCAGCATTTGCCTGAAACCCAGTTCTCTGTGTAGTCCTGGCAGAGCAAAACTTTAAGAATATTCAATCTCGCACACTTCTTGGATCATAAAGGACTCTTCTCCAAAGCTCTTATCCCTGGTGTTGTTAACTTGTGCAAACAAACTCACTTCATTTTGATTTTTCTTTCCAAAAACTGTCTTTCCCTTGTTTTGGAATTAAGATAAAGTCTGTGTGCAGAATTCAGAACCTCAGAAAATATTTTTAAAAGCTAAAACACATATCCTGAAAAACCCAATAAAAATTCAGCATACAATCAGGAACCAGTCACTGAAACAAGATCAAGAATGAGTTAAGAATGAGTGACCCTGGTGTGTTTCATTGGATTTCTACCAAGAAAGCCCCACCTTTATTCTTGTTGTGGATTAGGAGATGAAACCTGAAGCAGGGCCCTCCTTATGAAATCAGAGGGCAGAAGGTCTTGTATGGAAAAAGCCAGTGTATAAAAAACACGAGACTCCGCCACCGAGGGCTTCAGCATTTTAAATCAGTTGGGCCCATGATGCTTTCTATGCTGTGTTTTCTGTGAGAGATACAGTCATACTCACTTAGTGCATCAAAGGGGAGGAGGGGCTGTAGCGCAGCAGGTAAAGCACATACATTTCATGTAAAAGTCCCTGGGTTCGATTCCCACCAGGCCTGGGAAAATGCTCCTTCCTGAAACCCTGAAGCTCCACTGCTTGTCAAGTGTCAACAGCACTGAGCTAGATGAGTTTTGACTTGGTATTATTAGGCAGCTGCCTGTGTTTTAAAGTGCCTTCTCCCTTTTGCTGTCTTCTTAGCAACGAGAAGTGCCACGAGCACTATACCACTGAGTTCCTCTACAACTTATACTCCTCCGAAGGGAAAGGAATATTTGACTGCAGGATCAACGTCCTAGGCCACCTCCAGCAGGCAAGTATTGCTACATATTGGGTAGCCACAAGGCAGTGTCAGGCTAAGTCACTTCTAATGGATTAGAAGATTACTGGTGGAGAAAAGGCAGGCAGGCAGGCAGATATTAACTGGGAAAAACAGCAGAGCTTTTGTTTGAGAGTTTGTAACCAGAATACTTTTTGTCTTGCATGAAAACACTCATCAGCTACTTCTTCCATTCAGGGCAGTGGGGTACATGCCAAGGTCCTGTTTTCCAGCTTTCAGCTGACCGGGGGTTTTTGTTTAGTTTTCATTGAACTGTCTTCATTTTGCAGAAGAGGCTTGCAAAATGGCTGCTCAGTGGGATGGCCCCAGCAGAAGAACAGCTGGGCCTCCCTTGCAGCAGGAGTGGCATGACCACCCTTTGGGCTCTGCCTTCATTTCCTTTTCTCTGTCTATAGGGAGGTGCCCCAACCCCCTTTGACCGCAACTACGGCACCAAGCTGGGTGTGAAAGCTGTACTGTGGATGTCGGAGAAGTTGAAGGAAGTTTACCGCAAGGGTATGTTCAGAGAGGATCACCTTGGGAACGGAAAATTTTCACCCTGGTGTTTTGTAATAGGGAAGATCCTCAGGAGAACTTTGGCAGAATGAGGTGAACTTCTTATGCACCATGCCTCCATCTGCCTGTCAACCACTTTTATGGTTGCTAATCAACCGAGGAGAGGGATTAAGGGAGTTGGGTGAAGCACCACTGCTCCTTCAGTAAGGGACAAATGCCAGGAGGCTGCTGTGCACATGTGCCTTCCCCCTTACCATGAGAGATGGTCCATTCCCTGCCAGGGCCTAGCCAGGACTGTGCAGGGTGGCACCCCAGGGAACCATTGTAATTTGAAGCATCTGGTCTGTACCTAGGAGGAGGATGCTATCCTAAAGTGAGGCCTCCTTGGTTTGCTGTGCTTGTGCTTTGAAGCCACTGAGTGCTCTGTGGGGACTGCTCACGAGGCCAGCATTTCAGTGTGTGCCCATAGTCATTGAAAACAGTATGCAACTAATTTTCTTGAGTCCTGTTGACTTGCTGGGGTTCCAGGAGCCTCTATAGCTACTGGCTCTCTGCCGGAGACAACCAGGGTAGCCACATCCAGGCCTTCTCAAGTAATGGCAAGCCGTTTGGTTGACGTCAGAATTTCTCGGCACCACACCTAAAAGTCCTCTCTGTTTCCACAGGCCGGGTATTTGCCAATTCTGCCGATTCTGCCTGTGTGATAGGCCTGAAGAGGAAGGCTGTGTCATTTAGCCCTGTGACTGAGCTCAAGAAAGTCACAGATTTTGAGTAAGTAGGCACCTCTTTTGCCATCTGAGTCACGGAATGTGAGATTCTGGGAGCAGGGAGGACACTTCCTGCCAGTGCTTTTCATGGAAAGGACTGGTGGGCAGAGCGGCTGTGAGGCGTCAACTACAGTCCTCTTCTCTGTTTTGTGCTTCCTTTCTAAGGGAAGTGGGAAGTGCCCAGATATTTTGGGAAATGGTGAGGTACTCTCTGTTTGCTGGCCAGCCTTGTGACTTGCTTGCCAGTGGGGACATTTTCATCCCTACTGGGAGTCAAATGTTCAGAATTTAGCATACTGAGCATCAAAGTGAGCTGGGTGAGTTCCTTGCCTGCCTCTCCCTTGATGAATTCTTACTTAAGATATGCTCCACAGCCACAGATGGGTGGAGGCTGCCTGTAAACAGGGATATGGGCGGGCCGGTGTGTTTCCAATCTGTGTCAGTTTCACATGTGTTCAGCCATATCCCCTCCCATTTCTGCATTAATCTCTTTGAGTTTTAAAAAACTTCAGAAGAAAATGTTTAAATGGTGTTTAAATATGTATATTTGGATGTCTTTTTCCCACAACATACAAATTGCTGAAAGCTTTTCCCGTCAAAGTAAAGGTAAAGGGACCCCTGACCATTAGGTCCAGTCGTGGCCGACTCTGGGGTTGCGGCGCTCATCTCGCTTTATTGGCCGAGGGAGCCGGCGTACAGCTTCCGGGTCATGTGGCCAGCATGACTAAGCCGCTTCTAGCGAACCAGAGCAGCACACAGAAACGCCGTTTACCTTCCTGCTGCCTATTTATCTACTTGCACTTGGACATGGTTTTGAACTGCTAGGTTGATAGGAGCAGGGACTGAGCAACGGGGAGCTCACCCCGTTGCAGGGATTCAAACCACCGATCTTCTGATCAAGTCCTTGGCTCTGTGGTTTAACCCTCGTCCCTCCCGTCAAAGTACACACTTGTAATTATACCTTATCGTAAAATACGCATTTTGCTACACTTTTTGAGCCTTCTGTGTTCAGCACAGAATCTGATCTGTACATCCCTCTGGGAGGTAAAGATCGGGGTCAATTCCTGTTGCAATTTGCAAAGATTTGAATTCCCCCAACCAGGAGAGGGGAATTGACTTCACAGGTGCACAGAGCTGCTCTGCTTATTGCTAACGACATCACACATTCCAGGGCTGAGCCCCAGCTCAGACTGAACCCTGGTGCTGACTTCGCTTTCCCCCTCCTTTCTTGCAGACACAGGCTCCCCAAGGAGCAATGGTGGCTGAACCTGCGCCTTATGCTGAAGATGTTGGCCCACTACCAGATCAGCCTGACTGAATATGTGTCTGGGAAGATTGAGCATGTCACCCGTCGCACGCTCAGCATCGAAAAGGGGTTCTAGCTGCAATCTTCTCTTCTGCTCACCCCAGACTAGTTCTCCATTGTTTTTCCCTGCACACACCACAACTCCCCCCCTTCCTCTGGCCTTCTCATGCCTTTTGAGTGCAGTGCTGGTGCCACTGTGAGCCTGTAGGAGTGTGACTGAGGCCAGCCTGGCTGACATTGCATACCCACTGCTCCATACCCACTGCTGTATACCCCTTACTGCCTAAGAGGGTGAGTGTTCTTCTGTCCATGGCTCCCTCTTTGGAGCCTATTCACTCCAGGCAGCACATTCACTCCAGAAAGGGTCCATCCCTGTTTCCCAGGCTACTCTTTTATTCAGACTATTTAAAGAATCATGTACTCAATAATCAGATGGACAATGGGGATTGGTTTTAGATTCTTTCTGGGCCTGGTGCCATGGAGATTGCAGGAGTCCAGAAGGGGGTGTCCCTTAGATGGGAGTCACAGAGAATGTGAGGTCCCCAAGTGCCTCCCCAACTTGGGGAGTGCTGTAAGACAAATGATGGGTCTAATTTGGGACCAAGAACTTCTGCCCCTATCATGTTAACATCCAGCACAAAGATCTTGTCTAGCAGAAGTATGTCGGCGGCATACTGCAAAGTAGCAGTAAGCAGTGGAACAGCTCCTCTCTTCCCCTGCCCCACCTTCCCTCACTGGGGTGATGCATGCCAACCAGGACATGGCAGCATGTCTGAATGCTGGGCTGGGGTTGCCCAGTGTGTCGTGGATTTGCATGGGAAAACCCTCTTCTCCACGCTGTCTGACTGGTTTGACTGAGCCATCTTCCTGGCTAGAGCTGCGATGGTGGCACCCGTTTTGCGTACTCTTCCCAATACACTTCTGTGAACTCAGTGTCCTGTGTTGCCTGTATTTGTCTGTGCCACAGCTTTGTGACTTCTAGAAGTACATTAAAATAAATCAATCAACCAAGCCTGTGTGTGTTTTCAGTTTGATTCTCTTTCCTGTTTGGGGAAACTGTCTCTGACCTCACAGCATGGGATGGACTAACAGGAATGATGCGGTCTTGTGCTGGAATACTAGCCTTATGCACCCTAAGTTCTCTATCGGGGGAGAAGTTGGAACATGAGGAAGGAGGGACAGGAAAGGTGATGGATCTTCTACCTCTAGTCTTCTCACAATGAAGACATAAGAACATGGAAAACTTCCTTATACTAGATCACAGTTTGTGCCTCAAACATTGTCTGCTCTGGCTGGCAACAGCTTTCCAGGGTCTCAGACAGATCCAGTCAGATGTCAAGAACTGAACCTGGGACCTGCTAAACCTGTGCCCTCAGCTATGTACTCTTCCACTAAGCCATGGCCCATCCCTGATAAGAATAGCTTGTCAGGAATGTCAGCCTAGAACCTCACACATGTGGCGCCATGGGTCAGTGTGTCTGGCTGTTAACCAGAAGGTTGGTGGTTTGAGCCCACCCAGGGATGGCTGTGGACAGGATTCCTGCATTGCATGGGGTTGGGCTAGATGACCCTGGAGATCCCTTCCAACGCTTCAGTTCTGTGTTTCTTTGAAATGAGAATCATACCCCTAGACCAAGAAACCTGTTATTTTCTAAACCTTTTCCTTATTCCATGCCACTATTGGAATGCTTTCTTCCACTACTTCCAGAATTACAAGACGTTTAGGATCAAATATCAATAGATGGGTTGTGTCTTACAGTACACAGAGGTAGAATCTTATACCTTTCTCAGTGCCTGGCTCAGAGTGCCTGGCTGTTTTAACACCCACATCTTCAGGAAGAGCATGACAGGTTCTGGACATAAATCCCAGTGAGATTACAATGCAGCGTACTCATAGCACACCATGTTGGGACAATTAACCAGCCAACTCAGTTGCACTTTCCCTAGAACTTCTGGTGGATGTCAAAAACTACTAAGATGACTAGGCTCTGGACTATGCAAGAGGGAAATTGTTAGTCATTCCTAATTATTTTGTACAGGTTGTTTTTTTTGGGGGGGGAGGGGTCCATAGGACTCAAGGTAGTGTTCTATGCTGGGCCCACATAGGAACAAGAAGTTCATCAAAAGGAATGTACAATGATAAGCCCAGCACAGCACCCAAGGATACACCAGAATTCTCTAAATGAGGTCAGTCAAGTTGGCAGGTGGTGGATAGCCTCATCCTCCCAAGTGGGAACAGGCTGATCCTCAGAGTCATCAGCTCACTGCTCTGGTTTGCAAAACATGATCTTGTGTCTATGTGAAGTTAACTACTGTGCAGAGAAAATCATGGGCAAGTTGCTATATCTTTGCTCTCACAACCAGGGCCAAAGCATAAAAGCAATTGGTGGAACAATTGCTTCGCATGGAAAAGAGTGACAACATGGAACATCTCTGCTGTCGCTTTGGAGACAACTAGATCAATTCAGGTGCAACTGCTCCTCCCTCTTTCAAGACTAGTCTACACTCATGTTAGCATCTGGTATAAACTTAATCACTGCTCACAGGGCTGCTTTGCAGTTGCTTAAAGCAGTGGGGGAGGTCTTAAGGGCAAATACGGCAGCTCCCCCTAGAGTACAACTGTACCCCAGCCACACACCCTCTCCAGCCCTACTCTCTATTCTCTTTGTGCGTTTTCACATAGCTGGATTGTGGCCTTGAGCTCTGATAGTGCCTCCTGCTTTCCTGAATGGAGGAAGATAGAGGGGTGTCTGTGAGCATGTGTAAAACTCGCCTGCTGTACAAAGATAACATTCACATACATTCTATAAACACACTTTATGCTGTACTACATGCTGTAGACAGAAAGAAGGTAAGCCTGGTTTTGTGTTCAGGGAGGGGAGCAAGGATCTTCTCTATGCTTCTCAGTTATTTGGCAAACACACAGAATGAGACAACACCCCCAAAATTCAGAGAAAGCTATAATGAAATAAACTTTTACCATAACCTATGTTTCCTACATTAGTAAAACCTACACTGATTGGAACATAGCTCTTGATTTTTAAGGGGCCCTATTCTATTTTCCAGAACACATTAATGGCATTCACAATTGATACACCCTGCACTAAGAACTGTCCCTGCTGTCCCTTTTGAAAGTGCCTTCAGTTGCTGATACTTCAACACAAACTCGACTGGAGTCTTTGCTGTTTTTTTCTCTTTTTTTATTGCAGACCTAAAACTGCATTTTTTTCTCTACAGTTATTATTACAAACCTCAAAAGAAGAGTCAATTAGAGATTCATGAGTAGGAGCAATTAAAATAAGTGAACAAATACATCTTTGCCAGTGTGGAGAATTACAAAATAGCATGCAAGTCCCCTTTTATGGCTCATTAGTCTGGTTGTAACCAATTTCAGATTCCTGGCACCCTAGAACAGGCTACCCTGGGACATATCGAGGTTCATTTTACAGTCCACTTCTAAAGAAGAATGAGATATTCTTCAGGGTGACAGGAGTTCAGTATAAAACCATTTTATGCTGATTATGGTTATACTGGAATACAGATGAGTCAGCCTGCAGGAGCAAATTTTAGTCCATGCAGTCCAAGAGAATGTCTTATCTTGCAGCCCAATCTTAGGCATGTCTACTAAGAAATCTAGTTCAGTGTTTCCCAAACTTGGGTCTCCAGATAGTTTTGGGACTACAACTCCCATCATTCCTAGCTATAGCAGGACCAGTGGTCAGCGATGATGGGAATTGTAGTCTAAAAACAGCTGGAGACCCAGGGTTGGGAAACACTGATCTCGTTCCTTCAGAGTTGTATATTCCTAAGTAAGTGCCAAAGGATTACAGACTTGTAAGTCCATACATGCCAATATTATTTGGCATATAGGAGGTTTGGAGCATGCTGTCACCAGTACACTGATGATACTCAGCTGTTTCTCTGTTGTACCCAAATCAGGAGGTGCCATGCAAGGTCTGGACCAGCGCCTTGAAGCAGTGATGAAGACCAAGAAGCCATATCCTTACAAGACAAATCTTGTGGATCCAGGAACTGGGCAATAATGCATGTTCTGGCCAGGGTTGCACTTGTAGAGGTGCTCCTTGATCCATCCTTGTCACTGTAAGTCAAGTAGCTATAGCGGCTAGCATCATCTTTTACCAGCTTGGGCTGGTACCCCACTTATCATGTCCCTACCTACTTGCCTTTTTTTTTTTAAAAAAAAGGTCCCACTTTGGAACCTTTCTCATAGGGGAGTTGCTCTAGTTCCTTGGTCATTTTGGTTGCCCCTTTCTGCATCTTTTCCAGCCCTATAATATTATTTCTCCAGAACTGGACACCGTATTCCAACTATGGGCCTATAATAGATTTGTTATGATTATGACACGGGCATTATGATTTTGGTAGTTTTGTTTGGTAGTGGCTATCTAACAGCTAATTGTATTACGTAATTATGCTAAGCATTCCTTTGAATACAGTGAAATACTTGCATTAGGGTAAACCAGTATTACTTCACAAATGGTCTCTCCTGTGATGAACCTACATCCTTTACAAGATGTTGGATTTCTACTGCAACAAAAGAGAAATCGGATTCCTCAGAGAATATTCAACTGGTAAATATTACTCAGGCTTTGCTGGTTGGCACATTTGCCTTCAGCTCAGTTTTTCCACAAGTAGCTCCTTACTAGTTGTGTCATTATCAAACTGAGAGCCATTCAGAGGCTGGCACCTGTGGCTTAAAACGTTGTGAATACTGCCCTCTCCATGCCCTGAGAGTCATTGCTACTGCTTCTTCAAACAAGTCTTATTGCTTACGACAGGGGTGGAGAACCAAAGGGGTCAGCCCTTCACAGGTCAGTTTGACAGATGGTTGTGGACACCCACTTGTCATATGGTATCAGGTGAGTGTAACTTCAACCTAGGACTGCAGAGGAAGAACGGTGAGCACTTTCTAAAGCCACAGCTTTTTGAATTTGGTGTGCGGAAGAGAAAAAGGTGTCAAAAACAAAAAGTGCCGAATTTTGCCTGCAAAGGAAGATTCAGGAACTACAGCTTGAACTTTCCTGCACATATAACATCTTGTGTGGGAAAAGTGGCCATGACTTGCCAAAAGTAGCATTTTGGGCCTACCTCTGAGGCTGAGAACTCAGAGCTTGCTTGTACCTGTGTAACATCCATCCACTCCAAGGGGCACAGAAACAGAAAAAAAGACAGGAGAGAAAACCAGCACTACAAAGTAAGCAATTCTCAATTGGTGCCATCTATCCAGAGGTGGAGTGCAGAAATATCAGATCTGTGTTTTATATGTAATCAGAGAAAACAGTTCCCTTGGTTGAGACATATTTGTAACCAGAATTATTAGGAAAAAATATTATTCTTTTAGATACTGTAGTTAAGAGCTTCCTATTACAAGTAAGAACACACTACCTATAAGTTACTTAGCAGCATCCACTTAAAGTGTGCTGCTGTGCACCTGATGCAGCTTGACAGACTAAACACAACGGAGCCGATACTATAGTGAGCAGAGACAAAGTTTGTATTGTTGTTGGATTCAGACTTTAATACACTTCCTGAACCATATACCATCAACCACACTTCCCCTGGTCCTTCCGTCACAACAACTAAGTAAACTTACTTTTTCTCTTTTTTTAGGTTACTGTGTAGATTAAGCAAGCAAGTGGCAGAAGAAAGTCAAGGCAATATCCAAAAGGTGCAAGACCGCATTCTAATCAAGTAAGAAACAAGATGCTCCATTATACAAATCCAGAATTCTGACTACAGGTAACATTCTTTTTAAGTCCAAATCACTATTTAGAAGAGAAGGAAAGGAAAAGAGAAAGCCTAGAAGTTTGCCACTAAATTTGAAGTTCAATGATTTTTTTAAAAAAAATGTCTCAGTTTTTGTGTAAATCAGGCCTTGAGATCAAGGATCAGAAGCTCCTGACTGAAGGAGGATGACGGCATCATCATAGGGATTTGTGTTCCAGTATTAAGACTATGCTAACACATCAGCAGCTTTGGCTGACAGATTCACAACTGAAGCAAGACGAGGAGTGATTTTCTTCTTCTACTGGGGAGGCACTAATGAGAAGGCAGGGCCACAAATGCTGACCCCTTTTTCCATGTGACAACTACTTGCTGTAATTCGGTGTACACTTGTTTGCCCCCACTGCCAAAGGCTTTTGCAGGTTGCTGGGTAGCAGTTGCATAGATGCAGGCACACACGTTGTGACTGCAGAGGAAAGCGTGCCTTAGAGCATGGTCCGAGTGCATGATGCACAAGGAATGTATGACGTTTCTTCCTGTGTTCAGTAGCACATCCCCACAGTAAGCCCAAACAGCACAGGGATGGAGCAGCCGGGGCTGGTGATGCTAGTTCCGCTGATCCACAAAACAGCTGCCTTGGATTCGCTATCGGTCCTCATGGAGTTCCTTCTTCTGCAAGGCTTGGAGCTTGTTCCCAGTTGTTTGATGGACAACTTCTAGTCCATCTGAATCAAGCTCTTCTAGGAGCATCATGATGGCATTGAGGATGTTGTTCTGTTAACCCAGAACACACAAGACAAAGGGATCAAAAATGGATCAGGAAATTCACTACTTTGCTGAATTCTAGTCTCTACTAGTACTTGACCTGCTTAGGGAAGTTTTTAATGTTTAATGCTGTATTGTGTTTTTAATATTCGGTTGGGAGCTGCCCAGAGTGGCTGGGGAAACCCTGCCAGACGGGCAGGGTATAAATAATAAATTATTATTATTATTATTATTAACCATACTTTGCCCTCTCACTTTTCTTACACAAACATAGGTTTCTGGATCAGAGCAAAGGCTCGTCTTGAGGCCAGCAAGATGCCTCTGAGAAGTGCAAACACGCGGCAGAACTCCCTTGCTTATAATCTGCAGCAACTGCTGCTCTTGAAAACAACGCTGTCCCATCTGCAGGGCAATACCACAAGACCAGGCATCTCTGAACAGGGGCACTTGGTTTCCTGCTGCTTATGGCAAAATATCTCAGGATGAGGTCAATTAATGCATGAGTCAGAACAGGCTACATTTTGAGAGTCTGCCAGTTATGTTATGATATAAATCTGACCTTCCCCTCCCAGACTGCAAGGGCAGATCAGTTACTTAGAATTAACCATGGGATGAGGAAGCAAGGCCGGCCAGCAGCTTCTTCCCTGTAGCCAAGATCTGCTTTACCAAGGGAGAGCGAGATAGCAACTCCTTCCTACTACTCAGCAGCAGCAGCATGGTGAGGTGGAGCTGCCCTCCGGACACTGGCACTGCTGCGGCTTCGCTTTATGGGGTGGCAACAAGATCAGGGTTGTATGGGAGCATTGCCATCCAACCGGAGCTCCTGCAACTGCACAGTTCTGACTTCACCACCACCATGCCCCATCCCGGTTTTCAGCAATGGCCCCAGTGTTGTGAGGGTAGCTCTCCCTCATGCCACATGCTGCTGCACAGGGACAGCAAATTATTCACACATATGCAGTTTACCCTGCCTATAGGATCCTGCAGCATTTCAAAGAAGCAGGACCAAGCTATTCCTGACTTGAGCGCCACAGCAGGGCTTAGCTCAAAGCAGTGGCATAGCGCATCACGCACAAAACACAGAGAGAGCTACTGAGAGTGGGGAAAGGTTCTCACACGCACCCGTTTCTTTCGGTTCCCCTCCATCTGCCTAGGACACAAGGAGACAAACTTCTCCCTCGGAGCAACAGGCTTCATCCCAAGCTGCTCGCGGATTTTACTGGGCAGGATAAAAGGAAGAGAAAAAGGAAATAAGTAAAGCAGCCATATGGAAGCACCCACCAGCGCTATCGGAAATGGCAGAGGATAGCTGCTCCTGCTGGACACAAGAGATCAAATCACAAGAGCATTTCAAGACATGAGCTCTTGGCGTCCCACACAATAACACACTATGTGAATTTACACAGGAAAAGGGAGAATCTCTGTGTTGAGTCGGACATTCTATAGCAGGGATGGGAAATCTGTGGCCCTTGATATGTTGTTGGGTTTCATCTCTCATCATCCCTGATGACTGACCATGCTAGCTGGGGCTGATGGGAAATGGAATTCAACAACATACCACTGTACTGTGGAGAGTGTATTAACTTATGGTCTGTGTGTGTGGTTTGGGGAGCTGCACGGCCAGGGAGAAAACAATGGTGTCCAGGGTTGTAAAGACTGCAGAGAGAATAATTGGGTGCACTCTTCCCACCTTAGATCAAATCTATGCTGTCAGGTGCCATAAGAAAGCGGCAGAGATAGTGCAGGATAATACGCATCCTGGAAATGATCTCTTTCAACTTCTGCCTTCTGGAAGAAAGTATAGGGTCATAAAGACCAGGACTAGCTGCCTGAGAAACAGTTTCTACCCAAATGCAATTCTGGTTTTAAACGCAGTATAAGGAGTCTCTATAGGAGTATATTGTATTTTAAAATGGGGTTTCAGAGTTTTTAGGGGTTTTTGAATGTCTTATGTAGATTTTTCAATTTCATTGTTCTGTATGGGACAATGACAATAAATATATCGTATCATAGCAGGAGAGGCACAGGTCTCCACCCCCCACCCCCGTTGTGTATTAATAAAGTCGCAATAAAGAAATACCACCAGCAAGAAACAGAGCCCTTCTCACTTTGTCTCCTCCAAGGTGAAGTTCATGACTTCATTTTCATTCTCTGCTGTAGACTCCGTTACACTGGATTCAGTGGTGGAGTTTTGGCAGAAGTTTTCCACGTCCAATTTGGCCGGGGGTGACGTTATCTCTTCCCCTTCCAGCAGGGAGTGGGACAGTTCTTCCTCTGTCACCACTGCAAATATCAGGAAAAAAGCAGAGAGAGCATTTTTGTTAGACGAGCTCAGTGCTCTAGGGCTGGCACAGGGAGCCCTTGTGGGCTAGTTCTTTACTTGCAAGGGGTTTCCCACATGGGTAGTATTAAGAAAATGGGATCCCCAATGGTAGGATTCTACCACCACCACATTTTACTGCATGTAGACCTAAGAGAAGTTTAAATCAGCAAATGCAAAACACCAACAGAGGCAGGGCAATTTGCCGTAATACACACTCCGATTGTCAAGCTTCTGGAGATTTGGAAGGTTGCGCAGCACCGTCATCCGATAGCGATGAGGATCAGGACCACAGCAAGGGTTCTCAGAGAGCCAGAGGATTCTCAGGCGGGGCAGCTTCTTCAGGTGGAACAGCTCAAGGAGGCTTGCAATATTGTTCCTCCTGAGATAAAGCTCCGTTAAGTTCTGGCACTGGTTCATTGGCTCCAGGCTGGAGATGTGATTTGCACTATTGGAGAAAGCAAAGGAAAGTTGGAAACCAGATGCAAATGTTGTTATCTGTATCAGGCTTGCATGACATAAAGCTCATGATCTGACTGCGATTCCCCGGGAGAAATACACATTATCTGCAGCACTGCCCTGTCTCTCTGCAGGGGGACGTAGGAAGCCTCATGACAGCAGCAGGGTGCACAGGGTGCAGCAGATCAAGTGCTGGTTCAAAGTCTACCCTCCCACCGCCCTTTCTGCTGGTTACCACTGGCTTAGGTCCTGCTGGTACAACCCACCATCTGGGCAGTCACATTAGGTAGCAGCTCTTTGACAGTGGGGCTTCCCCACCAATGCCAAGAGCTCCCTCAGTGACAGAAGATGGTGTAGCCAGGCAGAGTTGGTTAGAGGGACACCTCTGCTGCATCCAAACCCTCTCCAGCAGAATGGACAAGGGGTTTGGAGATCATGCCAATTTAAAACTACAGACAGTATTGTTTATATTACTGTTTTATTTAGTTTTATTCGTTTATTAAATCTGTATACCACTCTTCATCCATAGATCTCAGGGCTGTCCACAACTTTCCTACAACCAAGTCTTACATCTCTTTATCACACTGTCTATATTTTGCATGGTTTTCTTTTAAAAAAAACCACACCCTCTCTTTCAAATATCTTTTAAATATTACCACATAGGGTCTTTCTTATTGTCAGCATCCATAACAGTTTGCAGTTTAATAGCAAAATTATATTTACTAAGAATAGGTCCCTCTTGTGTTCATGGAGGCTTTCTCCCAAGTAAGTGGGAGAAAGGAATATAGGAACATGCACACTGCACAATTTTGCCTTCCGTTTTGCTTTCTAGTATTGCTCCTTTCGGTTTCACCTGACATGGCTCTACCCTCACAGAAAAGGAAGCAAACAAAACTTTAGTGCCCATCACTGACAGGGCGAAGAAGGGCTGATTGTAACTGGGAAGGCTAAAGCTGTTTATTACCATCAGGTGAAGACGAAGTGCCGATGTTCAGCAGGGGCGTGTGTAAATGTTCACATCCAAGAGATGATCAGAATGGATCTTAACTTACAATCTCCACATACAAGGCACAGATTTGGTTTAGAAATAAACTGTATAGGGCTTTTTACCAAGCCCCGCCCCCCAGTTGACTAGCTGGGGGAAAATATTAGCCAGCTAGGGGCTGTCAGATGAAGAACTGCGAGCTGCAGTTCTATGCTGAGTGCACAGGAGGAACAGATCACTGCACACATCCTCCACCTCGCCTGTGTGGAATTGTTGGTAGCCATAGGTGACCAGGCCACTTATGAAATATAAAGTTTGAGCATTACACCGATCCTGGTCCAACTGCACTGGCTACCAATTAGTTTCAGGGCCCAATTCAAAGTGCGGGTTTTGACCAGCTCAGGACCACAATACCTCAAGTCGTATGAACCTACTCGGACCCTGAGATCATCTTCCAAGGCCCTTCTTTGTGTGCCTCCTCCTCGAGTGTTTTGGAGGGTGGCAACACAAGAACGTGCCTCCTCTACAGTGGCTCCCTGTCTGTGGAATGCTCTCCCCAGGGAAGTTTGCCTAGCATTTTCATTATACACCTTTAGGCGCCAGGCAAAAACACTCCTTGTTAACCAGGCCTTTGGTTGATTTGATTGAAATCCTATGCTCTCATAAAATGTGGGAGATTTTTTTAGGGGGGTGTTATTGGATTGTTGTTTTATTTTTATTATGTATTTTGTGGTTTTATATTTTGATTTTATTCTGTCACCTGCTTTGAGACCTACGGGTATATAAATTCAATAAATATAATAATAATAATAATAATAATAATAATAATAAGAGTTCAGAGTGTTGTATGTAAGCTTACCCCCTCTTTTTACCTGCACATGTAGGAAACCCACAATTAAAGTATGTAGAATGGCCATCAACAATTATTTACTGTTAGCTAGTACAGTACTGCACATCTCGAATCCTATATATCTAAGTTTATTTTTAAGCTGGTGCTCATATTCACAGTGGTACAAGCAAAATATTCTATTATACAGAAGGAAGGCGGGCATTATTTAGTTTCATAACATCTGTTCCAAGCAGAATTGATGGCAAGTATGAAAGAGATACAAAGAGCGTGTGGCAGAAGGCAGGCAACCCAACAACCAATCAAGGTAAGAAGATGAAGAAAAGGAGTCAAAATGCTATGCATTCTCAACATGGTAGCAGGTAAATAGCCTGGACTGGTTAGGTTTTCAAGGGAGAGTCCTATTCATCCTCAGAAGGGAGATTTTTATTTCCCCTGGCTTGGTTTATTAAGCCAAAAATTACCTTTTAACAGACTCCAACACATACCTGAACGTGATTACCTCAATGTTGGGAAGCTCACGGCAGATAGAAATCTAGAAAAAGAGAATCAAGCAGAAGAGAAGCTTTAGCAAACTTTAGCAGTCTCTTGTTGGTGGGGCAGGGAGGAAGCATGTAGCTTGCTAACTGATCCAGTAAGCCTGTTAGAAATTTTAGGCACTCATATTGGAAGTTTTGTTTTGCAACCATTTATTTACCTTAGGGCCAAAGAACTCTGAATCAACAAATATTTTAAAAAATAAATAAATCCCAGGACTACAGGGCTGGAAAGGTCACCTGTGTCAAGGCAGGATGCTCTGCTTCCAAATTACTTACAAAAGATTTGTATCTCTTTTCTGACAACAGCAGCTTCCTAGGTTCTTAAGACTGTGATTGCTCTGATCTTTTCCTACCAGTAATCATTTTAAGTTGAAGTGCCAAGGATCAAGACTGGGAACTTCTGAATGCAAAAGCATGTACTCTACCAATGAGCTATACTCCTTAATGGAGATCAGTACAGGCAGTGAAGGCTCTGGGTCCATTACAGCCATAATGCCAATACCGTAATTCCCAGCTGGCCGTGAAAGCTAGGCCAAGACAAAGCACAGAAAGGCGGCATCTCAAGGAAGCCAGACAGCTCTTTGTTTCATACTTACTGGCAATTTCTGCATGAAATAGTGGCTGCTGATACTTGTGCTACTGTATAGCCACCTCATCACCTCCTTATTTCTAGTATACTTCTAGTATAGAAGTATAGTTCTAGAAAGAAGCAATAAGGATCAAGTTATTAACTTTTGCTTCCTCCTTGGAGCTGGTCTCTCTCTCTCTCTCTCTCTGTTTGATTTCAACAAGGAACGGCTAAGAACCACTCCTGAACCCATTCCTTCCTCTGCTGGGAAAATGCAAGTGCTATAACTGATATGAAGACCTTGCCATATCTACTAATCATAGGAGGACTGAAGCATTTCTCTTTTCCAATAACTAAAACATGCAGGAGAAAACTGGATTCTATGCATCCTCTCACTATAATTAGCTTCTGAAGACAAGCAGAAAGCAAAAATTTTGAGATACGCCGACTGTTCAACAAGTAAGGTATACAAGGGGGGGGCATCCAAATTCTCTGCTTCTATCCTTTAAAACAACAATGGCAAACACCATGCCAATTCACTGTTTTTTTAGAAAGTTAGGAACAACACTTACATCTGAGATGCGGCTGCCCCTAAAAGAGAAAAACAATCTTTTTAATAGGTGAAACAGATCATGCACTTAAAATGCTGAAACAGTATTTATAGCAAGCAAAGGAAAGCCACTTGTGAAAGAGACACAATTACAGGCCTTTACAAGCATTCTGGCTCTCCTCTGCATTCAATGGAAGTGTGTCGAGTGGCACTGCAACGACAAGCTATTCCTCAGCCCCTGTGTACAAATATATCTGTACACATGTCTTTCTGCACCTCTGCAGTGCGTCTACAATTATATGTGCACGAGCACCTCTCCACACAATCCGAAACCAGTGGAGAATTTGCTATGCACATACGAGGATACTATGCAGGGATGTTGCAAACGTCCCAATGGAAGAGGAGCCAGACACTGGATGACTGAAAACAGTGCAAGCAATCCTCCAGATGCGTCCTCCAGATGTTGCTGTTGGACTCCAACTTCCAAGAAGTCAATTTGCTGGCGAAGCTTCCCCCAAGGCTGCATCTGCTGGGGGCAAAGCACCTGTTGATTTGTGCCAGGCATGCTGCCAAAAGAGACACTGGCCAGGAGGAAACTGTAGCAACCCTCTCAGGTGCAGCAGCACAACAGGGGAGGAAGAATGGACTGGGTTTTAGCATCTTTATTTTGTGTTTCGACCGCGTGGTGAGATTCCTGCATTGCAGGGGCTGGACTAGATGATCCTGGGGTCCCTCCTAACTCCATAGAATTGTGGTGCCATTATTCTAACTCCCGGATCTTCCGTTCCCCAGCCCGTCAGCCGCGGACCCCTCTTCCACCCCGGTTTGCAATGCGGCTCTTCCCTCCCAGCTCCGCCGCCAGGAGAGCGCTGGCCTCTTTCCCCGTACCAGCAGTTCAGCTTGCGGACGCCGCTGAGGTCGGTGGCCTTTGCCCGGGAGAGGACCACCTTACGGGTCAGTTTCATGGCCGCGGCGGGGTCGCCGGCCTTCCCGGGCCGGGTCGCCAAGGCCCGCTCGCCAGCTTCCGACGCGTTTCCAAGGGCGGGCCCGGGCGCAGGCGCAGACGCCTTCGCCTCCATCCTGCTCACGGCAGAGCCGGCACGCTGGGCCGGGGCGGGGCGGGGCTTAAACTGCCTGCCCCGCCCCTCGTCCTCCTCACCCAGCTGCGCGAGCCTGAACCAAACGACTTGCAGGGGGCGGAGTTAGTCGCGGCTCTGGACCTCGAGGGGTGGAGTCAGATGAGTGGGCGGAGTCGCCGGGGAGACCGTTAGTACCTTTTGGCGGCGTTGTGCTCTGCGCTTGCGCGTCAACTGAAATAGGAATGCCGCGGTTGACGGCGCTCGCCTGTTCCTCAAATTAATTGTTATTATCGCTCCTACATTTTTTTCCAGCCAAGAACCTCGAAAGTAGCATACATGGAGCTTAGGCCCCCCTTTTTTGAAATGCTAAAGCGACCCTGTGCGGTTTGTATGTTTGACCCCGGTGTGGGTTAAGGTGGTATGTATGTATATTGAAACTATTTTTTATGAGTTTTGCTTCTATCTTGTCTTTCCTCTAAGGAACTAAAAGTAGCACATGCGGTTTCTTCCACTCCAATTTTATCCTCACAGCGACCCTGTAAAGTAGACTACGCTGAGAGATTGCAACCTGCCCAGGGCAAAGCTTGTCAGTCTGAGTCTATACCTCAGATAATCTGGGCAGGAACAATAATATCCAACAAATAAAGCTAAACTTCATAAGCAGTTATACTTGAGTGAGGAACATTGCACTAAAACTGTTTGAAATATACTGTTCTGGCTCAGTTTGTAGATCCATCAGGCACACAAAAAATCTAGCCATTACATGCCTATCCTGTACCCATTTACTTAGAGGTTTTGATGATTAAGCAGTACAGTGGCACCTCGGTTTTCAAAAGTATCCATTCAAGTTCTGAAACCAAGGTGCAAAGGGTGCAAATTTAATTGAGAAACACTCAGTGGAAGCCATTCGACTTCTGAGGCACATTTGAAAATGGAAGCATTTACTTCTGGGTTTTCGGCCTTCAAGTTCCGAAACGTTTGTCAGCAGAGATGTTTGAAAACCAAGGCACCTCTGTATATTAATCCTGGTAAAATAAATTTACTTTGCAATTGGCTCCATTGGTGCTAGTGCAACATCCAGTCTTCAGAAAGAACTATGCAAATTTAAAAAGTTTCTAAATAAATAAAAACAAACAAAACAAACTTTTGAGTTACAACATTGTGTGTCTGGGAGCTTTGTTTTGTTTTTGCTAGTTTATTATGTATTTTGTGTTTTCATGTTGTAAACTGCCTTGTGATCTTCGGGTGAAGGGTGGTATATACATTTAAACAACAACACCACCTTGTTTTTCATTGTATCTGTGTGTCTTAATAACATGGGCCGCAGATGCCCATGATTACCTACCCACACCACTCATTAGCAATTGATAAATGGCATATATATATATATATATATATATATAACATGCAAGGTGAAAATCACAAGAATGGAACAAATGAGTTTGGGGAAAATGCAGTAGCTGAGTGAGGATGGACAAATTTAAAACAAGATGGAGATTATTATAACTTGGTAACTAACAAGACTTAAATATTATAGATGGGATCATACTTTACTGAAAACCATAGCTGCAGCTTGTAACTGTTCCTAGTCTTTTGTACTCTCTCCTAAAGAATTGGGATTTGGCCAGAATTAGCCATGATCTGGTAATCTCTAGATTAATTACCACAACAAATTTCACTCTTACTGGAGTTGCCACTGCTTAGAAGTTTTACTTTGGACAATTTGCAGCTGCTGAGTTTATTTTTATTATTTGCTGTCATCTGTAGCCTCATCGCAAGAGTTTTCTATTTGTTGTTGACTAATACAATATTACACAAGTACACTTGTACTGGCTACAATTAAACTTCTGGGCACACAAATCAAAGTTCTGATTTTTTTTTAGACCCCTGTAAAGTCAGAAATTGTCAGGACTTGGCATACTTGAGAAACAACTTTTGTGTTTGTGAACTTTGTCCCCTGTTGTGATCTGGTCATATGGCCCTTTGGTGTCCTTTCTATGGACTTTAAGGGAGGCAACTAAACTATCCATTACCATGAAATGCCTAATTATGCTTTTTTATGGTGCTTAATTATGTAGTACCTGAATGCAGCTGGACTTCCATTCTTGTGGTGGTCTTCTTGTCGCTTGTGTCATTTGCACTGATTTGTAAACTTTACTGTGTTTTATTTATTGGTGTATTTACTGTTTTATCTCACTTCTTATATTTTAACTGTTGGCAACCACCTTGAGGGCTGTTATGATATGGTGGTACTGTATGTAGGTTAACAAAAATCCATAAAAGGATACACTTCCTTGAGGAAAGATGTCTAGAGCTTGTGCAACAAATAAGTGACAACTTGGCATTTATACTACAGTGTTGATGGGAAAATATGCTTGTCTCTGACCGCCCTTTATCTCAGTCACCAGAGCACCTTTCATATTTCTTCAGCATATATCCTAGAAGCTGTTTGGTGACCTTGATGTCTGAGATTAATGTACTTTCCATCTTTTCTAAAGTAATTTTTTACATAATTGCCTGTTGGTTTTTCCTTTCACAGAGCTGTAAAAACTTGAAAAGCACTCCTATTCATGGGCACTCAGGGGCACCTTCTAAGCTCATTAGAGCTTTAGACATACTTGCCTAAATAGACTTGGATTAGGACCTCAGTGGTTATATTGTAGACAGCATGATGCCAGCCAGATGGTGGGGTGCAGGGAATCTAAGTTGGCTGAGAAAAGAAGCAGCTAAATCAGGAATAGCCAATGTGGTGCCTGTTGTGGACCATAGCTCCCATCTGACTGAGCCAGCATGACCAATGGTCAGTGATAATAGAATCCTAGAATTGAAGGGATCCTGAGGGTCATCTTGACCAACCCCCTGCAATGCAGGAATCTCAACTAATGCATCCATGACAGATGGCCATCCAACCTCTGCTTAAAAACCTCCAAGGAAGGAGAGTCTACCACCTCCTGAGGGAGTCCATTCCACTGTCAAACAGCTCTTAATGTCAGAAAGTTCTTCCTGAAGTTTAGCTGCAATTTCCTTTTTTGTAACTTGAAGCCATTGGTTTGTGTCCTACCCTCCAAAGCAAGAGAAAACAAGCTTGCTCCATATTCCATGTGACAGTCCTTTAGATATTTGAAGATAGCCATCATATTTCCTCCCTGACTCCTCTTTACCATGCTAAACATACCCAACTCCTTCAACCATTTATCATAAGGCTTGGTTTCCAGATCCTTGATCATCTTGGTTTCCCTCCTCTGCACATGTTCCACCTTGTCAATACCTTCTTCAATTGTGGTGCCCAGAAGTAAACACAGTATTGCAGGTGGGGTCTGACCAAGGCAGAATAGAGTGGTACTATTACTTCCGTTCATCTGGACACTGCACTTCTGATGCAGCCTAAAATAGCATATGAGAATAGTGTGGTGATGAGAGTTGTAGTATAAAACTTAGAAATGGAGGGGATCACATGAGCTAACCCTGTGCTAGAGCTTATGCTACATATGTATTAAATTACTGGTTTATTAACTAGAATCTCCAGTTATAATACCTGCATCTGAGATAGCAAGATAGTTAAAGACCTTTGCCTGAGAGCTTGGAGAAGTAGTGGTCAAAGGAAATACTTTAAGCATCATGAGTCTCATGTGCAGCAGATGTATTAATAAGGTGATATAATAAAGAGGTGGTTTAATAGACAGTACTAGATGAGATTAAAGGTGAGTGGAATGCTTTCCCATGTTAAAAAATCATTTTAAGTAGAAAACTATCATATTGGGGACAACATTCTGGCTCAGCCTGTCACTTATTTTGCTGCTTTGGTAACTAGTACTTTGTGAGATAGGTGACTTACTATACAGTATCTCCATTAAAATACAATAATGCTTTATGCAATGCAATGCCATTTTCAGTTATCATTATATCAATGATAATAGTGTGTGTGTGTAGGAAGGGAGTCTTATCTTTTTAGAACTTTTCCCATTTTGGCTCTTATTCCCACCTTTAAATAATTTATTTAAAATGGTTTTGCATGTGTACATGGAAAGCTAAAATAAGGACTTCTGCTTTTAATTGCATTGCTCACGGATATTTTTATAAATAAACAATCTCCACTAGAAATGATTTTCTCCATCCACAACATTATTTTGGGGACAGCTATTTATCAATATGTAAAGGGAAGACCCATGAAGTGGTAAGTGAATTTTGACCCTTGCTTTTACCACAAAGGATCCAACAGATATTATGGCAGCTGGAAGCATGTACTGCTAGCGCAGTACATGCAGTAGTATCTATAAGGCTGGACTGTTGTGGTTGCATGTAGTCACAGTCTCTAAGATTTCCATGCAGGCCTACTACCTTGGGCCATTCCTTGGCTTTCCCCCCAAACAATTTAGTGTATTTTATCTTGATTATATGGAATATTGTGAGCTAAATGCAGTTATTCACTCTGGGGAATTGTTAGCCTATTTTTACAAGAATGTCACCATAACACTAGCAGGAAGGAGAGTCGGCTAATTGCAGTCGAGTATACTGCATCCATACTGTATGCAGATCAGACCCCAGAGGCATCTTAAGTTATTGGGGCATTATTTGTTTCTGATACATGTGGACTAGTAGCCACATTGGAACATGCATCAAAAAGCAATTTGACTTTCGTCCCATCATTTGTATTTCTCATTTGGGGAAGCTCCTCAGTGGGACTGTTCAAAAACTAGACTGCTTTCTCTACAATTGTTCAAGACAGATGTGTGACTCTACACCACACAATCTAGCACACTCTGGATTTGTCTTCCTGTCCCAAGCTCTTGAGCGGGGCTGGGGACAGTTTCTTTCTGCAGTGTGATTTGTTGGCAAGCTGCCAACCCTTGATCTGTCTCCTCCTCTTAACTGCAGTCACTTCAGAAAGGCTTCCTCTTCTCCAGCCATAAAGTGACCAGCTTGCAGCATGAGACAGAGGTATGTCCCTCGTGTCTGGCAGGAAGTACATGAGTAGGAGTGGGATCGGGAGGATGCTGCAGAAAAGGTAGAGACAAGCTGTTTGTGTGTGTGGCTTTTCGTTGCAAATTCTAAGAACCTTTAAAATGGGGGAGAGGGGGCTGAAGTAGCAAAGGCTGGGAATTTGCACATAAGTGATGCTTTGCACATTTAGAGATGGATAAAACAGTCTCTGCAGAAATTGCTTAGTAATTCTACTGACTGGACTGAAATACTCTGCACTGCAAGGTCAGGAGAAATCCTTGATGCCTTTTAAACAGTCTGAGATCGCTTTGTGCAATGCACACGGAACTGGATGCTTATGTGCATAGAGATATTAACTGTATGTGCATGCGTGGATTAGTTGATGCTTTGTATTTTCTTCTTTCAAGCTGTACCTCATTAGCTAATGTGTATTTATTCAGAAGTATGTGGATTCAATGTTTCTTACTCCTAAATAAGTGTGCATAGGATTGTAGTTTATGCCTATAGGAAAACCATGGCAAAGTGCTTACAGCGAGACCATTTATGAGACTATCCAGAGCTAGAAAAATGTCTTTTCGATTTTTGGAGTTAGAATGACATTATTAGGAAGCTGCTGTGACAGAAGTGCAATCAGTACTAGAGCACATGCTGATACTTTTTATTGGGCTCTCAGCTGATGTGAACTTTGCTGGTTACACCATTCCCAATTATATGTCCACCTTCCCTTTGCTAGAAATATTTGAAGCATCATAAAAACCACCTGAGGTCTTTAGTCTCTAGTGGCATAATACGTGTTGTTTCAGATGTTTCCTTAAGTGAATTAAAAAAAAGGGGGGGGGAGATAATTGAATTACTAATCTTAAGAAAACAGTTTAAGATGCAGTATTGGAGCCAGAAAATGTAGATAACTCATATAAATGAAGAGACTTACCATAGTTTGCCCATTTGTATGTTTTTGTCTAAAATTTCTCAAATATTTCCCAACTAAAGAGAGATCAGGGTGGTGTGTAGAGAGGCACTGCTTACGGTAGGCATACAGCACAATTCTGAGCATGTTGGAAGTCTCACTGAATTCAAATAGGCTTGCTGCCTTGAAAGTATGCTCAGAATCGCAGCCTTAATGCGAGAACAACTGCTGTGCCTTTTCTTGTGGAAAAGACATAACATCTAGTAACAGATATAAGGATTTGCCATTATTAAAGACTTCGGGTCTCCATGTCACCTTATACCACCTTGTGTACCAGTCACTCCTTAAACATTGGTACCTAAGATGCCTGGGTAGAAGACTAATAATGTATCCAGTAAAGGTGGGTTTCTCTGCTGCATAGCAGAAATTTCTTTCAGTGCAGACAACAGCAGAAAACTGGATTGGATACTGGAAAGTATGTGAGAAAGAATTATTGACCAAACAGATTTTGCCATGATTCCCATAAAACGTTAGGACAGACATGGGAAGCCTGTGTGGCCTTCCAGATGTTGTTGGACTCTAACTCTCATCCACCCCAGCCAACATAGCCAACGGTCCGGGATGATGGGAGCTATAGTCTATCCACTGCTGGAGGGCCACAGATTCCCTACCCCTGTGTTAGGCTGTCAACTTTTCCCTTTTCTTGCGAGGAATCCTATTCGGAATAAGGGAATTTCCCTTAAAAAAAGGGGAAAGTTGACAGCTATGGTTAGGGCATTATGATGTAGTGGAAGATGCAGAAAGTATTAAGATTATTCTATATTTTACTCTTACATTTGTCTTGTCTACAAATAAGCAGCATCAGTCAGGAGGATCTAGTCTAACTAGGAATAAGCACCTGGTTGACCACGGTGAGAACAGGATGCTAGACTAGATGGGCCTTTGGCCTGGTCCAGAAAGGCTCTTTTTGTGTTTTTAAGACTTTCCCCTGCTGTTGCTCAATTAACAGGACAACATTTATCCCTGTAGCTCAGTGCTTTTTCAGCATGTTAGTACTTAAAATATATTTGCGTAACTTGAATACTATTCATGACCTCAGTGTTGTGGTACTATCTGAACATGGGGGAATCTAGCAAATTCACCATAATACTTAAATTGAAATATGAGAAAATGATGGAAGTGCTTCAGTCAGCAGATCCATTTTGGTGTTTCTAAAATACAGGTAGTGCACTCCTGTTGAATTCCACTATCTCTAAGGTGATGGTTTTGAGGGATCCTTTTCCAATTGTGTTTGAAGTCTGAACAGCATCAGTGAGTGACCTGAGAAATATAGCCATGGCTGGGCCAGGCAGGCGAATCAGAACACTCCCTACGGATTTGAATAAGGTCTGCCCTGATGAAGGAGATGGCTATCCTGTGTATCCTAGAAGCTACTATGACCTTGATGTGGTCCCCAATCTCAGACGAAGTAACAGCGCCTTTAGTAAGAGCAAGAAGAGGGCTCACTTTAACTCTGGTGCCAATGAAAAGGTAAGTTAAATAAAAAGAAGTCATACATTGGAGGAGTAAACTGACATGGGGTGGAAATCATGAGTGCAGGTTGAAGCGAAAAAATAACCCCATCTTAAAAGGATAGCTTGGCTACAAGCTGAACTGTGTCCCTTAAAAGACCCCAAATTCTGCATTGTGCAGAAATGAATTTTATACAAATGATGCAAATTAGCACTTTTTTTGTAGTATTTTATTTTTTATCTGCTACTTTTTGTTGACTGCTCTGTTCCCAATATCATAGGAAAATCTCAGCACATGGATCCCTGAAAACATACGGAAAAAAGAATGTGTCTATTTTATTGAAGGTTCCCAAATGTCAGATTCCGGGTAAGTGCCTTGTTTTCACTTCATACACTTCTAACTATGGCTTCAACCATTATTCCTATCAATGGTCAGGAAGAGCCTCAGTTTCCTGTTGCATTTTATTTTTTTATTGAAATTGTTTGATATATCAAAATTTGCTCTGTATAGAAGATAATTACTCAGAATTTGATTCATTGTAATTTTCTTTGCTCATGATAGATCACATTGATAGATGTTTATAGAAAAATTAAATTAAATTTACATTTAAAATAAAACCGAAAATTTTAAAATTCAAACTCAGTAAAAGGACTATGCTGTGTAAATTGTGTTCAGTTGAGCTGAACGCATGTGTATACATAACGCTTAAGAGCATTTGAGCTTCTCTCATGCTTCATGTGTGTCTTGCTATGAATGCTGTTATGACAGAAATTCAGAAGAAAAACAGATATATATAATGTTTGTCCTAGGAGCCAATTTAAAACAAAACCAATTAGGGCTGTAATCCTATATGCACTTACCTAAGGATAAGCTCTACTGAACTCAGTGGGACTTCTGAGTACTTCTGAGTAGGCATGTATAGGATTGCACTGTTAATCTTCATGCACAAAAGCTATCTTGAGTTGTATTTAGAGGATGGAATTGTCATCCTGTTAACACCTGTGGACCTATTCATGTCACCTGGCCAGGTTGTGGGGAGTAGCTGAGGCAAAAGTCACTTGGAAATGCTATGATTCATACCCCACAGCCCCTGGCAAAACTGATCATGTGCATTTGCTAGTATGGATGAAATTCAGCTGCTAGCATGTGCTAGCAAATGCTCCCAAATAGTGATGTTTGTAGTAGCTTGCCAAGAGATCAATACTTTGTCTACTAACAGGTGGACTGAAATCCAGCATGAACAAGATTTTTGAGCAGTTATCATCATATGCTCAGTACACAAAACAGATGGATCTAATGAAAGCTTATGCATCAGTGCATGTGCTAGTCTTTAAGGTGCCACAGGAGGAATCCAAAATTTTGACAAAGGAAATGCAGTGAATTGTGAATTATGGAATGGTGAGACCTGGAGACCCTATGCTCCACTGTCATGGAAGGCTTAGAACAGGCATAGGCAACCTTTGGCCCTCCAGATGTTTTGGACTACAATTCCAATCATCCCTGACCAATGGTCCTGTTACCTAGGGATCATGGGAGTTGAGGGCCAAAACATCTGGAGGGTCGAAGTTTGCCTATGCCTGGCTTAGAAGATATACCAGTCAGGAAGCTATAATTATTATTTATTTGTCTCCAACAAGAATACAAGACCAATGGAAAACCTGTTACTCCACGCAGGTCTCAGATTCAAGTAAGTCCAGTACGAACTACATAACGAAACTATCCAGAGGCTACCATCTCGTATCTGAACTTAGTGTTGCTTATGAAGAACAGTACAGCTTGAGTGCACCAAAATTTACTCCATTGCACAATGATTAAAGCCATAGAAGCTCTGTCCTGTAAGAAATTTGACAACTCTAGCAAAGCCAATTAATAGTCATTTCATGAATTGCTATAAGTATAACCCTCTGTTTTATTGTGGATCCAGCAGGCTGCTCTGAGAGGGCTACCAAGTAGCTTCTTAGATTCAATGGTGGTGTTTTATTTCCCCCCAGGAAAGTAGTGTGTGAGTGTGGCTATCTCAGGGAGCAGCACTTGGAGGAGGCCATAAAGCCTGCCATGTTTCAGGGGAAAGAATGGGATCCCAGAAGACATGTCCAGGAAGTGCCAACAGATGCTTTTGGGGATCTCAGCTTCACAACTGTGGGGCAGAAAACAGGGAAGGTGAGTTAGCACATGCAAGGGAATGGAGCCTACTACTTCAACATGAGTGGTTAGCATTCATAGCAGTTGAAAGTTGTGTAGACCACAAGGATTTCTAGTAAGATTTGGAAGCTAAGAATAGAGCATTGCTTATAAAGCTTGTAAGGGAAGAGGGTTAAAAAAACAAAAACAACCACCTGCCAATTAAATTTTTGATTAAGTGTTCAGGCTGTAAGAGCAAGAATGAAAGGTAAGACACTGTACTCATACTCTAACCTACTAGGGATTCTAACCTACTAGGTATCCTTTAAATGTTATGGGGGCTCCAAGCTAGCCCCATGCAACGAATATATCCTACTTTGTTGCTATAACTCTTCATGGCTGGGGCAACCCAGCCAGATGAGCAGGGTATTATTGTTTTTGTTAATAATCCCACAGCCATGCAGGCAAGACCAACTGCATGTGTCTCATTACAAAATTATAATCTTGACAGTATTGATGGTGACAATTTAGTCTCATTCAGTTGAAATGCTTATACACTGAATCAATATCTGAAGCAGCCCACCCCCAAGGTAGTCCCACCCCCAGTGTCATTCATCATCTGTGCCTGATGTCTGCATATACTGCTTGAATGTCTGCAGAGAGGAAGCTGTGCATGCAAATGTTCCCTCACTGCAGATGTTTGTTCTGAGTGCATGAACCTCAGGCTGAGGCAAGCTGGTGTGTGTGACATTGGGTGGAGGTACCAGTTCATGTAGATTCATCATGGAGCATTTCATCTGAATAGTGTTTTCTGTGATAAGGGGAGCAACTGTCAGGAGTGGGGAGCCTGCGTCTGCATGTGGAGGCTCCCTACATGAGGCAGAACATTTATTTCCTGTCACCCTTCAACTTACAGAGTGGGGAGGGGAACACAGTTAGTGCACCTGTTTCCACAGCCTGTGATTATGTGTTGTTTTCCCCAGCTCCCAAAATGTCCAGAAATAGAGCTTTCATAGCATAGATACTGGGAATTATTAACATTAGGCAGGTACTGTACTATTTTAGATGTCTGATAAAAACTTCTTTATTTTATTTTAGCAAGCCTAGCCAGACACATAATTTATTCATGTACACTTGTTTTTAATATTTGCTGAATTTATCAGTGCTACACTGCTAATTCTTATGTGCATTGCTTGGAGATTTTTATCAAGTGGTTTATATTCTCTAATAAATTAATAAATAATAATGTGGAACAATAAGAAGAGTTGTCTCTGAGTGAAAAAGAACCCTTTGTAGCTTGAAATATATTTCTGGCCCCCCCCCCCCAAAGTCACAGAAGATATTCTCTATGTTGTCTTTGTGACTTCCTATTCCACTCAGACACAAAGCTTTGGGAATATGTTGCTGATTCACAAGATTCCTTGGATGCTTGAATTAAATGGGAGGGCCTGTGGAGAGCCTGGAACTCTTACGATATTGGCCATAGTTGCTAGAATCATAGAATAGCTTTCTCATACCATCTGTGCTTTATTTGCTTTATTCTCCTGTTGCAGTTTGTGCGTGTCTCCTCTAATACCCCCCCAAGCGTAATTTACCAGCTGATGACGCAGCACTGGGGACTTGATATACCCAACCTCTTAATATCTGTGACAGGAGGAGCTAAAAACTTCAACATGAAGCTGAGACTGAAAAACATATTCCGGAGGGGGCTTGTTAAAGTAGCGCAGACAACAGGTAAGGCAGAATCCTGCTCCAAAGCCACCAATAAATGACATATTCCTGTATTGTTTCTCTGTTTCTTTATGTAATATTGTTACCTGCTCCCTCACTTCTCCAGATGGTAAGAGGGATACAAGGAAGCAGCACGTACACAGGTTTCGTTTCAAATGGAAAGAAATCACTGGAAGCTTACTGGTGTTTTGTAATATTTGTATTTATTCACAAATATACAAGTTGCACTTCAGTGGAGATACAGCATCAAGTACTCCAACTGATACCCCCACTACCACCAAAGTTCACCGCATCCGCATCAAGTCTTGCAGCACCTTTAGAAGTCCAGAAGTCCAAAATCTGTCCTTTTTGTCTGATTCTATCTGCCTCAAGCTGCTATGTGTAGGGATGTGTACTATGGACATATCATTCAGATTTTTGCTAGCCATTGATAAAGTTTGCCGTTAAGAGCCAATAGCTAGGATTGTCATATTTCAAAAAGTGAAAATCTAGACACAAAAGTTGTTGAGCTGTTTTTGTAAATAAATAAATTGAAGTTTTTAGGAAAATCACCAAAAAAGCCCAACACTTCTGCCATACACCCAGGATTTCCCAGACTTTTCAGCTGCTTTCTAAAAATTTCGCCTGGACACCACACCATTTTCGATGGACAAATGTCGGATGTATGGCAGCCCTAAGCTAATCTCCATTTTTTAAAATGGGGGTTTTGCTGTGCAAAATGTATCTTAACCAGTGTGACCATTTTAGCAGCCTCTTCTAACAACTATAGAAACCTAAAGATGGAAGGGACACAAAGAGACCACCCAGCCCAATCCCTAATCTGATAACAATATTTTGACCTCTTCTTTCAATCATTAAGAATCAGATGGACCCCTGAGGTGGTTTTCAGTCATTAAGAAGTAATAAAACCTAAAATAAAATTCCCAACAAAAGTAGATCAGAAAGCTAAAATGAGAGCCAGTAAAAAGACAAACACTCAACTCCACCAGACTAAATGGCTGGCAGAGTTGTTATTATTATTATTTAAAAAAATATGAAGTATTGCTCCCTAATCCTGAACAAAGATTCAGAAATGAAGTAGATGGCCTTAATCCAGTCATGTTTTTTGTTTCCCAGGTGCCTGGATCATCACTGGTGGTTCTCATGCTGGCGTGATGAAGCAAGTTGGAGAAGCAGTACGGGACTTCAGCATGAGCAGCAACTATAAAGGAGAGATTATCACCATTGGCATTGCAACATGGGGGACAGTACACAACCGGAGTAGCCTCATCTGCCCTATGGTGAGCCATTTTCAGGCTGTGCTACTAGAAGAATAGGATGCTTACAGCTCAATCCCATACATGTCATATTTAATGTCATTTTTGCTGTTCTATCCTGGTGGAAATATGGCTATATTTCATATACATACGTGCTTACTGTTCCTAAAATAGCGTGCAGGTATATCCATATAATTTCTCCCCCCCCCAATATACTTAATCCAATTTTCATTTAAGCTTCTGCTAAAAAAAGAAAAGAAAGAAAGCAGGTGAAATTAACAGGTGTATAGGATCACATGTGCACTGCAAAAAGAAGTTTTTGTTTTTTGTTTTGTTAAGACTCTGATGACAGATGAAGAAGGATGAGCAATGGCCAAAAAGATAAGTTATAAATGCAAACCAATCATATACAAGTACAATTCATTATAATGGTACTGCATTATAAATATAGACCAACCATATACAAGTACCATTTCTTGGGGAGTGGAAAGTTTTGTGTTCTAACACCCTGCAGATCCCACTGCTACCTCACCAAACTCCAAGCAAAGTAAGCACCATTTGTAGCGTTTATTTTGAAGCAAGAGTTAGAGCCTCAATAATTAAGTCCTTTGTTGGTTGCTGACCACTTTTCCCACCCCCAACCCCTGGATGTTTACAGGGTAGCTTCCCAGCTGAATATGTGCTGGATGAGGAGACTCAAGGGAACCTCTCTTGCCTGGACAGTAATCACTCACACTTCATCCTGGTGGATGATGGGACACATGGGAAATATGGTGTGGAGATCCCCTTGAGGACCAGACTTGAGAAGTTCATTTCGGAGCAAACGAAGGTGAAAGAAGGTAATTGTGATGCAATATACAGGGTATCTCATTACTGATAAAAGTCTGATGAGCAATCTGAGCCCTTCCCTCCTCTAAGGCTTGTTTAGTTTGGAATTCATTTATGTCAGCCAGGCCAATGATGAAGAACTTGTTTCAGGTTCTGTTGGACTTCAGCTCCCATCAGCTCCATTCAGCATGGCCTATAGCCAGGTTGGTTGTTGTTAAATTGATTACTTGCCCTTCATCATAAGTCCCTGGGTGGGTTTCAGTTATTTAAAATTCAGAATTAAAAAAAGTTGAAACATATTACAGTGGTACCTTGGGTTATATACGCTTCAGGTTACAGACGCTTCAGGTTACAGACTCCGCTAACCTGGAAATAGTACCTTGGGTTAAGAACTTTGCTTCAGGATGAGAACAGAAATCGTGCTCCGGCAGCAGCGGGAGGCCCCATTGGCTAAAGTGGTCTTCAGGTTAAAAACAGTTTCAGGTTAAGAATGGACCTCCAGAACGAATTAAGTTCTGAACCCGAGGTACCACTGTACATTTACAGGAATAGATTCAATATAAATTTTAAGCCCATCAACACCTGGAGGACCAAAGGTTCCCTATTTTTAGGCTTCTGCATTAGGCCTTGATGATGTCAGATGGTGAGTGGAGAGAGCATGAAATATCAGGACATTGAAATATCAGGACATTATTTGCTAAGGTAAAGTGCCAAAAGACTTGAATCCTGGAATCAGCATCCATATAATAGGAGCACTGTTGTTAGAGATGGGAGGGAAGAACAGTTGTTTCTTTAGATTTGGATGTTGCTTCCAGTGGTATGCAATTTCTTCCATTTGGTACTGCAGTCTTGAATATACTAGTCTGTTTTTGATGCCAAGATATTGTCAAGTGATATTGCTCAGCACATGCTTTGCGTTCTAAAGGTCCCATGTTCAATCCTTGACATCTCCAGATAAAAGTGGGAATGATTGTTTTCTGAAGAAAGTCTGAATGCTGTTGTTGGTCAGTGTACAGTTGTGAGCTTGATGGTCTGACTTCGTCTAAGGCAGTTCCTATGTTCCTAGTTGTGACAGCATAAATGGCTAGTCTTGTGACATGGTGGAATGCAGGGCAAGTGAAGGGAGGGGCACAGAATGATGGGAAAGGGCAAGTGGGAAAAAGAAGTTGGTGACAGTTGGACCTGAAGAAAATAAGTTATGGAGAGACCTAAGGAAGGTGGAAGAAAATGAATAGTCACCAGAAATTGAGGAGTTATAAAGACCTGGCCTAAAAAATACATGTGTTATTGAGATGTATCAATTCTAAGGGATTTTCAGGTCTCAATAATCAACGAGAAAATGATCTCCGTGAAGAACTTGAGTAAAACAATGGGATTCCCTGTGGCAATGTATGCCTCTCAGATCTACCTCAGCTGATATCCATGAAAACCCAAATGGAATTCCTACTCAGATGGTTTTATATCAAAGTCTGATTAGCTAAGGTAACAGGATGAGACAACGGCTTTGCACTGGAGAAGCTGCTGGCAAAAGGGTACATATTGGCAGTTGTGACGAACTGCCCTCCAGGGAGCAGGTTGTTAAGTGAGCCAAATTATGTCATCTATTTTTGTGAGTCTAAATTCAAATATTGTATTTATTTATTTTATTAAAATTTATATACTATCCGCTTGTAGGGAAAAAACTCCAAAGAATGAGTTTATGCTTGTTGCTGACCATTAGGCAGAAATGGAAAAGTGCTAAGGGTGTTGTCTTGGAAGGGTAGTAGGTAAAGTTGTGGTTTGCGGCAGCCAAGGTGACTCATCATATTCATGTTATTGGGGTGAATCCCAACCAGAATCTGACTTTACAATTTGACATGGTTTTATTTTCTATATGAGCAATAAAACAAGAGCTGCAAAGTATAAGAGGAGGTGGAGGTTTTCATAACAAACAAAAAACTACAAACATGTTTTTGCACAAGTTTTCTGCTGTTGCTGTATCCTGTTATTACTTTTTATAGGATTGTATATTGGCCTTTTTTCACTCCTATTGTATGTTGCCCTGATACTTTCCCCTAAAAATCATTTAAACAAAATAAGCAAAGGGACTGACTGCAAGCGACAAACAACTGATACCACAGTAAGTAACCAATGGTGGCTTAACGCTGGCTTGTGTGATGATGGTTGTGTTTGCTCATCATCATTAGAAATGTTAATTATGTAGCTGCTATTAATTGATTGCTCTTAATGTTATTTGAGATAAATATTGTTCATTTTAACTGGATTCAAAGGTAACTGCCAATGGGCATCAGCAAGAAGGGAAAGAATGACTAGCTTTCGGCACATGGGACTGACTGAGCCTTTATTTCCTCACAGGAGTTGCCATTAAAATACCGATCGTTTGTGTAGTACTCGAGGGTGGCCCTGGGACTCTTGATGTAAGTACTCTATAGGCATCAGGGCAACTAATTATGGGAAAAGAAGCAGAGTGTAGGAGAATTCAGTAATTGTTAACACCTGGATATTTCTCTCTCAGAGCACAGTGTGCCTCAATCACATAGTAACCACTTCTGTGGTGTCTTTGTGACATTGCAGAAACACATCTAGTTGTAACTACAAAGCAGGGACTGGCTGTAAGGGCACAGAGAGTTCTGACTTGTACATTTCAAGCCCTTTTAACTCACACATAGCAAAGAGATTCTGCATAGCAGAAGATATGAGAGTATGCCTTAGCTGTAAACAATGAGAATCGCTCTAAAACTGTTGAAACCTGCTCAACATGCTGATCGGCAGAATGAAGTGGCAGAGCAAGGTGGAATTCTGAGCTACATCACTTAAGACAGCAGATGGGAGAATCATGTTTTTAAGCTTTCGTTCCCATAAGAATTTCTCTATACTACTCTTTAATCCCAGATATTAATCCCACAGATTACTACAGCATAAAAGGAGCATATATATTCCGAAATATGATCTCCCACCTGTGCCATGTGATGATACAGTTCAGAATTCCAAGATTTCATTCTACAAGCTTAATCAATTCATAAATTGATTCTGAACTTAGTGGCAATATCACAGTGATGTCCATGAGACAGCACCAGCTCAAATGTAGTCATGCTCCTGTATTCTGTTCTACAGACCATCTACAATGCAATTACCAATGGCACCCCCTGTGTGGTTGTGGAAGGCTCAGGACGGGTGGCTGATGTCATTGCTCAAGTGGCTAATCTGCCCATCTCCCAAATAAGCATCTCCCTCATTCAGAAAAAACTGAGCATATTCTTCAAAGAGAGCTATGAGCAGTTTACTGAGAGTAAGATTGTGGAATGGACCAAAAAGGTAAGGCAAATGGTCTCTGTGCAGCTTTTACTGGGTTTTGTTGGTGAAGTTGCAATCATGAGCTAGGACCTTCAGTCCTACCTTTTCTTTGACATTTGCAGATCCAGGATATTGTGCGCAACAGGCAGCTCTTGACCATCTTCAGGGAAGGCAAAGATGGACAACAGGATGTCGATGTAGCCATTCTTCAAGCAATGCTCAAAGGTGAGAAGTGCAGTGGGTGTTGCAGATGAGCTACAGAGATCAGTAAGTGAAACTGTTTCTTTTAGGACATCCCCTTGTGTTGGAATGTATTGCTTCAGAATGCAGCACAAGACATTACTGTACGGTAGAACCTTTTGTGTGTCATAATTTAGACTTCACTTACCTTGAGGGATTTGTTTTCATGGAAGTGGAGGCACAGCAAGGACACCTGATCACCATATGCAGTGAGCAAAATACTGTTGGAGAGAGAGGCTTGGAAGAGAGATTCCTACTCTCCAGTAGCAGAGTTAAGCACAATGGTGATTGCTCAAAGAACTTTAAAACTTGGTTAGGTTTGCATCTACCCTCATCCACCTTTAAAGAATGTTCCCTATTAAAATACCTAGGCTAGAAAAAAATCACAGAAACTTAGCTTTGCAAATAAGTGATTTTTTTTTTTACTTAAGAAATTCCCAGAAGTTACAGCAAACAAATCTCCATCTTCTGGCAGTAAAACAAAGATGAAAAGTTTCCAAGCGACTTTAAAAAGAAAAGTACTTTGTTTCCTTACAAAAGGAATCATGCAATCTTTGGGTTTGCAAAGATGCAGGTTTTAAAATCTCACTTTTAAAGAGATTCAGTTTACTTACAGGATCAGCTGAGTGGGGAGCCAAAGCTACATGGCTCCTTCTTTGCTTGTTCTAGGAAGCATTAAGGGGGGAAAGGAGGGGGGCCAGAGGCTGCTGACAGCCTGCTAAGCCACCTTCACTGGCAACCTGAGCTCAGGTTAACCCTTTCAAGCATGGAAGTAGGAGTCAGTAACGGTAAAGTACAACAAATACTACCTGGTATCATAACCCGAAACTGTGACATTGCATGAAGTGGGATGTTGAGCAATACCTAGGAGATAAAAAGTCATTTAACACAAACACATTTTATATGATGTGTTGAGTTTGATTGTTAACCTTACAGCTCATAGGAGGTAACAGCAATTTTTAAAAAACCAGCTCAAATACTTAATAAAACATGCAAGCCACATAATGGAAACATTAAAATGATTCCATACTTGCTTTGCTCCAGCCATTAAATGTCAACATAAACAAGAAAGTCTCTTTGGAAAATGCTCAGAGTAACCAAGCTCTAGGCAGTAATGTTGGGTATGCTACATGTGCTTAAATCCATAGGATATTTAAAGAAGCAGTTGGGGGCCAAAAGGGTATGCTAGTGATACCTTTATGTTGCAAGGTACCTAGGCCTCCCAATATGTTTCTCTTGCCATTCCTTCCCCTTCAAGTTCTGGATGTGCATGAGTAAGAGACAGCTAATAAAGGTCCGTCCTTTGCAACCTAGTTTCAGCCATGTTTTTGTTTATTCCTCTATTGCAGCCTCTCGATACAGAGATCACTTAGGCCATGAAAACTGGGACCACCAGCTGAAGCTTGCAGTGGCATGGAACAGGGTGGATATTGCCCGGAGTGAGATTTTCACTGATGATCATGAGTGGAAGGTAGGAAAGCTTTTGGTGACACACACTGGCAATGAGCATATCTGCTTTCTGCCTGCATAATTAGAGCAGGGTCTAAAAGCACTAGCCTTGGCTTGACTGCAAGCATGTGTCTTGGGAAGGCATGGGGTGTCTTGAGGGTGAAACCAGATGTTATAAGAGCTGCCTTGCACTGCTGCCATTCTGTGTCTCTTTGCTCTTCCTCCTAATATGTGCTGCAATATACTGTGTAACACCCGTGACATGTTATCATGAGGTGTGTCTCCCCACCTTCACACAATTGGCAGGCAGGGATGAGGAGACACAATGCAATGATGTTGTGTTATGTTGTAGACACATTATGAGGAAGAGAGGGTCAAGAGTAATGGAATGGCAGCTCTTCCAGTTCTTTACAGTCATTTTGTAAGTAGCTTTGCATTGCCATGGCAAAAAAGTGACTAATATTTGCAAACATGCCATAAAAACATATAAAATAGTTTTTAAAACAGTATGGAAACAACTAAAGCTAGGTTTAAAAACAGTACAGAACGAACACTTAAGGCAGAGAGCTTCTCATCTAGATGCATTGTTAATACAAAAATGTATTCAGTTGTCTCTGCAAAGTTCTGGGTGCCTGTTGTATCTCAACAGTAATTCCTGGCTCGCCTTTGTATATTTCACTCAGTTGCATTGTAAACTGCCCAGAGAACTTTTTGTAAGGGAATAATAGATCAGTGCACTAGTATGCATGGTCTTATGTAGCACATTCCTTGTTTGTTAGTGTTCATATGGAGGACAGAATAGCCATAATGCTTGTCTGGCAATGGCAGGCATACTTGGGATGATCAAAGAACAGTTTATTCAGAGAACTCGTGGTGTCAGAAGGTGCAAAACAACTCTTACATTGACAGAGGTTTTTCAGTTTGGATGTGAACTCTTAAAAACTCAACTTTTACAGCTTGCTACTTTGAGGAATCTTTAAGACACCCACTTTTATCAGAAGTGTAAACACTGTCTTAAGGGATCGCGTCATGTTTCTTAGAGGTTGCCACAAAAAGCAGGAAAAATGCTAATTTTTATTGTCTGTGCAGAAAACACTCTCCCTGGTCAATTGGCACCAGAAGACAATAGCAGAGTAAGGTTGAATTATCCCATGGGCTCCAAGTAACATTTCATCAAATAGCGAATACTTTCAGATTTTTAGGGTTTTTACAAATAGGTAAACCAAGTTATTTAAACCCTGTTGTTGCCGCACTGGCAGTGTGGTTGAGTGGCTGCCCTGTTGCTGTGATATGCTAAAGAGCTGGGTTCTGCCCTCGCTGAAAAATCTTTTTTAAAAGGTAAAAGACCCCTGACAGTTAAGTCCAGTCGTGAACAACTCAGGGGTTGCGGTGCTCATCTCACTTTACTGGTCGAGGGAGCCGACGTTTGTCCACAGACAGTTTTACCAGGTCATGTGGCCAGCATGACTAAGCCGCTTCTGGTGAAACCAGAGCAGTGCACGGAAACACTGTTTACCTTCCCGCTGGAGGGGTACCTATTTATCTACTTGCACTTTGACGTGCTTTTGAACTGCTAGGTTGGCAGGAGCTGGGACCAAACAATGGGAGCTCACCCCATTGCAGGGATTCGAACCGCTGACCTTCCAATCGGCAAGCCCAAGGCTCAGTTGTTTACACCACAGCGCCACCCGCATCCCTTGAAACATCGCATGTTAATAATACCTGTGTCATACATATTTTGTGTCAGAGCCAACATGGCAACTTCCAGCTACTTCTTGGAATGGGAGGCAGTGGTAACCATGAGGGGGTGGCATGTGTTGCTGACTGACCCCGTGGGCATGGCTCACCCACTATTGTCCTGTTGTCCCTTAGGGTAGCATGCTGTGGAAAGACTCTTACTATTGGCTTCTCATGCATCCATCACTCCATGCTAGAGAGGAAGCGGCTGTGCCCCATCAGCATCAGTGAGACCTGCTTGCTTCAATTTGCCTGCTGCTTTCTGTGCTTTGCTGAGGTGTAAATGTGGACTAAACGGGAGATAGAACACTTGAACATATGCTGGCCAGCTTCTGTCTCTTAGCTTTCTACTGCCTGCTTCATCTGCTTCAGGGACTTTGCTATAGCTATCAGCTGCTGCCTTTCTAGAGACTGCTGCAACTCCTGTATGCTTCCTCATTACCTTTGAGCTGTGTGTGTGTCCATGTCCTTGTCTGTCTGTCTGTCTTTCTCTCTCTCCGCACCCCCACCCCATCATGGGGAGGACAACCTGCATTACCCTTGGTTGATGTTGTCTCTTTCTGGTTGTCTTCTTGGCCAACAGCCCTCTGATCTGCACCCAATGATGGCTGCTGCCCTCATAGCCAACAAGCCAGATTTTGTCAAGCTGTTTCTTGAGCAAGGTGTGCGCCTGAAGGAGTTTGTTACCTGGGACACCCTGATCTACCTCTATGAAAACATGGCAAACTCCAGCGTCTTCCACACAAAGCTACAGAAGGTGTTAATGGAAGAGAAGGAGCGCTCAGCTTTCTCCAAAGTGCCAAGAGTCCAAATGCACCATGTGTCCCAGGTGCTGAGGGAGCTGTTGGGAGATTTCACTCAGCAGCTGTACCCTAAGCCGAAGAACACTGAGAGACACCGGCTCTCTATCGCCGTGCCTCATATCAAGCTCAATGTAATGTATCTCTGCATGTTACTAATCCCTTATAACCTTTCATGGCACCCCTTTTTAGTACAGGGCAGTCCATACATCCCCTCGCCACTTCTAATAGTGGTCCCTGCACCAATGCCAGGAGAACATCACCTTTGGTAAGCTAGTTATACGTATACGTTTTAATATTATACTGCGTCCTGCAGTCAGTTTGCTGTAGCAGCAGAAGCTGAATGAAGAATTGATACTGGAGATTTCTTTTACTGGCATCCAGGACATTCATGCCTGGACATTCATGCCAATTTCCAATGTTCAAGGTGCAAGTGCCATCAGTTATGTAACCAAAACAGCACTGCCCAATTGCAATAGAGAGGTATCAGCAGGTTTGAAAAAACCTTCCAGTTTGCAGAAGTAAAAAAATACAACTGTAAGGAGGGAAACCCTGTCAACCTACTGCCACAGAATGCTGACTCAGTGTTTGGGGGTATGGAGACAAAAATCGGAGTAGAATAGCGGAGCTGGAATCCTGCACGTCACACTGAAACATTTTGTTGCCGGTTCCATTTACTCTATGTCTACTGCCCTTTCTCCACTCACTGGTGCAAATCTTTGATTTTTACTTCCTTTCAATATGATTGTGGATCTCTGTATCCCAGCCTCTCTCCTCTTAAATTTAGTTCCAAGATTTTGTTCCATAACTTCAAAACAGGAAAAGGCCTGATGTGCTGTATCTTCCTAGACTCAAGGAAATGGCCTTAGAATTAGTTAAGCAAGCTGAGGGAGAAAAAGAGACTGTACCGGGGTTAGATGCCTCCTTCCTTGTGCCCTCTGTTGGTGGCAGAAGCTGAATGGTGATTCTATGGCTGTGTTCACACTAGACCTTTGAAGCACATTTCCCCCCTCAAACAATGCTGGGCACTGTAGTTTGTTACAGGTTGCTGGGAATTGTAAATCTGAGGAGCAAGCTACAATGCCCAAAATTTTCTTGAGAATGTGCTTTGAATTCTTGAGAATGTGCTTTGAATGAGCTTTAAAGTTATGTGTACACAGCCTCCATGAGGGAAATTAATTTGAGGCTGAAGACACCCAATCCAGTATTGACGTTTGTGTGAAGAAGGCATCACTGACCATGGTGTGTATGCTTGATAGTAGGACAGAAAATGAACATGAAAATTAAGAACAATAGTCCTCCTTTCACTCACACCACCACTTAGCAATTGTTATCTGATTCCAGCTTTATAATCATGTTCTCCCCCCACCCCTCTTTTAAAGGTACAAGGGGTTAGTCTCCGATCCCTGTACAAGCGTTCTGCTGGCCGAGTCACATTCACAATGGATCCCATTAGGGACTTGCTTATTTGGGCAATTGTCCAAAACCGCAAGGAACTGGCTGACATCATCTGGACCCAGGTAAAGTTTTTCTTTTTTCAACCATCTCCAGATAGTACCATACCCAGCTCAAGAAAAGCTGGTAAGATGTCTTCATACTTGTCTTCCTTACAGTCCTGAGCCTTCACAACCTTCACCGCCTCTGCTAGCAGCAGCTCCCTTGCATGAGACATGGAGTTCCTTTGGCACTCCTTTAACATGAAGGGGCCTTGGGCCTAGTTCTCACTTAGGTGATAAATTTGAATCTGGGTTGCACCAGTTGAGGCTGCACACGACAGAATGCTCCTCCATTAAAAAAAAATGAAAGATATTCTCCACATAGAAGATTATCCTGGATTTCTAATGTACAGGGATTTTTTATTTTTTTGCAAAGATGCTGTTACTCCTGTGAGTCTCTGCTTGGAGTTTGAAGCAGTCCAGGCCAGTCACAGGTTTGCTAGTGAGAAGTCAGTGAGAAGCTGGGAATGACAAAGACGTCCACAGACTAGGAGTGGGAAGGGCTGAGAGAGCAGCAAGCTCACTTCCAAAAGAGAGGACTCCTGAAGGTTACACGGTCAACCTGGGACCCAGAAGTATCATGTTCTTACTAACCTGAGTCCTTTTGCTTCAGAGCCAGGACTGCACTGCAGCAGCTTTGGCTTGCAGCAAGATACTGAAGGAGCTGTCCAAGGAGGAAGATGACACTGACAGCACAGAGGAAATGCTGAGCCTGGCAGAGGAGTATGAGTACCGAGCCATTGGTGAGTCTGGGCTGGTAGGCCTCTGATCAGGGTGCGTTAAGTCCTCCAACTTACTGGATGCTTTCCTGTGATACCTACTCTGTCTCCCCTGCTCACACTACAGACCACCATGGCGTTATCTCATGAAAGGCTAGATCCCTCAGTACAACTACACAGATCCTATACATTCAGTTCATTCTGAAACATGGGTGTTTTGTATGTAAATGCTCTGTAAGCAATGATCCCAAAACCGGTGAACACTGGGATCAAGAAGCTACACTACAACTATGCCTGTTCCCTAACTAAGTCGCTTTTAGAGCCCTGCCCCCCTGAGCTCCTTGACTCCAGTCAGTCACACACATAGTTGTAGTCTCTGTTTCTATGACTAGAAATGCAGTGTCATTATACTGGTACTATTGCTTATTATGTCCCTGCAATGCACATGATGCTCACCTGTGACCTGTGAGAGGCACAGGGCTTGCCCACACTTCCTCTCGCCCCACTGCTTTTCCCTCTGGGAAACTCGTTCTTTACTGCTGAATCAGAGCAAATGTCAGTTGGGGTTTCCTGTGGACTGACATTTGCTTTGATTCAGTGGTAAAAGCAGGGATAGTGGCAGGGCTGGTGGAAAACCCTTCAGTCTAGGACCACAGTGGCTGGCCAAGGTCACCCAGAGAGCTTCATGCCTGGGTAGGGATTGCGAACCAGGCCTCTCCAGTCCGGGGTCAACACAATAACCACTACACTACTGTGGTTTTCACAGTTTTGGCTGTTAAGCTTGTTACATAGCAGCTCACTAATCCTCAGGCTAAGCTACCTCACAGGCTTGTTTGAGGTGGAAGTGCTTCTCAGAGAACCTGTGGGAGAGAAATGCAAAAGAAATAATAAGAATCTCTAATCCCGGTTACTCTTCTAGGTGTCTTCACTGAATGTTACCGGAAGGATGAAGAAAGAGCCCAAAAACTGTTGATCCGCATATCTGATGCTTGGGGGAAGACCACCTGCTTACAACTAGCCCTGGAGGCCAAAAATATGAAATTTGTGTCTTATGGGGGCATCCAGGTTGGAGTGCTTACTGACAAAACTTTGTTTCTTAAATAGTAATGTTAATCTGATTTACAGCTAACTGTGCAATATGTAGCCCCAACAGAATGGATTAACTGAAATACTTAGAAGAGAGACCACTGTTGGGGAAACATCACCCAATTTCCACCATTTAATTAAAGTAACCATCTCTGTTTCTACTACTGCCTGAGAAACTTCACGCCTCACTATGCATGGCCACTGTTGCTGATGCTCCATTGGCAGAAAAGGTCACCCTTCTCTAAGCAGAGTTCCATTTGGCTACTGGGAAACTTTGGCTGCCCCTTTAAGAATTCCTGTGTTGTAGTTCCTGCTGCTCCATTGAGGGTGAACACTCAGGGTTTGAACTGCAGAAATACTGCAGATACTCTACAGCAAAGAGCAGGCCTTTTAGAACAAGTAATGGTGGAAAATTGTAAAGCAATACCACCAGGACTACATTAGTTCACATCTAAAAAAATAAGACAAATATCATCTGGGTTTTCAGAAACAAATGAGTGAGTGAATGAACATAAGAATAGCCCCACTATATGAGACCAAAGGCCTACTAGTCCTGCATTCTGTTTTCAGAGTGGCTAACCAAATGCACCAGGAAGAATGGTGTTGACTGTAGAGGGGGGGGAGCTATTGTGGAAACACCATTCATTCTAGGTTGCAGATGTGAAATCAGTGTGTGATATGGGGGCACAGCAGTTAAGTCAAGGCCTACAGTTACTGTGTGGTCTAAATTTTCCCGATAGGTGGGATTCCTTGTACTGCCAGTGATTCTGACTCAGCTAACAACACAGCTCATGCTTGTGTGCATCCTTCTGGGTCCTGAGATCCACACATGATGGCCACTTTCATTTTGCCAGAGCATGTGACAAGCCCTATCACCCTCCTTTTTTACCTTTGCCAAGTTCAAACCACACAAATTTCTGGCATATTTTTTTACCACAGTCACAGTCATGCTATTTAGCATTTGTCCTCTATTCTTTGGCATAAAGCCCACAGACTTTCAGCAGAGAATGTTGCCTGCTGTCCTCACTGCAAACTGATCCCTAAGTATGTCCCATCTTTCGCCTTCTGTTCTTGACCTTACCCACGACATGGAAAACAGGCCTCAACCTTCATTGCACCTTGTTCCTCTTTCTAGGCTTTCTTAACCAAAGTTTGGTGGGGGAAGCTGAGTGTCGATAATGGGATATGTCGGGTCATCATGTGTATGCTGTTCTTCCCCCTTCTCTACACTGGCCTCATCACATTCAGGTACTTGTCAGGGCTTGACTGCACCACTCTCTGGCATAGAGATTTAGTTCTCACATTTTTGTACTGCATGGTAGCAGCTATGACCAGTCCACTCTTACAATTCTCTGGTATCCTCCAAAGATGTAAAACTATATCATTCTTTCTTACTTTTCACAGAGAGAAGAGGCTGCAGCCTATGACTTGCCTGAACCGCTTCCGAGCCTTCTTTACAGCTCCTGTCGTCATCTTCCACCTCAATATCCTTTCCTACTTCACCTTCCTTTGGCTCTTTGCCTATGTGTTGATGATAGATTTCCAGCCAACTCCATCCTGGCGGGAGTATGTCATCTATTTCTGGCTCTTCTCCTTGGTGTGCGAGGAGACACGGCAGGTATTGGCTGTGCAAAGGCTGCCGTGACAATGCAGTTCAGAAACAGTGCTCTCAAGTGCCTGTTCCCATAGGCTATGTGTGGGGAACTTTTTCCAACCCAAAGGGTCACATACCCTCATAGGCAACCTTCTGGTGGCCACAAGACAGTGCTGAATAGTGAGTAAGGCCAGGGCATGACTGGGGACAAAAGTGGATAGAGCAATAGATGCTACCTTTGTACACTTTGCCTTTATTATAGTCTAGCAATGCGGGTGGCGCTGTGGGTAAAACCTCAGCGCCTAGGACTTGCCGATCGCATGGTCGGCGGTTCGAATCCCTGCGGCGGGGTGCGCTTCCGTCGTTCGGTCCCAGCGCCTGCCAACCTAGCAGCTCGAAAGCACCCCCGGGTGCAAGTAGATAAATAGGGACCGCTTACCGGCGGGTAGGTAAACGGCGTTCCATGTGCTGCGCTGCCTCGCCAGATGCAGCTTGTCACGCTTGCCGCGTGACCTGGAAGTGTCTGCGGACAGCGCTGGCTCCCGGCCTATAGAGTGAGATGAGCGCACAACCCTAGAGTCTGGCAAGACTGGCCCGTACGGGCAGGGGTACCTTTACCTTTACCTTTACTAGCAATGCAAAAGTCAGGGATTTCTACAGACAAACACACCACAACTCTCTTCATCCAGAATAGCAAGAGAAGCATCATCATCACAGTTCAAGAATACATTCCAGCTATGCAAAAGCACTCATGAAGAGTGCTAGGCAAAGACAGTGAGGGATGTAGCCTGGGGACGAGGCATGGCATGGAGAATCTCAGTGGCCAATTATAGAAACCTTGATGGCCATATTTGTTCTGTGGGCCTGAGATTCCTCCCTCCCTAGTCTTCTGGTCCTTTTGAGATTATTGTTTTACGTGTGAGAAATGAGAAAATGTTACTCAGCTTTTGGAATCAACCTCCAAGAAAACTGCATTTGATATCCTGGTTTGTAATTAGAGAGCAAGTCCCAATTTTCTGGTTCATATGCAAAAGAGAAGGGAATAGTGCCTTGGCACAATGCTTTTTTGATCCAATAAACTATGGTTAGTAAAATCATTTCTTTTCCTTTAGCTTTTTTATGATCCAGATGGGTTTGGCTTAGTGAAAATGGCTTCCTTGTACCTCAATGATTTCTGGAATAAATTAGATGTGTGTGCCATCCTAATCTTTATAGCTGGGCTAAGCTGCAGGTGAGTTAATATGCAATGATTCCAGCTAGCTGGAAAGGGAAGAGAACAAGGCATATTTGGAAAATGAGTGGGGGTTTTTAAAATCTAAATGCTGATTTATGCTTAATTTTTTTCATCAAACTGGATCACTTTGCCAACGTATAATTGGAGGAGGCTTGTGTTTATGTTGTATTTTTATCCCTCAGTTCAGTCCCCTTTAGATCAATGTATGAGGAAGCTTATAAGCTGCCCATTTGCTACCAGGCCCAATTCAACATGTTGATATTAGCGTATAAAACCCTAAATGACTTAAGGGCCCAAACTCTTGAAAGACAATCTCTCCCCATACCTCTCAAATCAGGCCCTGTGTTATTCAGGGAAGACTCTTCTTCTGATCATCCTGATGGCTTTATCCATCTTGCTATGATGCAGAATAGGGCCACCCTAGTGGCAGCGCCCTGGTTGTGGAAGATATGACAGTCATCCTCACTGATCATTTTTAGGAAGCAGCTCTGACATCTCTCAGAAGAATGGTCTAGAAAAATAAGTACATTTATGTATGCAAAGCTGCTGCCTGCTATGCCACAGTTCCCTTTAACTGGCTCTTTCATGAATTGGCAGGACTGGAATTGTTGAGCATTTGGCATCACTTGCTGCTCTTTTCCTGGTTGGAGATCTAATCTCACTCCTGACACTCCCAACCCAGTTCCCTCTAAGCCTCTAAGCCTCTTCTATTTCTATGGGCATTTTTCATCTTTTGGCTGCTGTGGTTGGTATGCCTTAGGAAATAGTTGTAGCAGGAGCATATGCACAATCCCCTTTGTTTATTTGAATGACAGTTGTTTGCTGCAGCAGGTTGGACACTAGTGCAGAGTTATATGGGTCCTTTGGTAATTAAGCCTCCTTGCTTCCTTGTGTCTGGGTGTAGTGATATTTGGGAATGTCTTTCTAATATTTCCTCTTGCTATCTCAATAAGTGTGTTTTTGTTTCTTTCCCCTGTGCTAAGATGGATTCCAGCCACTTTATATCCTGGAAGGATCATTCTGTCTCTGGCTTTTATTATTTTTTGCCTGCGTTTGATGCACATATTCACAGTCAGTAAAACTCTAGGTCCCAAGATCATCATAGTGAAGAGGATGGTAAGTTGTTTCTACTGATAAGCACCATGGTGACTGCATAGTCTCTGGCATTCCTTTTATGATGAGGGTACCAGAATCAAATACGCCCTGGGGCAACAATTGTTTCCATGGCAAAAAAGACAAAAGAAATAAATTTCTGCTTTGTTTTGTGGGCTTACAGATGAAGGATGTCTTTTTCTTCCTCTTCCTCTTGGCTGTTTGGGTTGTGTCCTTTGGAGTCGCCAAGCAAGCCATCTTGATCCACAATGAGAAGCGTGTGGACTGGATCTTCCGAGGCGTTGTTTACCATTCTTATTTGACAATATTTGGACAGATCCCTTCCTATATCGATGGTACAGAATACAGAATCATTGCATACTGTGGACTAGCAAGGGACAATTTGTTTGAATGCCTCACTTCACCACTAAGAGTACAGACAGCCCACCCCCACTTGCATGCGACCCAATATTTGCGTGGTGGTGGGAAATAGATTCAAACCAGGAAATGGCAGTAGACAGCTGGAGAGTCCTCTTGGCCTGAAGAGGACTTCAATGAGGGCGTAGGAAGTCCCAAAGAGATCTGAGATGCAGTGAGGCTTTGTCTAGACTGCTCAGAGTCCCCACTTAACAGCTGAAACACAGGGTAGGGCAGCAGCAGTAGCTGCTGCTTTTCTGCGCAGCCTCCAGCCACCCTCAGAGCTTCAACTCTAGTTGAAGAGTTGTGTGGAGAGAGAGCAGAAGAGCAGGAAAAAACGAGTTTAGAGGCTTTTTGGAGGATGCTCCCCACTTGCAATTTTTGCTTATGCATGTGGGTGCCTAGAATGTAACCCCCATGTAAGTAGGAGGATGCCTGTATATAGTAAGCTCATAACTTATATGTTTGGCAAAAAAATAATCCAAAAAAATTGAAAGCGGTCGACCATCTGGGGAAAAAGACTTTGGCAACCCCACCTGCCATCAAACCCAATGTGTTTTGACTATACAAAATTTGGCTTTAGGCATAATCCCAGGAATGTGTAAGTTGTGGGCTGACTGTATTCAAACAGCTCCAAATAGGCCCAGACCTGACCTCACATGGGGGTACTGTGTAAAAAACAGTAAACATGAAGCAATGGTGGAAGCAGTCATTAACTAAATAAACGTGATAATCAAGCTTTTTAGGAAAATATGGCTACCTAATATGCTTTTGATTGAGGCTGCTCTGGCATAAGCAACCATCATGCTGTTATCATGTGTTTCTGACTTTGTATGTGTGATAAAATTATCCCAATGGTGCCTCTTGTGTTATGTAAGTTCTGGTTTGATTAAGTATCATCTGAAGTATATGCACCAATGTTTGCTTCTTAGTCCCAAGGCAGCTACATCACTGGGTTTCTCAGCTCTTGTTCTTAGGCTGCTGCTATAAATAGCACTTCAAGCAAATACAGGGTCCCCAGGAGATGAGCTCCTGTGACATGTCTCTGGCAGCAATTCACTGGCAGCACATCTTTAATAACATTTCTCAGAGGGAGGAAGAAAAGTGTGTGATTATGTGAATCTCCTCTCAGATTAGCTCCTGCTTTCATATCAGTCAGTAAAGGACTGAGTCATTCATTCCATACCTTCGAAAAACTTTGTTTTCTAAACTCTAAACAGAGCTTGACGTCTGTCATTCTGTGTTATAGATATGGCATTTCAGATTACTCTCAGCAGGCAAGAAAATAGGATGAGGACTTCCTGTTCCAGGAACAGCTCAGCACTTTTGAGGTTCATTGTGTTTTATGGCAGGAGTGAACTTCAACCCGGATCAGTGCAGCCCAAATGGTACTGACCCATACAAGCCCAAGTGCCCAGAAAACAATGAGACAAACCAACAGCCCATCTTCCCTGAGTGGCTGACGGTCATCTTGCTCTGCCTGTATCTGCTCTTCACCAACATCCTTCTCCTCAATCTCCTCATTGCAATGTTCAAGTGAGTTCTACATTCAGCACCAACTTCTATCATTTCTTTCCCCTTAGTTCATTTCTAACAACAATGAGACTGACAGGCCTAGAAAACCTGTCATGGTCACTGCCCTTTGATCAACTAAGCTTCTTGTAATTTACATCAAGCCCAGGTTGCCAAATGCACAGAACCCAACTAGAGGTTGCATGGGCCAGTTCAGGACATCACTTGAGCAGCTAAGCAGAGGTAGTATAAATGGATAGTAGCAGGCAGTTCTGCAAGATGCCTCCACTATTCAGAATGGAGATGTGCTTCTGCAAAACTTTGTCCCTCCATCACTACTTATGGGATGTTTAGGAGAGGACCACCACACTCTATATGTATGGTGGTACCTCGGGTTACAGACGCTTCAGATTACAGACTCCGCTAGCCCAGAAATAGTACCTCGGGTTAAGAACTTGCCTTCAGGATGAGAATAGAAATCACACATCGGCGGTGCAACAGCAGTGGGAGGCCCCATTAGTTAAGGTGGTACCTCAGGTTAAGAACAGTTTCAGGTTAAGAACAGACCTCCGGAGTGAATTAAGTTCTTAACCCGAGGTACCACTGTATTTAAATTACAACCACAGAGTGGCAGAGGTAACTCTTGTATTCTTTTCTCCCAGCTACACATTCCAGCAGGTGCAGGAGCACACCGATCAAATCTGGAAGTTTCAGCGCCATGACCTGATTGAGGAGTACCATGGCAGGCCCCCTGCTCCACCACCCTTCATTCTTCTCAACCACCTTCAGCTCTTCATCAAGCGGGTCATTCTCCGGAAGCCAGCCACACGGCATAAGCAACTCAGTAAGAAGCTCTGCTGGGTAGGGCCTTGCAGAGTGGGTGTTGCAAGGTCAGCTTGACTGGAATTATGATATGAGGGTATCCCCTCCATCATTGCTGACCATTTTTATGATGACCTGTGACATTCATCAATACTGGAAGGGAGGAGATTGAAGCATGTGCTATAACGGGGGACACCAGAGCCATTGGTTCTCTTAGGGGACCCTGGAAAACAACAGCAATGTTGCTTGGCTGGCTGGTACCTCAGTCTCCTCTGTGCCTTTCTTCATGTAATTCCTACTCCTATGACATTATGGTATGCACAACATATGAGGGTGACACAGAATGTTTAAAGGCAACAATGGGAATGTCTACATTAACAGCTTTAATCTTATTAGAGAAAGGAATATTTTTATATACATTGGATTCAAGGGATGGCCAATCTGCCTCTCCTCTTCCATAACCAGGAACTGTGTACATTACATTGCTTCTTCTGTTTGATTGATCTGCAGAAGAGAAGCTTGAGAAGAATGAAGAGGCAGCTCTCTTGTCCTGGGAGATGTACATGAAGGAAAACTACCTGCAGCTTCAACAGTCTCAACAGAAGCAGAACACTGAACAGAAGATCAGTGACACTGCAGAAAGGTGAGGTATCCTTGCCATGCTAAGTAGTCACCAATGCCAGAACAACTGGGTATGCTGCTCATGGGTACAACTCAAAAGAACCTGGTGGAGCTAGCTCTTCACTCATGCATACTGCTCTTAAGGCCTTGCAGCTGCCAGAAGTCCTCACCCTTGCCCTACCCTTTCCTACCACAATTTGTTCATCATGACTTAGAACACCACTTACTGTGGAAATTAGCGTCATAAGCCCACACTCCATTTTAGAGGTGCACCCCATGGACAGTCTTAGAAAAACATCTTTACTCATTCATTAGAGCTATAAATGATACACCTAAATGGCAGGTTTTGAGGGCTCAGTGGCTTTCTATAGGATACTGCCTGCACCTCTCACTTAACACTGATTTTCTTCCCCCAAGAATGGATATGCTGGTAGAAATGCTGGACCTCGATCGGGTGAAAAGGACAGGCCTGGTGGAGCAGAAGTTGGCGTATCTGGAAGAGCAGGTGAGGGGTGACTTTTAAGGCTTCCCCACCTGGAGAATGCTGAAGGCTCATGAGGAGGATGGGGTGAACTTGTCGGTCAATGTCAGGAAACTGGAAAGGGTGGGAAGAAAATAAGATCAGGTGCCCTATCTTGTGTCAGCCACATTACTTCACTGCATTACAGAGGTTTCCATACAGAGTTTCTTAAGTGTTGGCTTCTTTCTGCCATTAAGTAGCCAGAGGAAATGTGGCCAATTGTCTGCTCACCTACATGATTAACCTTATCTAAGTGGAGAGGATGTTCTCTAGGGAAGAAGGGAGATCCATGAATGATTCACCAGTAAGAACAATGTGTTTCCTGGACCAGAATTAGAGAAAAGATCATTCCCAGGTTCCTTTTTGGGACCTAGACTAAATTAACAGACTTATCTTCTCCCTCCCTCTCTCCCTCCCTCCCCCCCTTTCTGGACAGAGGTGCTGGTCAATGAGTACAGGCCTTAACAAGTTTGATGGGCTGCTTCTTTTTAGATGTTCCAGTTTTCAAAGGCACTGCGGTGGGTGGTTCACTCACTGTCAAGCAGTGGGTTTGGATCAGAAGAAGATGTCCCCACCATAGGTATGTCTGGCTACAAATATGAGTCTGAGGACTGTTTCCTCTCTCTCTCTATATATATATATATGTATAAAATTTTGATTCTGATACTTGTGGTATATACCTACTTTGTACTCATCACTTACGACTGCTGGGATAGCTCAGTCAGTAGAGCATGAGACTCTTAATTTCAGGGTTGTGGTCTGGAGCCCCACATTGGGCAAAATATTCCCACATTGCAGCAGGTTGGACTTGATTAACCTTGTGGTCCCTTCCAACTCAACAGTTATATGAGGGAACAGCATGAATTGTTTTCAGGTTTTCCAGACATATTTGTCCTTCCGCTCCCCCTGCATGTATTTTATAAGAGAAACATTGTGAATTATACATGCACACACAAATGCTATTGTTCATAACGGAAGTGAAATGTGTGTACCGTATTTTCTACTTGGTTTTTGGAACCTGAGTGCATAATGTGTCACAAGAAGTGGACCTGAGATGGGCCAATTGCCCAACTTAGTTTGAGCTATACTGAGCAGTACTTTCCCTGGACATGGCAATTTTGATTATTTATCCATGTGTCAGTTCTAGTAAACTAGTGCTGTCATATTTCAAACAGTGAAGATCTGGACAGAAAAGTTGTTGAGCATTTTGGCAAAATAGCAAACAAAATTGCCATTTTTGAGCTATTTTTATGGGTAATTGGCAAAAATGGCACTGCCGGCATGGGCTGCCATATGTCAGGTATTCTGGATATGTCCAGGAAATTCCAGATGTATGGCAACCCTAAGTAAACAGACAAATCTGGGACTGAAGTCTACCACTGACAGCCATCCAGATCCAAGGTAGTGGTGATGCTCAATAGGATAACATACCATATTACCTAAATAATGCATCTGTTAGGTGTGGCCCTTAACTGCTGTAATTTCCTTGCTTTTGGGAGCTTGAGAAAACATGGAAAACACTTAACATAACATGCTGAAATGTAACTCTTTTTGCTAATTGAATTATACCTGTGGAGGAAAACTTGTTTCATTAGGAGGAAAGACACAAACAGAATTGTAGACAATGAGTGTGATAGAATTTGCCTTAGTCTAACCAGTTTTGAGTAAAAGAGTATATCAGAATACTGTCTTCCAGCAGTGGTTGGTTGGCTGGAAATAAAATAAATTCCAAAAATATAGAGACACAAAAGCATGGCATGGCGAGATCCACAGTTTGAATACGTGGAGTGTGAAGAAGTCATCTTGTTTGACCTAGTTCCTAGCAGAGCCCCTGAGATGAAGGAATGCCATGAAGAGGATGTCCCAGAATCTTTTGACACCATATATCATGTGAGCGCCAGGAACCTCATGTATCCCAGCTCCACTGCTGTCTGCTTTCCTGTACCAGATGAGAAGGTGCCTTGGGAGGTAGGAGCTTTATATCTTAGGGAACAAGATATGGTTTCATATAAAGAAGAAGGAATGATGCCATAAGTCATATGTGACCACAGTTGTGCATGACTGAGAGCAGAGCTATATTACAATCTTAAGATGGTTTAATAGCCATTACCTCTCCCCAGTGAACCCTGCGAACTGTCCTTCTGTGAGGACAGGGGCATTAGAAATTTCTAGCAAGAATTTGCCATACTCTCACATTCTATAGTTCTGACACAGGAGAAGCCATGTCAATTAAACTGGCAAAAAATGTATATAGAGATGTGATACAGATATTTGTAGTGTATATATGATGCCTATAGACTTCAATTAGAATGTGTGTGTGCATGCCCCCCCCCCCCCACAGAATTGCCTTTGGGCTCAACCTTCACTGAAAGTTGATGGTAGCAATATTGTCAGCTTCCCTTGGCACAATAAGAGGGGTCTGAAGAGAGCCCATGTGCAGTTTTTGCCACGGGTGCATTGCTCATGCATGAGAAAACATACTTACTTGTTTGTTAAGATTATATACGCTGCCCTAAGCTAACAAGCTTTCATGGTGGCTCACAAGATCATAACAAGATAAAAGTATGAATAACAATCATATATAACATTCAGTAACACAGGAAAAAACAAGCAAAATCATGTGGCACATTAGCTCTGGGAGTATTGTCAGAGCTGCCAAACAAAGAAAAACACACTCCGGAATTTAGATACAAGGAAAATCATAAATGAAGAACTCTGAGTTCTTGCTTCTGGGTTCTTATTAATAGATCATGCTTGAAATGTGAATTTGTGCTGCTCTGGAAGACTCTGAGATATGTCTAAAACATCCTTTCCCCCTGACAGGTAGAGTTTGAGATCTACAACCCTCCCTTCTACAGTGCAGAAAGGCAGGAGAATGCTTCACCTGACTTCCTGAAAGAGTATGTATGTCCTCAGAGAGTCAGAAACATACACACACTGTATCTGTACTGTTTTTGCTCTTTCTTCCTCTGTTTATGCCACCCATCTTCTAGTGATTGTATTTCATTGTACTGGTAAACTACTTTGGGTTTGATTTTCATTGACTCGACATGTTGCGGAGATGAAAGCTTTGTCCCTATCTTTCAGCTCTTTAGAGAATCTTTCAAGGATAAACTTCAACAGTATGGATGGAGATATCAACAGACAGAGCTTCCATGGCACCTATCTTATTGAGGACGGCCTGCCACTGTGAGTGAGTCTGATAACAAGAGTGGGAATCTTCATTATGGTGCCCACATCACACCAGCAGCAACATAGTTCTTTTAATATTTTTATAGGAATCCCATGGGAAGGACAGGCCTGAAGGGCCAAGGTATTCTTCGGTTCTTTGGACCAAATCATGCTCTTCACCCTGTTGTGACACGGTGAGTAGATAGCAGAGTGCCATTTCTCATCCCTATAAGTGTAGTCGTCTACTCTAATTTGGTAGCTCTGTGCTCAGGACTGTGTGAGAAACCACAAAATAAGCTATAAATGAAATGTTACCATGATTTCTACTTTGATTTCCAATAAAGGGCAGGAGCCTGTTCTTACTCCTCAGTTCTTGGTTCCAATCAAGGGCAATTTCACCAGGTTCATTTTTAGAGCAGCAAGATGCATTTTTTTCCTCACTTCAGACTTGTACTCATCCACAAGCAGTCTGCTTTTCACAAGTTAATACTGTAAAGTGCCCTGCCTATTTTCAGAGCACCTTTGAGCCTCAGCTGATAAATGCAGCGCCTTTGCAGGAGTAAGTGCTGTATCCATGACAACAGGCCAGGAAAAGAAACATGGATGTCCCTAGCCTGAAAACTGACTGATGCAGGTCATGTGGGCTGCAGATAGCTTCCTTGCTTCAGAAGACACTTTCTTGCTTCCAAAAAGCAGCGTTTTGTCCTTGTGTCCGGGAACAATGTCAAAGAAATTGTATTTGAAGCTGAGAACACTTCACAGGCACCAGAGAAGTCCATCACAGTAGCTGTGGTGCAGAGACTTCTCACTATCATTTTTTAAGATGCATGTATACAAAGAATGATAGCTATAGCCTGTCTTTTTTCCATTACACAATTCAAGGCGGCATATGTTGGGTTCCCATGTGGTCTTCCATCCAGACAGTGTCCAGACCCAGAGCTGCATAGCTGCCTCAAAGTCATTGTTTCAAGTATCTTCAAAACCATGGGATAATACTCTGTAACATCTTTCTCTATGGTGTTTGTAGCTGGAGGAGGAATGTGGATGGATCCATTTATAGAAAAAGCTTAAAGAAAATGCTGGAAGTCTTAATAGTAAAATTCCCCTTTTCGGATCATTGGGCTTTGCCTGGGGTAAGTAGTTATATTTCTTCACATCTAGCCCATATCTGAATAAGGGAGGTGTATGCCAAGGTTTTAATAAAGTCAGAGTGATAAATTACATGAGCTGTTAAACCCCTGCATTCCAGGGGTTCTGCCAGAGAAAATGCCAAACCTAAAAAGCCTTTCATAAAACAATAGGGCACTAAAACTATGTTAAGCTGACCTTCTTTCTTAGCCTTGTGCCAGTGAGCTCCCACTGATTGTTGTGTTAGGTGTATCTTTTGTCTGATTGGTTCTTAAAAGTTCAAGCCAGACGTTCTAGCTTTCTTGTTTGAGTTTCCAAGATTTGACTGTAATACTCATTCACTTGAAAGGCATACTTTCCTGCAATTCCAAGAAACGTTTGCCAGCTGGAAACCAGATAGAAACTCCTGCTTTCTTGGCCTAGTATCTTGGAACATACTATGTGGAAAGCTTTAGCTGCTTCTTACATCAAGTAATGTTTTGATTTTTCTTCCAGGGATCTTTAGAGCCAGGGGAAGCTTTGCCACAGAAGTTGAAGCGGATCCTAAGACGGGAATTCTGGCCACAATTTCAGAAATTGCTGAATCAGGGTACAGAGGTACTTTGAGCACCAGTGGGGCTTTACAGAAACAAGGGCACTATCAGTGAACCCCTTCGCCCCACTCCCAAAATAATGTATGAGAAGATGGTGGGGAACCACATTACATTAGGCTTTGGGGCATGATGCACCAAATGGGCACATGACATAGTCTTAAATCAATAGTGTTTTAAAAATGAAGAGGAGGTTTCAGGCTCCAGACAATTCACCAGTACTTTGTAATTTCCTGTGGACACTCCTCTGGTCATACACTCCTCAACTGCTGCCTTAGATTACATCTGTGGGCTGGGGTGCTGAAGCAGAGTAGACTCTGTCATGCTTTCCCATGAGCCCTTAACCAGAGATCCACACAGTGGTTCCTTCCTACAAGGCCCAGTATGGAAAGCTGATACAGAGACATGGTGCAGAAGAGAAAGATGGAGGAAACAAGTGGTAAGCTTGAATTGGTAGTTGTAGCTCTAGGAGTCTGATGAAATCTAATTGCTGTCTGGTACTAACCTTCCATCCTTGGGCACTTTGGTTGACTTGTATTTTCTTTAATAAAGGAGCAAAGCCACCATGCCCTTGGAAAAGCTACTTTAATATCTACTCTTCACCTCAATCATTTGGCGAGATCTTTAGAACATAATGATCACCAACTTTAGGAAGAGGCCGTACATTATGTCTTCTCTTTTTCCATCTACCCTTCATTCACCTACTTCTAGGTATACAAAGGATACGTGGATGATCCCAGGAACACAGACAATGCCTGGATAGAAACGGTGGCCATTAGTGTGCATTTTGAAGAGCATAATGATGTGGAGATGAAGCGTATGAATTCGGTACATGCCATAATGCACCCTTATTACCCTTATGCCACAAAATTCTCCTCTAGAGGTAGTGGGATGAAAGCCCCAGGTTTTGCAGAAACCATGGCATGAAATCTTGCTGTGTAAGAGGGAGAAAGGGCAGCTCCTTAGATCTTAAGCATCAGAATGGGCATGGTACCAAGTGAAAATATGTGGGAAGCTTAAGAAAGACGATGCTGAGGGCATAGAAAAAGAAATCATTGGAAGAAATGAATGGGCAGATATTAGAGAGGTGGTTCTCTGTGTGTGCATGTATGCGTCTGAGTGTGTGAGAGAGATAATTACCTAATACTACTCTGTAATTAAAATATTGCATTGCAGTTCCTGAGGGCTGTAATCAGGAATATTCAGCACACCTTGGTGTAATCAGATACAGAGCACGGTGCTATATATAGCAGAAAGTAGAAAGAAGTGGAGCAGGCCCCAAGAGTGCCTGTTTTGACTATTTCCCACAGGTTCTTTTAATACCCGGTAGACCCCTGTTAGTAGATGTATTGATGGTTCTGAGAGAATCTATCCATATCACTTGGACTGTGACTGTGGCTTGTGAGAGGCTGATAGGAAGCTGACAGTAACCTATATTCCTTTTGGGGTTTTTTTCTGCAGTTTCTCCAGGGCTGTGATCTGGAGGCGACCGTCCGGTGGCAGGTTGTGGATAAGAGAATCCCTCTTTATGTGAACCACAAAGAACTCCTGCAGAAAGCATGTGTCCTCCTGGGGGCATACTACTGAGGACACAGGACCATCACCCTTAGTCTTCCTCTCATTTCTCTCTCAGCTCTTTAGAAATGCATCAAAACCTGACTGACATCTTTCCCTCTGGTGATTTTCTTTGTGCGTTTTCTTTTTCCTGTGTGCAGAATAACACTTCAGCTGAACCTCACAAAACGACCGTAGAAAGCAATGTAATCTTGGCCCTTGCATAACAGTTAGTATTTGCCCCTAGAAAGAAAAGGGGCAGAGCATTCTTTTGTTGTTCTTCCTGGAGCAGGGCTGCTGGGGCACTGGATTTCCTTTTCAGCTGTTCCATTGGCTAACAATGTATCTTGCAACCCATACAGATAATCCTAGCGCCCAGGATGGCGTTCTAAATCTGCAAAGTAGGCAGTGCAGTGGGGCCTGATTCTGGTTGTGATCACTGCTCTAACGGTAATGGAAAGAGGCCAGCTGCACTGCCTTCAAAATGCATGTCCTCTCATCAATGCTGCCTTTGGAAAAATTAGTCCTGTGTCCAGCATACAAGCCATTTCCCAAAGACTCTGGAGCTAGGAATTTGTCGCAAGCAGGCCATCAGCTTTCAGTAGATCAATTCACAAGTCTGATGTTGTTCCGTGACAAGTCTTTGGCATACTGAGCTGAAGAAGCATCTCTGAACCAGGCATTAGTGGTTGCCAAGGTTAAGAGAAGACGGCTCTTCCACTGCCACCTATTTTTTTGCTTTCATCAATGCAGTTCTGGCCAAGTTGAGGCTGGAAATTCATTCTGACACTGGGTTCTTTTAAAGGTGTAACCAAATCCGTTCTTTGCTGTGGAGATATGCCAAGGCAGAAGGAACCTCTGCACAATGCTTCTTACTGTTTATTATTTATTACATTTGTATACCACCTTTTCCTTCAAGGAGCTTCAGTTGGTGCAAATGGCTCTTCCCTCTCCTTTTCTGTGAGGTAGGCTATGTGAGGGGAAGCCCAGCCAGATGGGTGGGGTATAAATAATAAAAAATTATTATTATTATTATTATTATTATTATTATTATATGTGGAGAGACAGTGACTGGTCCAAGGTCACTTTTCTGTGAAGTAGGTTATGTGGAGAGACAGTGACTGGTCCAAGGTCACCCAGTAAGCTTCATGGCTGAGTGGGGATTTGAACCTTGGTCTCCCAGGTCCTAGTCCAACACACTAACCATGACATCACATGGGCTTTCTACACTGTTGATCCTAGACCCTGCAGGGTAAAGTTTTATAAAGTCTCCAGGCTCTTTTCAGTTGAAACTACAGGAGCTTTCACTGCAGTAATGGGAAATCTCTGAACCTTGGGGCAAATATAGCCCACCATATCCCACAATCCAGCCCACCAAGCCTGTATCAGTGAGCCCTGCCCACCTGCCAATCACCCCATGTCATTTTATGGAGATAAGAGATCCCTCTGCCTGCTCCTTAAGGGCTTATCTCCAATTTTAGTGCTAAGTTCCACAGTGCATAGAGATAAATTGTGTGCTTAAAAGTAAAAGGCAGCATTTCCACCCACCGCAGCAATAGAGTGAGGGTGGATAAGAGAGTGTTGAGGGAGGGAAGTGAGTGAGAACCGTATGCCTTCATGTCTGATACGTGTGTGTTTCTGACAATGGTAGGGAATGGAGATATTGTACATGTGTTTCCTCTTTGGTAGCTTTTATTTTGCCCCATCCACCACAGGAATGTGGCCCCTAAAAGGCTGGCCAAATTCAGATCTGCCTCTTGGGCTTAAATAAGTTTCCTCACCCCTGTTCTACTGCAACATAAAACTAATTGTCTTCTCAATTTGCAAGTAGGCTGATAGCTAAATTGCATCAGATGTTGACATAATTATAATTGAGTTAGTTCATTCAAGGCACCCACATCATTTGAATTTTCTTAACTGTGTTCCCCTTTTCTGATTCTGTGCTCACCGTTTTGCCATCTAGCTGATAGTGTGTTGATTCTTGTGGTGAATCTGAGTGCAGTCTTTGAATCAAATTACTTTTCTCCATGCTCTCTTTGCTCATGTCACAGTCATCCATAAGAATATAAAATGCCCTACCTGGATCAGACCAAGGTCCAAATAATCCAACATTTGATTTCCAATAAAAAGTGCAAGATGAAGATAGCTTCCCAGATATTTGGTTCCAGCATCTGGCAATCAGATGCATCATCTCTGAACATAACTGTTTCTGCTTTAGCTAATAGCCACTAAAATAAAACTTACCTCTAAGTATAGGCCTTTAGCCAGGGTGCTAAAAAGGCACAAAGCTCCATGTTTTCTTTGATGGATCCTGTACTGCCATTTGGATGCACACAGCTTTGTCTGCATTGCTTACAGTTCTCTTGCATTTAATACACTCCTCTTTTTAGTGCTCCATATATTCAGTCTTATTCTGCCTTATTTATGGGGCAAATTGACTGCGCTTCGAGAGGCCCAGGCTCTCAGCTTTAAAAACAATAACGTACAAAACTGCAGGAACTTACCATTTCAATGTTTTTCATGCTAGAAGCTGTTGGGCCTTACCTAGTAAGGTTTAATGAATGTGGTGCCCCCTAGAAGTTGCCAGACTCCAGGTCCCACCAGCCTTAGCCAGTATGGCCAGTAGTCGGGAACAATGAGAACTGTAGTCCAACAAGATGGCACCATGATGACTACCCCAGATCTAAAAGACTGGCAGAAGTGAAGTCAGTGTGAGTTCAACGTAAAGTCAATTTATTTGAGTTCAAAGCCTAAATTAGTTTGCTTGAAGTAGGGTTGTCATACGTCCGGAATTCTGGAATATGGTAGTCGGAAACTGGGCGGAAAGCACTGAAATGTCTGGGACAATCCGGACATATGGCAACCTATGTCGGAACTTTTGTGTTTGGATTGGTTGAAATATGGCAACCTTAGCTTGAAGAGTTACTGAAAGAATGTGACCACAATCTATGCCACAGCATGGTAATTAATCTTAGTAACAATTTCTTGCTGTAATAGTAAACTCTGGATTTAGCCTCAGGTAAAAAAAGGAAAATGTTCCCCAAATATCATAAGCTTATCTTGTGTTATGCATTCAATAAATTTCCATTTGTGTAATTTAAATCATGTAAAAGTTACTTGAAACATTACTACACAGTGAACTATGGCCAGAGTTACTAATTCCCAGTAATCTGTTCCACTAGTGTTTTGATACACACTGAATGCTTTTTCAACAACACTACAAACCTCATTTGTTTCAATGGAGGGAGGTAATTTGCACAGACAAATCCTTTTTGTTTGCCCTCTCTTTTGGCAATGCATAAGTGACTAGATGGTCCCTGCTCACAAGTACTCATTACACAGAAACAACATTTTACAAAGGGTATTCCCATGAGCATTTTCACAATTCCAAATGGTGCTGGTCTAATCCTTCTTTGTAAGATACCACTAATCCATTATGTGTAAAATTAATTAGAAGAAACTGCTTCAAATGCCATTACTGAAATGTTTTTGCTGCTGAGTTTTCTCTGGACTGTAGTGCTCCTACTTCACATTCTTCCTCATACTCACCTTAATATTGGGCCATCTTGATATTTCATGTTAGTCCAATGGTGCTAATGTTAATGGATTCTATGCTTATGCCTCACATTGGTCTGCTGCTGCTTAATAAAAAGCTGTGCTTTCGCCAAGTGTTGATATATCCATGCCAGAGATTCCATTAATGCCGCCACTTTTTATTTATAGGTGGAAAGATTGTATAATACACTGTCCAAGACTGCAGCTAGTTTTTCCTCAATAGCTTTACTCTCTCTGTTAATCTGTAGCAAAGTAGTTTGATCTCCCATTCATTTGCAGATTTCTTGTTTTATGTAGAAATATTCTAAAAGCCTGAGACAAATCTGGGAAGGTTCATGAAAGAGACAGAACTTAAAGACATGTTTTTAATAGAATTGTATTGATGGGCTGGTCCCAGAGAATATGAAACGTGAATATGTTGTGACCAAATGATATAATTTTAGCAGTGAGACCACTATCTGGAGGATTCAGATAACCTACTGTGCATGTCCCCCTCCATAGTATACCCCACATCAAGCTCAGAGTAATCCTGTTTTGGTTTTCAATAAAAGCCTTATTTGCACATGCTGATTTATCACTACTGACTGGCTCATGCAAATAACAAAGCCATTCCTCCCATCTTAAAGTGCTTTTTTAATATTAAAGTGCTTACCAACTTTAAAGTTGTAAACAAATTTGAAATAAACCAAGTGGTTGAAAGCTACAAGACAAACAGGTGCTTGAAAAACCATCAGGATTCAGTTTGGAGCTTATGTATGCATGTCCTTTAAGGCGGCAGTTGGGAGAAGAGGTCACTCTACAGCAGAAACACTTGTGCACAGGAATGGGTAAGTTCATTCAGCCTAAAAGTACACCTTTGATTGCACTCATTTTTTGCCCCTTAGACTATCCAGGCTCCAAAGGCCCAATTTAAAATTGAGTCCATGAGACATGTGCGTAGCTGGGGGAGGGGCGCAGCTGCCCCCCTAAATCAAGTTTAAAAATTATTTCTATTTTTAGTTATTTTAATCAGAATATTTGAAATTGAAATGCTTGCTGAGGTCACTTGGATGATGATGTGGTGCATTCTAGTGGTGATATGCATGGCTTTTATGAACTGACCAATTGTGTCACAGGTAGCTCAGTTCTGGAACAAGACAAGTGGGTGTTCTGCCCCCCCCCCCATAAATCCTGGTTACACCTATGCTATGAGATGAGTTTAAGTGTTTGTGTGAACATAAGGAGACTTGCAAAAAGCACTCTGAAGGCCTATCTAATACAACATCCTGGCCTCACTAAAGCCAACAAGTTGCCTATGGGAAGCTCAAAGTACGACCAGAGTGCCAACGTGCTCTCCTCCCTTGTAGATTTTAGGCAACAACATTTTAACACCTGTGACCAGTGAATAGTTCAGTAGTGTTGCAGTGTTGAAAATGGACAAACAAAAGCAGTATACAAATACAATTTTGATACTGAATCAAATATACAGCTTTCAAATAGTGGAGTTTTGAAGTTTTGAAAATGACAACTGGTCTCCTGCTATACTACACACTGCATATTTTTAAGTGAGATCCAGAAATATTGTGTAATGTGGCAGCTATACAGCAAAGGACCTATGAACAGGAGCCTACTGACCACACTGACATCTCTCAGCCCATCTAAAAAGGCTTAATTGCAGTAGACAGAATGAGAAGTCCTTCCAGGCCTCAGGCCCCAGACAGTTTCCATAAAGGTTTTCCCCTCTCAAAATTCCCTACACATCCGAATACACGTGTGTGGATCCCTTCCCGCCGCGGACTTGCAACCAAAGTTCTATTACGTAGAATGGTAGTAAGTGCCTATAAATTACTGTACGGCCTTTTAAGTCTTTGGGCCAGACAAACGGGGCTCACGCCCTACGGCGTTTGTCGTGGACCTTTCCCTGGTGTCGGGAGGCGCGCCTGCAAACACATGCCGTGTATGCATGTGCCACGTGCGCCCAGACGCGAGATCCCCATCCCATGCCGCTGTTTCTCAACACGAGGACTGAAATGCAACTTCACAGATGGCATTTTAGTAGCTAATAAAAGCGGCGTTCGGAGCGAGACCCAAGCCGGCGGCTCGACAGCAGACGCAACAAGGACTGGCGGCTTTCTCTGGCCTCCCCGGATCTGCTTTCCAAATGCGTAAAAGCGCAATATGGCTGTGAGCGCGAGGCAAGGCGAGCCTCCCTTCTGCCTGAGCGGCAGCTGCCCCTTTAAAAAATCCAAGGATGCCCCCCTCCAGGCTGTCGGTGACAAGCAGGCGCTATCCAATTACAGCCGGCAGCCCCCATGAACGGCTTTGTGTGCGACTGGGAGGAAGGCGAGAGGATGGCAGCAACAAGTCCTGCGCGCAAGCGGGCTGCAAGTCCTCGCCGCGGTGCCGCCGCCGCCGCCGCCGCCTCGGGCTGCGCCCGCCCCCTCGACTAAGGGCGTGGCCAGGAGAGCGGCGCTGCGCTGGTGGCGCGGGAGAAACTTGGCACAGTCGCGTCCGGTGGGCTCCAGTGACCTCAGCTCAGGTAACGCGCCTGCACGCCACCCTCAGGTTGGGGAAGGGAGGGAGGGGTGCGCCGGGGAGGGCCAGCCTGTAATTTTAACGCGGACGGAACTGCAGGATGGATGGGATCCATAGCGATCTAAGTTAAAGCACTGTTGGCGAGGCTGTCGGAGCCCTGCAAAGCGGGATTCCGAGATCCGAGCTGCTTTTGCACTGCGGGCATCGTGCTCGGAAGTCTGAGAAGCGCCGTGTGGGCGGATGCTGCAGCGAGATCTTTAGTGTCATATTCACATCGCCTGGAGGGAAAGGCGAGATCAGCCTCTTTCCCTGCTGGGCTTACAGCAGGGATGGCCAAACCTCTGGGCGTTATGACTCATGTACCTTTAATAGTTGTGGGGAAAGCAGCAGATGCCTCTTGTCATGTCACGGCGCTTGCCCAGCTTGGAAAAGCTGCGCCTGTCAGAATTCCCTCGACGACGCATCTATTAAAGGGAAAGGAACGCCGCCTCTGAAAACGGTCCTAGGTAGGACAAGCGGGGGGGGGGGGGGGAGCAGCGGGATTCTCCCGGAGATAGAGGGGATTTCTCCTCTATCATCATCACCATCGTCATCATCACCACTACAGTCAAAGACTGAGATCCATAACAGGATACATACAGCTGGTCATCAACACCCTATAATGCCCTGATGTTCAAATGCAAAATAACTTCAATTTTCTAGATCCCAGCTGGCCACTAGCAGGGCATATTTATACTACAGACTTAAGCTGTAGTGTAGCAGTCCTAGTCATTTCCTTTCCTCAGGGAACTCTGGGGATTGTAGTTCTATGAGTGAAGGTTTAGAGATGTCATAGAATTGTAAGTACCCTTCCCCAGACTACGGTTCCCATCCATCATAGTCAAGTTTGTATAAAACTGATACAAATTTGTGGTGTAGAATGGGCTATGAGTAGCATAGGTTGAGGCATGGATTGATAAAGGCAACAGCAACAATAATGGCCATCGGTTATGCAGTTTTCAGTGTCTTGATTTTTTAAAAATTGGGGTCATTTTATCAACAGCCATACGAAGTTGGTAATATATTCTGAACATGATTCAAATAAATATTTGAGTGTTATGTACAAATGCATGTGGCGAACCTGATAGACCTGGTTTCAGTGAGGAAAAAATACTTCTGAAGGGTACGCTTTTTAAAGCAGAGGTGTGGTAGGGGTTAAGGGAGTGCCTAACCCCTTTCAGACTCATCACTTCTCCACTCCACATTGCCCTCCACAGCTGCTTTTCCCTCTGCAGAGGGTACACATTTTATTTATTTTAATGTATTTTAAAGTACATTTATATCGCTTACTATTATTAAGAAAATCTCAAAGCAGTTCACAATGTAAAATATGTTCAGGAATGGGTGGGGTGATGCTGTCACTTACCTGAATGGGACAAGACAGTGGTAAGGTTGAAACACTGCCCCCCTACCGCCACACTTGGCAGTGTTGCTGCTGGGTGACTGGCACCACAGCACTGGTTGCTCCTGCATACATTAAAACTATTCTGAAAAATACAAATATCAGAAAAATACATGATTGTAGAATCTAGCGTTAATTACTGGGAAAACCTTTGGTTAAATGGATGTGGCAGAAGCATGCTGTTGTTAATACCTCTCTGATAACAGGGGAGAAGGCCCATTTCCTTCTTGCCACCTGTGGAGGAAAGGAGGGCAGGGCATTTCCTTACTTAATCTATAATAACAAAACCCACCCCTCATTCCATTGTTGCTCATTCAGTCTCGCTCGCTCACTTTGTCTGAACCCTTAACTTACCAGTACCCCAGTAATGTTGGGGGATAGGCATGTTACAAAGCTAGTCATATACAGATATTACATTTAACAAAGGTACTTTACCTTTATGACCTACAAGATTATAAGGTGCACAAACTTAGCTGGTTACTTCAAAATAGTACTGTAGTATACACTTTGTTGTTACTGTCAGTTTAAATATCAACAGCTTATATCCAACTATAATGTTAAGTGAAGACAGCTTTTAGGAAGCAGTTAGTTACCCTATAAAAATCTTTTGCCAAATTGCCCTTCTGTTCTCTCCACCCAAGTTAATCTCCACCAACACTGTAGTGGAGGACTTTTTCCAATCCTTTTTTCTAACCTGTGTAAGTACTGGTTTGTCTTGCTACACTGCCGTCAGAATCTTCCCTCACTACTCCTGCCAGTCACCAGAGTCCAGCATTTCAAGCTGCTTCTTCCTTCTCCCTTCAGTGCTGCCGGCAGGTTCTCCCCTTTTCTATTCACCCTAAGCCAAATGCTTCCACTGTCCTTCAGCCACCAAGCCGCTCTACCTGCCTCTCAGGTCTTCCTTCCTCTTATCCATCCTCTTCCTCTGGTTTTGTCTCTTCCTTTTGGCTGACTTCACAGACACCATGCACCTCCAGCCGTCTCCGGCCAACTAACTAACCACTGACCAGCAGCCGACCTTATATGCGCTTCTTCTGGCCCTTCCATTCCAGTCCCAGCCAATCACACTGTTTAACTGAAAGTTCTAAACCTGCACCCCCCAATCAACATGTGCATTCAATCCTTTATTTGCATACTGGGAATTCTAATACCAACCTTTCTTCATAGGTGTCAGTTAAGGCCCCGAGCGACAGTTAAACTAACTGCCACACAGAAAATTCCTCACATAAAAAAAAATTACAATGGACGGTGCAATACAAATGTCAGAACACATTGCATTGTAGCCAGTAAAATATAATTCAAATGTAAAACAGGATTTATTCACATGTCCCCTGCCCTTTCTAAATGGAAGAACACCAATATCTAGATTATCTTTAAAGTCCTCTTCAGCTATGATCCAAAACCAGTTAAGCACCCCTGCCTCCTGCTTCCACTGTTGGTGCCAGACCTGTGTTTGTACTAATCTCAGCCAATGTGGCTTTAGGAGCATGTATTTGCCAAGGCCATATGGGCTAACTTCTGCCGTCATTTGTTTGTGTGTCCCCCGCCCATGTCCATGGTTCTGAAGGAGGCTAAAAAGGCTACAGTTCCAGTGAAGGAAGGAAGGCTGGCTGGCTGTCAGGCCTTCGTAACATGCATTTGTAACATGTCCTCAAACTTTGTAGGACAGCAGGTGCTTGGTCGGCTGTCTTAGACTGAACCGGAGAATCACGAATCCTAGAAAAACCTATTCATATTGTCTTCCCTGTGGTGATCAGTGCCAGATTACCAAATAGGCAGAGTAAGCACCATCTTATGGGCCCTACAACAATGGGTCAAAATAATATTGATTTGATGTTGAAAGAAAATTACAACCAAGCTTTCTTAGTTCAAAGTGAGGGCCTCCGCCCCCCCCGAGATTTCGACTGCCTAGGGGCCTCCACAGGGTTTAATCTGGCACTGATTTGGGTTGCTTACCCACCTCTGGAAGACAAGAGAAATGAATGAGGAGCAAATGGCTGGGCCGGACCTATGTCTCTACAGATAGCGGGGGGCTGGTGTGTGATGGTAGGAATTCCTAGTTCAAAAGATTTTGAGAGAGCCTTGCTTTGCCTTTGCAGCCATGCAGGACTGCACACTCCTGACTGGATGACCAGCATGTTTCTAGCAGCTGAAGCATCTCGGCCTGCGCTGTTGTTCTGGTCTCAAGCCCTCTTCTGCCTCCTCTTCTGCGCCCCTTCCGGTTGTTGTACCTCCTGCCCAGACCAGTGCCAGTGCACCAACTACTCGGGGGCCACAGCTGTTCTGTGCAGTGCTAGCAACCTAGATGAAATTCCAAAAGATATTCCCAAGGACACCATGTTTTTGAAACTGGATGCCAATAAGATCACCTCTGTCCCTAACAGCACATTCAGGCACCTCGCCCACTTGCAGGAGATAGACCTCTCCAAAAATGCCATTGAGAAGATTGATTCTGCAGCGTTCAAAGGGGTTGCCGATGGCTTGCGGCTGCTTGACCTCTCTGGCAACCACATCCAGAGGATCCCAAAGGAAGCCCTGGTCAACTTAAATGCCATGATCCGCCTGTCCAATAACCCCTGGCACTGTGAATGTACTCTGCAGGAAGTCTTGTGGGAAGTGAAACTAGACCCCGATTCAGTCAACGAGATCACCTGCCAGACATCTGTGCAAGAGGAGTATGCTGGGAAACCACTGCTCCATATCCTCGATTCGGGCATCAACTTTTGCAACATGCACCAGAAAACCACGGATGTCGCCATGTTTGTTACCATGTTCAGCTGGTTTACTTTAGTCATCAGCTATGTGGTGTACTATGTTCGGCACAACCAAGAGGACACAAAGAAGCACCTGGAATATCTGAAATCCCTGCCTAGCACAAGGGTCCCTAAAGAGACCATCAGCACTATCCTGTAGCCAGGAATGTTGATCCTTGGCTGGACTTCCAGTTTTCTATGTAGGAAAGAACGTTGGGAGGGACTTGGGACATTTATGTCCAACTAGTTCTGCAACAACTTTTTTTTTAACAAAAACAAACCAACAGTTTAATAGAAAATGAAAACTTGTTATATAAATATAGGAAGAGTGTCCAAGCCAAGGTTCCCATGTTCTGTGCCATATTACCAGCAGAAGGATTCCAGCAGAAACTAGAGATAAGGAGATCTGCTTTCTAGGAGAACTTTAGGACAATGGACGGTTGTTGTGAGATGTTTACAATCAGGATTTGATTCTGTGGGAGAGACCCCAAAGCCCTGCAGTGTCTAGAACTCGGTGGCACCGAAAATGCTTTTGATTTCAATGGGAAGTATGTACATGGTTGACCTTTACTTGATTCTTTGGGACACTGCAAACACTCTCTCTCAGGAGTTTTTGGAACGACACAAAGTCCTTTCTCTCAAATTGGTAAATTGTGCAAGCATGCACACGTATAGATTCATGTACATGAGCAGGAATTATGTTTGATGTAAGCGTGCTTGTGTTGCAAAGCTGAAGAGGGTATGTGCTTCCTTTGGGCTTACGTATTACATGGCATTTGGAGTCTGCACCTCTTCACTCTCTGTTAGGTTACTAACCTATTTTCATGGTGACCACTATTAAGATGAGCATTGAAAATAATCAGAGAGGACAATTTTAAGCATATATTATGTAACAAACAAGCCTGAGCAGGCTTCTTCCACAGAAAGGGAGGAAGGAAGCACGTGACCGAAAATGCTTATTTCTAAATATGCCTCTTTCTCATATCGCAAACCCACCACCCTTCCTCAAGGATGGTCCTAAGATGTAGCTGGTGCTGGTATTTAGTAAGGCGGAAAAGTAGGGTATGGATTATATGTAAACTAAACAAAAATTAGGGGGCACATGGCAGTGGCAAGTTGCTACACTCAACAAGTCTTTCCAGCTGACAAAAATTCCTAGGCAATGCAGCTCATTTGCTGAAACAATAAACAGTAAGGAAATAAAATTTCAAGTGGTTCCTCAAACTGTTAAAATAATCTCAGCTGCTGCAGTATTCAAAGCTCCAGTACCCTTTTTAGAAAAATGGGTATAGCTACATGCATGCTTGTTGAGACTATGTTTCTACAGCACACACAATCCAGTTTAATAGTACTCTGGCAATTAACAGCCAAAATAAAAAAGAGGGATAACACAGTGCCAAAAGAACAGGATCTTAGGGTCTCTTTCAGATGATCCCTTTATGCACATTTGCTATTCAGCTGTTGTGCCCATGACTTCCTCAAGGTTGGGTTGCAGGGATATCTCTCAGCCCAACACTCAGAACTGCTATGTCACATTACTGGCGGAACACAAATCATCCTTCTGTTAGCACACACATTGCTACTGGGATGTCCTTGTAGTATGCAGTTGTGTATCACAGACAACTTGTGCCTGTGACATCACTCATGACGCATTACACAAATGCCTGTTTTGTGAACTTTATATTGGGTGGCTGTGTGCTCTTTGGGTTCCATTGCCACCATAGTGGAGTGCTCATCCTGTGCTACTTTAAAAAGGAATGTTTGGACTTCTTCACACATTGCTTTTTCAAAAAAGGTTGGCACTGTCTAAGATTCCCTCACCTGACCATTTGCTCTTTAGTTTCAGGAGCACTGCTACTGCTGCTGCCTATAAAGATTTTTAGAAAGATTAAAAAACAATACAGTCCCTGCCTATAGGGTGCATTTGAAAAAAGGGGATGGGCATAAAACAGCAAATTAAGCACTTTGAGGCACTTTCAGAATTTACACTAATGTTTAATGACCAAGTGGAGTGGCTATTAAGAGAGTGTTCCGGAAATGGAGAAGCCAATTGACAGTTTGTCATAGCCAAGCTGAAGAATGGAGTGGATATATTTTACTGGATTTTATTTGTCTACGGTCATACTTCAGGTTGCGAACGCTGTGGGCTGTGCGTTTTCGGGTTACAGACCAGGCCGAACCCTGTAGTACTGGAACGGGTTACTTCCAGGTTTCAGCGCTCGCGCATGCACAGCAACACAAAATGACGTCACATGCACAGACGCGGCGCTGCGGGTTGCGAACATGCCTTCCGTACAGATCACGTTCGCAATCCGAGGTATGACTGTATTTACTGTATTTTTCTGTGTATAAGACGCCCCCTATTTTGGGGGACTCCAAATTAAGAAAACACCCCTCAGCACTACCCATGTAAAAGATGAGCCCCACTTTTAAACCTAATTTTGTGGTAAAAAACACACACCCTAGTCTTATACACAGAAAAATACAGTAATTTTCTTGCTGAGTGTGACTATCCCCCCCCCCCCCCCCGCAGATACAGTGCTGGAGCACTCCTACTGCACATTTTTAAAGAAGTTGTATATCCTTTAAAAAAGTGATATCCTTTCCCTGACAAGATGATTACCTGCATCCATTATACATAAGGATGACATATTATGCTGTTGATGCTGGATCAGAGCTAATGCAAGCACAATGGATAAAATCTGGTATGTTGTGTGTGTGTGTTTATTGTCTGGAAAACAGTCGTACACATTATGCTGAAGCTTAAATCAGGTGTTGTCAAGCCTAAATCAAGTATCTTTTCAGCAACAATTCTACTCTGTGGGTCCAGGGGCAGGAAGCCAGCCCAGAAAGACACCATTCATCTTATTTCAAGCAGATGAATGTAGGACTTGGTTATAACCGAAAAGGAATAATTAGCAAGTTTTGCTGGGAGGGTTTTGCTCTTTATTTGTGCCTGGTGTGTGTTGGTGTGTGTGTGTGTGTTACCTAGGCAACAGCTACCCACAGCACTGTTTAGCCAAAATGTTTGGACTTCTTCACACATTGCTTTTTCAAAAAAGCTTGGCACTGTCTTAAGACTCCCTCACCTCAAAGGAACTGTCAAAATGTGAAAGTAACAAACAGGTGACATCATCTAGGTCAGAGAACCAGGAGCAGCTTTCTGACTGACTTTAGAGATCACAACTCACCGATAACAGCCCCTGCTCTGAATGCAGAAGGTACAAGATTAAATCTCTGCTACCTCCGGTTAAAAGAATCAGGTAACAGCTGATGGTCAGAAAAACTTCCATGAGACCCTAGACAGCCATTCCCAACTGGAATATTGGTGTATGTCCAGAGTAGCCAGTGGTGTGCCATCCAGATGTGTTGGACTACAACTGCCATCATCCCTGGCCATGATGGCTGAGGGTTAGGGAAGCTGCAACATAGCAACATCTGGAGGGCAGCATGTAGGCTCCCTGTTTTAGATAGATAAAATAGTCTTACATTGTTGCTGGTTAAGTGTACGCTTACTAGTACAGTAAAGTCAGGCTTGCTGCTGTTTGTTTTGCCTGGTATGGGAGGAACAGGGCAAACATTTCCTCAGACTGCTTCACACACACCACATATTTCCTACATGAGGGTTATATTGCCCAAAAGACCTACCTAGAAAATGCTATTACTAAAACCCCCACTAACTGGCTTAGTCCCCTTCATACTGTTAACAGCATCCTTTGCAACATTCTCCTTCATTGCCCCCTCCTGGGCTTGGTAAGGAACACAACCATTTTATTTTTTAGTTTTAGCCTGGGCTGAACATACCAGATTAGTTAAACCTATCTATAAAATCATAGATCAGCACATATATATATTCTTATTTAGGATGAACAAATTAAAAACTGCATTAATTCCAAGAAGCAAGCAATATGTAGGAGAAGGGAATATATAGATGGTGAAAGTGATGTCACATTGACATAAGTGGTCAAGAACATCTCACTAGGAGTTGTGATTGCATAGGATGCTTTGGAATGGGATTCCTTCACTCATTCTTCTTGCACCTTGTAGGCTGCATTATAAGCACATTCCAGACCCTGTAAAAGGTTCTCATCTCTAATCCCCTTTGAGACTTGTCCTAGTGGCCAAAGCCACAATCTGGAGCAGTGAATTCCATAAATTAATCGTGCATTATGCAAAGTAGTAGTAAAAATCAGCAGTCATATTTTATGTTTCGTTACTTCAGTGTGTTTTTGCAAACAAAGCTGAACCTAACTTAGGTAAGTCTGGTAGCCAGGTAATGTGGACCTAGAGAGTTATGGCAACTGGAACTGCATTTGTTCACTTATTTCAGCTAAGATGGGTGTTTGGGTCTACAGTGCTAACAAAAAATAAGCCCTGAAGCAGAACCCCTGAGGTTATCAAAGTCACTCCGTCAATTTTATTGGGTGCTACTTTCAAAATTGCAAATATTCTTTGGATAATAAATAATAATTCCACCTCCCTATAAGAACTGCTATTGTCAATAGTAGCAATTCATACAATATAAACATATCATTTATAGAGAATGATTTGAAATCCTTTGCAATAACAAGAATTAGTTATATTTTGGGGGATTATTCACAGGCTAACATGTAAGCAAAGACTGAGAAAGCACCAATGAAAATGGGGTAGAGCTTACTAGAGAAGTGTCACAGATCCACATGACAAGGTACTAATGGCTTCCCAAATGTCAATAAGCATCATTTTGTGAAATCCACAACAGCTGTTCATAAAGCCTAAACATAACAAGAATACATCTGACTTTCCATTCCTTGTAGTTATGCTGAAAGTGTGGAAGACTAATGTACAGATCACTTTGTAAGGTCAGGGCTTTCACCATAGCCCACTGGTCTGTGCAACTGTTGGCATGACGACGCCCCAAGCCAGTATGGGTTGTGCATCTTCTCTGGTGTGGACTGCAGTACTTTGTATTCAGGGAGTAATTGGGCTTCAGATTTTATCAGCAAGGCCCAGATATTTCCCCTTGAACTCCTAAAATCCAGAGCCATAAATAATTGCCTGAACTGGTTTAATAGCTTTGAAAAAACAACAGCTGGGTCTTTGCTGTAGCACAAAGCTCTCAAGCTACATACAGCGTATCCATATCCTAAGGAATCTTCTTTCTGTTCTTCTGGGATCTTTCTCAGGGATCCAGCAATATCCACAGAGGCTCACAGTGGGTTGGAATATGCCAAAATGGTGCACACTGAAGCTCTTCCCATAAAGTGACATGGCAGTGGAAGCATTCATCTGGAATCTGGAAGGAGTGAACCCAAATGCTTATATTTGTTCCATATTGCTAAATTGAGGGTCAGTAGCCCATAATGTGCTAAAGCCATCTTCTAGTTTCTGTTGCCCACGGGATTGTGGATTATATTAGCAGCTCCTGGAAGTAGGCATGTGTTTGTCTTGCATGGATGGTGTGGGTATGTCAGAGAGAGAGAGAGAAATCAAGGTTACTGTACTCACTAATATCACTGGCCAGCTCCAAGTTATGTATATTCCTAGCTCATTCCAGGTATTGGAAAACAGGTTTGAAATCTAATCCTGAGCAGCCTCATACTCAGCCTAATCCAGAGAGGCAACCTGGGCATCTCTGGCATTCATGGCAGTGACTCTTTGGTACAGCATTCCTGATCCTAGCCCTGAGTAGCCAAAGTAGTTCCTCACAAGTCCAGACTTGCCCACTTGTTTGCAGCAAATCAAAGCACCCCTGTCCAGATCAAAAGGTTTTCAGCTTCAGCACCCTGGATAGTGGTTCTTTTGCACTTGAATACATGAGGTAAGAGCCAGCTGCAGTAGTGAAAGCTTCCCAATCCCTACAGCCAAACGTTGGAAGACGGTGAACAGCTACAAAGCCTTCATATCCTTGCCATCTGCAGTAGAGAGAAAAAGAGTTACTCAATGCTCATGATCACCAACCTCACAGGATCCGTTTTACCCCACTGCCTTCAAACAGCTTTCCCATTCAGATAAAGGTCTAGTGAGGAAATGCGCTCCTTTAACACCAGTTCAAAGAGCCTACCTTATAGATAGCAGACACGCTCCTAACACCCAGTATAACTGTATCATATTTGATATTTGAAGGGGTCACTGGCATTGTGCCGTAAGGCAGCACTTGAAAGCAAGTGTGGGAAACTATTTTCCACCCAGGGGCCACATTCCCTTCTGGGGGACGCATGCGAGTGGTGTAGCAGATGTGTGTCTCTTCCTTCGTACAGTGGATCAAATGTAGATTTACAAAGAAAGCACATCTCCCCAGCCAGCATTCAGGTAAGCAAGAGGTATCGCCACAATTCAATGACACGTCCTGGCCAGGCAAAAGCACTTGAGAAGTGTGTGGAGCACGGTCAGTGAGCTGGTGTGGCTTCGTGAGAGGAGGCATAGGCTGGGATGAAGGGGTGAGCTGGCCCCAAGAGTTAAACAGAGAGGCCCAGAGGGCCATTTTTGGCCCCTAAGCCTAAAGCTCCTCACCTCTGGCTTTCAGAGGTGACTTCTGCATGTAGCCTATTGTACAAACTTATGTGGCTTTCAGAGATTCACATGGTAGTGCTATTGGCTTAGGAAGGGAAATGTACTGTGGGCACAAATTGAGGGTAATAGACTGAGCTGTGGTAGCCAGCAGGGCTACATAGGTGGGGCTACATTGCCTTTTGACTTTCCTACACCATGATTTACTGCCGATTCCTGAGAGGGAGTGGGAGGGGCAGAAGGGAAGAAAAACAGTCCTAACAGTTGTATTAGGGAATGAATTGCATGTGCAGCATCCTCTGTGCACACCCACTCCTGACTGCATATCCCTCCTCTCCAGGACTGCACAATCAAGTCCAGAATCCAATACTGGATGGCTGCTATTGCTTGACAGTATTCAGATATAATTTTAGGGCCATTCACTTCCACTTAAGGTTTCCAATACAATGCACAAGGCCAGTCTTCATAGCAAGTTGTTGCAAGTCATATCCTTTCTCCCAGAGGACATGCATCAGCTATGCTCTCCTTTTTTGGTTGTGTGATCAAAAAGGAAACCTGGTTGGTCTGGCTAGTCCCAGAGGAATGGAGAAGATCAAACATCATGCCTTTTTTTAATGGAAAGAATAAAACCCAGGGAAGTAGAGCTGATTGGTTTGGATTTAATCTCAAGTGGAGGAAACAATAAAAAAACCAGTACATCTGTTACTGAATAGTACAAACGAGTGATCATTAACAGTTCACATGGTTTTATTGAGAACAAATGATGCCAGACTGACCTAGTTTCATTCTTTCATAAAGTAGCTGACTTAATAGAGGAGGTGGATTTTATATCCTCCTGGAAAAGCTTCTGAAATATGTAACAGGTAGCAGAGTGTGTTGCGGGCAGGTAGCATGGGTTCTCAGCAGTCTGGGAAATTGTACTTAAAGGGTAAATATTAACTAATCAACAGTTGTATCCAGTGACGAGCTCCTGGGATAGTTCCTGGATCTGGTGTTTCAATATATTGAGGGCTAGTGCACACGTGTATACCCTTTAATTATTCCAAGTAGAATGTGAGAGAAGAGTGAATTTTGTTTTATGTGACCCAAGCAGGTGAAAAGAAAATTCTGCCTGTGATATTTGATCCATGGTATTTACATATGCATATCCATTTGCACCAAGTTCTTAAAGAAATGGGAGTGCCTGATCACCTCATCTGTCTCCTGAGAAATCTCTATGTGGGACAAGAAGCTACAGTTAGAACTGGATATGGAACAACTGATTGGTTCAAAATTGGGAAAGGAGTACGCCAAGGCTGTATATTGTCTCCCTGCTTATTTAACTTATATGCAGAATTCATCATGCGAAAGGCTGGGCTGGATGAATCCCAAGCTGGAATTAAGATTGCCGGAAGAAATATCAACAACCTCAGATATGCAGATGACACAACCTTGATGGCAGAAAGTGAGGAGGAATTAAAGAACCTTTCAATGAGGGTGAAAGAGGAGAGCGCAAAATATGGTCTGAAGCTCAACATCAAAAAACGAAGATCATGGCCACTGGGCCCATCACCTCCTGGCAAATAGAAGGGGAAGAAATGGAGGCAGTGAAAGATTTTACTTTCTTGGGCTCCATGATCACTGCAGATGGTGACAGCAGTCACGAAATTAAAAGGCGGCTGCTCCTTGGGAGAAAGGCGATGGCAAACCTAGACAGCATCTTAAAAAGCAGAGACATCACCTTGCCAACAAAGGTCCGTATAGTGAAAGCCATGGTTTTCCCAGTAGTGATGTATGGAAGTGAAAGCTGGACCATCAAGAAGGCTGATCGCCGAAGAATTGATGCTTTTGAATTATGGTGCTGGAGGAGACTCTTGAGAGTCCCATGGACTGCAAGAAGATCAAATGCATCCATTCTTAAGGAAATCAGCCCTGAGTGCTCAATGGAAGGACAGATCATGAAGCTGAGGCTCCAATACTTTGGCCACCTCATGAGAAGAGAAGACTCCTGGAAAAGACCCTGATGTTGGGAAAGATTGAGGGCACTAGGAGAAGGGGACGACAGAGGACGAGATGGTTGGACAGTGTTCTCGAAGCTACGAACATGAGTCTGACCAAGCTGCTGACCAAGCGGGAGGCAGTGGAAGACAGGAGTGCCTGGCGTGCTCTGGTCCATGGGGTCACGAAGAGTCGGACACGACTAAACAACTAAACAAAATCCATTTGCACCCAGACCCTTACAATAACACGACCCTACAGGTTGAGATCAGATTGATTTTCCTTCCTATATTAGTTACCATCATAAGGTGACGCTGTGGTCTAAACCACTGAGCCTCTTGGAAGGTCGGCAGTTTGAACCCTCAACAGGGTGAGCTCCCATTGCTCTGTCCCAGCTCCTGCCAACCTAGCAGTTCAAAAGCATGCCAGTGCAAGTAGATAAATAGGTACCGCTGTGGCAGGAAGGTAAACGGCCTTTCCATGTGCTCTGGCACTTGTCAAGGTCCTCTGTGCGCCAGTAGTAGTTTAGTCATGCTGGCCACATGACCTGGAAAACTGTCTGTGGACAAACACCGGCTCCCTCGGCCTGAAAGCGAGATGAGTGCTGCAACCCCATAGTTGCCTTTGACTGGACTTAACTGTCCAGGGATCCTTTACCTTTACCTACCTTTTTTACCAGTTCCACTTTCATTCACTATGAAAATAATCAAGTAGGACTCAAGCTATGACACTTCGGGGGTTGTGCACCTACTTACCTGTAAATAATGCTGTTTACAGCAAAGGTCACACCATCAAATGAATTTGCTACCACCAAAAAGTTATCTTCTCCAACTGAAAAGAACTCCCAATCCACAGCACTGCAGCAGAAACCAACCAAACAAGAATAGATTACAACAATGGCATAACTACCTGGGAAAACATCCTCTTACCATTTACTATTTAGAATACATTTTTTAAATCATTTCCCCAAATCAGACTCTTTTAAGAGAAGTGAGCATTTTCATCTTTCTATGATACACTGACCACCTAGATCAATTTAAGAACACATTTTAGACGGCAGTCTTACAATTTTTTAAAAAAAGAATCAAAACATTCTGGTAGACCGAAACACATTCCATTATTAAAATGACACAATGCTGGTGTTTTCAGCAATACATAAAAGGGGTCACCTGTAGGTAAGAATGTCCTGGAACTTGACAAACATCTGTGCAGTGATGTTAAGCTCGTAGATGGAAGAATTGATGGCAAAGCTGTTGTTTGGGGCAACAATTGTACTGTCATAGCTGTTCGCCAGAGCGAGGAAGACCCTGTCTTGGATCTGGAAGACTTCCCAATCAGCAGCACCAAAAGTCTAGACCAAAAGAGAAGGCGTGAAGAAAAGCTTTTCAGAAAATGAGCAGCAACTGCAGAAGAATGCATCCAACACAATACATGGAGGAGAATAATCCAGACCTCAACTTCCCCTCCGGGAAGCCATTCAGCATATGCACATCAGTTCCATTAAAGCAGGGGTGGGAAACCTCAGGCTTGGGGGCCAAATTCAGCCCTGTAGGCCACTCTGTCTAGGCCTTAAGGTGCTATCTAGGCTGTTCACCCTCTCCAGGCCATGCCCCACTCTGGCCTTGCTCCATCCCATCCTTGAGAGTTTTTGCCTTGCTAGAATATGTCCTTGAATTGTGTCTGGATGGAGAGATGTATGTAGAACATCTCATGTACATGGACTGTGCAAAGGCAAGAACCACACTGTTGCTCCACCTACTTTTTGCCTGTGGCCACACCCACCACTGGTATGTGGCCCCCAGAAGCTGACCCGTGAGTGAATGTGGCCCTTAGGCTGAAAAAGGTTCCCCATTCCTGCATTAAGGGCTTCTACATATAGTATGATTTTTATTAACACCACTGTCATAACCTTTTGGTGGCAAGCAGTGCAGACATCATCCTTTCAAGCTGGACTTTGAACGCTGATTTTGCCAGTAATTGAATGACAAACCACAATTGCTTGCATACCCGATTCTTCTCTCTCTTAATAAAGGCTGAGGGTAGTGTGTGTAAGCCTGAGATGGGAAACTTGCAGCTTTCCAACTGGACTCCAACTGGACTCCTACCAGCCCCAGCCATGAAGCTATGAAGAGACAAAGGCTACTCATCCCTGGTGTAAGGTGATTGGGATACTGCCACAGGCACTTATTGCCCAGTTCCTGTGACCTCTGCTCATGAAAATAAAAGAAAACTCCAACCGCCAATCTATCCACCAAATGCCCAAGCCATTTTGGAAGCATTTTTTGCTTGGGTTTCCCCCCACCCCCCATTTTTGGTGTGTTTTTTAAAAGGTGAATGCTTTTCTTCTTTTCCATATTAGTGCTCATATCACCTTTTAAAAAGGAAAATTCTACCAAAATTAAAATGGGCTACCCTCTTCCCCTGCCACTCTCATTCAAAAACCATTTCTTTCTTCCTGCTCTAGGAATGACGTTTCTCCCCTGCAGCCTGGCGTACAAGAGGGTTTGAGTAGCCACGTAACTCTTGCAGAAGCAGATCTAGCAGTTAGTTAGCAATGAGAAGGAAGGTCTGGTGTGGGTCCCAATTTTAGAAAGCTTTCCAGATATGTCAGCCTGTTCACTCACTTGGTTTTTACTTGGAAACCCCCTGGTGTTCACAATTATGAAGAATGCAAAACCACGTTCCATTCTGCTTCCTGCACAGCTGGGTTCCATTGGAAATATTGCTAGCAGAATGTCTGGCAAATGCTTCTTCCTGCTCTCTTATTTCATGCATGACATTCCCTTGCACTAGGATATTATCTTAGTAGCAGCCCTACTAGGGACAAATGTAACACAGTCCTCTGCTCTTAACTAGTACCACAATTTCCAGAGCTGTGTTAAATGGTGCATGCAAACCCACCCATTTTCTAACATAGCTCACGTGAAATAGGGTTGCCTTTGCTGAACATCTACATTGATCTGAGGGTGGTCTCAACAACGCAATGGTCTTTCCTCCATTGCAATACTTTGTAGGCTGTAGCTCAGTGGAAGAGCATTTTCTTTGCCTGAAGAAAGTGTCTGGCTCAACCCCTGGCAGATTCAGGTAAGAATGGGAAAAGCTTCCTCTCTGAAATCCTGGAAAGCTGATGCTAAAAGCACTGAGCTAAATGGACCAAAGGTCTGGCTCAGTGTAGAGCAGTTTTCTATGTATGTATGAAGGAATGTAGCCAGAAAATATTGTGCCAAAGCTGAAAATCCATGTAGGTTCTTCAAAGTTCCTTGAGACTGGAACTTGACTGCATTCACACAGCAGTTTATTCCATTTCCCTAACTGTTAATTTGAGCTTTCACATGGCATTAAAAGCAAGCCCTTCAGGAAATCTACAGTGCAAGTATAGCACCCATCTCCATGTAATTTGCTTCCAGGAAAAAAAAAACACTGCTTGCAAATAACATGGAAACGATCTATGAACTTGCTCTATGTTCCTGGAAGTGGCTTTTTCATTGTGTGGAAGTTCAAATATAATGCAGAAATGAACAATTAGGGTAATGGGAAATGGAATAAACTGCTGTATGGATGCAGATTTAAGAGTCCCAGAGGCAGCTTGCTTGCCAGAAAAATCCATGTGCATTTTTTATCCCAGTGAAGCATTTTCCAATAGCTTTCCATCACAAGGAATGATTCCTAAAGCATTATTCCATGAATGATTTTTGTTGGCTTCAGAGAAGGAACTGTATCAGCCCCTCCTGTATCTTGCTGCTCCCCACTTGCCTGAGCCTCTGGCCCAAGCGCTGCCATTTTTTTGTGAGGCTCAGCAGTGGTGACCTCAATTGCCTCATGGAAAGAGGAAGGTGAGGCCAAAAGTGTCTCTCTCCGGGCCAGCGGAATGAGCACTGCAGAATGGCAAGACCAAGAACAGCTGTGACATTGCCATGGCAACCAGAATGCTCTCCACCACAGCTGCCATCTCCAGCTGGGAAGCTGGCCTGGTTGCCACGGTGACTGAGATGTGCCTCAGTAGTAACACAGGAGCAGAGGGACTTGTGGGAAGGAACTGCGCATGACGAAGCATGGAGGCCCAAAGGGAGCAGGCGCCAGGAAGGAGATCCATGTGATTCCTGAGACCACGGGCAGCAGGTGGGGAACAGGGAAGTAGCAACTCCCTTCATCTGAACTGAAGTGGCCTGAGGGTGAGCTCACCCTGACATCAGGACGGGCAGCATGCCCTATCTTGCTACTTTATTGCCTGCCTTAGAAAACCTGCTCTTTTTTGCCTTCAAACACTTTAGCAAACTCATTCAGGCAACAGCTGCTGACTGGGGTGGCTCATAAGTCCCAGCAGATGGCTAGCCAAGCTCAGGATGGGACAGAGAAAAACCCATTACATTTGAAGAAGTAAAAAAATGCCAACTTTTCAATGTCGGAGACTTCAGTTCCTATCAGCTCCAGCCATTATGGTAGTTACAGTCCAAAACATCTGGAGGGCATCAGGTTGCGGGGGAGGGGGAGGGGGAGGGGGAGGAGCTGAATTCAAGCATGATTTTATTTGCCATTTACCCGTCCCCCAATGAACTTAATCTCTAATGTTACAGATTCCAACAGAACTTAAAAACACACACAGCTGTAACTGTGCATATTAACATATGCTAATATGACCAATTAGCATACTCAGTGATGCTGCTGATCAGCACTAAGGGAAAAATAAATCAAGGAAGGATGACCCCACACTTTTATTTTGCAGTCCCATTAAAACAAGTAACACAAAAGTTGGTATATGGTGACTCAAGACAACCTGCACTATGAGGGGGATACAGACAATAGATTGCACAATGCACATCTATACTTGCATCCCCCTGATCTGCAGTCACATCTGCATGTACAGTTTTCATTACCTGTGTGCAACAGACTTCAGTACTGACATATATGAATGGAAGGGAAATCTTTGGCTATGTCATTTTGGTGGCAGTGGCAGCATTCAGTGCAGCTTCATGAATACAGAACTGTGTATAAAAATCAGCACACTCACCTACCCTATGCTTATATAGGGTATATCCACTGTGGTGTTCAGAGCAAAATACATTGCCCAAGCAATCAAACAATTACATTGGTTTTTCCTACTCAATATCTTACCAGTATTGACTGGAAGAGCTGGAAGGCTCCACTGAGCCAAATGTAGATGTGAGAGTTGATTGTGGTGGATGTTCCATTAAATGTGTTGGCCACCACGAGGAAGGAATAAGGCCCAATGCTGAAAAATTCCCAGTCGTAGGCTCCTGAGGTAGGAATGGTCTGGTTGGTTTCAAAAAGGCCTGTCCTGGCGTTCCACCTGTATATGACACTGTCTATATTGTGGTTATTCCCTAAGGAAGAAAAAAATGTCAGACGTCAAGGACTGACCTCAAGGTTTTAATCTGAAAAGGAGAGTCAAATGAGAGGGTTCTTGTTGTTGTTGCTGTTGACAAGCTGAAGGAAATGACTGTCTCATTTTTGACCAGATAAAGAACCAAAAAGGGAGCTAATAATTCAATTCACCTGAAAAGATTTCAAAAGACAATGGAATTTTTGCATGGGATGGAATGTATAGGATTCCATAAATAAGCCTACATGGGGCTGGGGGGGGGGGTCATATGCTCCACATCCCCTCTGATGTAAGCTTCTCCCTCCTCCATAATAAAAAATATAGTAATGACACCTCAGATCAGCTACCTGAGGCCTGCCTAATGGCAAGGCTGGACTTGGAAGAGAGTAAGGCATTACACAAATGAGGAATAAAGAATTTGGTCAGCTAAGCATTAGATTTTAATCACAACCACTACCACCATTTTCCTTTTTGCAAAAGCAAGTGAGGGACCCAGTACAAATAGGACTGATTTAATAGCATTTACTTCCATATTGTCCCTGTTTACTTCATTCTAAGGCCGAAACTATATATTTTAATTTTTCTTCCCACACAACACATTTTAGAAAAACAGTTCTTTCCATGGATTATGTTAACAGACTCCACTGGGTGGCAGCATATGGTCATTTCATGGGCACTCCAAATGATTTTGGATCCCAAAAAGCTTCCAGGAGATTCCACTTTACAGTGGTACCTCGGGTTAAGTACTTAATTCGTTCCGGAGGTCCGTTCTTAACCTGAAACTGTTCTTAACCTGAAGCACCACTTTAGCTAATGGGGCCTCCTGCTGCCACTGTGCCGCCGGAGCACGATTTCTGTTCTCATCCTGAAGCAAAGTTCTTAACCCATGGTACTATTTCTGGGTTAGCGGAGCCTGTAACCTGAAGCGTATGTAACCTTAAGCGTATGTAACCCGAGGTACCACTGTAGTTTGGAGACCAGGCTTGCAAGCCATGCTAAGCCCAGGGCAATCATGTGAGTGTGCAGCCTCTGAGAGAGGTGGTTGTGATTTCTGTGCTCCTTCTCAATTGTTCTGCTGCTGCTGCACTGAGCTAAATGAAGCTCTAGTTGCCTTGATGTATTGGGCAAACCCAAGCCTGTGGCTTAGCTATGTTCAGGCTTTGGCTTTTTGGCTCATAGTTTGTGAAGTGCAAACCATGCCAAGTGACAAACCATTCTGATGGTTTGGAGGAATGTTGCAGAATTTTAACCTAGATGCCTGAAATCTAAACTACCAGCCACGTTTTCAACCAAGGTTTCGCATACTGTTTGTGGGAAACTAAGAATCAGTTGTTTGTTCTCAGGGGCTGGGCTGAGGACCCAGGCACAGCACCAGAGTCTGGCCTTGTGGGGGACCTGATAAGGCCCACACTCTAGCAGGGGACCCATTTCCCTGCTGAAAATACCTCACAAAGTTGCTATTCATTACTGTGCAATTTTAAGCGTGGGGACAGAAACCACAAGCAGATGATTTTCAGCAGGAAAACAACATGGGGGAAATGGTTAAAAATAAATAAATGACAACGACAATGACATCCTGCCATGTTGCAATCTCACTCTGGATTGAGGACTCCCAGGGTTGCTTTCATAAATCCAGGTTTTTAAAATCTCTCTCTTAACACTGCATAGGCCCTGACACACCAAGAAAGCATCCATTTGTTTCTAGGGTCTAAATATGTATAACCACATACTATAAACACAGTACAGATGCAAATATGAAAAAGCTGGTGCAAAATGAAGCAGACACCCACTGTTTAAAAATGGTTTTAGCCAATAGGAATTATTAATTTAAAGAGGACACAGAGCTTTTGGAAGTGAATTGCTGAGCAGCCTCTGAACCCTGACAGGTGGGGGCGAAAGAGGAGTGCAACTCGTTATTTCCCTGTTATAGACCCTACAAAAACTCTTGATTAACACCACAAGGGAAGGCTGCAGTCAGTTGGACTGCTGATTGCAGTAGCTACAGTGACAGCAGCTTTAACAATCCCTTGCAATATCTCTCTTTGTTGAAGAGTCACTTTTGGCGGAAGAGTCTCCTAAGAACACAAACCTGGATGAATGAGACCAGGATCCACCTAATCCAGTATCCTGCTTTCCACAGTGGTCAACCAGATGCCTCCATGCAGTAGCTCTCCCCCGAGGAACAGGGGTTTAGTGGAGACTGGCAGACCTATCCCTATACACATTCATTTAATCCCCTTGGAAAGTCATCTAAGATACAGTCATACCTTGGGTTACAGCCGCTTCAGGTTGCATTTTTTCGAGTTACGGACCGCTGAAACCCGGAAGTACTGGAACGGGTTACTTCCGGGTTTTGGCGGTTGCACATGCACAGAAGCGCTAAATCGTGCTTTGCACATGTGCAGAAGCGCTAAATCGCAACCCACACGTGCACAGACACACAGATGCGGGTTGCGAATGCTGTGGGTTGCAAATATGCATCCCGCACGGATCACGTTTGCAACCCCAGCATCCACTGTACTTGTCCTCTGTGTCTTGCAAGCAGGGCATAGACTAGATAGATAGATAGATTAAATTAATCAAGGGCAGCTTTTCCCTCATCATGACATTTCCATGCCAAAAGTTGCACCTGTTGACTTGATGCATGCCACACAGCTGTTAAGAGGAACAGAACATATGTAAGGAAAGCAGGTGCACTCCAGGTGGTTCTGGTTGTCCAATGGCAAAGGGAAGGGATTTTGCACATGCCAATTGGTGTCACTGTACATTGGCAACTAGATACCTTTTCTATGATTAGCCACTGCGAGGAAGGCCTCTCCATCAATGACGAATGCCTCCCAGTCTCGAGCACTGTATGTGTTGATCCTCTGGTACACAGTGAATTTCTCCTTTCTGTAGTTCCACTTGTAAATCACAGAAAACTCTTGACCCCTTTCATTTGCTTCAAAATTTGCCACTGCAAGGAAAATCTTAAAAACAAGAGGCTACAACAGCTCAGTCTCTCTTCTTGCACAGAACAATCCATATATTCTGCGTGAAATTGTTACTAAGGTTACTGAGTTGTCCCACCCTCCATATTTTCCCAGTCTGGCCCCATCGGATTTCTTTCTTTTTCCAAAACTGAAATCTGCACTGAAAGGGCACAGATTTTCCAACATTTCATACATCCAAGCTGCTGTGACGGCAGAACTGAAAGCAGTACGAAAAGAGGACTTTTCCAGAAGTTTCCAACAGTTCTACGAACGTTGTCAATGGTGCATTATATCAGAGGGGGCCTACTTTGAAGGCCTGTAAGCACAACAGGTTCTTTTCCAGAGAGGAAAAACTCTCAAAATGCGAAAATATGCTATCCTTCCCCCCACCCCACCCCAAACCACACATACTTTATTTGGAATATTTATTGGGCACACTCCATAAAATGCTCTCAGAATTTCCTATAATAAAATAGTGAAACCGCTACAGAAGCCATATTTCATAAATAGCAATAGAGCAAGACACAGCAGTGCAATGAAAGTCAGCTTTGAAAAGCTCTTGCACTTTGCCACCAAACATCTCTGGTATGAGATTCTTGGTCTGCTAAAGTCTTCTAGCACAGCCTGCTCCAAATCTCTTCTTCTAGAGCAAATGTGGAGAATTTATTCTGGCCAGAGGGCTGGAACTCTTCCCCACCCTGGCAAGCCAAAGTTGACAGGTGGGCAGGGCTGCCCACCTGCCCAACACCTGACATACTGATGTCATATGATGTTTCCCTTTGAAGTAGCATGAAGGTTTGAAGAAGCACGGGGGGGGGGGCACATTCGAAAGCCTTGATCAAGGCACATGCTGACCATTTATCAGCTGATGGGCGGGTAGGAGGGCGCTTTCAAACACAGCCCCCTCCATGCTTCAAACTGCAGAGTTCTGAAGGAAAAGCTCAAGCGGGAGTTGAAACTGATGGGTGGACAGGAATACACCTTTCTCAATCAAAGGAATTCCTACCCTTGCTGGCCAAATGGTAAGGAGTTCCCCCCATCCCTGTTCTAGATAAATAAGAACACCAGTATGGAGGTGTGGAGGAATTATATCTATATCCATTTCAATCTATATCTGTATATTTATTTGTGTTTGAAGGGGGAAATGTGTTGTGACCTTCATCAAAGTGCCTTGATTTGTCATAGTGTTGCAAGCCTACATAGTAGTAGTTCTTGAGGACAGGTTATGACAGAGGAGAGAGAGAGAGATAATTATCACTTTAATTTAATCCGATTGGTCTGGATAACAGTAGATTCTTAATGGCTTAAGGTTCCAATTCAGTTGGGAGTTGACTGTCAGATGGGGGTTAATTGCCAGTTAAGAAACTGGTAAGGGAGGTGTGACAAAAAGACCAGAGAGAAAAGCTGATGGGAATAGTGGAGTATCCAGTAATACTGAAAATTAACTTACAATTTACCTTTTTTCCGATAGTAAAGAATTTCCAGGACTGGGCTTGGTAAGTGGGGATATTTTGGTATGCCACAAATTTCTCATCCGTCCATTTGTAGATGGCTGACCCTGGAGGAGTGTACCGATTAGCAGTAGCTGCAAAGAGTCCCACGTCAGGGATGACAAAGACCTCAATGCCCATGGTTTCAGAATTTGTAGCTAAACTCTGGTATTCTTCCAGATAGTCCAGTCTTTCTTCAACTATGAAATCAAATGGCATTAATAAGGGGATTCTGTAGGCAGAATGATCCAGCAGAATTAGCATTCCTGAAATTTATCTTCTTCTCCCTGCCCCTTCTGTGACCCTCTTCCTTGGGCCTCCTATCTGCCCTGAATTCCCCTCTCATTCCTTCTGGTTTCCCTTACCCCTGATCCTATTCAAACTTACCTTTCACATTTAGATCTAGCTTCTCTGCTCAGATGCCTATAAGCCAGTTTAAACATGGTGCCTGAGCCCCTCTCAGCATGTTTGCACTTCTGTCTCATTGACATCTATACTGCCTTGGTCGTGTACACACAATAGAAGATGACAGGATCCCCAAGGAGCTGGCTTCAGGCACCAGGCCTGCTGGCTGACCAACCCTGCGTTACAAAGATGTCTGGAAATATGACATGAAGGCTGGCAACATTAACTCGGCCATGCAAGAATCCCTTACGGATGACCACAGCACCTGGAGACAGGCACTCAGGTTATGCAACCACAAAAGTGACCAGAAGAGGAATGACTGCTTGCAGGAGCGCAGAAAGAAGAAATGCCATGGTACACCTGCACCAGCACAATCAAACACCCTCGTCTGCCCCAGCTGCAACAAAACATGTCTTTCCCATATTGGTCTTTACTGCCACAGCCGGTGCTGTAATTCCCCAAAGGTTTGACTTCACCCCGCAAAGGCACACTCCTGCATTGTCTCCCGAGACAGACGGAGGCCAACCAATTCATTATTTATTGTTTGTAAGCTGATTTGAGATTCATTTGAATGAAAAGCGGAACACAAATACAACCAATCAATCGGTACCCAGAAAGGCTTACCTTCTAGCAAGGAAATCCATTTATCCCCGTTGCATATAAATAGCCCTTTCTGAGCAGCATTAAACCAGAACTGACCACTTTCACTTTTGGTACAGGGAGGGCGAGACCCCAAAGTCACTTTCATGTCTGCTTCTGAATGATAACAGTGAAAAAAAAACCCAAGCAAATTAGCAGCAAATAAATACTTGCTCTGGCACCACGAGAAATGCAATTATAGATATCAATACGCAACTGCACTGGATTATGTGAGATAATGCTTGGCTACAAACATGTTTTTCTCTGTGTTCATTTGCCACTGGACAAGTATGGTCTTTGATTTTTAAGGGGGGGGGGATTCGAGAATGAGTTATAAACAGTGGATGGCCTTTTAGGCTTCCTCCACGTGAATAGTTCACTTTTTGAATAATAAAAATTATATGTTATGGGGGGAGGTGGCATCAGGATTTTAGAGATGCTTAGGTGGGGCATGGCCAAAAAAAGGTTGGGAACCACTGGTCTAGTGGATGAAGTCACCAAATAAGCCATGGTAAAGGCAGGCTGCTGGGTTCACACATAACACCAAGCTATAGTTTAAAAAACCAAGATTCATAAGCAAAACAACAAACCATCACTTCAGATTGTGGTTTTGTTGGCAATAAACAAGCCATGGTGGTGTGTGATAACAACCAAATCTTCTGCAAAGGAACAGTTCATCTAGAAGCACTCCGGGTATAATGTTTTATTACACCATAAACTAAGCAATGACAGTTGACTTAATTAGGAGCTTGCGCTGTGGAACTGTTGTTGAACCCCTTGGGAATTTTCCTATAGAATCCCACAGTCCCATTTTGTCCCTCGTAGCTCTTTAACATCTTTACATAAAACCACTTGGAGAATTCATCTGAGGATTCAGAATTAAATGTCACCAGTGGGCTGATAACACTCAATTATATCTCTTTGGCAACCTTGACCACTGGCCATGGTGGCTGAGGCAGACGGGAATCATAATCTTCTACAATGTATACAATTTCTTCTCCCGTATATACACACTACTGGATGGTAAGATTTGCAGGAGAGGCTCTGCTCCGAGTCTTGCCAGCCTCTGAAGTCCGGCAGGGCCTTCTCTGTGGCGACACCTTTCCACTAGTAAACAGCAAAGCAGACATATGTTGCCGTCATCAAAATATAAGCAAGAAACATTGTTTTGCATTTGATAACAGAAACACTGTACAATGTTTTTGTTTATTAACGGCATTTGTCCTAAGATACAAAGCTTTCTGGGCAGCTTAAAGCAATATATTATGTATATCAGTGAAAAGGTCTGCAAGGAAGAAAGGTTCATTAACTACAAGGAATCAATCCCACAATTTTATTGAAGGGGGAAACGAAACAGAATAGTATTACTGGTATATGACAAAAGTGAAACGTACCCTTCTGCTGCTGCAAGTCAATCAGCCCAGATCTGCTCTAACTCCAGGCTCTCTCTCTCTGCACTTGGAAGGGTAACCAGCTTGTTCTCCTCTATAGTTTCCTAATGCAAGTTGTTGGAAGCACCTCAAAACCTATTTTGTTTGTTTTACTGACCGTAAGGGTATTTCAGCAGCCCATTGCCCGCTGGTTTCACGGGGAGATCCTGCAGAATTTTAGGGATGGAGAGCACTGCTAGATTAAAGTTCATGCCAGTGCACATCCTTGAGGTAGCATCAGATCCTGGCAACAGGACCAGCTGCCTTAGCAAGCCCTGAAAAGAGAGGAAGACAGACTAGGGAATGAAATCAATCAGGGTTGTTGGAAGACCGTGGTTGGTATGCTTACAACATTGATTTTCTTTCTTTCTTTCTTTGTTCAGTTGATGACGGGGCTTAAGCCCATTTGAAAAATCATGGGCCCCTATTTTCATATGTGTGGGGAGCAATTGTGACTCATCAGTGACGGGGGGGGGGGGAAACTACCTTTCAGGTGCTCAGGGGCAGCCTCTTCATATTGCTCTATGTGTTAGTGGGCTATTGAATCTGCCATTGAACATTGATTCCAGGGCTGAGCTCAGAGGTTCCAAAGAGTCTCTGCTCAAAATAACTCCTGTGCTGCTGGCCTTTATTTTTTATGCAATCACAGGAGCAACTTCTCACCAATGTGTACATGATGGGTGAACAAGTATGGTATATGAGCAATAATTCTTTGACTAATCTGTTCTTTTACTATCCACATTAACGTTGAGGGTAATAGGGAACACAAGAGAAATTATGACACTTTCATGTTATGTTGACCTTGTTGAAAGTGTACGGCTGAATTATACACCACAGTGTAGATGCAGATCAAAGCAACATTTCATGCACAAACATACTTGGTCTTCCTGGAATGCTGGATATTAAGGAGCACTTGCCTTTCAAACAACAGTATACTACTCCATGTTAACATTGGTTTGTTATAAAACACTTCTGCAATGGTTACCCTGCCACTTTGATAGGGATTAAACTGTTACTGAAGCTAATGTGGAAATAAGCTTCTACTGGTGGAGGAAAACCCACACCCTGTAATCTAAGAAAACTTACTATTCCATATTTTCTTGAACTAAGGATCTAGCTATACATTATTTAACATAGGTATGTAACAAAAACGTGCTGGGTTGGCTGCTTGTCTGAGGAGGGAGATTAGGAAAAAAGCACGCATGTGCAGTAGTTGTAAGAGTGTGGTGAGTATTTTCCTTCACTTCCAATAGGTTTCACTTCAAATAAGGGAATGACTATTCAACCAGTCCGTGGAGTATAATGTCCTCAGGGGCACATTTAGAAGCAGTGAGCTGGCAGAAACAGAGGTGCTAGGAGTGGGGGCTGATCCACTTGGGCAAATGGGACACTGTCCCACCAGCCTCAATCTGCATTCAGCCAGCCCCCACCTGCCCTGTCTTCTTTCTTACTACTAGTCCTGGAGGTGGCTCTGGCTGCCAAGTTCCTCCTCTTCCTCCTCAGAGCTGCCCCCTTTGGAACTCAGCAGGGAGAAGAGCTAGCTCTGCCTATCAGTGGCTCTGGCTCTATCTACTGTTGGCCGCTATGACTTCTGAGTCTTCCTGAGAAGTGAGAATGTGAAATCTAATTCAGAAAGGGGAGCAAGAGACAAAATTCCCTGGACTTACAGATGGTGTCCCTGCATGCTACGCGTCTAGCACCTAATTTGCCTAGAACAGGTGTGGGGAACCTCTGAACCTCCAGATGTTGCTGAACTCCCATAATCCTTTGTCATTGAACACAATGGCTGGGTTGACAGCTGTAGTTCAGCAGCATGCGGAAGCCCAAAGGATTCCCACACCTGGTCTAGAATTAATGTTTTCCCTATGCCTCTCATTCATCTATAAGTCTTTTGGGACAGTAACTGGATCCCTTTTATGGCTTTCCTGCACTAGTTTCTCTCTCTAAATGTACTCTCAGCATCTCAGAAACAATTTGCCAGACCCCCCATCTTCCAATTATCCCCTTAGAGCCAGTTCTAGCACTCCCCCAATACACCTCTTTCAGCCACCCATCCTGAGCACACACCCTCACCCTCGGTGCAAATAGTTTGGCTTTTCACTCTCTTTAAGTTTGAGATGTACGCTTCAGGCTGTTTTGTCATAATCTGAATTTAATAAATCATTTGTTAGTGCGAGATGAAGATCAGCATAAATCACTTCAGCTAATGTCTTCTTCATTTCCTGCTTGTTCTACCTGATCTTGCAAAGACTCTTTTGGACTACAATGGAAAGCATTTCAAGAAAACATTATTTTTTAAAAAAATGAACGATTGTTGACCTTTAACCATCGCAAAACATTAAGAAAGGGATAGGTGGTTTTGTCGCAAAGATGCACTCAGAAACAAATCACGTTTTCTGGGATGCAAAAGTGTGGAAGTTTTGGCAGTCAAACCTAACAATGCTAGTATCTATGCTAGTTAGTAAATGAAGGGGTTAAGGACCACAGAGCTGTAAATTCCTAGAGAAGGCACACTCACAATGACTTGTTACATTTGTGTGTGTGGATTCACAGTGCTCTGAGCCTCGTTTCGATATACTGTGTCCGTTCTGTAGGTTTTGTAACTTGAACCAACCAAATGGAACACATCTCATAGCCAAAAAACCCTCCTTAATGCAGGAAAACCAGAGCATTCCCAACAGCCCCTGCTTGAAAACCTCCTGGGATAGTTAACCACCCCTCTAGGTATCTCTCCAGTTTTTAAACTAATGTGGCTGATAGGCCATTTTCAGGCACAATTCAAAGTGGTGATGCTTCCCTTTTAAACCCCTAAATAGTCTGGGGCCCAGATATCTGGAAAATGGTTTTCTTTTATATGAACCTGTATGATTGCTAAGGTGATAATTGGAGGCCCCTGCTTAAAATTAGGGATGGCCAAATACATCAATTTCATTATCTCATTTGTCCAGTTTTAAGTTCAGTTCTCCATATTTCTACATCAGCTTGTGATTATTACTTTCTAAAGTCGTCCTGAAAACATAGCAGCATTTTAGTGCAAATTTCTCCTAAATACACATTTTGTATGCAGTTTTGCCTAATATACACATTTTTGCAAAGCATTTTCACCTATGCATTTTTGTATGCTACTGAAATATGAATTTATATGCACAATTTGCCCTGGTATGTGCATTTTTGTACATATTACTTGCCTGGAGAACTGCGCTGCAAAATCTGGAGAAGTGTGAATTAGGTAATTCTACATTTAAATGCAAGCTGAATCAAATTTCTCTCCCATCCCTACTTAAAAATCCCTCTGCCTTCTGAAATGAGGTTGGTGATGACAGAAGAAAGAGGTCCCACCCCTTTCCCTGGTCCTTCTGGCAGCCCACACATCGTATGTTCTCCCCAGAGAGACTTGCCTGGTACTGAATTTGATATCCTTCCCGCAGCAGACATTTTTATTTAGTCAGCCTTTCCAACATGGCTGCAGGTTTTAATCCAATAAATTTTATTGGTTGCTGCTAGTTTTTATTACTCTCTTTAGGTTTTTTACAGTTCCATCATTGTTAAGTGATATCTATAGCTATCTGAAATTGTTTTAACAACTATTACCCTGGAAGTTTTGTTAATCTGCAAGTGGCATAGACATTTTGAAAAAAATAATAATAATAAAATCCCCAAGATGGCTGGATTATTAGTGTTCCACCGGGTTTCTCATTGTTTCGGCATATCTGTGGTCTCTTCAGATATCACATGGACCAGAGATGAATGAAAGTGTTGGTTCTGGCTTCTCTCCATTTTTTGTTTTTCCAATCTTCCTTTCTCCACATATAGCACACATTTGCATTTTTAAAAAAAGTCCTAATGAAAATTCCGTAACATTTTACTGCACATTTCTCCTAATATGCACATTGTTTTATGCAATTTTTCCTCATATACACATTTATTTCAAAGCGATTTCTGTAATATAATGCACTGTCATATATTTTTCTCACCAATACATGTATTTATATGCACACTTTAACATAGTATAAGCATTTTGTGCACATTACTTGGCTGGAGAACTGTAATGCAAAAACTGGCAAAGTGTGAATTTCAAAGGGTGGCTGTGTTCCATTTCACATTTTGTTTTGGGAAATTTCTGCAAGTTTGCCTTGAAATGGTAACTGAATCCAATTTCTGCCCCATCCCTACTCTTGACTCATCTTTCTTGCCTTAGAAGTTTCTGTGTCTTTCTCCCTGTGATTTTTGCTATGAAAATCTTTGGCTATCAGATTGGCTTTCCTTTGGCTTTGTAGGCTTATTATCAGCTTTTATCTTGTACATAATTTGTGGGCATGGAACACTCAGATCATCCTCCCCAAAGGCTGAGTTATCTTGAACCAGGAGCTTCTCTGCTCCTGTCGGCTTCTTTTCACAAGTTAGTTTTAAAAGAAGGGAAAATAGAATTTTATCTCTCACTCAATCGTGTCTCCCAGTCCCAGCCACACACGGTATTATGTATCTGTTGCAATGTCTGCTCATGAAAGCCTACTGATCTATCTGAGAAAATGGCTAAAAATTATCGCCAGCAACCCAGAAATGAACAGAAGCTGTTCCATGTATGCATCTGCTGTTTATCTGGAAAGGCTGCAAGAGAGAGGGAAAGCCAAAGCATTCCTAGCAGATTAGTACCACGGCTTCCATCAGTGTGATTCCCTCAGGGTCTGTTCTGAAGTTGGTTTGATCTTTATGCAGAGCTTTGCATACTCCAGAGTTTTATGAGGCCTGCACAGAACATGGCTGATGAATGTCACAGAAACTCTTACCGCAGACCACTTTTTATCAATATCTCACCTCACAGCCTACATAAAATTGTCACGTCCCCTGCCTCAGGGTACCTGTGTTGGCTTGAAAAGCAGTGAAGGCTGGCCCTCTGGGGCAAATGGGGCACTGACCCACCAACCTCAGTCTGCCTTCAGCCACCCCACCTGTCTGCCTTCTTATTTACAAATAGTCTAGAGCAGCCTTTCTCAGCCTGTGGGTCCCCAGATGTTGTTGGACTACAACTCCCATCATCCCAGAGCTCTAGCCTTGCTAGCTAGGGGTGATGGGAGTTGTAGTCCAACAACATCTGGGGACCCACAGGTTGAGAAAGGCTGGTCTAGAGGGTGGCCCCAGGGGCGGAGGAAGGGGGGTGCAGTGGGTGTGGGCCGCCTCGGGTGTCAACACTGATGGGGGTGACAAAATGGTGGGCAGCACTCACCGTGGGGTCTGCAGCATGCCCGAGTCATGCGTTTCTCCTGGAAGAGACACGGTGGCACATTCTCCGTGCGGCCCAAACGGTCCACCCGCTGCCTCCTCTCCAGCTGTAGGGCGGCTGACTGGGAGGAGGCAGGCAGACTCCAGAGGCCCCATGGTGCACCCCACCCCTATGGGCAGATTGCCCCGTCCTCACCCCGCCGCTATGGGTTGATCGCCTCGCCCTCACCCTGCCCCTATGCTTCCTCCGCCACTGGGTGGCACTGCCTGTCCCCTTCCTTCTCATGAGTCTCAGCATTGCCCCTCAGCCAGAAGAAAGACGGGGACAAAAATAGAATCAGTTGGCTCCGCCTCTCATTGGTTCTGGCTCCACCCACTGTTGACCTTCCTGCCTTCTGGCCCACCAATCCCAATAGCCACCAGCCAGCACTGCTGAAGAGGGTTCCAAGTCAGATGATGCAGTAGTCCCCGTCCCTTCAACACTGCCTTGGCCTGAAAACATGGCTCCTCCAGTATCCTCAGAGTTTGACTTCGCCTGCAGTGTCTCTTGCTCCACCATTACACAGGAACATGTAACTGCAGAACAGGCCCCAGGTATGTTAAGTGTCAGCCAGAAAAGAAAAACAGAAAACTAGGGGAGTGGAATGCCCTGCTTGGTGATAATGGCTGGCTGAAACAGAAGCATTTCTGTTAGGAAGAACATAGAAAACTGGCTCATGCAGAGCCAGACCCTCAGTCCATCTGCCTCAGCGTTATTTCTATCGCTGGCTATCAATAGTTAACTAATTCTCAGTAGGAGAATTAATCCTCCTTCTTGGAGGAGCCAGGGATTGAACCTGGGACTTTCTGCAAGTTAAACACGTGCTCTACCACTGAGCTTTGGCCCTTCCCATTGCTAGAAAAATGGGTATGCTGCAACATTTTGTTGCAGTCTCTACTTATCTCTATACTATACTTAAATTGGTCAGCTTCCTCAGAGAATCAAGGGAACTGTATTTCCATAAGGGGGGAGCTAGGAATCTCAAACAAGGAATTCTCAGTATCTTGCCAAGCTATAATTCTCAAAATGGTTTGGGGGTACCAATGAAAGTTAAAGTGATATTAAACGGGCATGCATTGATAATGCACATCTCCATCCCCATGTATGGCAGAGTCAGCCCATTGTATGCTGAATGGCTATGATAATCTCTTCAACACAAATAGTGTACTCACAGTGAAGAAACCTTTTCTTCTCCTTCTGCTCCCTACATAAAACCGGGATCCTGTCACAGTCAAAGATGTGGGGAAAACAGCATCTGTAATCCTAAGGGGAATAAAAAAGGAAAGGACATATGTATCCAGACAGTTAAGTCATCATCACTGGTAACAGCAGAGGTAAATAGACTTACACCTTCCATCTGGGCTCTTGATGTGTGCATTCATACATCAAGGGTTGGGGAACCTGAAGTCCATGGGCCTATTGTGGCCCCTCAAGCCTTTCTCTCTGGCCCCTGAGACTCTCCCCAGGCCAGAATCCTTCCCAGCCACACCTTCTAATGGCCCTACTTCACAATCTCCTTGAGTTCTTTTGCCTGGCTGGAATGTCCTTGAACTCTCTGCTGTTGCCTCTTGCTTCCCTGGATGAAGGCTAGAGAGGTGTTTGTGTACAGAAACTAGCTTACTATAAAATGCACATTCATTGCTCCGCCCACTTTTACTCTAGGCTCCACCCACCCCTGGAATGTGACACACATACGCTCCTCAAATGTTGCCTAGAAGGGAATGCAGGCTGGAAAATGCCCTCCACCCTTGCAGTAAGGTTTACCATGAAGACACAGGAAGTTCCTGCTTCACCACCTTCCCTAGTTTGAATAGGAGCAGCAAACCATGGCCCCCTAGCTTGGCATTATGTCCAAGTCAGGGGCTGTGGTTTGTTTCACTTCAAAGAAGCCATGATGGGAGACAAAGATTTGTTCTTAGCTTATCAATCTTGGACAATACAGGTGTCTGGCTCAGAGGGTTAGCTCCTCCGGGAGTCAGGGAATAAACCATTTACAGGCAACTCCCAGTTCACACAGGGGTTTTGTTCCAAGGCACCTCGCATTTAAGTGAAATTGCATATATTTGAAAGACCATTGGAAAAGTCTGAGTGTATGCACAGTCGTGCACCTATTGAGCACATGTAAATGGGGAGTCGCCTGTACAGTGGTACCTCAGGTTACAGATGCTTCAGGTTACAGACGCTTCGGGTTACAGACTCCGCTAACCCAGAAATAGTACCTCGGGTTAAGAACTTTGCTTCAGGATGAGAACAGAAATTGTGCTCCGGCGGTGCGACAGCAGCGGGAGGCCCCATTAGCTAAAGTGGTGCTTCAGGTTAAGAACAGTTTCAGGTTAAGAACAGACCTCCGGAACGAATTAAGTTCTTAACCCGAGGTACCACTGTACTATATTTTTGTGCAAAGTTGTGCAAAATAGGGTTGCAGTTTATCTGCTGTTTCTGCAATCCATTTGTGCCTTCAATCCTTCCAGGCGGCTATGACAGGCTAATTGCTCCCATGACATTGCATCTTGTTGCCCTAGTTGCTTACCCACCCTAATTACAATCCCACTTTCATAGTCTGGAGGCCAGACTAGAGTATAGGGCACCATTAGGCAGCGGGTGGGGGCCCCAAATGCAGCCCTTTAGCCCCTGGGGCTCTCTACCAGCCCCTCCCCAGGACACATGCAGGGTACGGCTATCACTGGCTACTAGCCATAATGGCTGTGCTCTGCCTGCACAGTCGAAGGCAGTAGTGCTTCTGAATACCAGTTGACGGAAACTGCAAGAGGGGAGAGTGTTCTTGTGCTGGGGTGTTGCCAGAGAGTTTGCCACATATATCTGGCTGGCCACTCTGAGAACAGGATGCTGGACTAGATAGGCCACTGGCCTGATCCAGCAGGCTTTTCTTACATTCTCACACACCCTCCCATAAGCCGCTCCCTCCTGTGATAATGCCTCTTGTTTGTCTGGAAGGCGGATGGAGGTGTGTGTATGTGTGTCTGTAGAAAACCAGAGGCAGATTTTGGCTAGGACCTGATGAAAAGAGCTCCCACGTTTTGCACAAAGCCTTCAGACTTCCCAGTTCTGGGCAGTGCAATTTTCCATGCAGCCCCAACCCAGGGATGGTGGTGGTGGCAAAATTACCCCTGAATTGTACGTGCTTCACGTACACATCTGTGGGGATGCTGCAGTCCACAGTGAGAGAGAAGGAGCCTTTAGTTACTGCCAGTACCAGTGTGTGCCACTGATTGTCTGCCAAAAATACGTCCCGGAAGGTGACCCGTGTCTGCCAGCCATTGGAAAGCTCTCTGCTCCAGAAGATGAAGTGAATTTTATTCCTCGAATATCGGAGTCCAAGCAGCAGAGTGTCACTGTTTTCCTCCAAAACCGTAAAGATGTACTCGTTTCTCTGAAAGGACAGTTAAAGGCTGTTAGTCGGAAAGCTTCCCCCTGCTTCTCCTATTTATCAACCTGATCTGTCAAAATATTTTGTAAAAAAGAAAAGAAAACCTTTAATCCTAAGCATCGGAGGAACAATAAGGTTCACAGAATAAATGTCCTCCAAAACTCATTTTTTGAAAACACAGTTAAGCTTGTCAGCCTGAAATACATTATTTTCTTCTACCAGCATATGAATCACTAATTTAACTTTTTGAGCACTCTGGCCCCAGCTTCACAATACATTTAAAGCAGTATCATACCACTTTTAACTGTCATAGCTTCCTTCCAAAGAATCCTGGGAAGTGTGGTTTGTTAAGAGTGCTGAGAGTTATTAGGACGGCCCTATTTACCTCAGAGAACTACAATTCCCAGTTCTCTGTGTACACCACCTTAAAACTCATCTACGGGGCTCTCTGGCTAACTTCAGATTGAAACTGGTATGGCAGGGAACACCTCAAAACACAGTACAGTGGAACCTTGGTTCCCAAATGGCTTAGTTGACAAACAAATCGACTCCCGAACACCACAAACCCGGAAGTAAGTGTTCTGGTTTGTGAATGTTTTTTGGAAGCCGAATGTCCATTTCGGCTGTCAGCATTGTTTCCGGGGCCAATCAGCCAATCAGAAGCCGCACCTTGGTTTTCGAACGTTTTGGAAGTTGAACGGACTTCCAGAACGGATAGAGTTCGAGAACCAAAGTACCACTGTATTTAATAAGAAATGACAGGATAGAGGCAAACATTGTGTGTACACCGATTCCCAAACCTGTGGTGGGAACGCACTGGATGCAGAGTGAACAGGGAGTGTGTACACAGCCTAACTTCCAAATAAAGATAGAATCAAGCTCCAGTTTCATTTTGTTTCCTGTGCTATCACAATCCAGGAAAAAAAGCAAACCCCAGGATGTTTTTCCAAGTTCTTTTTTTAAGGATATAATTCATAAAGTACACCATGACCAATTAAAGATTATCTCTTGTCACCTGTGACAGTTTTATTTCAGCACCTACAGCATAAATTATGCATAGTGATTCTATCAGGCATCTGAGTACATTTACATCCAAGTAAATTTGCCAACAACTGTTCCAGTTACAGTTTATATGGAATGAGCTATTTAAATCATGTGATATTGCAAAGTTTGCCAGATTGATTACAGTAATAATTAAGCTCAGGTTTAGAAAACTGAATTCACCAACCACGATTTTATCGGTGGATACGTGATTCTGGATATGTGATTCTGGATACGTGATTCTGCTCTAGTGTAAAAAAAAAAAAGCCTACCACATGCTTACCTTGGACCGCATGGGGAAAGCTTTAAGGGTGACCACAATGGAGAATTCCTCTGGGAAGATGTCACAGTATATGAAAATCCGTGATGCTGGAAAACTGAGAAAGCGAGGGTGCATTGCAGAGAACTGGAAGCCACGTGCTCCTTGGATCTGGATCATCCGTATCCCACTCTTCACCCCATTCACAGGAACCACTTCGGAGAGAATATCCAAAGGACGCAGATCTACACCAGAGACAGCAACAAAATGCATTACTAAAACTGGGGGAACACAGCAAAGGGCTACAAAGCCTGTTCCTGAAAGGCCAGGCACTTATGCCAGGAAAACAGCTTCCAGATTAATCAAAATAATGGGAAGAACTGATTAGCTGGCTGCATGCAGAAGATTTTTTCTTAACCCATCTGTTTTTTTTAACCAAACAGAGATAAGGACATTGACATAGAATTGAAAGTGGACCATCAAGTCCTATGGTTGCCAGATATCCCTTATTCTAAGCAAGCACCTTTTATTTTTTGAAACTAAACACTTATTCCATCTCAGGGCAGTCCACAAGACAGAAATGCAAGATGAAAACACAAATAAGTAGTTAAAACCAAAATAATAAAACAATAGCCCCACCCTCCCACAAACACATTTAAAAGGTGGTAAAATACAAATCAGCCAAAGATCTGGTTGAAGAGGAACATTTTCACCTGTCACCTAAATATATACCGTATTTTTTGCACCATAACACTCACTTTTTTCCTCCTAGAAAGTAAGGGAAAATGTCTGTGCGTGTTATGGAGGGAATGCCTACGGGTGGCATGCCTATGGATTTTCCTCCTCTAAAAACTACGTGCGTGTTATGGTCGGGTGCGTGTTACAGAGCGAAAAATACGGTATACAGTGGTACCTCTTCTTACGAACGTGATCTGTTCCGGGGTGCCGTTTGTATCCCGAAAAGTCCATAAGTAGAGTGCCGCTTCTGCACATGCGCACACGACGAACCCGGAAGTAAACACTTCCAGGTTTGCCACGTTCGTAACCTGCAAAGCCACAACGTGAAGCAAATGTAACATGAGGTATGACTATATAATGAAGGTGCCAGGTGAACCTCCCTGGGGAGAGAATTTCACAAACTGAGAGCCAGTGGAGAGGCACACAAAGAAGGGCCTCAGATGATGAACATAGCCAGGATGAATTTATATGGGGAGAAGCAGTCCTTGAGGCATTGCAGTCCTGAGCCATTTAATAAAGACCAGACATCGTCTAACCTCCATGTGAGTTTTGTGCAATCAAATCAGGATGGATGCTCAACAAAAACAGGTGATTTCAGCAGCCCAGAATCCGACAACCGCAGCATTACTAGATAGATATGGATATGAGGTTCCAGGGATTTGGCCTGAGGCCTAGCTATCAACAAACTCACTCAAATCTACGTACGTCTCCACAAAAAGATAGGCAGTTTCCAAATAATTCAGATTATTCACAGAAGAAAGAAAGACACATGTGTGGCCCTAGGGCATCACATGGACTGAGGGAAAAAGAAAAGAGGATAAGCCGCTATGACAGAAAACATCTGGTGAGCACAGACACCAGCCTTGCGGGACCAGCTGAGCCGCGTGAAGATTGTCTGCGGTGTTTCAAACAAACACCCGCAACACCAAATTAGGTCCATTTAGCAGCAGGGAAAACACCCACCGTTTGATGTCTTCCCAAATATTGTGCTGGGGGGTGGGGGTGGGGGCAAATAGGAAGGGATTAAACCTTACCTGGAGGCTCCACATGCTTATGCAACAACTATATAATTTCTTTCCTTAAAAAGGAAAAAAAGAAACCCACATTTTAAATTAACTGCTATTCTTTGCCTAAGGAGGAAAAGGAAATGGTGGTCTTGAGCCATTGCAAGAAAATTGCCTGATAATTGTATGGAAGTGATAGCCATTTTGTAATTCTGTCATTAATAGTCGGAAGTAAGGAAGGCTCCATACACACCATGCATTTAAAACACATGACTCCCCCCACAAAATTATGGGAACTGAAGTTTACCCCTCACAGAGGTACCATTTCCAGCACCTGTTGTTAACCAACAACAGTTCCTTGAATTATTTGGGGGTAGTCATGTGCTTTAAAAGTATAGTAAATGTAGACGGCCTTCAATTGCAGTTCTAACCTTCCTCGTTTGGGATTAAGAGCCAATGAGTCCAGCTGGGCAGCCACAGCACACAGGCAGCCAGCTTTTCTCTTGATCTAGGTTGAACAAGCTACCTTGAAGAGTTGTGCAACTCAAAAACCTTGCATTCGTCTATCCCAACTAAAGATTGGCAAAGTAAATTATCCTGTGCCTGCAACTGATTCACCAGATTTGGTTGGATGCTGTCATTAATGTTGTTTTCATTTCCTGTATCAGTCAGCATGCCGTTAGTCACATCAAAGCTACTGGGCTTTTCCTTAGCCCTCAAGTTTACCCCCTTGCAGATGTTTTATGAATGCAAGAATGGTGAGAGGCATGTGCACATCTATATATATTAGTTTTGAGATCTGAAAGATCCTACACGTTCTGATGTGTCTTCAGATGGATGCATGGAGGTAGGATATATACAACAAACTTCTGCACCTCCACGCATGCATATATAATACTAAAATAGGTTTGGCTTCTTATTTCCTTTTTTCTCTCCCAAGCCTAATGACTGGGGTTACAGGAGAGGGGCGAGTGAGTGCCCCTCCCATAGGTGCTATATTAGTGGCGGATTTATTCTGCTTTCATTTGTTGTGTGACATTTCCTCAATGCTACCACATGGCTGTTGCCCAGGGAGGCTACAGAGCAACAAAACTGGGACAAAAATAAACAGGAAGCAGGAAGTTATGGGATATGCACTGATTGGAAATGAAGCAGTGCGACTGCCCCCAAACTTTTGCAGATGCAAACTATGTTGAAAGTGGGATCATGTTTGAGCACCTAATAGCATCATGAGCACAAAGGATCATGGATGTGAAAAAAAGGGGTGTCTGCAGGAACCCTGTGTGCATGTGGGGGAGAGTGTGCTGCATGCCAGATGCCCACAACAGTTTCTCTAGTTTGCAAATGTGCCCATGGCAGGGGCGTGGGGGGCACATTTATTGGGTGGGGGTGCTGCTCACACTGCCCTCCCCAAACCTCGCTTCACAAGGCTGGGATCATTCCAGCCTTGCAAAGAGGCTCAGAGCTGGTGTCATTTTGGCAAGAGCTGGGCTGGCATGCAGTGGGCTCCTTTTGTCCAGCTCTCCCGGCACATGTGTGCGCCCGCCCTGGGCACCATTAAAGCACACTTCACCACTGGCCCATGGGAGTCCAAAAATGTTGACACCCCCTGATGTAAATGAACTACCCATTTTAAAAAACCAGATCCCTTCTCCTAGATCCTTAGGTGTGATGCTCCTCCTCAAGTAGACAAAGTTGCTCCGTGTTGCTTTTTTCAATGGGAAGACTGACTGTGGTAGGTTACCACAGGCACTTTGAGCAGCTCAGCTGTCTGCGGCTTGCAGACAGATTCCTCGGAGATGGTGGAGCACCTCGGCCTCAAACTGACGTAAAATGAAAGCCAAAGCAGTTATTTTCAGTTCACCTCCCACATTATACAGACGCTCTTAATGATTAAAGTGCAGCGAGGGATTATGCAGAATCTTATTAATGATTACAGAACAGCAGCTGCGGATACTTGAGAGAAGTGAGGCAAATTATGTTGCGAAGACTCTGACTAGATCCTTCTTTCACTTTTAACAGAGACTCGAGGAGGGCCACATCATCCGAGAGATCAAGGGAATGCCTGGGGCAGCCTTTTCAAAAGCTCTTAAGTTACACAGGAGCCGAAATCTCCCTTGGCTGGCAAAGAGATGGAGCTCCACTCTGGGCCCTAAAGAGAAGAAAGCAGGGAGCAGGGAGGGAAAGCAGCCTGACTGCAGCCCTGCTTCTAAAATAACCAAACTGGCATAGCACTCTGGATGCACAAAGTCCCTCAGAACCTCACAAGCACAACAGCCTGCTTGAGATATTTATGCTGCATATGATTTAAACGTCAGTTTTTCATTTGTATAAGGTGTTTGAACTTGCAAGCGTAATGCTATTCCTGCAAAATCTCCACAGCAAACATTCATATTAACATGTCCACTTGAAGTTATACAACTGGGGTTGGGAGTGAGGAATATGCCCTTCATATCTTCTGTGTGAAAACACTCAAAAAAGCATCAGGTTGCATAATATACAAGTGTTCTAAAAACTACATGACATCTTAATTTCGGCCACGTGCAACCATCAGTTCGGTGGGTTTGATCTGGCAGCTCTAAAAGATTGTGATGGAAGCACCTGCCAGGTGTACTGGGAGTGGTTCCTCATGTCTCCGAAACACACTGGAGAAAATCAGCCTTTAGTATTGTCAGTACATGCAATGCGTTCAACTTTGCCAGTTATCCATCAGTCTGGTTGTTCATCAGATGGCAGATGTGTGCCAGGCCCTAAGAGATGGAGGCCATTCTCCATTCCTGTAGCAGGAATTCAGCACAACTCTCAGACTTAAGGCTAGTTGGCTGAGTTCTCCTGTTGAACATGTTCCAGTTAATTATTTTAAACTGAAACTCAGAGGCCTATATGGGTGAACTCTAGAAAGGGGTGTGGATCAGGGCCTCTGCATGCCCATCATGTCTCAATTTAAAAATTCCTGTCTCAGAACAAAGGCTGCGTTTGAGGGCTTTCTAGATCAGCCTTCTGGGTGCCTTCTTACTAAAGAGTTCCCCAAGTGCAGGGTTTTTTCCTGGGGACACTCAAGAGTACGCAGTACTGACACCCTTTTTTCTAGAAGAAAAGCACTGTCCAAGCTCAAGGAATTTTAGCTGCAGAATGGAACTCCCCACCCTCTCTTCTCCCTGCTCGCACCCCATAATTTGTTCTGGAGGGTTGGGGGCACCACTAGAACACATTTAGCGGTTGCACAGGGAACTTTCACTGTGAACTGAAAACTCCTCATGCTAGGGGAACTGTTTAGTGAAATACTGCCTTAGATGTTTCAGTCTACAGCTGAAATGCATATGCAATTGATACTAATTGTTACTTGTGCAACAGGGCTTTCCCCCATCCCCTCCCCCTTCAGCCCCCCAAAATTGGCTCAAGGGGGTTGAGAGAACCAAAAGAGCAGCACGGGGGGGGGGGAACTAGGGGGTGTTTCATCCGGCAAATTGAAATGCTTATGCAGATGGAACAATTGAAATAGTACAATGTTGTATGTGCGCAAAGTCCAATACTATTCCTACTCAGAGTAGATCCATTCACATTAATGGCCATAACTAACATAGGTTCATTTATTCCAGCGGGTCAGAGTAGGACTTAGTTGACTACAACCCTGTATCTCCATTGCTTTTATACACTCTTAGGCAAATTGTTTTCTTGCTTTTTTATATTTCTCTAGGGCCGAGTTCTTTGGGAACGTCCGCCCCTTGTCCATTCTTTCATGTCCTTTATGCTTCTGGATCCATCTTCACGCTGAAGATTTGATGCATTCATGTGGGCAAATGGAATTTGCTTTACAGCCCACGCTGCTCCTGCAAAATCTCGAAGCAAACATTCCACTTTGAGAACTGGCACAGCTCATGAGAGATGTGCTTTCCTGTGCCGCTGGCATTTCCCACGCTCCCAGTTGTGTGCTGTAGCACCAGACTGGTTAACAACTACTGTGTAAAGAAAAGAATCAAAGGTTGTGCAGCTAGATTGCACTGGAATTCCTTCACAAATTTAATAAATATGTACTAGTTGGTTGCCTTGAGCCACTGCTCAGTCAAGGTGTTGCTACACCTAATATGTGCAGTTTGTACTGAAATGTGCACCAGACCCACCATCAAAGGGTTACAATTATTCTTCCTTGGTAAAGACTAAGATTGAAACAGATTTAAAAACTCACACACAAAAGAAATCTCCGCCTAGCATGATATGGTTTCTGTGCCTTTTCCTCAGAAACTTAAGACTGAATATTGTTTCTTCTTCAGATACAATCCATTAATTTATCCATCTCCATGGTCCCTGTTATTTTAATGAGTTAATATTTAGCAGATGGCGCAGAAAGCCGTTTCCACTGCCTGACAAATACAACATTTTCTGCCACCGATAAATGCAATATAAGTAGTCTAAGAGGAGGCTGTTGTTGTCTTGTGTCTAGATTATGTAACGGAACCATAGAAGATCCTGATCTTATCGCAATTCTAGATATTTGAAATACCCCATGCAATACACAAATCCTTCATCTGAAAGGATAACATACGGAAATTAATGTCATGCAGTACAATATTACAACACCGAACATTAAGCTCAGGATGGAGAGGGGATTTCCCTGCTTCAGCGCACCGTAAAAATAAATGCAGACAAAAAAAATCTCCTGAACCTGGCAAAAGAAATCTCATCCGGGGTTCAAAAGGTAAAATTTACCATGGAATGGGGATTCCCCCATTATTTCCCTTGACTACATTTTAAATAACTTCCAACAGTTGACATAAGGCAATATGGTTTTTTTAACAGTGGGAAAGGCACCGGCAATGTCACTTCCAGGAGAGTATAACTGTGCAATTGTTTCAGTAATTTAAAATAAATAAAGAAAACCTAGGAAATGAGCTGAAATCAAACTTGCATCCCTAGAGATTGCTCAGCAGCCCCAGAAGAAGAACCCAACTATGTGAAGAGACGTCAGGAGCAAGCCAGGTGTTTCTTCTGGGATCGGTGTGCTCCTCGCACACACAAGATTTTTGAAGCATCCACAAAACATCGAAATCAAAACACTAGTCTGTATTCCCCTCCCCCAAATTTACCCTTGGTGAGGAAAACCAAAGCTGTTCTCAACGACCCATTTGCAACACCACCACCACCATATTAAATCCCTTTTTGAAAGCACCCGGAGAGGTACAATACACAAGCATAAAATTGCTGTGCTGTCCAGAAATCAGTTCATTATCCTAGATTACTAACCTCAGGAATCGAAGAATCTTGCTTATTTAAGACACATATGGAAGAATAGTTTAAGTAATATATACTCAGTTTACACTTCCCTCTATCTCTCTCTCTCTCTCTCTCTCTCTCTCTCACACACACACACACACACACACACACACACACAGAGAGAGATATTCACCATGCTTGGTCAGTTTGGTGAGGAACCCTCCAGATGTTGCTAGACTAGGAGTAGGGAATCCAACAACATCTGGAGGGCCACATGTTTCCCACTGCTGATATGAATGGAAAAGAACCACAAGTGGAATAGAAATAATCACCCATCACCCATCACTTAGTTTCAAAGACTAAAAGCACTTAGCAATATGTAACTATAAAGAGCTTTGAAGAACTTATGCAGTCTGTTCGAACATTTTGCTCTTCTTTTTCCATCGAGGGGCAATTCAGAAATGTTCTATACTCGGGAGGATTTTATCCTTGAAATGACCCTGCTGAAATTGACATTAGTCCTTCTTCTTACTGGAATTGAGTTTTTATTCTCAGGTTCAAAGCAAGACAGATTACTAATGACTGAAACTGCTTTGATTTTGTATTGGTGAGGGGAGAAAATATGTGCAGATATATTTTAAAAAGTGTATTTAATTGGTTCCTTGTCAGTTATGTATCTTACTGGCCAGTTCCAAACATTGGACACCCTCAGATATGTGCGGGGAAATGATGAACTCACCAAAATTGAAACCGTGTGCAGGAAAGAAAACAGGTCAGAATAGATTTGGACTTGCAAATGGACATTTCCAGACTACCCTGTTGAGCTCGTTCACTGCAATGTGTCTTGGGACAATCCAGAAAGCACATTGCTGCCTGTTACAATATTCCCGCTTGCCAAGAGAAGGCATCAAAAATGTTGACCAGGCATGCCTAGATGTAATTACACTTACAGATAAGCCCATGGGCACATAAACTATCATGTTATATGAATATTTTAGATTTAATTCTTGTGATTCCAAGGGGAATTTAGCATTTTGTGTTTATACTTGCTTTTATTCTTTCTGTCAGGTTTATGTTTTGCGTCATCCCTGCCATTAGTAAAGTGCTTAGAAGTTCTATTTGCAAACAAGTAGTATATTAAACGCTGTTAACAACAAATCAAAATATAAATGGTTTAATTTCTATGCAAAGTTAAAATTACATTGACAAATCCTGAAAACCTAGTGAGTTAACTGTGGGGTAGATTCTCTCCACCCACCACAAAATAACTGTTTAGTAGAAGCAAACGAAGGCAATGCATATAACTAGTCATCAGCTCAAGATGGCAAACACATTCATTTTCTATATTCGTGTAGACACTTGCAAAGAGAGAAACAATTTCTCTGGTGCTTTTAACAAGGATCAGTAGCTCCAGCACAGCATGAACATTTGAACTGAGTCTCAAAGCTAGAGCTGTTTTGTTAGATGTAGAACAAAATTCCTATGCAGAAGAAATGCATTTTAGGAATGAATGTAAATCTCAGATGAAGATAGTAATGTGCAATGGTTGCACACGTGGGGTTTATTTTGCTCTGTGCCCATACTTGGGAAGCACCGAAAACCACAGCTTGTTGGCATATGTCCCTTGCATGGTCATTTGTGATGTGGGTTGCACGTCAATAGCTAGACAGATGTGTCCTCAATGCAGCAGTGTTGTAACATGTGGAGCAGCACTTACCACGCAAAAATATGTTAATATGCGAGACTGAAATACGAAAAGAAAGAAAAGTGGAATGGATTTTTAATAATAATAATAATAACAGCACCAAATCTGCCCAGAAAAGCAGAATAAGGCGAGCTTCAGACAGGTGCCAGGAGAGTTTATTAATGCGACTAAACATTTCAGCAAGTGCCTTCATTAGGGGCAACAATTGTGCACGGGTTTTCTGTATTAAAAAGGTGCTTCTAAAAGTTATTTCAGAAGACCCAGCATATATGTCTCCACAGCTGTGATTCCAATAACTGTAGAGATCAAAGGGCTGAAATTGAAGCCAATTTGTAAAAAAAAAAAAATGTAAAAAAAAAGCTTGACAATGTTGGAGTTTGTCTAAAAAACAGCTCAACAACTTTTCATTTAAAAAGGTCAACAACTTTCGCGGTGTTTTTACTTTTTGAAATATGGCAACCTTATCACGGTTAACAGCCCCGAGAATTTGCTACTTTCAAGAATGCATCTTTGAATACATGGCTAATTGGAAGAGGGGACTGGTGGGGTGGGTGTCAAAATCTTCTCCTTCCTGAATGCCGTGAAAGTTTCCATCAAATGATATTTTAGTAAATTTACTACTGCTACCATCCCAAACACATAGACTAGGGAGAAAACCCCATCGACCACAGGAGGACCTCTGATCAAGCACGCACAGGATCGGGCAGCGTGGCACTTTTGCTTTAATCAACTGAGATTTCTCGATGAACAAGTGCGAGAGAGAAAAAAAGCATTGTTCTCAAAAGGCTTATCAATATAACTCACTTTCACTCACAACTAGATAACATGACAGAACTGAAAGAAAACTAACTTCCAGGTTAACTAACACAATAACACAGTTCTTGTCTTGCCAAGAGATGCTCCTCCACCCAAGGGTTCTGCACAGCTGAAATGGAACCTGACACAGAAAAGTCCAAAGCAGCCAGTTGTTGTTTTATATAAAAAAAATCTACTTCAACCCTACATGATATCTTTGCTGTCCCTCCCATCTTTTAATTCCACACATCATGGTTTATTTTTTGGGGGGGGATAAGGACTTGGGAGCCCATGTATTTGAGCTCTGAAATATAATCATGATTCCATATTTAGAAGGCAAGTTCATTTGAGGAGCTGAAGATCAGAGGATGAAGTGTAGCCAACCACCCCAACACTGACACCCAGCCCTTCTTACCTGTGCAGTGCTCCCATGACTTTCCTCCTCTGGCCAGGGTCTGCTCAATCCCCCAGTGCAGAAGCACAGCCCAAACCATTAGCAGAGCAGACATCGGAGAACTTTGTCACTCCTGGTCATCATCTAATCTCCTCATATCCTAAACCTCTGCTCTTGGGTCATTCAGAGACCTTACAGGAACATCTTCTTGGGGGGCACCTACAATGAGTGACCCAGCCCTCCAAGGTTCCTGCCCCTCCTAGAAGAAGGGGTTGTATCAGGCTGGTGACCACAGTCTGAATTCTCCCTCTCTCTGCTTCTCCTCATCAGGCTTTCCTCCCAGTGCCACCTAAAACCACTCGTCCAGGCTTAGCCAGCTGCTGTTATTAGGCTGCAAGGTAAGAGGCATTCTCCCCAAAGGGAAGCACAAACATAATCAGCAGAGGAAAGCCAGAAAGTGGCTTTCTGGTGTCTAGTTGCTGAAATGCCCCATCCTGAAGAAGCAGGGAGAAAGAGACCTCCCACCAGCCACAAAATAAGCAACAGCAGGAGGCTGCCTTTGCAGACATTTAAATGGAAACTAGCCTGGAAAAGAGGAGGAGAAGTACTGCCTTGGGGAGCTTTTCATCTTTTGCCCAGCCCTCTTGAGGTTGGGTTTTAATGTTTAAGCAAAGGAATTTCCCTCTCCAGCAGAGCCAGTGTTCAGAGGGCATGGCAGATAAAGAGCAGGAGGAGGAGCTCAGCTTTTGTGTGCACCTGAAATCATCATCTCATCTACCGTGATGCTGCAAGCCTAGATTAAGATAGAGCCATATGCGTGTGCTATGTGCCTTGTCTTCCCGGCTCTGTAATTATTCTCACCCACCAGAGTTTTGCAGAAAAAAAGGGATTCTGAAATAATTAGGCAGTGCTTCACACCACCAATATTACTGCAATTGAAGGGGGTTAGCTGCCTGTCTAAATGCTGCCAAAACTCAATTTGGAATCTATGCGCAGAAAACAAAGGAAACTGATGCTGCTGGGTTTAAGCTGCGTACAAACCAGGCATTAAAAACCACATGTAGAGCACATAGCTTCCTCCAAAGAGTCATGGGAACTGTAGTATAAGGATATTTTGAATTGCAGCTTTGTGAAAGGTAAGCTCCAGCTCACATGATTATTTGGGATAAATCATGTGCTTTAAATGTATTTTAAATGTGTGATATGTACACACAGAGATATTCACTTTGAGGTTGGTGAAGCTGTGGATTTCCCTGAGATGAGGCGGTGGCTGTGAGACGGATGGGGTGGCATGAGAAAAGTGCGAGAAAACATACAGCTTGAGAAGCTCATTAAAATTAAAACAGTAGAATTAGAGACAGAGCTGCAAGGTCTCTAGATAATACCAAACATCCAATTACTGTGGCCACAAAAATGAGAATGCAGTTCTTTAACAATGGGGACTGTTTCCTTGGAAGATAATAAAGGAATGCCTAGGAAGAACATGGGCACCATTCTGTGCCAATTCGTTTTGCACCCTCGTGGTGAATTTGGACCAGTTCAAATACTTCTTCCAGGCTGTTCTTGATAGGGAACAGCCCTGATTAGCCTCCTGAGTCTCGACAAAAAAGTCTATGATTAGATCCTTTCCTCTCCACCACCGCCCTGCATACATGCTGTCCTGGAAACCGAGGGGATTCCTCAATCTCCAGAGCAGAACATTCCAGTCAGACCAAGAAATGGAAGGCTTTGTGCCACAGACATCTGAGCTTCTACAAGACAATGGTAGGACCATAGTCTGACCATGACAAGACTGACACAACTACCTGTTCCAGGAAAGGAAGATAGTAATAATAATAATATATTTTATTTATACCCCGCCCTCCCCAGGCAAGACTGGACTCAGGGCAGCTAACGCCAGATATAAAAACAAATTGATTGAAATAAAACTTAAAAACAAGATTAAAATACAACATTAAAATATTAAAATACAGCCTTATTTCAATGGAAATGCAAATCAAAAACTTTTTGGGGGATGAAAACGTCAAGTCTTCGCCAAGGCTAACTTTCCAGACTGGTCCTGCATGGGCCAGAAAAAAGTCAGGGAAGTCCCCAAATAGGAGTTCCATCACAGAAGGGGAAAGGAAAAAGAAGAGGGGGGTTGGGAATCAAACAGATTCCAAGTCGAAGGCCAGGCGGAACAACTCTGTCTTACAAGTCCTGTGGAAAGAAATCAGATCCTGCAGGGCCCTGGTCTCATGAGACAGAGTGTTCCACCAGGCCAGAGCCAGTGTTGAATATAGGAAGCTGCCTTGTACAAAGTCAGAAGAACAATTGGTCCATCTAGCTCAGTATTGTCACTGACTGGCTCTCCTTATAGGCAGGTGGGAGTCCTTCCCAATCTTACCTGGAGATGCCAGGAATTGAACCAGGCACTTTTTGAATGCAAGTCTGTTGGAAATTCTGGTGGCCAAGATCCAAGTTTGGGGCAAGTGAGAGAACCCTTGCAGAGATTTAATACGGCAAAACATACAGCATGGAAATATAGGCTGCAAAACCTTAAAATGTGCCCTTTTCAGTGAATTCCAAAATGTCCCTTTTAAGAGCTCCTTCCATAGTTTCCCACTTCCCCTAGCACACAGATAGACCACAGTTATAAAATGGTTTACTTACAAACCATTTAAAGGTCAGGTTCTTGTGCTTTCCCATACAACGGTCAGAAAACGTTGCACAGGCAGTAAGATGTTGCTTGGATACAAAATGGTAAACATTCCTATACAATCGGTATAGGAAAACATTGGATTCAAACTCCATTATTGTCTGAAACAAAAGAGGCTGGTTAAAGCCATGCGGCTGGAAGGAGCAGCTTGGGGCTCCTCACACATTGAATTCACATTTAGACTGAGAACAACAAAAGGCTTGGCTGCCCATTTCCTCCCAAGGTGAGGGGAAGTGATGTAGGCTAATTGACTGCAAAGAAGGATGATCCAGGAGGGAGGGAGGGTCGGGATTCTTCCCCCCTGAGGTGCTGTATTTATTGTTAAAGAAACGCATCCACCAAAGTAAGGTATTTTTTCTTGTTATTGTTGTTGCCTTACTCCCTCCCTACTCTGACTGGGCTTTTCAACTCTCAAGATGCCACATGAGCAGAACAATGGATCAGGTACAAAGTTTCCAACCACGGCAGGCTCCACATTGTGAAAAGGGTGCAGCTGGTAATATATTTGCCTCTTGCTCAGCTTTTAAAATTATAGGAACCCTGGTGGGAAAAGAGAGCAGACTTTGGAGCAAACCGACAACAAGACAATGGGAAAGGAAAACAGACCATTTCAGGATGTGGACCTCCTCTGTGCCATTAATTATTCCTAACCCCAAATCCTCCCATTACTCTGCAATGCATGTAGCAAGGCTTCAGAATCCTGATCATATGAATATCTTCTAGCAAGCTGGGTTAGTACTCACAGGCAAATGTTGCAAATGAATTCCAGCTAAAGATTTGCAATGAAGCCGCAAATGGCAGTCGTCCATACTTTGGGTGTTCAGAGCACGACAGCACAAGGCAGCTATCTGGAAGAAATTGTCGACATCTCTGGATGTGGCTGAAATATGTATTTCAAATTTCAGTTGTGGTTTGGAACGCTACAGTACAGTCTTCAAGTTGTGACGGATGGTGGCTTTGCTGGGGAAGAACAAAGCCCATGGGAGGGCTTTGCAGGAGTGTGTTGAGCTCAGCTGGGGGCAAAAGTGCGGGGAAGAAGAAGCCGGGATATGAAAGCATAGATTTAGACCAAGGCAGCCCAACTTTTCATACCAAGTGGGCTGCAAAAGTGCTTTGACACAGAGCCTGTAGGCCATACACTACTTTTTCACGTGGTGGTGGGGAGTGAGGTGAAAAACCGATGTGCACCCTCCCCCCCCCCCAGTTCTCGTGCTGCCTTCCCAAAGCCCAGTGCCTTGCTTACCTGGCTTTGGAAGGCAGTTCAGGGTCGGGGGGGGGGGCATGTGAAATGTTGCCAAGGCCCACCAAAAAAAGACCTTGAGGGCCTGATTCATTTCCTTTTTTTCCTCTCCCTCAGCTCACCTATAGGCGGTCCTGAGTGTTAACACATTGCCCATCTAACGTTGGGAATTTTGCAAGAGCAATTGAATTGTCTGAGGATAAGCCTTGAAGATGCTGCGCTTTTGTTAAAATTGCAGCAACGTTGGAAATCTCAGTTCCAATAACAGAGATGAGCAAAGACGACAACCACCAAGAGTATGATCTGCTATTCATTCAGATTTCCCAGACATCCTCTGGACATAAAAAATAACAATGATCCAAATTCCAAATTAGGTACAGATTGTTGTATGTCTGGACCTCAAGGCGTCAGATGCCGCTGCGGCTTTCCTACCATTGAATGGAGCCCTCCCCACACTGGACTGCCCCAGGGCAAGGGAGACGGTGGCCAGCAGGAATATAGTCACAGCATGAAGGCAGCGCTGGGAACTATAGATCACTCACAGAAACCTGTGAGTCACAAGTTCTGCGGATGCATCTGGAGGGGCTCTAGTGCAGCAAGAGTGGGACCTCCCCCCCCCCAAAAAAATACATTTGTGCTATGAAAGTTATGGGATTTTAGCAAGAAGCCACAGAATATGCACCGATTGGAAATGAGGCAGTGTGGCCGCCCCAAACTGAATAACTCCTTCCCCCAACATATGAAGAAAAAAACCACTTTTTTATTTTCCTTTTGGTATCGCACAAAGTTTGCCCTCTTCACACATACTTTTAGTGGGTATATCCATTTTCAGTACTTTTAAATTGCATTTTGCCCTGTTGGTGGTCCAGTTGGTTTTACTGCTGCTTTTATCGTTTTCATTACTGTGTTGATCTGCTTGTTTTTCACTTTATTTTTTGTAAGCTGCTTTGCGGCAAAACGACGAGGAGGAACATCTATATATGAGTTATCCTCCTTTAAGTTTGTTATGTGTGTTGAAAGACATAAAGTAGGCATGGAGAACATTTTGCCCTCCAGATTGTGCTGAACTACAACTCCCATCATCCCTTGCCATTGGCCATGCTTGCTAGGGCTGATGGAAGTTGTATCCAAAGGATCAAAAACGCTGCACACTTGACATAAAGGGAAGATTTATAGTGAATTCTTCGCTGTAGCATGATCACATCTCCAACATATGATAAACAGGCATGAATACAGGCACCCCCGCACTTGCGCAGGGGTTACATTCCGAGGCCCCATGCCCTTAAGCGAAAATTGCATAAGTAGGGAGCACTCTCTAAAAAACCTCTTAACTCCTATTTTCCTCAGCTCTCCAGCTCTCTTTCCCCATCTCTCACCACACAACTCTCTCTTTGACTAGAGCTGAATATTTGTGGCCAACTGGAGGCTGAAGGACATGTGGGAAAGCAGCAGGGAGGGTTAGCAGCCTACAAAAAGTCCCACTCAGGTCTCTCTGGAGTTTCATATGCTCTCACTGAAGTCCTCTTTGGGCTCCAGGGAGAGTCTCCTCGCGAGTCATGAGGACTCTGGTTTGAATCTATTTATTTTCCAGTGCTGTGCATATACACAGCTGTGTGAAAGTGTTGTTGTTGTTGTTGTTGTTGTTTAGTCATTTAGTCGTGTCCGACTCTTCGTGATCCCATGGACCAGAGCACGCCAGGCACTCCTGTCTTCCACTGCCTCCCACAGTTTGGTCAAACTCATGCTGGTAGCTTCAAGAACACTGTTCAACCATCTCGTCCTCTGTCGTCCCCTTCTCCTTGTGCCATCCATCTTTCCCAACATCAGGGTCTTTTCTAGGGAGTTTTCTCTTCTCATGAGGTGGCCAAAATATTGGAGTCTCAGCTTCAGGATCTGTCCTTCCAATGAGCACTCAGGGCTGATTTCCTTAAGAATGGAGAGGTGTGAAAGTAGATCGCCCTTAAGTGTACCAGCAACTTGACGGCTGACTCAGCTGTCAAGTCTTGTCTCCTGTCATACTTAAAGTGGGCTCTCTGCTTTGTATTTTTCCCCCCATGTGCCATATGTATGTTTCTGAAAGCTGAGGCATCCAAACTTAAATGTTGTCAAGGTTCACCCATGGCATCATAATAATTGTCCATATTAAACAAGACTCTGCTTGACTTTTCTGAGTGTATGAGCATAGCAGACATTTTGAACTAATTAAAATGCCAAGTTCAGTCTTTCTCGTCCCTGCTGCCCAAAGAAGCCTCAGATGCAAGCTCGTTAGCTACAAGTAGCACATGGTTTAATGAACTGTTCCTCATAAAATCCCAATAAAGTAAAAATACAGCCTGTCTTTCTGAACTAAGCGCCTCATTATTTTTCAATGCGTTTGTGAGGGTGGGGTTTGAGGAACTTCTATTTTTTTAAAAAAAGGATATAAAAGTATTAACATTCTGCCAGCATTCACACCAGCAAGAAATATGGCCAACAAGACTGCCATCGCAGTGTGCTGGGGCCCAAACGTAATTTATCTGAGCCAAACTGTACAACTTCCAACTCCTGAAGCACAACCCCTTGCATAGCTTGGAAAATTGGAGTACTGATTGGTGCCCTGTGGTTTCATTTAGTTCCCTTTGTTTGAGCTCCCGTTTCTGGATGCCTAATAAATATTTATAGCCATACATCATAGTATGGCAGGTATGCAGAACAACACACAAATGACCATTTTTATCCTTTAGACACTGTTTCCTGTCCCTGTCATCTAATTTCAGCTTTCCTATGCCCTATATATAGATATAGAAGGGAAGAATTCCTGGGTGCCAAGATACAAATTCAGAGAGATAGTTTGCTTGTTCTCCGATGCAGTCTTCCGCCTGAAAGGGCTTAGTTGGAACTTTTTTGGGGCCTTTTGGTCTCGTGATGGTGTTGTTTAAGGAGTTAATGGGTTGTTTAGTGGGTGGTTCCTTCGGTGTAATTTCTTTATCTATTATCTCTGCTAATGGCGAGAAGCTGTCTCGAGGTCGGAATATTAAAAGTGTCCTTTGTTTTTCCATAGAAGAATTCGCTGATTTTGGTTTGCTTGGTAAGGGGCAAACATGCCATTTCCTCTAAGTCTTCAGATTCTCTGCAGCGTTTACCAACCCCCCTCCTCGCATCAGCAGGGCCGTCTAATTGCTGAGTCATCTTTCCCTTTGCCTCGCTCTTTTATCTTCCCTAAGTTTTTCAAAGAGTCGAGGGAGTATTTTCCTTGAAAGTATCCTATTCAAGGAGGAGGAGTGTGCCAAAGGTTATTGGCATAACACTAAATTATGCTCCGTCTGTGCCTCCAGACTTATGGTGGGAGCAGCCCATGAATTTTCCTGTAAGCTCTTCGCAGTGTGATAAGATAGTCAATGCGGCTTTAAAGCTCCAAGAGGAGTCCGGAAAGCGGAACGTGGGATAGAATGGGGTGAGGTGCTTAAGCTTATCTGAGCTCAATGTTCATTAAAATAGCTCAATGTTCATTAAAATAGTCTTTAAAAGGAGTAAGAGAAAGTAAAAAGATAAAATCAATGGGCTCACATTAGTAGAGTGCTGTCCGCCATCATACCGGAAGTCGTTCTCCTGGAGCAAGAACTCTTTGGTAAAACCACAAAATATGCAGCAAAGTGTAGAAAAATTAAAAATTAAAAAATAGTCCAGTAACATCTTAGAGACCAACTAAGTTTGTTCTAGGTATAAGTTTTTGTGTGCATGCACACAAATGCTTATGCCCAGAACAAACTTAGTTGGTTCTAAGGTGCTACTGGACTATTTTTTATTTTTTATTTCGACTGCATCAGACCAACATGAATGTGGAAATATAGTCTGTTAGACCTTTAAAATATGCCCTTGTGAGTTCCAAAACTTCCCTATTCCCCCAGTACAGGAAAAGACCACATGTTTGGCAAGTTAAAAGTTGGGTTAGTTACAAACTCTCCAAGGGTCTGGTTCATGGGCTTTTCCATACAGCATTCAGAAAAAGTTGCACAGGCAGTAAAATGTGGCTTGGTTACAGTGGTAAAACTTCCTAAATTATTGGTATAGGAACTCAAGAGTAGCTTGTGAGAGGTGTCATGAATTGGCAGAATGACAGGGAGGAGGAAGAAGAGGAAGAGGATCCCAGTAAGTGTTGTAGCTGGGACTGGAATACACGGGGGCAAATGGGGGGTGGTGGAGAAAAAAGTACTCACAGAGTGATGGACGATGATGAGGGAATGGAGGTCAATGTACAGGAGAAGCAGGAGCCAGAGCCAAAGGGGTCCCTGTCCCCACAAATGTGGCAGGCTCTGAGGCATAGGGAGCAGCAGGAGTGGCACTCTAGGAAGCTGAGGCAGGCAAGGGCCCATAGTCCAGCTCCCTAGCTGGCCAGGTGGAGCTCACTAGCTCTGGGGGGAGGGGTGTGATTCCTCAATTGAAGTAGGCTTAGAACAGGTGAGGGCCACATGCCTCATCAAGCCCAGATGCTGAAATCAGCATGCAAAGTACAAAAAGGAAACAGAGCTGAGGTGCTGAGTCTGCTCAACTGCCCATGTTGATGGCCATTGGCTTGGATGTTCCTGGACCTTTATGGGACTGTGCTTCAGGTTTGACTCTGGTATGTATCCTGACTATGGGACTTCAGGCGTGGCTACTTGGATTGACCCCAGAATGTGTTTCCTGACCTTTGGATTTTGCTTGTGTGGCTTGACCCCCAGACTTTGGACTAGGCATATTGACTTACTGCCAGGTAGGCCAGGGGTTCAGGACATCAGGTAGAAAATAGAACAATAGGCTTGATTACCCATTGCCTCCCAGGGTAAGCGGAAGTGACCTCTCACTAAACCTGGCACGACAGCTTACTCTATGGTATTAACACCTTCATGCGTTAATTAGATTGAAGTATGTTGGTTATATGAGGCTGGCTATCGCACACTTTGGACACTGGAGGTATAACTCTTTTATTCACACAGGCTCTGGGGCCTCTGAACTCTGTCATGAGCACTGGGGCCTGCTGCTCCTGGAATCTTGCTTATGGTGGTGTTACTCCTACCCATTGACACCAGTCATTGCCACACTCTGCTGGTTTCTGCAGCTTGTGTATAGGAAATGCCCCTGGGAACTAGAGAACCCTTTGACTTAATAGATATTGAGAGCATTTGTGACACAGATGAGACACATACGTACTTCCCTGTCTTGCAAATTCCAAGGTCTAGAGCAGTGAACCTCAGGCCTTGGGGGCAGATGAATACTTAAGATCTCTTAAGGTAGAGTAGAGAATGATTCCTTATCATCCTTTAGTCATCCTGTTGCACACACAGTCGGAAAGGTTAAAGAGTAGAAAATAATGGTCAGATTTATTCTACCTTTTCGATTAATGTTTCAGGATGAAGTAAGATTCTAACCCACTCTAGTCTGATTGTGGAAAAGATAGAACTGGAGGTGCCTAATTCTGCTCAATTGGCAAAGAATACCCTGGTGTCATCTTGTGTATGTGGCATTAATATGTATCCAACAATCTTAACATGAGAAATGCAAGGCTCACCTGTGCATTCATGCAAATTACACTAGGAGAATCAGCATTTGTGAAATATGGGGGAAGGAATTCAGATGGGAAGTACCGTACTCGGCCCCATTCACACCTGTTGCACTAAGACTTGGGAGACCAGAGTTTGAATTTTCACTCGGCCATGAAGCTCTTCCTAGGTGTGCTTGGGCTAGTCACTGCCTTAACATGAGTCGCTGCCTCTCGGCTAACCTACCTCACAAGATTGTCATGGGGATTAAATGAGGAAGGGGAGAATCATGTACTCCACCTTGAGCTCAGTGGAGAAAAAGCTGGAATATAAATGCAAAAAACAATAAACAAACAAATGGAAACAGAGGAGTCATAGGTTCTAAGAGTAACAGAGATTGTCTACCCTTCACACCTGCCAGTCACTTCCTTACATCTGATGTTATAGGCAGGCAGGCTGGCTGGCTTGTTCCTGCTGCTTGACAATTTGTAGCTGACAATTTGTAGTTCCTCCTGTCATTTTGGCAGCTTTCTGAGAGCAATTGCAATGTGTAATATTTCCCTTTGACCTCACTTGGAACCAGTCTTGAAGAGCAACAAATAATAGCTCCTGAGGCCAAACGCAAGACTATAAAAGCTTGCTTTCCTGTCTTGCTCTTGTTTGCACAGAGGAGTCACAACTGCCAATGCACCCTTCCCCCCTCCACAGCTGACTTAATAATGATTTATACAGGAAAACAAAGAGAGAGGTTTTATGAAGGATATGGTGTAATCCGTTCTGTGAGAGTGGAAAGTATTACAAACTCCCAAGTCAGAAACTGAAGGGTAATTAATCCTCAAATACAAGATGAAAAGTTCGGGCTAACTTTGTGGTTGGAAAGTTCAATATTAATCTGAAATGGAATGGGTTAATAAAGTATGTGCTGTATTCTTATTTTAGCTTTGATGGTGGTAGAAAATGGATTGTTTGAAGTCTGAAGAAACATTGCCTTTTTATACTGTTTTAACCTCACTACTTTGTAAAGATAATGCTATTATTTCTTAAGGATTGGTTTTCTACGTCTCTGCTGTAGATGGCAGTTGGTTGGTTTTTTTAAAAAAATTGTGTTACTTCATTTGTTTGTTCATGCTGATTGCTGATGTTGGCGTTTTTGATTTGCATAATTTGTTTGGTTAATTTAAATTTTGAATTAAATAAGAGTTGTATGACACCCAGAGAACTACAGGCTCATCCATATTTTGGTTCAATGTGAATAGTCCACTTCCTGTACTTCCATTAATTTTCCACTTTTCTAATTTTCCATATGACGTTCTCCTCTAAATCACTGCCTTCTCACACTTTCCCATCCCTCAGTCTGGATTTTATCAAACCAGGGATACTCTGAGAAGGAGAGAGTATAAGAAAATCCCAACCGAGGAAAGGAAAAGTGCAGGAAGGCAGTAATCTCAAGGAGAATGTCCTGTGGATAGCAGAGAATTAATGGAGGTACAAGGAGCTTTGTATCCACATTTAACAGTATACCTGTATATGAGGCTTCTGTTATGAAGTGACTAATAATAAATATAAAATAACAGATAAAAGAACGCACCAAACAGAATAAAACTCCACTCTGCAATTGCCTCCTGGGATAAACTAACTTATTTTTCTGGGAAAGAGAGAGAGGAGATCAATAATCTAAAGGAGATGTTATTAAAGAGTTAGGGGTGAGCAGTGAGGTAGACAGATTTCCTGACGAAACCCGAGTGTTCATGATGGTTAAGACAAAAAGAGATTGTGAAGAGCTTCATAAGGATTTCTCCCAATTGAGGGAATGGGCAGTAAAACGGCAAATGCAGTTCAATGTAAATGAGTGTATGCATAAACATTACTTAACTTCACATATATGCTCATGGGGTCTGAAACTGAGGTGACTGCCTAGGAACGAGACCTCAGGGGATAGAGCTCAATGAAGAGGTCACCCCAGTTTGTGGCTGGCAGCTGTGGAAAAGGTGAATTCCATGCTCTAGGGAAGGAACTGAAAATCAAACTGCCAATGGAATAATGCATTTATAGAACTATCTATCTGGTGCAACCAAACTTGAAGTACTGCCTCACCTCAAAGGATATTATAGAGCTGGGAAAGTTACTGCCAGTCAAAATAGACAATATCAAGCTAGCAGTAGTGGTGGGTGGGGAGGGGGTGTTGCTTGTCTGCTTTTCCAGTGAGGAGGTCGCTGCTGGTAACCAAGAGAGGGAGGGTGACCTGGGCATGGGGCGGTTGGCACAGTGCCAACCTGACACTCCTGCTGCTGCACCTTAACTGTGCTGGCCTCCCCCCCCCCTTGGTTAATGGTGGTGACCTCCATGTTGGAAAGGCAGTTAAGCAGCGCCACCACACTCCACCCCAGCCCACAAACTGTTGCTGGAAGCTTGATGGACCAGTGGTCCAATGTTGTATAACACAGCTTCATTTGTTCACATGTTCATTTGGGGAGAAAAGAAGTCTCAAAAATAGGCAAAAAGTGCTAAACAAGGAGGCTGGGTGACCCACATGACAGTTGTTTGGCAATGTGTTTATTCATGAGGACTAGTTGCCCATGATGGTCACATTGGTTCCCCGGACTTTCATTTGGATGGAACCCCATCTGACCTCAGTTAACCCACTGGGTTTGTGGCACAAGCCACAGAAGGCTTATTTCCATGGGGTGTTGGGTTGGGTTTGTTGCACATGGAGGCAGGTGGGGTGGGGTGGGGTGGGGTGGGGTCAGTAATGTATCTCTGCCTGCCTCGTCACCAGAAATGGGGAGCAGGGAGGGAAGTTAAACACAGCCAAAGTATCAAAGAGCTAAGAAGAAAACAACATGTTATCAGAGAAGAACCTGGCACAGACTTCCCTTTTATAGGCTACATTTGATTCACATCAAACAGAATGCGCCTTTGTTCCTAATAGGGTTGTGCGTCTGTAAATAGAGGCCTCTGCTTACAAAAAGCAGAAGATAAATAGAAAAGGGAAGCTGTGTGTGATGACGATGATGAGCAACCCCTTGATCGCACTCTGAGCTCTGGTGTGTGTTTCTCTCCCTTTCCCCCTCTTTCAGCTATAATTATATCCCTTCGTCAGTGAGCCGCAGTACCTCTTTCCCACTTTTCAAGTCTTTGAAGTCGGTGCTTTCAGAAATTATGTGCAGGACGCTCAGGAATTTTGCACTCTTAATTGCAGTGTGTTTGGCAGAAGGGAGAGGGTGGGGGCTCGATCCAGGATTCCCTCCCATAATTACAATTCATTTTCCCCAGCACCA